TTGCCGGCGCTCCTCGTCCCCAGGGGCACTAGAGGATGGTGCATATGCACTACCACATTACCGTCGTCAGATTATTGCAGCAGGCCGGCTGTCATGCGGCATCATCGGCAACGCAGGCATACCCAAAATGCGCTGCGACATGGCACTGCTCCCTCGACCAAGCGAATACGACGACAACCTTCCCCAAGCGGCAGCCCTCTGAGCCGGCGCGCAAATCTCACCCGTAGCCCGACATCCGCCGCCACCGCCGCTTGCGATTGACGCCGATCCATACGTCAAGTCAGCATGGCCAAGCGAGATCGCAGGGACGCCTATCACGACGGGCACGTGGCGGCAGGTACCTCCGTCTCGCATCAGGAAATTGCTCGGCGAGAGCGAGAGAGCACGCCGGGCCCAACCCAGTCAGTCGTGCTGTGTCTCGCTGCTCCACCACCGCGCTCTCCAATCATGCGCAGCTCAGCCCTGTTTCGAGGGGTTAAGCGAATAGTGTGATCTGCGGTTATCTGTGACGACGGCTGGCTGATCTGCAAGACGTGGGCTCTGGACAGCGCTACCACCGTCCGCTGTCGGCCCGACATTTAGCTGGATCGCCACCTGGCTTCTGCGCTCGTAGCTAGCACTCTCAGATAGATCACTCCACCCCTCTGACTTACGTTATCAATACAATGATCTTTATTACCCTTCCTACGCCCCCTCTGCATTGAGCCCAACGCGGGGAGAAGATTCAGGACGTCGGTTAACCAGAGCCAGTCCCAGCAAGAGCTTACGAATCGGAAACGCGACACCATAAGATAGCGACCAGGCACTACATTGAGAGGGAAAAAAAAACAATACGTAGGTAGTTGAAGCCATCGTCTGGACGTGTATGTGGAATTTTTAATTCGACATTCTCGTCCGGACGATGGCTTTAACTACCCATGACATGAGCAAAAAACAGATCCACGCTTTAGGCCCCCTTGCTATCCCTTTCTTCGCCCATATATAAACCACCTGTAGTAGCAGAGATTTAATAAATCATCCAGCTATCAGCTTCACTTCCTCCACCCGGCTGTAATCACCCATCCGACAATTGCAATCTCCCAATCACTTCATGAACCTGATTGGCCTAGGCACGGCTGTAGTGGACGTGTTCGACCCAGAGCGCGTAGCAGAGACCAGGGAAGCCTCCAAAAAGGCAGAGAAGGAGGGCGTAACAGAGACCAGGGAGGCCTCCAAAAAGGCAGAGAAGGAGGGCGTAACAGAGACCAGGGAGGCCTCCAAAAGGCAGAGAAGGAACGCGTAACAGAGACCAGGGACACCTCTAAAAAGGCAGAGTATAAGGCAGAGAAGGAACTCAGGTCCGCAGCCAGCAACCAGGTAGGTGCCCAGGAGAGGACACAGAAAGGTGATGATAATAAGGCGGGTGTCGTCTCGCATGGTTGGTGATGATAACGAGGCGGGTGTCGTCTCGCATTGTTGGTGATGTTTCTCGAATAACGATAGCTGGTAGATGAAGGTTGAAGGATGTGGTTGTATGAGGATGATAGCTCTCCGTTAGAACGAAGCGACACGTCGCTTTCTCTATGCTGCTGCCTGAGTTTTTACTTCCCTCAACGGCAGGCGCGCTTCGCCACCGGTTACGACTTCTAACAGCTCGACACCCTCGACCGCTGGCTCACTCGCTCTGCTTCTAGTGTTGTTCGTGAGTCCGTACGTCGCTCTTACCACTTGACTGTAGCCGTTGTCCGTGGTCTGGATTCTGTGGCTCTTCACGGATGCCTGGTCGCTATCTTATGGTGTCGCGTTTCCGATTCGTAAGCTCTTGCTGGGACTGGCTCTGGTTAACCGACGTCCTGAATCTTCTCCCCGCGTTAGAACGAGCTAAGGCATAGTTACGCCATGTTCTGCTATTCTTCGCGCTAGCTATCGGCTGCGAGAGGGGGCTGTAGCTAGCTCTCAGATAGATCACTCCACGCCTCTGACTTACGTTATCAATACGATGATCTTCATCACCCTCCATACACCCCCTCTTCACCGCTAAGCTACTTCCTCCTATCCCTCTGCTACATACCGCTGCCCAATCTCTTTTTCCCTTTTTTTTTTCTGCCTGCCTTTCTTTCCTTGCTCCGTAACGCGCGAGATGCCCGCGCCGCTCCCAATTCGCCACCTCCTTGCACCGGCGTCTCGCAGCTCGTAATTCCACCCAACGCGCTCCCCGTCGCATCAACGCCTCTACCATCATCGCCGCTGCCGCAGGGATTTCCTCCCCCTTCTCGAGCAGAGTCGCTTTGCACAGCCAAGGCGAAACGCGCCGGCTCCCACGTCAAGCGTCAATCCTTAACCGGCCCGTTGGGAAGGGCAGTGAAGGTTTTTTTTTTTTTTGCCACTGCTGGCAACGCTCATCAACGGCGCACTCAGTCTCGCTTCGTTTCAGGCTGTTGTTTCAGGAATCTGTCGACCCGGCCAATGACGAAGCCTGCGTATTGGGTCCAATGAGATGCTCCACCTGCCCGCAGAGAGCCTTTCCCAGATGTGTCCAGTGATGCCGGGGATTGTAATAACCGAGGACCGATGGGCAGACGGCAGAGAGATGCTACTACTCCGCAAGCGAACAATACGCCGGCCACGCATGACGGCGGAATAATCAGCAAACGAGGACCCCGCAATAGCAGCAGGGAAGGCAGTGGGGTAAAACGGGAAAGGAAAAAAAAAAGCAAAAGGGCAAACGCGCCAGAAACCGCGGCGAAACGGCGCTGCAACAGGAGAATTACGCGGCTGCACGTCGAGGATAGATTGCCGGGCTCCGGTGGTGAGACTGTCCCTATTCAGCCGCATTATGCCATCCCGATTATTTGCATGCTGCGCTCTGGATCACGCCGTGTCGGGTACCTGCATATGTGGCGAACGGACGACAGAGTTCCAGACCGAAAGCCCGCAGCATGCTTACCCTACGAAGGATGCACGACCGCGCCTCATCACAACACACCACCGCCGCTCCCAACCCAACCACCACCGTCGTGCATAAAGGAGCACACAGACCCTGTCGGGCCGGCGCCAACGGACGGACGGAACGGTGGCTTGAACCCCCTCTCTGCACTACGGGCATAACTCCGTGTGCAAATGTCCCCTTATACACCGCCAATCCCGCAGGGTGCCCGGCTGCGCAAGAGAAGCAAAGGGAAGAAAGAAGACGGTGGAAGAGCACGTCACAAGACCCTTGAACCCAGCTGCCCATCAGTTTGGACCTCTCCGGCGCCAAAGCCACCGCCGCCGCTGCCCACCATCGACTTCCGCTGCCCTTTCGGCGCCGCGCTGCGTGCTGGCGTGCTGGCGCAGCGTGCGCGCCCGCGACACGCAAATCCCCAAGCTGCCCTCCCCCCCCTGCGAGTAATGGGTCCAGTCCAACAACGGTGTGACCGTGTGTGTGTGTGTGCCAACCACAAAGAGGAAAAAAATAAAAAAACTTAAAAACTTTTTCGTCCCTCATGATCACAATGTGCTGCAAGCGACCCGGGCGCGGCAGCCAGCCTGGGTACGTGCGGTGTGTCCCCCCGGCTAGAAGGGCGGGAGAAGAGGAAGAAGAAGGGAAAAAGGGAGAGTCAGAGAGATCATCCTAGTCAGCCTTGTTCGTTGGCGCGGTGGCAGTGACCGACAAAGCCCAGCTAACGCTCGGATCCCACCGCCGCCGACGGCCGCTGTCATCTCAGTAGTAGGTAGGACCCTGGCCCAGGTGGTAGCCCGCATGGCCCGAGCTGGGTGAAATTTGGTGGTGGCAGAGCCGAAAAAGAAGCGTCTGACACCGGTCGTCGTCGTCGTTTGTTGCTCCTTCTCCGGGATTCGGTGCTCCTTCTGGAACCTTTCCACGAAGGGCAGAAGAGAGAGGGTCCCCGTTTTGCCACACCGTCATTTCGCGACACGGAGGTGGCAAAAAATGTACGTCAACGAGAGAAAGCAGGAGGAGCCTAGGCGGCCGGGTCCGGATACGACGGAGCCCGGCACGCAGCAACGGCCGGCTTCCAACAACGGACGAGAAACGGTTTCTCTCGGTCTGGTCTACGGTCGTAAAAAGAAAGAAGGTGGCAGGACCGGCATCCGTGCGTCACCAAGGCGGTAGCGGGAGGCTGGAGAAAAAGAAAAAGTTGATGCTCTTTTTACCCGACGCGCTCGGCACGCGGCGACAGCAGCAGCACAGAATGTGAGACAATGCGGAGGAGAGAGGAAGCCACGTGTGCGCTGGACGTCCTTAGCGTCTTTCTAGAAGCGTCGTCACCCACATTCCCCACCCGGCCGGCTGTGGGCTCAACACCGAGACGTGAGTCGTAGCTGCCCCTCTTTTTCCTTCGAGAAGGACGAGAAAGACGCTAGAAATTAATAAAAGGAGCGGTGATGATGGAGAAGCCAGCCTAAGAGTCAAGCGGGCATGAGAACAACGCGGCGGAAGAGTGCACAGACAGGCACGAGGTTGAGAGAGCTGGGGAGATCCTTGATCGACTATGCGCGTAATGGGCATGGTGTGCTCGACGAATCGTAGCTGCACCCGTCCTGTGATCTCCCACTCATCAAAACTTGAGCCGCATCGTCCTCGTGTCTGAGCGTTTAGCCGCCTGGCGCCTGTGGTGGGGTTGCCTGGCTTGAGCTCTCACCATGGCTCCGAGTCGGTTGCAAGTAGCGCGGTGCTAACGCGTCGTGACTTTGGCGCCGTTGAGTCCTGCTGGACCCTGGCCCGCCCGAGGCCGCCCACATGGCTTGTCGCGCTACCCGCCTCGGCGACGCGTTTTCGAGATAATTTCACGACCGGTCGCTGGTGGAGGCGAAGGAGCGGTCAATTGACACCGGTACTGCCTGACCGCTAACGCTTCTCCACTGCTGCATCGTGCAGCTCTTCATTCCCGACTTCTCTCCACTGCCCGCTTCACCCGCGCCAACTCAGCGCCAGCTCTGCTCCACGACAGACCCTTTATGCTGATCGTGCCTCCTGGCTGTTGATCACTTGTTTGAGCGGCGCCGTCGTGACATCATTCTCACTCTTCACCTTCGTCGTCGACGCCCAAGTTGCCAGCCGCTTGAGTGGATACCCAGTTCTCCATCATCTGCTGCTGGCTGCTCGCCGTGCCTTGGGCTGTCGCGCTGGCTGATGAGCCACCGCTGCGCGCGACGTGGCCCTTGCGTTTGACCACGAGACACAATATGCGCCCGTATATGCTGAAGCCGTCATATGATGTGTCGAGAGAGAGCCTTTTCTTGTCATCTGTGGCTTCCGCATCGCCCTCCACCACCTGATCTTTTGCTTGCCCACGTTTTCTGACACGCTTCACCGGCGCTTCATCAGAAGCGCTTTCAGACTCGCCAGAAGAATCGTCGGCATAGAGGTCCTCACCACTGTCCTCGCGACGGCGGCGTTTACTGGCCCGGGAGGCGTCGGTGCGTGCCTCAGGTATGTTAGAGAGTGCGACTGGCGCATCTTCATCATCTTCTTCACGAAGGACTACAGGAGCGCCGCCGTCACCACCATCGACGTCAACAGGTTGGTCGCTGGTGGCCCCGGTGGTCAGCCAGCCGGTCAGCCTGCCTGAGTTGCTCTTCATGCGTGGCTTGTCTTGGAAAGTCTTCTGCTTGGTGAGCAGCGAGTGGGGCGTGGAGTTGTCTGTCAGGAAAATGGAGACCTCAAAGTCATCTGCGCCGGCCTGGTGTCAGCGCCTGTTGCACTCCCAACACCGAGACGTGCGTCTATGGATAATATGCCTCTCATCTTGACTTCTATGGCACCGGTGCAGACTTGACATGAAGCCTCATACCTCCAGCGACAACATCTCTCACGCCCTTCTTTCCTTTGCCCTTGCGCTCGGAACGCTCCTTCTCCTCCCACAGTTTTGGTAGCACGAGCGGCCTGACGCTTTCGATGATGCGGGGCAGCGCGGGGTCGTTGCGGCGCAGTAGCCAGCTCTCAGCATGCGCTGGGTTATCGAGATAGATACGGACCTCGAGAGCGGAGTGCTTGGTGATGCGGAGGTAGCGGCGGAGTGGGGCCATGGTGGAGGCGCAGAAGCCGAGCGCAGCCGCTTGGGGGTATGGGCAGCGGCGGCGGAGAGGACGGAATGCGACCAGACGTTCGAGGAACCGTGACAGGACGCGACTGGGCTGGCGGTGTCGGAGGCGGTAGGTTGGAGAAGATGTTAAGGTTTCTTGGCGGAGGTTGCGGAGCGATGACGATGCTCCGAGTGATCGACGGCCTGAGCTTCGCAAAGAAATGGCTACGCGACACGCCGACATGAGCAATCCACCACCCCATCCCCCACAGACCATGGTTCTGGAGCTCCACGTCTGGGGCCCGGCTTTCGGCCTTCCGTCAATTGATGCCGAGTGCATCGCCGCCCTTGCCTATGCCAAGCTGACCCTGCGCGAGGGCAGCTGGGTGGTCGTCGCATCGCACGATGTCTCCAAGAGCCCGAACAGTGCGTGCGTCTCAGGAGTCGCTCGTGACCAGAACTGAACGGCTGACGCTCGCGTGATAGCCGACTTCCCGGCTCTGCGCAATGGTCCGACCTGGGTCGCCGGCTTCAAACCCATCGTGCACTATCTGCAAAGGCACAGTGCCTCCGAACACGACCCTGACGGCCACCTGACCGAACGCGAGCGCGCAGACACAATTGCGTGCGCTCCCTGTCGCCCTCTCACGCCTGCCTGCACTGACGGTTCCCCTGTGCAGTTACACGTCCTTTCTCCGCGCCAATGCGCTGCCGCTGCTCGATCTCAACCTCTATACTTCCGCCGCAAACTATTACCAAGCTACCACCCCTGCCTACACCGCGTTGCTCCCATGGCACTTGAACTACACCATACCGCCTGCGCGCCGCGAAGCAGCTCGCGCGCGAACACAAAGCCTGGGCTTGAGCGCGTTGGACATTGATACTGTCGACGACAGCCCGACCGAAGATAGCTTCTCTGCCAACAAGAAGAATGCGGGAATCAACGACGACCGGGGTCCGGCGCCATACAGGAAGAGCCTCCTGCCCTTCGGACGGGGGAGCGGTCTCAAGGCACTGCTCAGCCAGCCCGAGTACGCCGCGCGCTTCAAGCTTGACGCGCTGGCCAACGACTGCCTGGCGCCGCTCGACGCGCTTCTGGGCGACAACGAGGAGGAGAAACCGCTGCTGCTGCACCCCACATACCCCACGACACTCGACTGCCTGACATTCGGCTACCTGTCGCTCATGCTGTACCCGGACCTGCCCTCGGGCTGGCTCGCCGACACGCTGCGCTCGCGCTTCCCGCGCCTCGCAGCCTACACGGCCCGCATGCGCGCGCTGACGGTCGGCTCCGTCGACGCGAAGCCGTCGGACCTGATGGCGCTCAACGACCTGCGCGGCAGCAACCCGGAGCTCATCGCCAAGGGCCGCCGGGAGCTGCGCCTGGTGCTGCCGTGGGCGCTGGCGCCGCAGCCCTCGCTCGCCGGCACCGCCGCCGACGTCGCGTGGTCCGTCGCGACGAAGCTGCCGCTCATCAAGCGCGCGCTACTGCCCGACCCCGTCGTCCCGCCCGCGGGCAAGCCCCGCTACGTGCCCGACGAGTCGTTGCTGAACTCGTTGGCGGCGCTGGCGGGCGCCGCGGCGGCGGCCCTGCTCGGCGCGGCGTATTACGTGCAGCAGAACCCGAATCCCGGCGACGTTATCTTCAGGAACGAGGATGCGGCGTCGCCGTGGGGCGGCGGGTTTGGGGATTTTGGCACTTCGGGCTCGGCACTGGCGGCGCTGGGCCATCAGTTGGACCTGGAGGCACAGTGGAAGAGAGAGATGGAGCTGGAGAGGGAAAAGTCGAGCGGGAGTTCGAATGTGGAGGTTGATGTTGGTGTAAGCGCACAGGAGGGTAAAGGCGGTATTGGAGTGAAGGGTGAGACGCATGTGCTTTGAGTCTTTGAGGTGGCGCCGCGTCTATTCAATGTCGTAAACAACGACGACAAAAACGAGGTATATACAAGGGGTAGTACTATTAGCGACGCAGTCAAGGTGCTCATAAGCTTAAAAACCGTGCACGTTAACATAAGCTTCGTGGTCACGAACATGCCGATGTTCACGCGTTGGTCGAGCATCGGCTACACCAATACGAAGTCAATTTCCTTCGTCACCAGCTACGCCGTAAAAATTTCTACGGACCGTTGCGCACTCGGCCGCACCTGGCGCTCTGCCACCATTCTTACGCTGGTCACTGCCAGCCCAGTACGGCGAGGATTCGGGTTCGGTCATTTAACGATGATATTGACGCCTCGGTCTGGTATTTTTATACCTGAAAATCTTGCCAACGGCGCGAAATCTAGAGTCTGAACTTGCCCTCGTTCTTTTATCTTTACCGTAAAGCTTAGTGTCATGTGTTGAGTCGTTTGAATGACAAGAGGAATACGACTGGTTTCTTGCCTTGGTCCATGCACCGCTTATCACAGACACGATATCTTCACTGGCATGTGGTGATAGAAATGGTGGAGCAAAGATAATGAACGTGGCGTTGGAAGATAATGTATCCTTATAACAGATGAGACCGTTGACAGACAACACTATCCCATGTTCACAAAGCTGGCTCTACAAGTAGTTTGGGCTTATATTAGTAGAAACGCAAGGCGACCGTGTGGGGCTCTAGTTTAAATAAGATAAGAAATTAAGTAGGTTATTGAATTGATGAATGGGGTTCACGATTTCGTAGCAAGGTACGGAGGCTCACGTCATTCTTATTGAATCCGGCTGTTACTATTATATGCAGTGTCGACGGTTCGAGCGACGTATTTTATACCAGTGCTTCTAGACCTTTTTTTTTTCTTGTATAAAAAAAGTAGAATGGAGGGCGGTGTGCCGTATATCGTACTCAATAGAGAGAAAAGAGGAAAGATACCGACTCTAAGAGTGATATAATCCATATCCCGTAGAAGAGATGGAAGAAGGCTATTACTCGGCATGGGGAATGTACAAGATAAGACATACTTGCTCAGTAGTAGAGAGTACGCCGATTGCGCTTCACTAAACTCTGGGCGGTAGGATGGAGCTAAAGGAGTCCACCTCCGTAAGCCACTCTTTATACAAATATAGTGGTGCCCTTCTAAAAAGGAGGTATCTATCTTTCTTGCTTCTCGAAAGCCTATTGTAACTTTTTCTTTTCTTCTTGTGTTGGACAAACCCCCCGTGCGCCGGTTCTAGCGTCTGATGGCATAGCACTGTAAGACTTGCCCTATATTCATAGATCGTCCTATCCGCCAACGGGACTTTTACCAAGGCCGAATTAATCAATCATCAAGTACGTCGCCAGACCGAGCGAGCCGGACTTCGTCGCCGGCTTCTTATAAGAGAGTAAATGGAGTTCAACGCTCCAGGGCGGCAGAAGAATACGAAAAAAAAAATAAAAAGCTCCAACGCTATTGGGAGAACCCCTCGTACCTTCGGAGCTATATATTTTCATAATCTGAAATCCATACAAGACCGTCTACAAATACAAAGGCGGAGATCATCACTTTATAACTTTTCCTCTCTCTCTCTCTCTCTATACCATTCCGTTTACGCCCCTCCCCCCTCCATTCTCCTCAACCATCCTGCACCTCACGCACCAACCACATCCTCACACCTCCCGCACAACACGTCCGGGCTCGGCGCGACGTAGCGCCAGCACCTGGGACACTTGCACCGCCTCGCCGGCCGCACCTCCGCGACCGCCTGCTTGTCCGCGACACCGGGCAACTCAAAGGGCGCCTTGAAGACCCAGTCGGCAGGCGGCTGCCGTCCTTGACTCTCCAACCCTTCCTCGCGAGCGGCAGGAGTAGCAGCATCAGTAGCAGCAGCAGCAGCAGCAGCAGCAGCAGCAGCATCGTCGCCGCCGCTGCCGCTACCGCCAACGATCTCCACCCCACTGACCACCAACACAGCCGCCAGATCCTCCTCCATGCCCCCACGCAAGACGTCTGCAACCGCACCCGGCAAGACGACGTCAGACGGCAGCCTCAGAACGACGTCGCACTCCAGCCCGCCGCCCATCAGCTTCTCCTTCCTCGCCTCCTCCTGCGCCGCCTTGGCCGCGTCGCCCACCGCCCTCAGCACCTCCATCTTCGCCTCCAAACCCGCCGCCTTGACCCCATCGTCCCACGTCTCCGCCACGTACGGCGTCCACGTCCTCCTCCCCGGCTTCTTCCCCTCCGCCGCGACGACGACCCCCTCCGGCGCATGACTCCAAATCTCCTCGACGAGCAACGGACACACGGGCGCCAGCATGTCGAGCAGCTCGGCGAAGACGCGCCGCAGCACGCGCTGGGCGCCGGCGCGGTCGGCGGGCGTGCCGGCGTACAGGCGGTCCTTGAGCGTCTCGAAGTAAAAGGCCGACAGGTCGGCCGTCGTGTAGCGCGAGAGGGCGGCGGTGCCCCTGTAAAACTCGTGCGCGGCGAACGCGGCGTGCACGGCGTGCGAGGCGCGCGAGAGCTGGTGCAGGGCGATGGCGTCGACGAGGGCCCAGCGGTTGGGGACGGTTGTCTTGGAGGAGGAGGAGGACGACGAAGACGCGACGGCCGGGTCGAAGTCGGAGAGGACGCCGAGCAGCCATTTGAAGGTGACGCGGTACTTGTGGAGGGATTGGTTGACGGCGGCGAGGACGGGTTGGCCGATGATGACATCTTTGGTGTAGTCGCTGCTGGCGACCCATAGGCGGAGGGCGTCGGCGCCCATGGCGTCGAAGGTTTCTTTGGGCTTGGCGGCGCCTGGGCTTGCGGCGGAGGGGTTGGCGTTACCTTTTTGCTTTTTTCGGGGCTTGAGGGGCGGGAGGAGGGAGCCGTCCATGATTTGAGAGGGCGAAATGGTGTTGCCGAGGGACTTGCTCATCTTCCTGCCGTCTTGGTCGAGCGTGAAGCCGTGTGTGATGAGCGTTTTGAACGGTGCGAGGTACTTTGGGTGTGACGACTTGTCTCCGGCGTCCGCCCTCGCACTCTGGTGGGATATGTGAGTGAGTAGGGAAGACTGGAACCAGCCGCGATGTTGGTCAGTTCCCTCGAGGAAGACATCGGCCACAGGCTGTCCGGGGCGAGGATCCAGCAACGTCCACGCAGTGCCACTATCAAACCACACGTCCATAGTGTCCTTACCGCGGACGAAAGAGCCCGTAAGGCCTTCTGGAATCCAGGCAGGTTCATCCTCAGCGTCGGTCCACCAAGCATCAATGCCGCGTTGCTCAATGACGTTCATGATGTGCTCAATCGAACTTCCAGTCATGTGCGCCTTAAGACTGCCACTTTCTGTCTTTTCGTACAGCGCAGGGATGGGCACACCCCAAGCTCGTTGACGTGAGACACACCACTGGCTGCGGCCACGGACGAAACTCTCCAGACGGGCTCTTGCGGATTTCGGATGGAACTCTACGTGCTCAAGCGCTTCGAGGGCACTTTCCTTGATCTCTTCGACATCGGCAAACCATTGCTCAGTCGCACGAATGATGACGGGCTGCTTGGTCCGCCAGTCGATGGGGTACTTATGGGTGATGTTTTCCACGGCAACCAAAGGATCTCTCGGCATCGTTGTAAGCAGGTCCAGGATAACCTTGGAGCCGTCTCCCTGGACGGGGAGGCCGGCAACGTGGTAGGCTTGACCGGGCAGAGCCTCTTTGGTGAAGCAGCCTTGGTCGTCCACGGGCGCAAACGCATCAATACCGATAGACCTGCAGACATCGTAGTCATCCATACCGTGACCAGGAGCCAAATGAACGAGACCGGAACCAGATGCGGCAGACACAAAATCGGCATGTATGATGGGCTGAGCGTTCAGCTGATCCGGCTCCAATGGATTCGCATACTCTGTCTGACCCGCGAGCTCAGAACCTGGTATTGCGTCCACAAGCAACTTGAAATCGGTCTTCAAGGTTTCCTGAAGGGCATCGAAGCGGTCCTTGGCAATTAGGAATTGACTAGGGCGATGACCAGTAAGCGTGGGCCGAGGCATTTCCACCACACAGTATTCCAGACTAGAGTGCACCGCAATCGCCCTGTTAGCGGGCAGAGTCCAAGGAGTTGTAGTCCAGATCAGAGCACCAAGTTTTGCGATATAGACGCGGCCGGCCAAGCTCGCTGGGAGCTTGGTGATGGGGAAGTTGACGTATGCGGTAGTTGAGCGGTGGTTATCGTCGTACTCGAGCTCAGCCTCAGCAAGAGCAGTTCCAGACGAGGGCGACCAATAGACGGGTTTGAACTGACGATAGATGAGACCTGAGCGGGCGTCAGCTTCTGAGCGCACGATGCAGGCGCGGTGGCTAGGCACCTTTCTCGACCATTTCCTTGAAGATGTGCAGCTGGCGCATCTCGAAGCCTTTCTCCATTGTCTTGTACGCGTTGTGCCAGTCGCCCATGATGGCCCAGTTCTTGAAGCCTTCCTTCTGCTCCTCGACGGTGCGCTCGGCCAGGCGACGGGCGGCGGCGCGCACCTCGACGGGGCTCAGCCGGTGGCGGTCCGGATTGGCCAGAGCCTGCAGAGCCTTGAGCTCAATGGGCAGGCCATGGCAGTCCCAGCCGGGAATGTACTGCACGCGCTTGCCCTGCTGGACGTGGAAGCGGCAGATGAGGTCCTTCAAGACCTTGTTCAGGGCGTGTCCAATGTGCAAGCTGCCATTGGCGTAGGGCGGGCCATCGTGGAAGACGAGGGAACCGGTAGCGGGGCGGTCGGGGGACTGCTGCCATGCGTAGAGGTCGTCGGTGCACTGGCGGAGCAGGTCGGGCGACTGGGACGGGCGCGGCGGGAAGGCCGACTTGGGGAGCTTAAGCGTGGCGGACCATGATTTGGCGGCGGTGGCTGCAGCGCTCCGGAGAACTTGGCTTGGAGCTACCATGCTGCCATGCTTGTCGTGAGCTGCGGCTGGTGCAGGCAAGAAAAGTTGCCATGACAGACGCGGGCGCCATCTCCGCAATCGTCTCCGCCGGCGATGGTTCGGCCATATCTAGGGCGGCCAAGACCGGTCCCCCCCGATGCTGACCCGACGCCCTTCGGAAGGCGCGGCCCCAACACCAACTGCGACCGACTGCGACGCAGCTTCCAATGCAAAGAGCAAGGGCGACGGTCGGCAGCGGCACTCATCACGGCGGACCCAATGGCGTGGAACGCGAGCGGTGCGACGGGTAAACGGCTTGGAAGGGTGGGGGTGAAACATGCACCGATCCCAGTCCAAAGAGGCAGCTCCAATCGCTCCAATCGCTCCAATCCTTCTTCGACTCGCACAGGGCCCAATCATGTACACAGTACACGGCCAAGCGTGGTTCAGAGCCGTGTTTCTCAGCTACACTTGGCTGGCTGGCCGAAGGGAGGTGCTACAGCAGACGAAAGCTCACCTGAACGAGCGGGGTAGCGCAACACCACGAGCTACCGCTATCTCAGCCGCCGATACCTTTCTCCCCACATATCGCCCAGCCCATGCCACCCATGCACGCCACGGCCCTTGGCTGCTTCGATGTCTTGCCGTGGTGCTTATCGGCCGCTGCCCCACTCCCTTTCGACCCGTCGTTTGGCCACATCCGCAGACAAGCACATGCCACCGGTGCTTGGCTGGAGCCCAGAGCTTCCCCAGCTCTTGTTGACGTGCCATCAAATACCGAGAAACAGCCTCAGAGCTTTGGGTGGCCTGGGCCTTTTCTCTGTGGGTTTCGTGCGCATCTTCGGGCGCTTGCAGCATGCGGGCCTCCCGACAGCGTTCCCGGGAAGAGAAAGGAGCCTGCTCAATCTGCTGCCGCGTCACAGCCTGCGCGGCACCTGCAACGTCCAGGTTCGTGGTCTCTATCTATTCAAACAGCCGATGTCACGTTACCTCGATCATCTCCCATCTAGCACAATCCTCCTTCCCCTTCGAGACACTTGACTGCCTGGTTGGTGGAGGCGTGGTACCCAGATCCCACTATCGTGGAACGGTAAGCGATCGCCCGTAGGGCCCCGGTTGAGGTGACATTCCATGCAATGTGCCGCATGCCCGCCACCGTTATCTTTTCGACCGCTGGGTTATATACCTGCACATCTGCCTTTCCATGTCGTGCGAGTCCTACGCCGTTCGACACTTGACTGCGAAGCTTCGCAAGCGGCACCATGCCCAGCTTTCGAAAGCCCTGGCCTGTTACCCGACGAGACACGGATGGCATAACTCTCAACACTCTCGAAGCCAAAGGGCCGACGGCGACTGCTACAGCTGCCGACAATGACGAGCATTCCAAAGCTGCCGAGGCTCAGAAGGATCTCGAGACCTTCAGCGCCCTGCATCGGTACCGAATACTATCCATCCACCAAAGGGCTGAAGACTGAGTGTTTCTAGATGGGATCCCAACCTGGAGGCTAACAAACGTGATGCTATCGAGGCTGCTGTCAAAAAGGGCGACGAGGAGGCCGAGATCCACCTCGACCAGGACCTTGGAGAAGGCTCGCCTTACCCCGAGGTTGCTTCGGCCGTACCCAATACCGATGACAACACTCTCCCTTGCAACACCATCAGAGCATGGGTCATTGGCCTTGTTTTCACCACTATCGGAAGTGGCTTAAACATGTTGTTCAACCTGCGCAACCCCAGCATAACCATCACTTCGATTGTTGCTCAGCTGTACGTGCACAAGCCCCTCTTCACTCCGCAATGCTGACGCATCCAGCCTCTCGTACCCGGTGGGCAAGCTCTGGGAGAAGACGATGCCTTCGCATCAGTTCAACGTGTTTGGCCTGAAGTTCAGCCTGAATCCTGGTCCGTTCAACGTCAAGGAGCACACTCTCATCACCGTCATGGCGAACGTTACATTTGGAAATGGAGTCGCTTATAGCACCGACACCATTGAAGCTTTGCGTGGCTTCTACGGCTACGACCTTGGCTGGGGCTTCAACCTGCTTTTCACTCTCGTCACCCAGATGCTTGGCTTTGGACTCGCAGGCTCCTTCCGCCGCTTTCTGGTTTATCCCGCCGCCATGATCTTCCCGCAGACACTGCCCAACTGTGCACTGTTCTTCACGCTACACAAGAGAGGCTCCGAGAAGCCAGATCCTGCCGAAACAAACGGCTGGGCTATAACGAGGTACAAATGGTTCTTGTACGTCGTCATCGGCGGCTTCGTGTGGTACTGGTTCCCGGGCTTCATCTGGCAAGGACTGAGCGTGTTTGCCTTTGTCACGTGGATCAAGCCCCAAAGCCCCGTCATCAACCAGCTCTTCGGTGGATACAGCGGCTTGTCGCTTATCCCAATCACATTCGATTGGACGTACATCACGTCCTACATACAGTCACCCCTGATCCCTCCCTGGCACGCCATCGCCAACACTCTCCTCGGCCTTGTGATATTCCAGATCATCACGCCGCTCGGGATCCACTACACCAAATCCTGGTATTCGGAATACCTTCCGATGAGTGACTCGGACAGCTACGACAACACGGGGAGCCAGTACAACGTCAGCCAAATCCTGACACCGAGCTACAACTTCGACGAAGCCAAGTACAAGGCGTACTCGCCCATCTTCCTCTCGACAACGTTCGCCATGTGCTACGGCCTCAGCTTTGCCACCATCGTAGCCACGATTGTGCACACGGCGCTCTACCACTGGCGCGAGATCTGGTACCGGGCCCGGGCAGCGCGCGACCAGGAGGACGACATCCACATGAAGCTGATGAAAAAGTACCCCGAGGCGCCAGACTGGTGGTTCTGGGCGCTCGGCATCGGCATGCTGGCCCTCGGCTTCGGCACCGTCCTGGGCTACTCGACGGGCCTCACCTGGTGGGCGTACATCATCGCCGTCCTCATCTCCGCCGTGTGGTTCGTCCCGATCGGCATGGTGTGGGCCATCACGAACGTGCAGATCGGGCTCAACGTCTTCGCCGAGTTCGTCGTCGGCTACATGCTGCCCGGGCGGCCGCTGGCCATGATGTGCTTCAAGACCATCGGCTACATCACCATGTACCAGGGCCTGCTGTACACGCAGGACCTCAAGCTCGCGCACTACATGAAGCTCCCGCCCAAGACGGTCTTCTGGGCGCAAGGCGTCGCCACCGTGTGGGGCTCCCTCGTGCAGATCGCCGTCCTCGACTGGGCCTTCGGCGCCATCAGGGGCATCTGCACGTCGGCCCAGAGCGCGCGCTTCACCTGCCCCAACGGCCGCGTCTTCTTCAACGCCAGCATCATCTGGGGCGCCATCGGCCCCGCCCGCATGTTCTCCGCCGGCGCGACGTACGCCGGCCTGCAGTGGTTCTGGCTCATCGGCGCCGCCGTCCCCGTCGCCTTTTACCTGCTCGCCCGCCGGTTCCCCAACTCGCCCGCCCGCTACCTCAACGCGCCCGTCATGTTTGGGAATCTCAACTACATGCCGCCCGCCACGCCGCTCATCTACTGGTCCTGGGGCATCGTCGGGCTCGTGTTCAACCGCTTGATCAGGCGCCGCGCCCGCGGGTGGTGGATGACGTACAATTACATCACGTCGGCGGCGCTGGACTCGGGGCTGGCGCTGAGCACGATTGTCATTTTCTTTGCGCTGTTGCTGCCGCAGGTGAGCCCGCCGCAGTGGTGGGGCAATACGGTCATTGACACGATGGATTATGAGGGGACGGCGGTGCAGAAGACGGTCTTGCCGGGGGAGACGTTTGGGCCGAAGGTCTGGTAGATGGATGAGCGGGCGGACGGACGGACGGATGGATGGAGGCGGTAGGGAGTGGAGGCTATATACATGATGGCGAAGGGGGATGTGTGAGGTAGGGGGGTTGGATGGATAACGATGTTACGATTTACGAATGAATATATCTGAGCAATCAAGCAGGGTCAGTTGTTAGTTACGAGTGATAACAATTGTGTTTTTCATCTTGATGCAGTGTTTTTTTTTCCTTTTCTCTCTTGCTGTCTTTGGGTTCGCAACGAGATGGACGTTGAGATAAACAAGTCTCAGTTTGTTTCAATCTCACGACCAAGCATGTGTCGCACTTGAGAAGATTACCAACAGGTGTGTCTTTCGCCCATAGATTAGAGGGTCATAGGAAGACCTCTTTTGCTGTAACAATGCCTTGCCAAGAGACTGCAATAGGTAGCTCTACAGTGCCGGACAAGGTGTGATCTTTCTCTTGCCTATCTGGGTTAGTCCTCGGCTCAAGCTACAGCGATTGCAATCCCTCAGCGTCCGGCTCGGTCGTGCTGTTGGCGACTGCTGTTTTGCAGATGGCCGTGGACCGAAACTGGCAATGATGCGTTTGAAAGATCGGCAAGGCGCAAACGCGGTCGGACATGATCGGACACGGCGACCGGATACGAAGGAGAGTCGCTAGCGCAGTGTCCGTCTCTGTCTCCGGTCGGTCCGCCAGGCGGCCTTGGGGCCTCGGCCATCGAGGTAGCGTTGGCCGCGCGATTTGGGCCCGAGGAGAGCATTGCCTGATGAAACGCCCGCGGACATGGTTGCTCCCGGAGATGGCTGTGGTCTGTCGAGGTCTGGCATCGAGGGCCACCGCAATATGATCTCATGTCCGGGATTTGCCGCGGTCGATCCGGGGCACATGCAGGCACGCAGACACGCAGGTTGGGGCAAACGCGGCTGCAACGGGGAAAAAGCGCGCGGCGATTGGCGGCGGAGTCGGCTGCTACGCCCTTCTAAGCCGGCTGCTACGCCCTCGACGCTTATCAGGGCAGGCGCGGCGCAAAGAAGGGACCACCCAAGGCCCTCCCGCCGCCGGCCCACGAGTCCGTGCGCTGCCCGACTCCGTCTTGAAACGCTGCCGTGCCTTCGCTTTCGCTTTCCTTTCTCTCTGCCGACATCACCTCGGATCCACCGCATCTCCAGTAATGCCTGCTCCGTCTTGATCAACCATTGTCGCCGCTCTGTTTCCTTCTTGCCTTGCTTCCTTTCACCTGCCCCTCCTCCCCTAATGGACACACCGCCCATGGCCGGCGCTGCCGGGGATTCCACTGCGGCCGCTGCCACAGCCGGGCTCCCGTACACCAAGCTGCTGGCCGCCGTTTTCGTCGCCGCCCTTGCCTACCGGCTCCTCGGCAGTCCCAGGAAGGACCGGGTCATGCCCGTCTGGGTCCCCATCGAAATCTTTGTCGCGAGCACGTGTCTGGTGGCTGATGGAGTGGCGCTGAAGCTGCTGTAAGCTGACCATCCCCCAGCCTGCTGCATGGCGCCTGCTCATTCCGTGCGTGCAGATCTCTTGTCCGCCGCTACGGCGGTTCTCTGTTTGGAATCACCTCGCAGCACCAGGTCATCCACAACCTGAAGGGCGTCGAGCGCCTGTTTGCTGCCCCGTTCCATACCCTGGACCATGAACCTGTTGGATACACCATCACGGTCCGTGTCTTCGGCGGCGAAGACTGCAAGGAGATGCGTGATGCCATGGACCGGTGTCAGAAGGACCTTTTTGCCGCCGTCGAGAAGGGCTTCGTGAACGAATCTGCGTCCTTGGCATCAATCCAAAAAGCAGACGTCGGCTCCAGAACCTACAGCTTCATCACTTTTTCCTCCAATGCTGATCATCTCAACCCGTGGGAGCGGGCTGCAGACCACAAGTTGATCCAACCCGAATCCTCGACCGAGCCAGGAGTTGTGGAAGTTGGCCTCGAGAACCTGATCCGCAACTACGGCACCGCCATCGCCATCCCGCTGCTTTACGGCTCCGATTTCCTGCAGCGCAACCCCCGACTCATCGAGGACTTTTGGAAATTCGACAACGTAGTATTCCCGCTCCGCATGGTCGGCATCCCGGAATGGGCCCCCATCAAGTCGCTAAAAGAAGGCCTCGCCGCGCGGACCCGGGTTCTCGAAGCCTTGCTGTCGCTGTACGAGCGCATCGACAAGCACATCAGGGGCGATGAGTCCCTCGACTGTGACATGTCGGATGTGAGCCAAGTCGCCCTCGATCGATGCAAGTCGTACATGGCAAACGACGTCTCGTTCCGGCACCGAGCCGACATCGACATGGGCCTGCTCTGGGGCCAGAATGCCAACACGCAGCCGCTAATTTACTGGTTCGTCGTCTACGTCTACGCGACGCCGGGCCTGCTCGAGGCCATTCGCGAGGAAATGGCCCCCTACGTTCAGCTCACCACCGACGGCTCTACGCACCACGCACGCATCAGCAAGATCGACTACTCCGGGCTGTCGCGCGACTGCCCCCTGCTGAAGAGTGCCTACCTCGAGACGTTCCGTCACGCCAACGAGCCGTCCTGCTTGCGCTACGTTGGCCGCGACCTCAGCATTGCCGATGGTGAGCAGACGCACCACCTGGCTCAGGGCACATGGATCACGGTGCCTCTCGCCATCAACCAGCGCAGCGCCGCCGTCTACGCCGACCCGACCAAGTTCGCGCCCGACCGCTTCATCGAAACGGACGAGGCCACAGGCAAGCGTGTCGCGCGCTATGGTAAGCTCAAGCCCTGGGGCATGGGCACTGGCATATGCAAGGGCAGAACATTCGCCGAGAAGGAGATCCTGGGCGTCGTGGCGTCGGTGGTGAGTCTGTGGGACTTCGAGCCGGCCGACGGTTCGGCGTGGAGAGTGCCAGATATGAAGCCCGGGACGGGCGTGATGAGGCCGGTGAACGACATTAGGATCAGGGCGAAGAGGAGGGTGGTTTCTTGAAGACGAGCAGGAGAGAAGAGGTGGAGAAGAAAACAAGGCTCACGTCGCACTGGATGGGCCCGTCTCGCGCCTCTTGGTCGTACATGACGGCATTCGGATGATTTGCGCCGCAGCGCACCGATATGTTTCTGTAAAAATACCACACATATAGACCACTCATTGGCACCTCTTTTGCACGCGCGCGCATGCGAGTTATACCCCGCATAGTCGTGTAACCAGCAACATCAACCCCCACCGGATTGCCTATTCGAGTATAGATCGGCCGTGTCGGAGAAGACGGGCTCGACGCAGCCAACATTCTGGACGCCATCCCACTTTCTAACATACTGCAGGACATGCGATAACGCCTTGTGGGTCGAGATTCGCTGACCACGACTCATCTACGCCCGCCAAAGATGGTGCAAGAATCACGTGCGGTGTCGTCATCTACACCATGTACTGTTGCTTGCCTCTTAAGCCCCGCATAACCCCGAGCACTGTTTTCCGATCTGACGGCTGAGTGGAAAATCGTGCCCTTCAGTTCTCCATTTGTTCCCCTCTTCGCTCCTCGCCTCCGCGTCCGGGCCGCGCAACGACTTTTGGACGCTTTCCAACTTGCGCCGACGTCGTTACTCCAACGTTGGAGTTCCACACGAGGAGAAAGCCCAGATTGAAGCTCGCTGGCTGTGCAAACAGCAACGCCATGGTTTCGGCACCTGAGACGAACGGCTATGCGCCACACGCCAATGGCGACGCCAATGGCACAGCGCCGCCGAAGAAGATGATTCTGAACGCCTTTGTTGAGATGTGTAAGTCTGCGTCTTAGTCTCCCCCGCATACACCTTCCGACCCGAATCTCTTCCACGACATAAAGCTTACAAACCCAGGTAGCGGTCACCAATCGCCAGGGCTATGGCGGCATCCCGACGACAAATCGATGAACTTCAACGACATCGAACATTGGGTGGAGCTGGCCAAGACGCTGGAAGCGGGCGGCTTCCACACCATGTTCATCGCCGACGTGCTGGGAGGCTACGACGTGTACAAGAAGAGCCTGGACGAGGCAGTGCGGTCGGGCGCGCAGTGGCCGGTCAACGAGCCGGTGCAGGTGGTGCCTGCCATGGCCGCCGCCACAAAGCACATTGGATTTGGCGTCACCGTGAGCACCACGTACGAGCAGCCTTACCATCTCGCGAGACGCCTGAGCACGCTGGATCATTTGACCAAAGGACGGTGAGTTGCCGAGATTTTTGTTTGCTCCCTTCACGCAACTGCCATTTGCCAGACCACTCCCCACGGACGGACTCGGGGGAAGAAGCGGGAATCAACATGCTGACACGAGCGGAACGACCAGCTGCGGATGGAACGTCGTGACCGGCTACCTCGACTCGGCCGCGCGCAACCTCGGGCGGGAGGCGCAGCCCGAGCACGACGAGCGCTACGCCATGGCCGAAGAGTACATGGAGGTCATGTACAAGCTCTTCCAGTCGTCGTGGCGCGAGGACGCGGTGACGCTCGACCGCGCGCGCGGCATCTACACGCACCCGGACCGCGTGCGGCCCATCCACCACGCGGGCAAGCACTTCACGGTGCCGGGCCCGCACATCTGCCAGCCGTCGCCGCAGCGCGTGCCCGTCATCATGCAGGCCGGCACCAGCCGCGCCGGCACCGCCTTCTCCAGCAAGCACGCCGAGGCCGTCTTCGTCTCGGGCCACAACCCCGCCAGCTGCGCGCGCGGCGTCGCCAGCATCCGCGAGCAGGCCGCCGCCAACGGCCGCGACCCGCGCGCCATCAAGGTCATCGCCAAGATGTGCGTCGTCCTGGGGCGCACCCAGGCCGAGGCCGAGCGCAAGTACGCCGAGTACGCGGCCTACGGCGACGTCGGCGGCGCGCTCGCCCTCTTCGGCGGCTGGACCGGCTACGACATGGACGAGTACGACGACGACGAGGAGCTGCGCCTCGTGCAGACCAACGCCATCCGCAGCTACATGGAGGGCCTGGGCAAGCACCAGCCCAAGGTCGGCAAGTGGACCAAGCGCGTGCTCGCCGAGCACCTGGTCGTCGGCGGCCTGGGCGGGACCGTCGTCGGCACGCCGGAGCTGGTGGCGGACGAGCTGGAGAGGTGGATGCGCGAGGCGGACGTGGACGGGTTCAATATCGTGAGTAGTTCCCTTTTTTTTTTTCATCTCTCTCTCCTTCTCGCCCTCTCTTGACTTCCTTCCCTGACTCCCCCTCTTAACTCCCTCCCCTTCTCCTCTCCCCCTCCTTCTCCTTCTCCTCCTCCCCTTCTGCTCTTTCACACACACACACACACACACACACACACACACACACACACACACCACTCAACCAAAGCTAACCAAAACCCAAAAAGGCCTACGCCATCCTCCCCCAATCCTTCACCGACGTCATCGACCTCCTCATCCCCGAGCTCCGCCGCCGCGGCACCTTCCAGGACCGCTACCCTTTCCCCCCCGGCGCCACCCTGCGCGAGTCCCTGTCCGGCGTCGCCGGCCGCCGCCTCCCCGCCGACGACCACCCCGCGTCGCGCTATCTGTGGAGGGCGCCTCCGCCGCCGCCTGCGACGACGACGACGACGACTTCGTCTGCGTTTTCTTCGCTCAGGGGCCGGTCGAACGGGGATGGGGGGAAGGATCATCGTGGTCATGGGGAGAGGGAGCGGGAGAGGCTGCCGGGGGCGTTTGCGGGACTGGAGGTGGGAGTGGGAGTGGGAGTGGGAGTGGGGGGACTTGCTGGTGGTGGTGCTGGGAAGAAGGTGCATGTCGGTGATGATGGCGTCGTGCCGGCCAGCAGTCGGTATGTGCCGGCTTGGTTGCGGGATGACTGACGGGACGGTGGAGCGGGGTTCTAGATTTGTTGGTCGAAAAATTTGTTTCTACCACCCCCTTTTTTTTTTCTTTTCTTATTTGCTTGACAGAGTGTGTGTGCGAGAGAGAGAGAGAGAGAGAGAGAGAGACGATGATGATGTCATATCATAATATGCGTGGAATGATGGTTGTATTGCTGTATATAGTGCTCATCTACCCCTAATTTACTTGGATAAACCGAGTCCTATGCCTAGATACGAAATATGTGTAGTCTTAAAATTTATATCTCTGTCGAGGTATTATTGAGCTTGAACCGCTCGCGTGGGAGGAGTGGCCGAGAAAAAGTCACACATGTACGTCTGAATTTCGGTATGCTGTTGATGTAATTGGGCTTGTATTTTTCTTTGCAACCAGCCCGCTGCGTGCGTACATATATATGGAATACAGGTGCACATACTGCACTCTCACACCCCTCCCTCCCTCCCTCCCTCCCTTTTCCCTCCCTCCCTCCTTCCTCCTCCCCACCATCCAAAAGAAAAAAGGAGCCCGCACCAACAGTAAAACAACCTAATACACCACCCTCCCATGCCAAAGCGGCATCTCCCTCAACCTCTCCTTCTCCCACTGCACCACGTTCTTCTCGTCCAGCCACGCGCCGTCGTCCCGGACGTCCAGCCCGTCGACCTCGCGCCTCGCCTCGCCAATCTCCCGCTCGCTGATGCGCATCTCGTCGCGCACGATCCACAGCGTCGGCGGCTCGCGCGTGACGACGGGGTTGACGAAGGCCAGCTTCGCGATGGCTTCCGGGTAGGGGGGCACGGGCTCGCGCAGGGACGGGTGCAGCGTCGCCGCCAGCGCGGCGGGCGACTGCGAGTGCGGCGCGAACCAGCGCTGGAACTTGTCCTTGACGCGCTTGTACCTCTCGTGGCCGTAGATGTCGTTGATGCGCGAGGGGTGGTGCATGGAGCCCGCGCGGTGGTTGGTCCGCCCCGAGCGCGCGGCGTGGTCGGGCGCGAGGAGGGGTTGCGTCTCCGGGTGCTGGCTGGCGGCTTGGTCGTTGCGGGCGTTGTCGTTGTTGTCCTTCTTCTTGTCCTTCTTGTCGTTTTTGCCGTTTCCGGAGCCCGAGGGAGAAGGGGAGGCCGAGGCGGATTCGACGCGGGCCTCGTAGTCGGCCTCCGTCTCCGCGAGAAGGTTGCGAGGCAGGAGCTCGGTGAGCGGCGTGAGCGTCTCACGGATGAGATACTGGTAGAGGATGGTGGCAAAGAACAGGATGACTATGAGAATGAGCGGCCCGTTTGCACTCAGGTCGCCACTGATGCGGGTCGAGAACAAGCCGATGAGGCAGAGCTCGGCGATGTAAATGCCGACGGTCAGCTGCTGAAGCGCCTGCGCGTAAAAGGCGCCCTTCGTGTCGATATCGGTGGAGAAGACGTAGAAGAAGTTGTACCGCATAGCCAGGTAAATGAAGACGAAGCCGACAGTTGCGAATCCAAGAACTAGCGGTGCGACGCACGAATAGCTGATGGCGATGACTGCCAGGTTCGTCCACTTGGCGCACTCTGAGCCGTACCCAGGGTTGTCCAGCGACACGTACTTGACGAACGACTCCCTAGGGGTGGCGTACGGCCAAATGCGAGGCAGAACCTCGTCCCAGAACAGGCCAAGAGGGTTGAAGACATGCTCAGCGCTGATAGCAATACCGTACAAGACGAAGTAAGAGATGTAGAAGTTAGAAGCCTTGGGGAGGTTCTCGGCAAGCAAAGCAGGTGCTAAACGAGGTTCGCGTGCAATCTGGCCGATTACAGCTGTTGCTCCAGACGAGAACGTGGTGACGAGGAAGACCTGGATCAACGAAAACACGAAGAAATATGTCTGTGTGCGCAGCTCCACGTGAGACAGAGTGACAGCACCCGACTGCCTGGCAATGTCTGCGAAAAAGTCAGTGAGTTTGCGATTTAGACGAGGGTGAATACCTACATCTGTAGAAGCGGGGGACCAAGCTTTGGATGAACGACAGCAGCAAAGAAGGCAGAAGACCAGTCAAGAGACCCAGTTGCTTGCCGTTGAGGTTCTTGAGCCAGGCCAGCCACGTGTATTTCTCCGAAAGATAGTTCAGGTTCGAGATGGTACCAATAAAGGCCACCGGGATACCCCAAAAGATGGTCAAGAGGATAACAAATGCAAAAGCGAGTAGCTTTCGGCCGAGCGCTTCCCAATCAGACATACGCAAGTTCTTCCACAGAACTTCGTTGGGGTGGACTCCGACCTGGCGGGGAACAATGCGCTCCGGATGATTGAAGGAGACCAAAGAGAAGGCGGCCTGAGCAGCAGACTGCGTTTCGAATTCGATGAAGACGGCACCGAGAAGCTTGGCGTCGCCGTCGAGGCGCAGCTTCTGGGCGGCCCTGACCGACGGGATCATTTTGCGCAAGTCCTCTTGACATTCGGCGATGGTGTCGAATTTGTTTCCCCAGATGAAATCGAACTTGTCGTGTCTGTGCTTCGGACGGCGGGTGATGGCCAGCCAGTGGTCTGTGTCATGATCGTCCGGGTTCGCTTTGGGGTCCTTGACCATCTTCAACCTCTTCGCGTTGGCGGCCCGGATCAGCTTGATCTCGGCGGCCTCCAATTTCAGGGCGGTTTTGTCCATCTTCTCGACCATCTCCTCCAGCTCTTTGAAATCTTCGACGAGCCAGACTGTCTTGACTTCATCAAAGAGGTTCTTGATCCTTTGCTTGTCACAGTAATGCTTGGGCACGGAAGTGAAGAGCACAGTCCGGGATGAGATCTTGCTCGAGTTCCACGGCGAGAGCAGGTAGGCTTGGCGCAAGTGGATGAGGAAAATGGTCTCTCGGGTGATCATGAACAGAACGAAGCCTGAATTGCTCAGTACCTGGCAGAAGGTGACGGATTCAACGAAGCTTACCAAAGAAGACCCAGGCCACAATGGCGTGAGCCCAGTAGCGCTTTGGGTCGGCAACATTGCTGAAGGACAGGATGTCGAGTTGCTTTTGCCCGCCTCCTCCGGTTGCGTTGATGGGGATCAGAATGGATCCAACGAGCAAGAAGCCGAAGAAGCACGTGACGACGATAATCTTGAAGAAGCGCACGTACAGGTAAGCGTCCAGGGACTGCCAGTTGAGGAGGTCCGTGTCCTCGAAAGTGGTGAAGTACTTGAGCCAAGCCAACGGCTTGTCGGGGTCGGACGGAGTCTTCTCTCTGGGGAGTGGTGAGATCATGTCCAGCTTGCATGGGCTTTGGCAGACTTACTGCTCTGTCAGAGTGTCGATGAAAGTTCTCGGAGCGTACAAGCGGCGGAGCTTGCTCCGGAGCAGGACGAAAATAGTAAGCAAGACGAAGGCCAGAAGGACCGAAGGGATCAAGGTGTAGATCAGGCTGTCGATGGACGAAGACTTGTTACGATGGCTGCCGCCAGCCTCGGGAACCTTGGCGGGTCAGCAACGAGGATTTCAAGAGCAATACAAGCGGTTTAGCGAGGGGCCCTCGTATTGATTCTGAAGGCTTCAATTCCCACTTACTTTGGAGTGGTTTTTCAGAGTTCCAAAGAGGCCGTCGGCGACCAGCGGGGCCTGGAAGGCAGCGTGATCCATCATGGTATAAAATGTCAACAGCTCTCGCCGTAAGCCAAGCAGGCCGAACGAGCTGAACGAGGGATCAGACCAGACCCTGCGGCAACAGTCTCACTGGTGTTGGCGCGATTGAAGAGGGCAGCAGCACTGGCCCGGGGAAAAGAGTTTTCAGTGATGGGCGAGGCGCATGGTCGAAAGAGCGGTGATGATGGTGTTTGCTCGCTGGACTGCAGCCGCGTCGCCTCAGCTGCGCACGAGCCACGCGCCCGGATGATGTAATCCACTCGCTGCACGCACGACCGGGGCTCTCAGCCACCCAAAAGTCGTGGCCGCGCACCGCCCTTCGTATCACGAGTAATGTCAAAGTCAAAGTCAAAATCCGTCATTGAAAGACATAAACTATGTACAGCCAGAAGCTTAAACGTCCCTTTCCGCTCTCCCCTCGGCTTAGTTGAGGTAGAGATCAATGGCATCGAGGATCTGTGTACGCCGTTAGCACCACTGCCGGGTGTCGATGCAATGCGGGTGGGAGGGCTTACAAAGTTGGGCTGGAGGTACGTGTCCGCCGAGCTTCCCGAGATGCACTCGATGGTGATGGTGTTGGACCCGGACACGAGGTTGCCGGCCGGGATGTTGAACGTGTAGATCTCGCCGAGACCCCTCCAGGTGCCACGCGTGACGCCGCGCGAGTCGATCTTGGTCGGCGCGCTCGGCGCCGTCGGGCTGTAGCTGTTGATCTTGACCGACGGGCGGCCGCTGGCGAAGGCGAGCGTCGTGCCGATCCGGAGCGTGGCCGCGCCCGTCTGCGACGAGCTGAGCGTGAACTTGATCGTCAACGGCGAGTTGACCCCCTTCCAGATGGCCATGGGCACGTCCGTCAGCGCGCTGGAGCCGACCGTGTACGTCAGCGGGCCCCAGCTGGCCATGCGGCTGTCCGACGGGTGCATGCGCTCGATCTTGTCCGCGTTGAGGAATCCTTCGGGCTGGCCGTCCCAGTCACCGATGGTCCAGAGCGTCGTGGGGAAGGAGAAGGTGGACGCGATGTTCTTGGTGGCCGTCGAGCCCGCGCTCACCGTGACCGAGTCGGTGGCGACCTTGAGCTCGTCCTGGTACAGCACCTGGGTGTAGGTGCCGGGCTTCATGGCGGGCGACGTGAAGGCACCGTTGGACGCGGCAGTGGCCCAGTACTGGGCAGCATCGTTGTACCAGTGGACAACCTTCGCAAACTTGCTGTCAATACCCGAAGCAGTGCCCGTGACGTAGCCACGGCCAGAGGTAGCGACGTAGCCCTGCAGGCTGAGGTTCTCGAAGAACGACGCATCAAAAGTGCTGGGAACACCAGAGCGACTGAACTGCAGCTGGTAGGGGCCGTGGAAGCCCATGCGGTAGCTCTCGGTCTGGGCGTGGTTCGAGTTCATGTAGAAGTAGAGGTTCGTCGAGTCGCCCGCGTTGTTGGTATTGATATCCCTGAAGAAGGGACCGCCGCTGGATCCCTCGTAGGAAAGAGGCTGGAGGATCATGCAAGCGTGGATCGCATCGTCGTCGCGGTACACGCACTGCACCTTGTCGTCGATGAAGCGCTGGCTGGAGTAGAACTTGCTACGGGTCTGGCCATCCACCACGAAAACATCCGATCCCTCGACCGTGCTGCTGCTGCCGGCAGTGGTCGAAGCAACGCCAAAAGGATATTCGAGAGGAAGCTTCGATTGGTCGAGACGGGCGATGAAGCGGGCTTCACCAATCGAAGGCTCTGCGCTGAAGTAAGTGCCCATGTACAGCGCACTCTCTCCCGACTTCACGATGATGTAGTGAGTCAAGGTGCTGGTGGCGCAAGTGATCTTGGCGATGTTGCCTGTGGGCCGTCAGTGGTGCAAGAGACAAGGATTGGGAACGGATCTACATACTGTCGACGATCTCCGAGCTCACGGTCGCGGATCCGAGGCCAGACGAGATGTGAGAGCCCTTGCCCGAGTATTGGAATTCCTCCCCGCGGTACTTGATCGAGGTGATGTCGCAGCTGGAGCTGGAAATGGTGACAATGAACGGATTGGCCGAGCCTGCATCGACGACATAGCTGGAAGACGATTTGGTAACGCCAAAGGCGGCCAGCGCAGAGGATGTGAAAAGGGAGAGAAAGGCCAAGAATAAAGTAAAGAGTGCCATTGTGGCGGTGCCCTCCAATGAGGGATAAGGATTGCGATGGGTGAAGGAGCCGTGACGAACAGCTAGAGCATGGCAGGCCCAGCCCCTGCTTTTGTAGTCCTCGGTGTGTGTGGAGAGAGTGTGGCGTCTACCCAGACGGCACGGGGAGGTTCAGGCATCTTGGCCCGTGGGAGGAAGTGGCTCATCTCGGTACGGAGAAAAAGGATGTTGGAGTGCACCTGTAAACACGCTCCACAAATCAGGTGCGGGCGGAAGCCGACGGTAGCGGGCGTGGGTTGATGTTTCACAACACCACCGCTCGCTAGTTTATTGGGCGGGGCCATTCTCGCAAGACACTGCAGGGAACAAGGCCAGAATAGTACGATCTCCGGCTCACGTGTGTAAACAACTAGGCTTTACATCCGGGCGGAACGAGCTATTCCGGCACGGCGGGACAAACTTCTGCAGGCACAGGCAAAACCTGGGGTGCAGGCGATGATGGTTATGGATGCCAGGCTCAAAGAGGGAGCTCGCTCGGGAGAAAGCAGGCCGAGGTGTGCTGGAAGCATCCTGCTCCCACATGGTGTGCAAGCATCCGGTGGGCTGGATGCCAGCGCGCTGGTGCTTCGAAAGATCGGGCCAGCATCGCACAATAAAGGAGTCGACCAATCCACACAGGCCGGATCCCTGTCCCATATGCCAGATGTTTTAAGGTTGGGGTGTGAGCAAGCTTGGCGACGCACGATCCCAGCGGAGCATGGGTTCTATTGCGGGAGGGTGGGCCGGGATCCCTAGGGACCGGAGATAGAGTATGCTTAGCCTCTAGGCAAAAGCAGTGTCCGTTTCTGGCGGCTGGACTCAGGGCGCCCGTAATTCCACCGCGGAGCAGCGGTGCGACTTTGCGACATTCGTGGGATTATTCGACAGTGAGATCCGGCCCGCATCGCGCTGGATCTTTAGCCTTACGGGCCCACCTGCTGATATGAGGAGGAGTTTCGGCATTGACTGGCCCCAAATCCGAGAAGGCGTCAAGGGCGAGCTGGTCGGAATGCGTACCGTTCCTGCGGTGGGGTTTGTTCATAGCCTGCTCGGACCCAGCGGGGCCTCCCTGCGACGAGCCACAGGCTTGGCAGGTTTTATCCGGTAACCCGCACCGTAGCCGACGCTGGGCGCGACTGGAACGGGACGCTGAGCTCACGGACGCAGCATCGACACGGCATTGACGAATAATGCCGAAGACACCCCATCCGTTCGCCTGCCGCGTGGGAAACCTTGGTCTCGGGAGTCGAGGGAACGGAAACGATTATAAAAAGTAGATGACCTGATTGGTATGACGGCTCTGCCCATTGCCAACATCGACTTACCTCTGGCAAGTGTTTGGTGGGCGGATGGGCTGTGAAACACCAACGACTTTGCTGAAACAAGGTGGGGTCAGGCACCGAAAGACGGCCGAATCCAGCGCTTGCGTTTGGCGCATCGCATGCTGCGGCTGACAGGAGAAGCAAGTCCTGAAAGGGGAAGGTGGTAGTCTACCGGAAAGACAATCTGTCATACGTGACTGACTATGGGTCTGATTCGGCACAAGTCGTCAAAAGGATAAAAACACATCGTGTAGAAAATGGCAGGTACCACAGCCGGAAAGCCGAAGCCATCAGACAAGTCGTGCCCCACTTCTTTGTTTTCAGCCATGGTTTCCAGAGGGTTAGCCTTCTCTACACAGTAGGTACAGTGCTCGGTAGTCTTTCTGATCAGCATGCGAATACCCAAAGTACTTGTTTGTCAGTACAACAGCCTCGGCTGAAACCGCTCGGCCTGCGAAACTTACAATCCCAAGAAAGCATGTACTGGTCAGGCAATGTAACAGCGTGGCATGTCTGCGGCATCTGAGAAGTCAGTCACAGACTTCTGACACATGCAGTGAACATGCCACAGTGGATTTCAGATAACATGGGCCCACTCACGTTGGCAGTAGGAGCAAAAATGTGACCTTCCCAAGCCCTCATATGTGGCAGTCGACATAAATTTGCATCCGTACACGGGCTCAACTGCCCACGTAAGTCATAGGTCAGACCACCTTCTCGCAACACAGTGGGGATGAACAGGTGTGCCTCGGCGACATAGCGGCGTTGTGTCTCCGTCATTCCACTCCACTGTCATCTTTGCTCAAATTTGGAAGGATTGAATTGTTTCTAGATCATCTAGCGGAGAGCGGTCAGAAGTCGTGCTCCAGTATCCATGGGCGCATCGGTATATCTGCAGCAATATCGTTCCGTGTCATTCAATTCACTATTGCATCGTGATGCGTCGTTGCGACAGTGGGCCCAGTGTGGTGCCGGGGTTCAGGCGGAAACGCCGATGAAGACAGTCATTGCCTTCACCGCGTCACCGTCGTGAGCCTTCAGAAGCTCGATGGCTTTGGGCTTGGCCAACTCCAGCTGCTCGACCTGCAACGAAGCGCATTAGCAGCTGCGCACGCTGCCGGGCAGCGGCGGGGGATGTACCAGCAGAGTGACGTCTGCGGGATCGACCTTGACGGTCTTCTTGGCTTCCTGCGGCTTGTTCTGGTCCTTCACATCCAAGTTCTTCATGGCCTTACCCAGAGCCTCGGTGTCAACGTTCTTCTTCGGAGCGCCGTCGTCGTCGCGCTGGGCGGCGTCCAAGGTCGACATGGCCGCCTGCGCCTTGCGGTCCTCGGCCGAAGCGGGAGCGGGCGGCTGGCCGGCACCCTCGTGCACGCCTGCGGGCTGGGGTTCCTCGGCCATGGTACGAAGCGGAGTTGGGTGGTCAAGCGGGAGATGGATGTCAGAGATGCGGGAGCTCGCAGCGGGCGGGCGCAGCGGGAAAACGTCACGGCTCCAAGCAAGCTAGGTAGCGAGCGAATCGCGGCTTGCATCGGCACGCCAGTTTATGGCTGGTCGCGGCCGCGCTCTTCTGTCATGCCACGGTTACAGTCATCCAACCAATTCTTCCTCGCCGTCGTTCTTTCTCCCTTCCTTCCGCACTCCGACTCTTGTTGAGGACAGCCATACTGCGGCTCCGGGTTGTTTGCGTCGACGCTTTCACGAGACGCCTGTCTGCGCTGCGTTTCTCTCGTCTCGCGGGGCGTGCGTGTCAGCCAGCTGGGTCAAGCATTCCAGACACCCACCACCGAGGTACCACACTTTCCTTCAGCCTCCTCTGTTTCTCCAGCTGCTATAAATCTTCCCACATGCGCCTGCCGCTTTTCCCTCACCTGCACGACGTTCGCTATCCCGTGTTCCTCTGCGAAATTTCCATTTCCCTGCCATCGGCTGCCTGTTCTGATCATGCCTGTGTTTTGCCTGCACTCGTTTGCAGTACCTCTTGCATTCATCTTCCTTCTGGTCCTTGTGTGGCGCGAGGTTCGCAAAGCCCGCGCCCACTACGAGTCTCTGCACCCTTCCGAGAAGACAGTAGCCCTCGCGATTTGTCGGGCCGCGCGCCAAACAGAGGAAGAGATAGGCTTCGACGCACACGTACATCTGAAGGCCTTTCTACATCTGCTTTCACTCGCTAATTATCCCGGCGCAGAACGAGAAAGCCGAAGTTTCCGCGTGGAGCAACGCGTCTCCCGTCTACAAGCACGTCCGAAAAGACTCGAGGCTTGACTAGCTTCGTGACCGAACATGACCAATTCGACCACCTCACCCAACGGCGCTGCGGCCGACTGGAACCCGTCATGTACGCCTACCCGAACTCGTTGAAGGATCGTTCTGACTCTCGCAGCCTGGCGCTCAAAGCCCATTGTGCAGGCCATCAACTATCCCGACCCCACTGGCCTTGATCCAGCACTTGACAAGCTTCGCAACGTGCCCCCAATCGTGACTCCCACTGAAATCACGAAGCTCCGTTCCCACCTCAGGCGGGTTGCTCTTGGCGAGGCCTTCTTGCTTCAGGGTGGAGATTGTGCCGAGCTCTTCTCCTACTGCCAGGATGGCGCTATTGATTCCAAGATCAAACTCCTACTCCAAATGTCATTGGTTCTGATTTGGGGCTCCAACAAGCCGGTTGTCCGCATCGCACGCATGGCCGGCCAGTATGCCAAGCCGCGCTCAAGCGCCATGGAGAAGGTCGACGGCGTCGAGATGCCGAGTTTCCGTGGTGACATTCTAAACGGCTTTCCCCAGGACCAGCGGACTCCGGATCCCGACAGGCTTGTCCAGGCCTACTTCCACTCTGCTGCCACGTCCAACTACGTCCGGGCACAGCTGTCCAGCGGCATTGCTGACCTGCACAATCCATTCGATTGGAGCCTGGGGCACGTTGGAGACGACAAGTTGCAGGAGCAGTATTCGAAAATCGTCGGCAGCATAACCGAGTCGCTGCGCTTCATGCGCACCATTGGCGCCGATACTGCTGGCCAACTGGAGACTGTCGAGCTCTACACCAGCCATGAAGGCCTCGTGCTCGAGTACGAAGAAGCTCTCACGCGCCGCCTTCCTCGGCCAAGGAACGCTGGAGCCCGGACCCAGGTTCCTCCCGGCGACGACGGCAAGGCCTGGTACAACACGTCTGCGCATTTCCTTTGGGTCGGCGATCGCACCCGCCAACTGACCCACGGCCACGTCGAGTACTTCCGTGGTATCGAGAACCCTATCGGCATCAAGGTCGGGCCGTCGATGAAGAACGAAGAACTCATCGAGCTTCTCGACATCGTCAATCCGGACAAGGAGATTGGCAAGGTTACTCTCATCACGCGCTATGGAGAGGACAAGGTGGAGAAGATGCTCGGAGGACATATCGAAGCCGTGCGGAACAGCGGCCATGTCGTGGTCTGGCAGTGCGATCCTATGCATGGGTAAGTGTGGATACGTTCAGGGATGATGGCTGCTAACACGCAACAAAGCAACACGCGTTCCACCGAGTCGGGCATCAAGACGCGCCACTTCTCTTCCATTTTCTCCGAAGTTGCTTCTGCCCTCAAGATCCACCAGCAGCTTGGATCATTCCTCGGAGGAGTGCACCTCGAGCTTACTGGCGACGCGGTCACCGAGTGCCTTGGCGGCAGCGAGGGTCTTGGAGAAGCGGAACTGAGCTTGAATTACACGACTTACTGCGACCCGCGTCTTAATGAAAAGCAAGCGCTTGAGCTGGCTTTCCTGGTTGCCGGTCACTTTCGGGGGAAAGAGGGTAGTAAGTGAAGTGTTGACATGCGGTAAGATATCGGCGGTGTTAATTGGACAAAAAAAATTGGGTTCCGGATTTCAAAAGCATTTGCGTGGTAGGGAAAGGATACTAAAAGTATGGTGATACCCGACCTGGAACTCCCCAATCGCTAAGGGCGTGCAGGTTGTGTGACGAATTCTATAGGCCGACAATCAAGAACACCCATGGCGATGACAAGACCAATGTTGCAGGATATGTATGTGCTTGATGAAGAAAACCTGATCGGCCGATAGCGGAATTCCCGCTGCTCTTCGGCTCACATCCTTGCGTTCCCTGTACCTGCGCCAGGCCTCTTGATGCGTCGCTAGCTACAGAAATGCAAGACTTGGGCGATCCAGCTAGCAGAAATCTCGCACACGATTCCGATTAGAAGACTGACCGTGCAAAGAACCCACAACGCCGTCGGCTGTACATGCCTAAACGAGGAAGGAGCTTGGGCCCAGCATGTTATCTCTCGCGTCCGACACTCACTATCAGCGCCCCAGACCCCACTATGCCGCCTTGCTGCATACACTGCACGAGACGGCGTTATCAATCAACTGCTCTCTCGTGCCACAGTTGCCGTCATGCCGAGCATTCAAATACCTTCACCGCGCTGCTGCTTGCTTCGCTCTTTCACACCACCACACCGCTGCTGTCCCTCGCATTGACCAGCGACACTTGACAACCCCTGTGCGGCACACACTTACTGCATACACATACCTTCACCGAACCAACCATGGCTTCGCCATCCCCCGTCCCCAACGGCAAGCCCTGGCAAGAAGTCGCCGCAGCCGTCCAGGCCCACCGCGCCGCGACCCTCGCCGCCGTCGAGCCCCCCCTCCCCAAGCTCGACGACCCTCTGCCCCGCAACACCACCTCCCTCCCCGCCAAATACCTCACCCCCGACGAAGTCTCCATCACCGAAACCAGCCCCGAATCCCTCCTCTGCTCCCTCGCCAACGGCACCCTCACCTCCACCGCCGTCACGCGCGCCTTCCTCCGCCGCGCCGCCCTCGCCCAACACGCAACCAACTGCCTCACCGAACTCCTCCCCACGCGCGCCCTCGCCCGCGCCGCCGAGCTCGACGCCCACCTCGCCGCCCACGGCACCCCCATCGGGCCCCTCCACGGCCTCCCCATCTCCGCAAAAGAACACGTCGCCATGACGGGGCCCGGCGAAGCGGGCGCCCCCGCGCTCAAAACCAACGCCGGCTTCTGCGCCTGGGCCGACCACGAACCGCCGCAACAGGCCCTCATCCTCGACCTCCTCCACGCGGCGGGCGCGGTGCTGTACGCGCGCACGGCGCAGCCGCAGACGCTGATGCACCTCGAGACGTCGAGCAACGTGCTGGGCGGCGCGACGACGAACCCGTTCAACGCCGCGCTGACGGCGGGCGGCTCCAGCGGCGGCGAGGGCGCCCTCGTCGGCTTCCGCGGCAGCTGCCTCGGCATCGGCACCGACATCGGCGGCAGCGTGCGCAGCCCCGCCGCCAACTGCGGCGTCTGGGGCCTGCGGCCGACGGCGTATCGTCTGCCGAATGCGGGAGGCGTCGCGACGATGAAGGGGCAGGAGCAGGTGGTGCCGGTTGTGGGGCCGTTGAGCACGAGTTTGGAGGGCGTTCGGGTGTTCGTCAAGACGCTGGTGGATGCGAGGCCGTGGCTTAGGCAGGTCGATTTGGTGCCGATGAGGTGGAGGGATGACGAGGATTGGCTGGCCAAGGGACCGGGCGGGAAGAGGGGGTTGAAGGTGGGGGTGATGTGGGATGATGGGGTGGTGAGGCCGCATCCGCCGGTGCTGAGGGCGATGAGGGAGCTGGTGGATAGGTTGAAGGTGGCGGATGGGGTGGAGGTGGTGGAGTGGACGCCGTACAAGCATGACCTTGCTTGGGAGATCATTGTGAGTTTATTTTCAGCTTTCTTTGGGGGATCTATCGTCAGCTTCATCTTCGATTCCGCTCTTTTGAAGGTTTGATATCCGATTCTGACAAGGGTTCTTAGGCAAGCCTCTATTTCAGCGATGGTGGCCGGGAGGAGGCAGCAGCAATCGACGCTTCCGGTGAACCCTGGCGGCCACTCTCCAAGTTCATCCTAAAGGAGAATCCGCACGTACCCAAGGAGCCTTACCCGATCACTGAGGTCTGGCGTCTCACAAGACTGCGGGAGCAGTATCGCGGAGATTACTCGGCGCACTGGAATGCAACGGCCACGAAGGACGACGGCTCGGACATGGTGGACGTCATTATCTGCCCCGTCGGCCCCGGCGCCGCACCTCCTCTTGACAACGCCAAGTACTGGGGCTACACGAGCCAATGGAACCTGCTGGACTACCCATCGCTCAGCTTCCCGGTGAGTCGGAACAGATTGACCATGTGCGAGGACAACGCATGCTAACCTGCAGCAGGTCACGGAAGTCGACCCCGCGATCGATGTCAAGGACGAAACTTACAAGCCGCGTAACGACCAGGATGACTTCAACCACAAGCTTTGTATGCTGCCCAAGCTCTTGCCTATTTCTCCACTCCTATACAGTCTGCTGATTTCTGTGACACAGATGAGCCCGAGCTCTACCGTGATGCGCCAGTCAGTTTGCAACTGGTGGGCAGGCGCTTCGAGGATGAAAAGGTATTGCAAGCCATGGAGTACATCGTGGAAAAGACGGGTGTACCTTTCGCCGGGTTCGGTGTAAAGAAGGCGTAGAGATGAAAGAGCCGAAGGAGTAGACGACAGATTTCCCACTTGGGGTCGAAATGTATTGGAGCGGATTTAGACCTGGCCGCATGATATTCTCGAAGCCGCAATCCTTTCGCGGGGCTCTAGACCAGCAATCCGCTTCGGAAAACGGAAGGCTTACGCGCCGTTCACATTCCTATGGGTTAAGTTGTCATGCCGCAGCTGCAATTAATAGCGGAGTCGGCGCAGACGCCTTCAGAACCAGCCCTCAACAGTTATTGCCGGCGGAAGGCACTGCTTGTGCTACCATGGCCTAATACCGGCCCGTTTCAGCCAAACATGCAACGTCGCGTATAACTAGTCAGAGACACATTACAACCAAGCGGCGCACGGCATATGCGGACATCTAGTCTATGGGGCACTCACCATCCCCGTCCGTTCCCCATGGCCGATGCTCGAGGCGCAAGGGTTACAGCGCGGTCTGTTTCAACGTCACCACTCGCCCGCTGTCATCCAAGAGATGACAGAAGCTCTAATGCGGTGGCGGCAGAGCGCGGGGGCGGCGTCCGTGTCACGGCTGCGTCAGTATCGCGGTTTGCCTAATCAGGTAATCCCGCACCATGATCCGCCGGGAGCAGTTACGTGGGGCGCTCGGCGCTGGCCTTTGCTCGTTGCCCCCCCTTCTTTTCTCTCTTCTCGGTGGGAGGGGCTCGTGCAGGAAGTGGATTTCTTGCCATGGCAGTTGGTGAGGAAGAGTATGATTTGCCCGTGCCACGGCAGCAATTGTCCACACGACCCAACTTTCCGTCCTGTGCCCAACCGGAACCCAGATTCGGGCATCCCGGACGGGCGGTAGCTCGAGCTTCTCCTCCTTTCCCCCCTCTTCCTCTGTGAGCTGCGGTGGCTTGGACGACGAGCAAGGGGGGAAATCGACAGCGCGTAACGGCGCGGCTCTCAACGAACTGACGGGACGGAATCAGACCGCGTGACGAGGCGCTTTCCTTCCCTTATGTGCTGGCGGTCTAGGCAGAAGGTCAGAAGCCGCGAGTAAGTAGTTCGTTGGCTTTGCTTGTGGGGCGGAAGCTATATAAAGCAAAGGCTCGTTCCCTTGGGGAAGGGTTGAGAACATGCAGTCTGCATCTTAACTCGGCCATTAAACTTTTGACAGGCCTTCCCTCCCCCTTGCGTTGATCTTGCTTGCACGCGAGCGTCCACACCAGATCTACACAACCGGGGAATCCAGACAACGATACTCTTCCCGCACCCAACTCCATAGAGGTGCGACTACTGCTTTCATTATACAAAATACCGTTTGATTGTCCACACAAGGGGGGGGATTCCATCCGCCGTGCGCATAGAGCCACCTAAAATTTCCAAACAGAGTAGTCCGCCAATCCCAGTTCGCAATCAACAAAGCCTGCATCATGCCGCCGCCGCCGATCAGCCTCCTTCCCCGCGCCCTTCTCCGCACTTTCGCGGCGCGGACGTCGCCGTCCGCATCGCCGGCAAGAACAGCAACCGCAACCGTCCAGTCATGCCGCAGCTTTTCCGCTTCCGCTCGCACTGCTCGCAGTGGCGCTTCCAAGGATGACACGAGTAGTACTACAGCGGCGCCGCCGCCGCCGCCCGCCGCGGACAAAGCGAGCACGGCGACGGCGTACCTGGGGACGCAGAAGCGGCTGCCCGAGTTCAGTTTGAGGGACAGGGTGGTGTTGGTGTCGGGCGGGGCGCGGGGGCTGGGGTTGACGCAGGCGGAGGCGTTGTTGGAGGCGGGTGCGACTGGTGAGTGCTCTTTTTTTTTTTTTCTTTCTCTTTCCTTTTCCGTTCTCCCCCTTTTGTTTGCTCCGCTCTGTTTATTTCGTGAAGAAGAAAAGGGGAGGTTTCCGTGATGCTTCGTGGGAAGGTCTGCAGCCTTTACGTATAGTGGGAGAAGAGGCGGAAGACTTAGAACGAGAAAAAGGGACGATCAAAGGGAAAGATGTTAAATGCCCCCAAGTGACTGACAACTCCACAACCCAGTCTACGCCCTCGACCGCCTCCCCACCCCTTCGCCCGCCTTCGCCCCCATCCAAGACCGCGCCCGCACCCAGCTCGGCACCAGCCTGCACTACCGCCAGATCGACGTGCGCGACGCCACCGCCCTGACCGACATCGTCGCCCGGATCGGCGACGAGCACGGCCGGCTGGACGGCCTCGTCGCCGCGGCGGGCATCCAGCAGGAGACGCCCGCGCTCGAGTACACGGCCGAGGACTGCAACCGCATGCTCGAGGTCAACGTGACGGGCGCCTTCATGACCGCCCAGGCCGCCGCCAAGCAGATGATCAGGTTCGGCAACGGCGGGAGCATCGTCATGATCGCCAGCATGAGCGGGACGGTTGCGAATAGGGTGAGTAAAGCAGTGCGGTGATTCGATGGTGGTTTCTCGTTCTTTTTTTTTTCCTCTTTTCCCTTTCTCGGCAACATTTCCATCACACAATATCGACCCCCTTCCCTCCCTTCAAACAAACAGGAAAAAAAAAAAAGAAAAACAAACAAACAAACAAACAAAAAACCCCTACAGAACATTCCTGACCCCAGATCCCCCACAGGGCCTCATCTGCCCGGCCTACAACGCCAGCAAGGCCGGCGTCATCCAGCTCGCGCGCAACCTGGCCTCGGAGTGGGGCGCGCACGGCATCCGCGTCAACACGATATCGCCCGGCTACATCGTCACCGCCATGGTCGAGGAGCTCTTCCGGCAGTTCCCCGAGCGCCGCGCCGACTGGCCCACGCAGAACATGCTCGGCCGCCTCAGCGCGCCGGAAGAGTACCGCGGCGCCGCCGTCTTCCTCGTCAGCGACGCCAGCAGCTTCATGACGGGGGCGGACCTGAGGATGGACGGCGGGCATGCGGCGTGGTAGGTGGGGAGAGGGAGAGAGAGGGAGAGATGGAGAGAGAGGGAGAGATGGAGAGAGAGAGACGTCCTGAAGATTCATTCAAGTAATCATCATCATCGTTTGAGCGAGGCGCTTGGTATAGTATGGTATATGATCGAAACACAGAGAATCTCCTGGCAGCAACAAGACCATGTCCTACCTACATTACAACGTATACAAATATTCCTAGCTCTTGATTTCGTTAAGAGTAGAGATGCGATGTCGCGTACTATGGGTGCTTCATTGACGATGCACCAAAAACCAAGAAGAGTCGAGATTGGTTGTTCCGCAGCTCATTCGCCGAATTACAGCCAATTCTTCCGGGCGAGCCTCAGAATAAGTCTGAAGCGGAAGCTGCGTCCTCCAACGCTTCCATGCCCGACGGCCAGCTGTGACCTCCAGATGGCATCGAACGAATGCCTGAGCTTAGCTTCCAAAAGCTTCAGGCCGGGGGGGGACCACATCTCTCGACCAACAAGGAAGGACTCTGCGAGCACAGCCGAATCCGCGAGTCGTCGCGCTGCTCCCCATCCACAGCATCCATCTAGTGTGGAGCAAACTTTCCGCCACCCACTACCCACTCTCCGACATCGGGGCCCTACGCCCTCCCCTCCCTCTCCTCCCCTCCCCACAACCCACACCTCCCCCACACCTCCCCCACACCCAAGCAGGCCGAGAACCGCAAAGTCCCACCCCCCCCACCAAAAAGAACACCACTGCTGCGGGCCGGACAGTCCAGTCCAGTCCAAGCAGCAGCCCCTCACACTCACACCCACACCCACACCCACCTGATCCCCCATCCCCCCTCAATCAATCACACCGCCTCCACCACCCCCCTCGGCCCCAACCCCTCCAACACCCCCTCCCTCAACCCCAACTGCCGCTCAATCTCCGCCGGGGCCCTCCCCCTCTGATCCCTCAAAATCAACACCTTCCGCAGCTCCACCACATCCAAAAACCTGCGCCCGGGGGCCCCGCGCCTGCCCAACTCCGCAAACTCGCGCTCCGCCTCCAGCGCGATCCGCTCGCGCGCCGACAGGATCGTCAGCGCCGGGTTGAGGGTGCGCGGGGGCAGGGGGCCGCCGGTGGGGGGGCCGAAGGGGGTGGGGCCGGTGGAGAAGTCGGGGAGGTTGTTGCTTGTGGTGTCTTTGCTGAGCTTGTTGTTTGATGTCGTCGCGTCGTGGCGCCGGGAAGAGGTCGGGGGGAGGGAGGAGGAGACGGTGGTGCTGGGTTCGGGGGGTTGGCGGTGGGGCTCGTAGGGCGAGGTGGACGAGTTGGAGGTGTAGGGGTTGGAGGCGACGGGGCCGAGGGAGCGGAGCTGGGCGGCGAAGGCGGGGTCGGCGGCGTCGTGGTTGATGGCTGTGTGGTGGTGGTGTAAGTTGGTAGTTTTTCTTTTTGCTTGGGTGCTTGGAGAATTGGGTGGGTGGGTGGTGGATTTTTCGCGCGCGTATATGCGTACCTTCGTCTCTTGTCTCGCTGATTTGGGGCTGCGGGCGCACGGTAGGTCCTGGTTGCGAAGCGCGGCCGGCTGGTGTGGGCTTGGGGGCGTTGGTTGCGGCTTTGGAGGCGGCTTTGGGGTAGACTCGAGCGGCGCTATTAGCGGCGCGCGACGCCTTGGATGCGGAAGAGCCCATTGCGACGGCGTAGAGGTTACGGTATGTACTGAGAGGGTGGAACGGGGGAGAGAGAGAAAGGTGGATGACGGCGGCGACTGGAAAGTCCATGATGCTGTAGGGTCCAAGCTTCCTGCATAATCCGGTTGCACTTGGCTCCCATTGGCCCATTGCTCAACCCCTCCGCCGCCCATCCGAAATGGTTACCTTTTGCCATCCTGTGCATTAATATTCCATGGACACTGAAAACTAGGTGGGATTTAGCTTGGCAAAATTACAGATTTCACGGATACAGCTCGACATTTGCCTTGGCAACATACTGGGGCAGAACTAGTATCGTCGTGGAACGGTACTGAAGAATAAGTATAGGAGATTATGCTAAAGCAGCTACCTGAATAGGTCCTTTTATCAAAGTGAAAGTGTTAGGCCATGGCGGTGATTGAAAAACAATCATGCCCAGCCCGCTCCGAACTGTATGTCACACGCCAGCTGATTTGTCTTCCTCAGTAAATGCTGCACATGAAGTATCATGCGTTGGGCGCTCAGAGTACATCACGCGCATTCATGTCCTGCTGCCGCTCTGCGCTTGAGAAGCTGCTTTACGCTTCCGGTGCTGATATATTTACCAGCACTTTCCACCACGAAAACAGTCACATACACTGAGCAGTATGTGCACGTCAAACGTAAGCCGTACCTCGATCTCACAACAATACTCAAACAGCATCACCAGCCATGCCACCACCAACTTCCACTTCCACTCAAGCCACCACCGCCTCTTCTCAAACCACTCACAGAAACTGGGTCCGAGCAGCTGAGACCACTCTCCAACGCTTGCAAGCCGATATCGACGACGTCCACCGGCAGACCCTGGCCATGAATACGGCCAATAGTACCACTTCTGACAGCGATGACGATGACGCCTCCTCTCACAAAGGCTCAACCCGGGCTCAGACTTGCAGCTTGGGTGAATTGTCCATCGTAGACCGTATTCCGGAATTCAACTTTCGCATCATGCGATTGCTGCTGCAGGTCTGGCATGTGGAGCTGAACGGCCTCTGTGAAGAGCATATGGGAAGCCTGGGATTGAGGATTATGATGACGGTGCATGATTGGGAGACGTTGAAAGATTCTATCAGGGAGGATGTTTGAGGGGCCGGCGTCGTAGGGCAGGTGCTCTCTCGAGTAGGCAACGGACAGGGAAAGCACTGGCATCCTAGGTTCGTCTCGATCCACTTCTACTGTAGCAGGAGTACATATTTCGAAATATGATAGAGGCCACTTGAAATCCTTTGCATGGCCTTAGACTAGCAATATTTCTTTCCAAATAAAAACAGATCCATGCATGTTGCACCATTCGCAAAATACGGTGTCAACAGAGAAACTGTAATCAATGTGAACCCCCTACCTAGCAACACCCATATTGACAACGCCAATGAAAAGCGCCTAAAAGCCAACAAAACTATCAACTCTCCGTGGGAATCGCGCACCTGCCCCCCAACTCCACACAAATGCAAAGAAACCCCATCCAAGAAGCGGACATATCCAGCCAAACAGTCCACGACAGTCAACAAAAGAAATGATCTAGTTGAAGGAGCGAAACGGCGACCCATAATATCCGCAAGCAAAAAACGCCGTGACCCCGCCCCAACCCAGCAGTCCCATCAACACTCCATCTACACGGCACCGCCTTGACTCCTCAATCTCCTTCTACCTTCCGCAACGCCAACGCTTTTGCTGAAATCCTGCCCCTGCGGCAAATTCTCCCTGTCATCCACGCCTTGCGCGCCAGCGACGGTCATGCGGTTCTGCTTCTTCTTCATCGGCAGCTTACTCTCCGTCTTTTCCGAGTACTGTCGCTTTAGTGGCGGCGCCGCCGCCGAAAGCGTTGGAGAGCCGATCTTGAGCGAAACCGTGGGCGGGGCCGAGGCCGACTCTGTCGACGAGGCGTTGATGGTGTTGGGGTCAAGCTCGCGGAGCCCGCCGCTGGCGCTGGTGTCGCTGGCAGCGCTGGCGGGCCGAGTCGAGGTCCCGGCGTGCTCCTCGTCTGTGGACGGCGCGGCGTCGGCGAAGACCATGCGCTTCGGCGGGCTCTTCTGGGGAGAAGCCGTGGTGGAGCGACTGGGAGGGGCTTTGCCTCGGAGCTTGGCGAGGAAGGAGTCTTGAGCCTCGGTGCGGGGCAACGTGGTCGGGTACGTGTATTTCGAGATCTGTGGAGTCTCGCCCGTAGGCACGTACTCTTGCAAAGCCTGCTGCTCGATCTCCTCGCGAAGCATCCTGAGAGGACCACGGATTTCTCCGTCTTCGGCCAGCAAAGGCAGAGTAGCTTGTAGAGTAGCCGTCTTAGCCTCCATGTCCGAGCTGACATCCTGAATGCGAGAGAAAGACGTGTTGAAGTGCTCGCCAATGTTGATGTAGGATGCTTGGACATTAGACGTCAGAGCCGAGAGCGATTCAGTGTGCCTGGTGTGATGAGCCTCATTCTGTTCCCGAACGCGGGCTACAATGTCATCAAGTGAGTGAAGCTGCGAGTCCATGTTCTCCATTTGGCTGTTGACGATCTTGACTGTCGACTTGTGGACCGAGGCCGTGGTTTGGCGAAGAGAATCCGTGTGCTCATTTGCACTCGCGAAGTCAGCCTTGATCTTGGTTTTGACGTTCTCACGGGACTTGACGACGCCGCCGATCAAGTCGGACGCCTTGCTAGTCCATCCGTCCATGCTCTTGTTATACGTCTCGGTAGCCGTCTCGAAATTGGTGTTGGCCGTGTCAAGATCCTTGCCGACGTGGGCAATACGATTAGCTAGACGCTGCTCCTGAGCAGCGGCAGTCGAGTTTATCAGGGCAGCCATCTGCGCAAGAAGCTCCTCACGCTCAGCAGCAGCCTTCTGCTTCTCTTCTTCAACCACCGAGGTCACGCTCGTCCGAGCAGCTTTGTTTGCCGCAAGGACTTCCCAGTTGGCTTCGGACATCTGCTTTCGCAGAGTGTCGACCTCGGTATGTTGCTCGTTCAGCTGTTTGATGAGGTCATCAAAGGTGCCCTTGAAGTCGCGGCCAAGAGCCGCATAAGATGAGTGGAGCTGTGTATGGAAAGCCTCAAGCTCCGTCACAATGCCCGCCGAAATTCTCTCCGCAGCTGCAGAAAGGTCGTTCAAGCCAGCACCAACCTTCTGCTTGACTTCCTCACGCAGAGTCTTGATCTCTTCCAATACCCCATTCAAGTCCTCCTTCGACTGTGCCGTCTGCTCATTGACTTCCTTCTCCGACTGCTCGAAAGCTGCCATCTTTTCTGACAGGAAAGCCTGAGAGACTCCGAGCTTCTCGAGCTCGTCTTGCACAAAGCCCTGCATCCGAGAAGCAAGGCCGGCCATGAGGTCTTCTTGGTGTGACTGGAAGCCGGAAATGCGCTCGTCAACCATATTCGTGGTGCTGGCAACTTGAGCTTTGGAGGAGCCCCATTGCTGACGATTGGTCTCGTGAAGATTAGATCTACGTCGAAGCTTTGAGTGTAGCCCGCCAATGTCAGAAGTGGTCTGTCCCAGGGTTGAAATGAGGTCTTCGCCAATGTTGGCGAGCTCCTCTTCGGTCTTTGCGTGAGCTTTCCTCAAAGCAGCCTCCTCGGAAAGACTCTTCCTCGTGTGTTCCAATACCACTTCGGTCTTCTCCAAGATGCTCTTTGTGCCGTCCAAAATAGACTTGGTAGCTTCGTGGTCCTTCTTGAGTGAGGAGAGGTTCGTGGTAAGATTGAATAGTTCCTGGACTTTGTTGCGAAGATTGGTTTCCATTGTCTCGATCTTGTCCTTTTGCTCATCTACCAGTATCCTTCTTGACTCGCTCTCGGTGGTAAGTTCCTCGTACGTTTCGGTAGCAAGGTAGACACCGTTCCGTTGTCTGGTAGCAATGAGCTCCATCTTCAACTTCTCGATCTCAGAAGTGAATTCTTTGAACAGGGTCTTCTTTGAAACCATCTGGTTGATCTGAGGCTTGTTGCGGATGTTCTTCGCACGGAAGGCATAGTCCAGAGTAGAAATGGTCTCCTCGAGGTTGCTCTTCGCTGGAGAAAGCGTAGCAATGATGCAAGTCTTCGTACGACCACCCAGGGAGTCTTGCAGCAGCCGAGTCAACTTGGACTCGCGGTAAGGGATGTGGGAACTCTTTTCGACCAAGGCATTGATGACACGGCCCAAAGTAAGCAAGCTTTTGTTGATCAAGCCAGCCTCTGCCGCACGCTTGTTCTCGGCTCCACTTCGCTGGATGTTTTCACTGCCAGCCAAGTCGACCAAGTTCAATTTTCCTGCGCTGACAAAGTCCTCTCCGGTCTCGGTCGTGCGCTTCAAGTAGACTGTGATGGTGAAGACTGTATGACTTCGAGAACTCAAGTCGTTGCACTTTGTTGCGGCGACCTGCCGCTTGTGGCTACCCTCGCGGAGCAGTTTGATCCCCTTGGATGCATTGTTGATGTGCGATTCCTCCATTCCTTGGACCAAGGTTGCCGAGTGGCCCTTCTTGCTGTTATCCTCGTACAGCTTCAGCTTGACGCTATCATCCACGGCCAGAAGATCGCGAAGTTCTTCGTTGTAAAGCTCGATGAAAGAGCACTTGACGGAGTTTTCGCTTTCATCGCCCTCGAGCTTTCCGAACAAAGCGTGTAGAACACGAGGAACGATACCGGCAGCGTCGGGTAGCGGCAGGGTCTCGGTGATATCTCCTGACATGGTGTAGGTCTTTCCGGTACCGGTCTGACCGTAGGCGAATATGGTGCAGTTGAAGCCGTTCAACACCTGCGATTGTCAATAGGCGGCGCACGGTAGCGGTCGTAGCGGCAGCACTCACATCGTCCAAAACGGGTGCAACAACCTCGTCAAAAACCATGCCCTGGTCTGCAGCTGGCGAGAAGACCTTGTCAAAGCTGTAGGTCTTGTTGCTCACGGCATTGGGGCCCATGGAGAGCTCGACAGTCGAGCCCTTGACTCCATCGGTCGAGACGACGACGCCGCTGTTCTCACGGATTTCTCTGTCATTGCGCCCTCGGCAACGCACAACGACATTGATGTTGGTGTCTGCTCTCGCGTCGGTGCCGCGCTCCTTGCGCTTGCGCGATTCGGGGGACCGGTTGCGGGTAGCGTTTGTTGCGACGGATGCGACAGACTCGGCGGGCGATGCACGCCCGGATGGTGTGCCGGCTTGGGCGCGCAGGGCTTGAAGGTTGCGTGAAGCGGGAGGGCGCATGGAGGTCATCCTGCCGCTGGGAAGGCCAGGTCTGGAGGGACCTGCCATTGTAAAGTGTGGAGGGGGTTGGTGCGGATAGGCTGTGTTGTCAGTATCGCGGCTGCAGTGTTGGAGTAGTGCGGAGCTGCTCTGGGCGGGAAGCGACGAGTTTGTTTTGGTGCACCCCAGCAGCGACTGCCGCTTTAGGCGAAATGTAAACAGTCGCCCCACCGAGCGCCGACAACGCAACTTGGTCGCGTCTGCGCAAAAAACGTTGGCCTGCCCTTCTCGAGCCTCTCTCAGCGAGCATCTGCCTTGTATGTACCGCTAACCAAGCGCCGCAAACCACGCACGAGCATGGAACGTGGGTCTGAGCAAACATGGCGACCAGCGGCGGAACTCCGGCATGACTCGGTCACCGGCTCTAATCGATAAGCGGCCATGTCAGTGTCGCCGACCGCAACCGAGCGGGCGACATCATCGATCCAAGCTCCAGCACCGCTCTCCTGTCTCTCATAGACATCACGGTGCTTCTCCTTGGTTTCGCGGTAGTATCGACGCTTGCACCGAGAGAAGACGATCCCCTACCACTGTGCAAGCCTGCTCCCGGACATCCTTGAAGCCGATCAGTCGTTGTTGCCCGCGGCCCTTGTCTTCTCCGCCGCAGGTCGGGAGCTCGCCAATCGTGCCTGCGTCGCCGTCCAGCCAATATCGCGCCTCGACCCCGCCGTGCCGCAGCTATCTCCAGCTTGCATCAGACAGATCTCGCGTTCGCAGCTGCGCACCTGGTTGGTTCCACCGTCGACAGGGTATTAGTGCGCGTGGACGTCGCACGTGGTCGACGTGTTGATAGGCGCGGGGCGTTCAGGGTCCCGCCCGCGCTGCATTTCCCGCCTCTCACCTCCACGCCTCTTCCCCAACATCCCGACCGCCGTACCCACGGTGAAGCTCAACATGTCGAGCCCTCCGCCGTCCACGGGAATAACCCCAGGTCGTTCTCTGGGGTTCATGAGTGAGTCTGATCAGCTCTACACGCTTGAGCCTCGCGGGTATTGACTGCTCCTAGCCCTCGGCGCCTCCCTCCACGACATCCTCACTCGAATCAAGGCCCAGCCCTCGGCCTATCCCAAGATCCAGATCCTGTTTGACCCCAAGTATCCGTTGCGCATACCCATCGTCATTACCCTGCCAGAGAACGGCATCCGCCTGCGTTTCGACGGTCCTGATCAGCGCCTACGCCTGATCGAGGTTATCGACTTCACAAAGACGAAACTTAGTTACAAGAACACCGAAGTCGTGAAGGCTGGGGAGGGCGTTGTCGGAGCTCTGGGCGCGCAAGCTGGCCCCACGGGTCCTCGTTTCCGCCATGTGTACGACAGGTTACTTGGCCCGACGTATGCCGGGGAGTACATTCCTCCTGCTGCTGACGATAACAAGGGCGTGGGAACATATGTCTTGTCATACCCTGGGATTGCTTTCAACTTTCCCTTGCAAGCTTCCTCATGGTCTGCCGACAAGGATTTCGTATCCTTACTGTCGTCTCATGCTGCATCGGCCGCCACATCCATGGCTATCTTCCACGGCGAGTCATGGTCTAAAGCGCGAGGCACTCTATTCACTCACACCCCTCCCAATCCTCGGTCGTCAGAGCTGGCAGCCAAGGCGAATGTTGGCGACGAGGTCGAAGTCGCCAAGATCTATGGGGAAGGCCGCGTAGAGCTCGTCAGGCGATCCAGTCCTCCGTTCTGGATCAACCTCAGCGAGACGACTCCGCAGGACCTTATCACTGAGCTGGGGCCGCCAGATGCAATTTACCGCAAGAATGACAACCGGCTCTCGATTCACGGCAACAAGCAGGACACTCTAGATGCTCTCAGCAACAGTGTTGGCTCGATGACATTCGGAGATGCGGAATCTTCAGATACGGATGATCACGAGTCATTCACGGGATCTGAACCGGAGGAATCCGAGGGATCAGAAGAAGGCGGAAAAGCTTATCTGGACACAGATGATTCGACATCGGTGGAGCATTTCTACAACTATTTCCACCATGGATTCGACGTGCTCATTTCGCGACCGACGACAATCTCCACTGCTTCGCCAACCTCACAGCATGAGCCACGCGAAGTTCCCAAAGACTTTCCGCATTCCAGAGGTAGTTTGGTTGCAACTAAAGTCATCTTCCACGGAAACGTGCCCGGGTCATACCCTTTCAACCGTCATCGACGGAGCCGGTGGACTCTGGAGCACGTGCCGACAGAATTATACAGAGAGTCACTCACGTCTGAAATGTCGTTCACGGATGTCAAAGGCCGACTTTGCGAAGCTTTCAAGTCGGCGTGCGCGACGGAAGAGGAGGAACGCTCGATGCAGCGCGGAATGGTACTGAACCGAGGGTGGGGCGACAGCCCAGGCAGCAGTTGCGAGCTCCTTGGTGGATTCGAGGAAGCGACCAGCTCACCGATGCAAAAGAAGAAGGGCGTGCCGTCTGGGGGCGCATCTGCAGCGCCAGCCGTTGACTCAACATTCGGCATTAGTGAGATCTTTGGCTTCCCGGGCTTGATTTTCGAAGTGCTGAAGAACGACACTGTCAGCACTTTGACAGTCATCTGATCACCCTCTCGGATCTCGCGGGATCAGTAATTCAGTCATGGCGTTTTGGATGCTAGGTCGGGCGGCGGATACCCTGATTATTATGGCTAAACATTTCAGCATGGTAGGCAGCTGCATTAACCACAGCATACATTGCATGAAGTTTTGCATTGTAAGGAAGACTAAGTAATGCTACAGAAATCTACAATAATCTAAGTGTGCAGAAAAGTGTTACATAACGCTCCCCAGTGGAAAATGCAACTTTCCGTTAGGCCACAGACCACATTTTTCTATTCTGCTAGTGGAACGAAACAGTCGAATCAAGACACCTGTTTGACCGTGGTGGTAGCAACATTATTGTTACTGCGGTGACGATCAGCTTTTCAGCTCTTGCGTAGGCTGATGGTCGTGCTTCTCGTAAAGGCGCTAAAGCAAGCCACGCTCGGTCTATGTGGCTGGGCTAGGAAATGACGGGCTGGCACGATTATTAGTGTCCGCAGCTGCACGTCTCACCGATTATTTTCCTGGGGGCTATTTCTACATCACGCGTCGAGGGCCCAGTCAGCCTCAGCCTGCCCGAATCTCACACCCTTCTGCGAAGCGTTCCCAGGATAGACAGTGTTGACATGTCCCGCCGCCAGCCACCGTCGCCGCCTCGCTACAACACCAACTACCGCAGCAGCGCCTCGCGCGCCCCATACAGCCGCGACCATGGCGGCCGCCACGTCACGCGCACCCGGCCGGAACAGCGATTCGCAAGCACCGTCGACGCAACACCAGCCGAACCACCGCTCGCCTACTCCCCAGAACAGACGCGCTACGAGCAATACATCAACTCCAACAACATAACCCGCGGCGCCCCCCGCCGCCGCAACAGCGACTTCGACGTCGACATCGTCGGCCGCCTCCCCACCCCTCGCCGCCATGAACCCGAACCACCCTACTACCCGGAGCGCCATGCAGTGCCCATGGACTACGTCGCCCGCTACGACAACGACAACGACAACGACCCCTACCACCACGCCAGACCGCCGCGCCACGTGCCCCGCACTACCGGTACCACCACCACCACCACCACACGCCCTCGCCCCCGCCCACGCCGCGAAAGGTTAATCATCACCGCCCCCGCAACAACACAGCCTCCACCACCACCACTGCCGAAACCGCGCCCCCGCCCGGCCTCCGACTCCAGCTCCTCCTCCCACCGTGTGAGCCGTTATTCCCACCATCACCGCCACCAGCCCGCCGCCGCCACCGGCCGCGTCGCCGTGGAGGAGGAAGTGTTCGCCACTATCCCGGATGATGATGGCGACGACGATGACGACGATGACGATGACGATGACGACGCTTCCTCTGACGGCCGCCGCCGGCGGGGGCGGGGGCGGCAGTGGCGTGTCGAGCCTGTTGCGTATTCGGGCGCGGCGCCGGCGGCGGTGGCGGGGGAGGAGGTGGAAGTGGAAGAGCGGCTGGAAGAGGTGGAAGAGCTGCAGGGAGAGGGGGAAGGGGAGGACGAGGACGAGGACGAGGACGAGGACGAGATGGCTTTCCGGCCGATGCCGTCGGCGAGGCCTGGGTCGGGTAGGGGAGGAGGCTGGTTGGGGTACGAGGCGCTGCAGGGGATGCGGTATGGTGACTTTGCGTTGAGTGAGCGGAGTAAGGACGTTTTTGGGGTGCTTGCGGTGGGGGGGTTGGGGGAAGGGGGAGATGGGGAAGAGGAGGATGGGGTGGGGAGTGATGAGGGGGAGGGAGAGGGTGGAGAGGGTGCGAAGGGGGTGGGAGTGACGAATGCGAATGGGAGATTGGTGTCGCATGAGGTGAGGTATAGAGTGTTGTTCTCGCGGTGGGCAGAGAATGGGAGTGGTGGGGAGGATCCGGTGGCGGAGTTGGTGGTTGGATCGACGGACAAGGGGGTGGGGGCAGCACGGGGGATGGCCAAGTGCGGATTGTTTGAGTGGGTGCATGTCAAGCAAGATGTGATGAATTTCGAAACTTTCGCGGTGAGTGGAAACAAAGTAGTGATGCGGCAAAACAGCTAACAGTGCAAAGCGGCGTGTAGGGTCGGCAAGCAGGCTTGACCAGGGAGAGAAGAAATATGCCTCCAAAGTGCTGAGAGGCATCTCCAGACAGTTCGAGAAGCCATTGCTAACGCAGGACGGCATGCAAGGGAGGTGGATGATACCCAATTTCAACCAGGAGTTTGGCGATGCTGCCGACGCCCCCAGCGTTGTTTTCATCTGCTTCCCGTTCTTCACGCTTGAGAAGTACGGACCACCCAGCCTCCCGGAGAACTCCAAAGCGCACCCTAAGAGGACGTTGCTGCAAACGCTGTTCTCGTCAGCAACCCGGGCGCAAGACTTTCAGCAAGCCGTGGCCCAGCTCCCGAACACGCCCAATGACCACCTTTTCCACGTGCGTCAGCTTTGGGCTTTCATCGTCGATGATAGTGAGTTATGCATCTCTTTGTTTTTCCGGAGCTCGTTCGGAGGCCCAATGTCTACCTGGTCAGGCCAGAGTTCCCAATCCATTTCGCATACTTCGACTCTACCAGGCCTATGCACTAGTTCTTTGAAAGAAGAGCCGTTGTCCTCGAAGGCTTGGATGGTTGCGGGGAGTTACGACGCTTTATATTCAGGATTTCTTTTCAAACATCTTAGCACGTTGCCAGAAATGACAACTACCATGCTATCAATAACACAAGCCCCCCGTATCTTTACTTATCTTCTTTCCTTTTGCAGAATTCATAGTTACCTGCTCGAGCGAAAGTCCAGCTTCAATTACCAACGATTCGGTCATCATTACCTCACAACCTTCAGTGGCTGATGCAGGGAAAACGGCGCCGAAGTATATCGAGGTGTCTGATGAGTGTATGAACATATGGCTTCTTCCGCTAGAAAAGTGCAAGACGTGGTTTGTAAGTCACACCATGCCGTAGTTGATTGTGCCTGTGTCTAATTAGGTGTTGCAGATGTTACAATCCAACTTCTTCGACACCATGGATGACTACGAAATTGAAGCGGGCTTCACATACACTGTTGTCCTCGAGGATGTAGTGGTGACCGAAAGCGATTGGCCGAAGGTTTACGAAAAGGCACAGCGGAGGACGGTCCGCATTTCCATTCGTAGAGGGTACGTCCAGGCTGCATGCTTGTATGGACTCGACTCACAAACTGTCCAGTGCCGGCGAATTCTCGCTGAGGATGCCCACGATTGCCGCTGGAGTTGAATTTGACGATGACACCGATACTCTAATCTCCGAACCAATGACCGAGCCAGCGGACTTTCCCGACTCTGAACTCACGAAAGCCCAATTCCATGTCTTTACCTGGCTGGCTAGCCCCAAAAACGGCGAAGATGGCTCTATAGGTGCGGTTCGCTTGGCTAAAGCGCTGGAAGAGGTTCAGAAACTCCTTCTCAAAGAGAGCCATCCCGTTGATCGAAAGGGATACAGATCAACTTTCATTGAGGGGAAACGGAACAAGCCTTCGTATCAATCTGTCAGAGACGCCTTGGAAGCGCTTTCCACTCCTACAAAAGAAGCGCAGTATTGGAAGAGAACGGTGACTGGTTTCGTCAAGGACTTTGTGGACATTTTCCACTTTTACCTCCCACTGGATTGTCAAGCTCCGGCGGCAGCCTGCTTCTGGGCTGCGCTTCGCCGCATGCTCGATGTAAGAACCATATCGGTCCCTGACAGGGATATTATAGCAACTAACGGCGAGCAGAAGCCTATCCCACAAGATGAGATTTCTCAATCTGAAGAACTCGGCAGAATCGCGAGCTACGCCAAACGCTTGAGAGATTTGTCGAAAAGCATATCTGGTCTCGAAGTTCCCCTTCCATCGAAAACTAATCCTCCAGACAAATTCGTCGTGGCCTGGATCCACACATGTCTTGCAGTCTGTCACTGGGACCCCTCCGACATGTCGGCATTGAGCCATCATCTTGAGTGCGCAGAACGTGAGATGACCAATGGCTTGCCAAACTTCCTGCGCAGCTTTCAAGATCTTCCGCTGGAGAAAAAAGCCGCGGCCATGCCTTTAGGACTATTGAGCCTGATTACACAAGAGCTGCTCATGGATTGCACTGGCACTCGGCCTGATGTGTTCACCTCATACAGAGACTACTACTACCAGCTGGTACGTTTTGGCCCCTCCCCAGTTCCCATGTGCTCACTCTCAGCCCGTTCCCCGCTTCTCCCTCGCACATCTTCTCTCCACTCCATAAAGCGCAACCCCAATCCTGACACCAACCAACCCAACAGAAACACCGCATCGACGACGACCCGCTCAACCGCGCCCACCAAAAAAGCATCAACGCCTTCAAACAAGAAATCGAAGCCATCACCGCCATCCTCAACCAACAACTCACCGTCCTCAACGACTTCCGCGCCGCCCTCACCCAACGCCTCGACCACGCAACCACCACCACCCCAACCACCGCCATCGCCATCCCCCCCACCATCCTCGACGCCGCCGCCTCCACCACCGACGCCAAGCTCCGCGGCTTCGCCGGCATGCGGCGCTCGGCCGAGGCCCTGCGCCTCGCCAGCCTCGACCAGATCGACTCCAACAAGGACCGCCAGGAGGCCGCCGTCTACGCCTTCACCGTCGTCACCGTCGTCTTCCTGCCGCTGTCCTTCGTCTCCGGCTTCCTCGGCATGAACACCGCCGACGTCCGCGACATGCCGTACCGCCAGTGGGTCTTTTGGGCCGCCGGGTTGCCGCTGACGCTGGTCATCGGCGTGTTGGGCTTGTGGGGCGCGGGCGAGTTGGGGAATGCGTGGGGGTGGGTTGTGAGGGGTGGGAGGGGGCGGAGTGGTGGTCATCGTGGTGGTGGCGGTGGTGGTGGGAGGGAGGTTGCGAGACCGGTGGCTTATGAGGAGAGGGTGAGCGTGGCGGGGTGGAGAGATGATGATGATGATGATGATCGTTATGGAGATGAGGAGGCGGTTGCTCCTAGGAGGGCGGTACGGGGCGGGCTGATCAAGAGAAGGACGATGACTTCGAGGAGGTAGGAGGGTGGGGGAGGACTATGAGGGGTTGTCGGAAAGAAGGAAGAATGACTGAGGTTTTCAGTACGCAATTGATGTAGCGTTTGGACTGGTTGAGTATGCTCTCGAGTAATCAATTTCAAGCCTTTTCCGAACAGAATCGCTGCCACCTTCCAAGTGTATTTTTGCTTCTCCAAGTGTCTACTACCTCAAAACGCTTCTGGGCGTTTGGCAAGAAATATTCGATACAATTTGGCATGATGTTGGAATTTATCCTGAACCGAATCATTCAATCGGAAGCCGATTTGAAGTAAATATGTGCCCAGAATCCTACAAAACGTCGACACCACTGTACCGTGGGCGGGAACTCCACATCAGTTTTATACTGCTAACGCCATCTCAATCCAACAAATGAGGGTATACAGCTAAAAGCGCCTTCCATCATGAAACCCAAACACTCAATCCCATGTGTGACGACGATAAAGCAAAAGCAAATCATGACCGCCCCTCAATCACCGTCGCCGCCTTCTCTAAGAAGCCATTGAAGTCCTTCACCCTATCCAGCAAGCCACCTCGAGGACCAGCTCCACTAACACCACTACTAAGAGCGTCTTCAATCTCCCACAATGTGTCAACCTCCGGTCCCTCGTCCTGCCGGCCCTCACGCACAGCCTTCTCTCTACCCCGCTGCACGGCGGTCTCGATCCCGTACAGCGCATCGCTCAGCTCCTCGTCGTGCCGCCTCTTCGCTTCGGCCTGCATGTGCGCCTGACGCACCGCGTCCATCCGCAGCGCGGTCTGCTCGCGCTCCCTGCGGACGCCCAAAAACTCCGAGCGCAACGCAACCTTCTCCTTCATCGCAGCCTTGAGCCGAGAGCGGAGAGCCTCGCCGGCATCGACCGCCTCGGTGAGCTCGAAGAGGCGGTCGGTCAGCTCCGTGGAGAAAGCTTCGACAATGCTGGAGCGGCGCTTGAGTTCGGCACGACGGGCCTTATCGGATGTGCCTGCTTCGGCGGCTTGTCGAATGAGGGAGTCATTCATACGGGCGGTGAGCTCGGAGGTGACCTGCGCGAGGATATCAACGGCATTGACTGTAGGCAGACGCGTATTGGCCACAGCGGAGGGGGTGGGAAGTTCAAGCTCGTCGATCACGGAGGCGTCGTCGGTAGGTTTACGAGGCGCCGATATGCGGTAGACAGTAACGGGAACGCGGGGACCTCTTTCAGCAGCGGTGGTTCTCCGACGAGCCCGTTTCTGTGCCGGGGCAGCTGAACCTGGTTGCGGCTTGCGTGTTCTCGAGGCCGCTGGTGTAGATTTGGATCCTGGCGGTCTGCCACGAGGCCTTGGTTGAGGCGGGATGTTGCTCGTTGCAATTTCAGGTGTTGAGTCTTGGGACACAGTTTCGTCTCCAGAAGAAGCAGCTGTCTGCTCAGACTCTGTATCTTCTTCCTCGATACGCTCAAGTTGCTGACGAGAAGCGACTGGAGATAGCTCATCTGCAGAGAGATCGTCCTCGTACGCCTCGTCCATGGTTAAATCTTCGTGAACTCTCTCCGTTTGTGAACTTCTGCGGGTAGATCTCTTTCCAGCAGTACTGGATGGCTCAGCAACAGTGCTGTCGGGATCTTCAATAGACTTCCGTGGTCGGCCAGCACGTTTAACAACAGGAACAGGGCTGGGCTCGTCCTGGCTCACGAACAATCTAGGACTCGATGTCGCCCCAACGTTGCCAACGTTTTTCAAAGAGCTCAGAGGTCTACGTCCCGATGACAGCGTGTGGTCCACGTCGTTATCCTCCAACTCGTCCTCTGCATCCGCTGTAATAGCTAAGGGAGTCGCATGAACTATTCCGCTTGTTCTCCTTGCCGATCCTGCTTGCGCTTTCCTTGCGGATGTTTGATACTCGTCGTCGTTTTGCTCCAGCTCATCTTCCTGGCTTTCTGGGACTTGCTGGACAACACTTGGCCTCTTTCTCTTTCCTATGATAGATGGAGTAACAAATGTCTGCTCATTTGATTGGCTCGGCGTTCTCGAACGTCGCTGTGTCCTTCCACTGGCTCGAGCTGAGGAACTGCCCGGTGCGGCAGCCGGTGGTTGTTCCTTGGGTGTCTTACGGGCGGATATCTTCGGCGGCAGCGGAGCTGGAGATTTTCGCGATGAACGCTGTGCAGATAGCGCATTCGACGTACGGCGCGATGAATTGGAGGCGGGAGTTTTGCGAGTTGAGCGTCGCGCAGGTAGAGGATCTGCCTTGGACGCAGGGGTGCGACGTGACGAGGGCTGAGGAGGCGACGGTTTCGGGGTTCGGCGCGAAGAAGGTTGTGCTGGAAGAGGTGCGGCGCCGAAAGTGAAACCAAAGTTGCCCACGGACAGGCCGCTTGTGCTGCTGGCTGTGAGCGGGGGCGCACCGGCGGCGGGAGAGGATGCGGCTTACCCAGCGCCGCGCTGGCGCATGCGACGTCGTTCTTCACGGTCTGCAATCGCTCAGTCAGACACGAAACCCTTGGCGAGTCGGATGGCTTACCGTTTGGCGGCATGGCGACGAGAACAGCTGATGTTGTGGAGATCAAGGCGCGCTCTGGGAGACGCGTCGAGGGTGACGCGCCGTTTGGACATGTCGGGGAAAGACGCTCCGATGCCAAGGCCGCTTTCTGTTCCGCTCCACCCCCATTGTTCTCTCCGCTCCGCGCTAAGCCCTCGCCAGAAAGGGATCCAAAGGAGCAAACGAGGCAGCTCAGAATGAGCAGGGATGCACTTGTGTAAATTATGACATAAGTAGGCTGGGCAGATCTCGCACGTGGTGTGCGGTAGATCGACCCGGCGACGTCATGGTGTCGCGGGGATGATCAGCCCTCCGCCGCTTTCTGCTCCGGCTTTCTCAACACAAGTCGGCCCGCATCTTTTCTCCACCACGACTGTTCCACACCACTTCTGCCGTTTCTACTACCAGACACCTCGATCACCATGGCCGACTACACCAAGTACATCCTCAAAGTCACCGCTGGCCCGGACTATGATCCAAAGAACCACTCCGAAGTGCGTGTAAACACCGCCGACTCTGTCCAAATCTCCACCGAGCACCTCGACGCCAAGGTCTGGGTCCGCGTGAAGGACTACCGCGGTAAGCCCCTTGAATTTAACCTTGTACTCGCGTACGCTGACCTAGCCCAAGGCCTGCCCCATGGCTCCCCTGCGACATCGCCCTACTTCGAACACGCGAACCACACAGGCGATCGCTACGGCATAGCATACTCTTTCCGCCTCAAGAAGGATATCACTGGAGACAAACTGGTCTTCGGCAATGACTTCGATCACCCCATCCGCGATCGCCTACCATGGGGCTTCAGTACTGCCTTCAACTGGGTCAAAGGATGGGTTGACGCAACCATGGAAGGCGACGCATACGCCGATGAGCCGTACCTCTACTCTCCCATCCTGAGCTCCATGAACATACTTCAAGTTGGTGGCAAGGGCCAAAGCATCGACGACGTTGCAGAAGGCGCGGGCGAGAAAACCGGCGAGGGCGACCAAGCCGCCACAATATTCGTTGAAGGCGCCCAGTCAGACGGCCAGGAAGTGCGCGAAAAATCTGGCATGCCCGCCAACAACACGCAGAGGAAGAGACACTACCAGCAACTACAGCCCAGGCAAGACTTTGTCTTCGAAAAAGACCGCGCCTACGCTTGTGATTTTTTCAACGGCTATCTAGACTTCAACGAGTTTTCGCTGAAGCTCCCCATCCTCACCATCCCTGTGATCAAGTACTGGGACGGTCAGCCCCTTCGGTATGCCCAAGCACTGTTTTCTAGTATTTGTTTCTGCGTCCAAAACACATCCGCTTGTTCGGTCTTTTGCTCCAACAGTTTATCTGACTGACATAGAACGCACACTCTTAGATATGTCCTGAGAAACCTTGAGACTAAAGAAGTCTACTTCGTCATCCTATTCTCCCTGGTTCCTGTCGAACAAGTTGACGCCGAGACCGCCGGTGAGACCGCGGGCTCGAAGCAGGAAGAACCGGACAAGGTTCCAAATGACAAGGGCAGCGAGCAGAACCAAACCAAGTCTTCGAACGATGATCTCGACTAAATATCGGCTGCTCGATGCCCATACAGTGGGTATGAGAGACTTTTGGCCCTTTCTCAGTTTGTCTTATCAGAGATATTGCACCCTGTTCCTGGGGGTAGTTGGGGTACTTCGTCTGGATATTCTTCTACACTTCTACGCCTCCTATCAGAAACCCGGCTATGTACTCCAGCTACCCATGCAGATAGGGTGGCATGCTTCACGGGACAAGGACGAAGTCTTCTGTACCCACTGTGACCTCGATCTAAGACAGGATCCGGCATACTCAGGAGCGGTCTTACAAGCAAAGCGAAAAGAAGACCCATCGAAGAAAGCTACGAGTACCTTACGACCCTGTGCATCAACTGCGGATGGTCGAAAGCATGCGGGGCGCCCGCGTACTCTGGACAGAAAATACCTAACGAAGATCGCAATCACCCCCGCTCCCCACTTCAGCAAACCACATACCTCTTGTTTGGACAGACATTTCTGCGGGCGTTTGTATGACAAGAGCTTGCCCCGAACCGATGCGAAAACAGCGAAGACACTAGATAGAACAGAAGAGACTGGACTTGATTTCGGTAGCACAGATAGAGTGCGACACAGACAGCGACGACGTGGAAGAATGGGGAGATACCTGCCATAAAAACGATCAATGAGATTTACAGTATGCAAGCAACCCACATTGGAAAACGACTCCTTTCCTAGATCGCTTGGTGGCCGATAGACAGACGTAGAATAAAATCGAAATGCATAGCGAGCAACTGTTCTGCTTTCACACAATATCTTCGTCCAGGAGCTAATCAGTGACTAACATCACGAGGGAAGAAGGGAACGAGGAGTGGCATGTCACTGGCACAGTGCGTGACTAAAGAAATTGACCTACGGCAATCCCTTTTGTAGGTAGTTGGAGCAAGTATGCCGACGTATACGTAGGCTAAACGACCATCCTCCATGAGTTGAAGCAGATATTCAAATGTAGATACGAGGATTGAAACTATACGATATGCGTCCAGATATGAATTCCCCTAACCATGTAGGTGGATCAATTTCTTTCGTCGGCCACTGTGCTGGTAAGTACCGTACGTACGGCTCGAGACAGGTTTCGTAAGAATGAGAAATTACACAATTAGCTATGCTACCTGGCCGGCATACAAAGAGGAGATATACAAATACACCCATCATCCCACATCGTTCATGAAGAATCATCATCATCATCAACCTTCCTTTCCATCCTCCCCCTTCCCCCCTCCCCCCTTTTTTTTAAAAATCCATTTCCTTTTCTCTACTATCCTCTCAACCAACCAACTTCCCTTCCCCCCTTCACAACGGCAACGTCGCACTCAACGTCCTACTCAAAACATCGAACCCGACCTGCACCTCGATCGCGCCCGCGGGCACGCGCCACTGCTGCGCCCCGACGTCCCAGTAGCTGACGTCGCGGCGGCGCAGCTCGAAGGCGACGGCGCGGCTCTCGCCGGGCTCGAGCCACACGCGGTCGAAGCCGCGCAGCTGCCACTGGGGGGTGCCCGCGGGCGCGCCCGCGCCGAGCAGGTTGGCGTAGAGCTGGGGCACGGCGGCGCCGGCGACGGCGCCCGTGTTGGCGACGGTGACGGTGGCGACGGAGACGGTGGCCCAGAGGTCGGCGTTGCCGCCGGGGATGGTGGCGGCGGTGGCGGAGGGGGTGGTGCCGGCGATGGGGGAGGAGGAGGAGGAGGAGTTGGAGGAGGAGACGGCGAGGTCGGAGACGGAAAAGGTGGTGTAGGAGAGGCCGTGGCCGAAGGGGTAGAGGATGTTGGCGGTGGTGTTGGAGGCGATGTAGTACTTGTAGTCGATCATGTTGCCCTCGGTGAAGTCGGCCTGCCACGCGTCCGGGTCGGTGGTCTCGACGAGCGCCGTGGAGTTGACGAGCGTCTTGGGGAAGACGGCGTCGGAGACGGGGATCGTGTAGGGCAGGTGGCCCGACGGGTTGACGGCGCCGTAGAGCACGTCGACGAGCGAGTTGCCCGCCTCTTGGCCGGGGAAGTGCGCCTCGACGATGGCCGTGACGTTGGGGTTGGACGCGAAGGGGAAGAGCGTGGGTCCCGTACCGTAGTGGACCACGATTGTGTTGTTACAGCTGGCGGCGACAGTGTTGACGACGCCCGTGCCGTTATAGGCTGGGTAGAGGCTCTCCCGGTCGTAGCCCTCGGTTGCCCAGGACTTGATGAAGACGATGCAGACGTCGGGGGTGGGGAAGATGGTGCTGATACCGTAGTTGGTGATGGCCTCGTTCTCGAGAACGTACTGCAGGAAAGAGCCGTCTTCCTTGGCCTTGGCCTTGATGGCCTCGAGAGGGGTGACCAGGTAAGGGAAGCGGCCAGTTCCGCTACCGCCGCCAGAAGCGAGGACGCCGTACTCCGCATCATTTGGCTTGAAGGGGCTGCCGCCGACGAGGGAGTAAAGGCCCTCAGCGTACTCGCCAGCCGCGTTACCGAACACAGCAATGTTCTTGGGAGCGTTCAGGGGAAGAGCGCCGTTGGTGTTCTTGAGCAAGACTGTGCCATTGGCAGCAGACTCGCGGATGAATTGTGCGGTCTCGTCGCTGCGGAGGTCGACTACCTCGTCTTCCGTGCCGACCTGGAAGTCGTAGAGCCAAGTGGATGCAGCTTTGCCGTTGAGGGTGGCCGAATAAGCATCGACTTTGGGGAAATCCTGGTCCTGACCAAGGTGAAAGTAAGGAGTGAGGACTCTGAGAATCATGTCGTCTATTCTGCTTTCCGGGATGGTGCCGTTGTTGACAGCAAGAGTCGCGTTCTCGCCCCAATACGATGGAGTCGGGGTAGTGAAGGCGATACCACCAGGCATGTTCATGTCCAGGCCGGACTCAATGGTGGCAACGCCAGAGTGAACCGCGCCCCAGTCAGACATGACAAAGCCCTGGAAGTTGAGCTCTGTCTTCAGAAGTCCGTTCAGGGCCTTGGAGTTCTGGCAGCCGTAGGAGCCGTTTAGGCGGTTATAGCTGCACATGATGGAAGCGGTTCCAGCATGTACTGCATCGGCGAAGGGCCAAAGGTAGCTCTCGTGCATGGTCTTGTCATCAATGTTGGACGAGAGAGACTCGATCGTTGTGCCATCAGCAGCTGTGCTCGGGTTGCGCTGGGTGTCTTGCTCATTGCCGATAAAATGCTTCGTAGTGGCCTGCACACCGGCATCTTGGATACCAACAACGCTCTCTGCAACGCCGATTCCACTAATAAACAGGTCAGTTTGTCTGCTGAGCCAGAAACAGTGAAGACGAATTACCTCAAATATGCGTCAGGCGAGAATCCCTCCCAGTTGCGGCCGCCATAGGGATCTCTACCCAAAGGGCCTACAACCGGCGTCAGGGCAATTTGGGAGCCCTTGGCCTTGAATTCTTTGCCCATGTAGTTGCTACGCTTGTAGAAGGTTTCCCGATCCCATGTTGATGCTACATTCACACCAGCAGGGTAAACGTTGGCGTAAACTGCCTGCCTGATGGCCAAAGGACCATCCTGGAGACACAAGCCGGTAAAGTTGAGCCGTGCAACCGGCGCGATCATACCCTATAACCAGTCAGTAATAGTTATTGGGGACTGGGATTGCACCATCATCCCCGAGTCAAGCCGTTTGCGGGCGGGCTCCAACGGCATTATCGGCACATTTGCAGATTCGTGTGGTGCGGAATCGGATAAGAGACTTACAGCACATGGGCCAGTAGTACCAGTGACCAAGGAGACCTTCTCTTCCAGAGTCAGCTCGGCAAGGAAGTCCTTCGCCTTGTCGAATGCGTCTTCCCAGCCTACACCAGTCGCATTTGCTGTGAAGGGTCAGTAGGTGTTACTGTCTTGCATACTTCACTTGGCAACAACAAATGGTAATACCAAAATGGATATTGATAACTGGAAGAAAGAAACTGTCGTGCTAGAAGACGGAACGGAAGTAGCTGGAAGACAGAAGAAGACTCACGTGAAGGCAAGACGGCCTGGCTGGTGGTATACAAAGAGTGATCCCAGGCAGATGCCGGAGACACCAGAGAAGCGGCAACGCCGAGCAGAGCCAGAAAGTTAATCGCGGAGGCCATGGCGAAGGTTGGTGATCAGCTTGACGAGCCTCAACTGTGCGGACGAGGCCAGCCGTTATATACGAAATCCAGCCCATGCTACCTCCGCGAGAACGGCTCCGAGTCGTACCTCCTCACGACATCGGAAGGCGACCATAGCGCCGGCAGATCAACGGCAACACACAGAAGCCACATTCCTGGATGCAGCAACGCCCGCCGAGCTGGATCGCGTGCACATGCCGGTGCCGGCGAGAGCATGGTGTGCAGGAAACCCTCTATGGGCATGTCCGCCAGCCAAGGACGGGTAGAGTGCTTGGCGAGCGCCATGTGACGAGGGACGGTGAAGAAATTTGCGGGAGAAGCACGGGCCGAGGTGGTGAAGGCGTGTGAATGCGGCCCGGGAGCACCGCGGCGCAGCGTGGGCATACCCTGTTCGGGCTAGGCCCCCGCATTTAGTCTCTTGGAATCTGGAGAACAGGGGGAGATGATGGAGAAACGACCAGGGTGATTTGCCGACATAAACCCCACACGGCGGCTCCAGAACGGTGAAAGCCGAGCGCTCACGTTGTTGACTGGCGAATCGTCAGTCCACGACCACCCTAGCGTCTCCCCACGCCGACTCGCCACGGTTCAGGCCGCCGAGGAGTCGCGGCTCAGCGACAGTTCACTTGCCCGGTGCGTGCAGAGAAGTGAGGATTCTTGGGATTGCTTGTCAGTGTTTAGGCTGCTCTGCCGCTCGGTAGGCAATCTCACCCTCCACAAGCCGACGCTTGTTCCCGGACGCCTACGGCTCGGACGCACCCCAGAATCGTCGCCTATGGCAGCCCAACTACCCGGAACCTGTTCGCGGGGTGCCGAAGTGTCGCCAGATGGTGTGCATGCTGTCGTCAGTGCGCTCTCCAGATGTCACCCTCCAGCCCGCACATGGACGCGGGTCGCCTGAGCCGTGCGGTCATTGGTAGAAACTTCGGATTTATTGACGCCGCTCTCTATTCGGGATATGCCTTTGCCGAAAAACTGCTCCGACCTCTACTGCCGCACACAAGTTGCCCACCATGTAATCCTTCGGCGCTCGGGGTAAGTTGAACCACCATGCCCGTTGGGGCTAAGGAAACCCGCTGAGGTCTCTTGCTCCGACATAATGGCGCATCAGCTGGTACTGATGGTGAGCCTTTCACGGAACAGCCCAGGCCAGGCCAGAAGCCGAAGTTCTTTCGCCCCACACTTCTCCAGGTCGCCCCCGACCTTTCCTTAGAACACGGCCAGCGCGCTGCAGTAGCTCACGGAGCTGTCCCTGGGGCTGACGCAGTCACTGCTTCTTTCGTACCGGACGAACCGGAACTTTCCCTTTTCCCCGTCGAGAGACAGTGTTTCGATCGCCGCCATGACCACCCCAATGGGGTGTCTCCCGCAGACGGTGTTTCCCGTCTCCTCGAGAACGTCGAGGAACTGCTGGTGCTGCTTCGTCTCCACAGCATCCATGCAGTACCCGTCTACGGTCGCAATGCTTTCATAGATGGCCGGGCTTGAGAGTATTTTCTCAGAAGGACTCAGCATGCGGGCTTCTCCTGGCGCCTTCTCGTAGTACGTGTACTGGAATCGGGCTCCCCAGTGACAGAAGTCAGAAGAGATGATGAACACCGACGTCGGATCTGCAAGGTACGGCGCTAGGATCTGGCCGAACTGGCGCTCTGCTGCGGCTGAAGTGGCGCCGACGAGGATGGGCACAAGGGGCGGAAACTCGGAGGGGCCGGGGAATTGCCTACGCGTCGTGGCAGCTGAGCAACAAGCCTCTGGCAAGACTCTGCTAGAAACTTACCGAGAAAGCATCTTGTAGATGTAAGGAAGATGCATCTCGAGACTATGCTCGTTCTCATCTCGATCCTGCCGCATGGTATCGAACTTCCCCTTCTTACGCAGCTCGGCAACGGTTTCCTTGTCGATCTGCAGGTCGCCCAATGGCGTCTCATAGGCGTCACATTGGGTGAGGGCGCAGCCGCTGAGGTAGTAGTGGTGGGATGGGCCGAGGAGAAAGACTCGCTTCCTGTGTCGCGTGAGCCACTCGTACTATACAAGACCTTGTGGTCCAGCACTCGTGTTCGCAGTGCGCGTGTGCTATGGGTGATGTGACCTTTGAATCCAGGCCAGGGGCCGCGATTACATATTTGCGAGCACTGGCTTGGGTGAACTTACGCTTGAGAGAGATCCAGAGCCTTGTAGGCCCATGCGGCTGCAGGCCCAGAATAAGCGTATCCAGCATGCCTACAGATCCCACATGAGCCACGCCGTTATTCACCTTGAAACTGCCATTTCTCAACCTACGGCGCAATTATCGCCCTCGCGCCGGAGGAAGGAATGTCGATCGAGTCATTCTGCGAACCAGGACGGATGCCGGGGGTACAGGCGGGCACAGCGTCCAGCCACTGATCAAGCTGGGCCGAGAGTTCACCCTTGTTCGCGGAGTACCAGGAGCCGGCGTGGCTAGCGTCGCGGATAGACATTCTGCGGTCAGGTTGCTGATCGGGCGAGAGCCTTCGCGGACGACGAAAGCAAGCTAGCTTCCTGACGAGGTTGAGAATGTTGGGCTGTCAGAGCAGATCAACGTAAAGCACGGGGAAAGGTTTGATGAAGTCACGGCGGTGGTGGAGAGGGCGGAAGTTTCATGCAAATGCGAGAAGAATTTATTCGAAAACCCAGGCACAAGAACCGTGGTTGGTAGGAAGGTTGACAGATGTTGGACCCGATGCGGGACGGGAGCCGGCGGGAGTGGTGGGACCTGGTGGCATCAGCCTGGAGCCCCGCGCATCGGCAGTCGGCGTTTGGCTGCGCGTTTCATCACGTCACTGACGCGCTTTTCGCGTTCGCGCACGCGCCTTGAGTGCTCCTCTCTGCCTATGCCTCAGCCTCACTTCCCGTACCCTTCCCGCCCACCTCGCCTCAGCCTCGCCGCTATCTCCACGCAAACATACTTCCGCCATCGTTCCAATTGCACATATATCGAATCCAGCATCCTCGACATGTCCGTCAAGCGCAAGCGCTCCGACTCCACCTCCTCGCCGGCCTCGACTTCCAGCCTCTTCTCGCGATCTTCCGTGAGCCCATCTCCTCCATCCCAGCATCCCAGCAACACCATGCAGCTGGACGTCCCCACCCAGGCCTATCCATCACCTGCTCATTCATGGGTGTGGCAGCCACGGAGCGAGGCCAGCAATGACAGCGGACGGACCATGAAGCGATTCCGAGACAATAGGCCCGACGAGCGCCTCATCCACGGTACAGTGCCGCAGCACCCTCCACATAGCACTCGGTTTGCAGCGCTAACAGTTTCTCGATAGAATCCACATTAAGGAGGCTGTACAGCGCACAGCGCGAGCAACCGCACGCCTCCCCTATCTCATCCCAGGACCCTGCAACTGCTACTGCTGCTACCGCGCCCCTATCCCACCAGCCCGCCGTGCAGAAATCCACTCTCCATAAGTTCTGGAATATCTCTCAAGCGCCGTCGCAGCCGCCCGCGACCTCGTTACTAGCTGCGTCATCGTTGCCAGCTGCGTCTAATGGTGCTCAGGGCGCGCGGTGTGAGGACTGCGATGCCAACCTCGTGCCTGAAGACTGCATGGACATGGACGTGGACGGCCGCGGGCCGCAGCAGCAGTTTGCATGTAACAACTGCAAGCGAGCGGTCTGTGGGACGTGCTCCATATTTCGCGATGTGAGAAGTTGCCTTAATTGTGCTATGACATGAGCATGCTTGCCGTTGTGGAGTTTGAGTTGTATATTTTTCATGTATAAAATTCGGATTGTTAGTAACCAGCTGTTACGAACGGCGTTCTGAGAGCATTCTGGGACCTTTGCAGAGGTCCTAGCATTAAAGCGTGTAAGGATTGGACAGCAAATACTTCGGATATTATTGCGTCTTTGAATATTTTCATGACTATCGATTCTAGTTCAAGATGGCGATGCATAGCTGAGGGAAGGACGCATGTGATGAATGGCACTGCCTCGACCTCTAGATATATCGTACAGTCTCCGCGTCACAATGACTTCGTACCTTTGACATGATTTAAACGAACTTCCTAGCGCTCTCCTTTATCGTTCTTCCCAGCCAAATGGCGGCGTTCTTCGAGCCGTCATCGACCCTGTTCATCTTCCACGCCAGCCACGCGACCCAGCCCACCGTGCCAACCAGCATGCCCGACATCCCCGCCAGCAGCACCTTGCCCTGCTTCTCCACCACTTTCTCCACCACCGAGTACCGCTCGTTTCCGAAGCTGACCCGTGAGTACTGCGTCGCGATGCCCGAGCCGGGGAACCACACGCTCAACCACTCCTCAACCGCCTTTCGCAGGCGGTAAACCGGCGACTTGACGTCCGACCGCATCTCTTGGTAATTCCTGAGCGCGAGGTCGTTGATGGAGTGCGCGTCCGGGCGGCGGAAGCGCGAGTACTCCTCCAGCGCCCTGGCGCGCTGCTTCGCGCGCTCTGCCGCGTCGCCGCTGACCAGCACGTACTGGCTGTCCTCGACCTTGGACGTCGCGGGCGCGGGCGGCACGAAGCGGTCGAGCCAGTCGTACAGCGTCCGCACGTCTTCGAGACCCGCGTTCATCCCCTGGCCGTAGAACGGGACCATCGCGTGCGCCGCGTCGCCGACGATGACGGCTGAGCTGCCGACGTGGTATGGCGCGCATTTGATGCTGATGAGCGGCAGGTGCGGGTTCTCGAGGTACTGGCGTTGCAGGTCTTCCGCTGAGATGAGCTCCGGGACGACGCCGGGGAAGTGTGCTTGGAAGAAGGGCACCAGCCGGTTCCGAGGGTCGGCGTTGATTTCGGCGATGCGGTCGGCCGGGAGGAAGAGGGTCGATGTGAAAGACTTGTCGAGCGAGGGGATGGCAATGAACATGAACGAACCGCCAGGCCAGATGTGTAGGTGGTTGGGGGATATTTTGAAGCCGCCATGTTTGGAGGTGTTGGACGAGTCCGGTTTGATGTGAAATTCACACCAGAGGGTGTCAATGTATTCTTGGGTATAGTCCATGCGTGTAAACTTCATCATGTGGTAGCGAACAGCAGAATGGGCGCCATCAGCGCCAATCATGAAGTCAAACTTGATCTCGATTTCCCTGTAACCTGACGCTGTTGTTGGACCCTGGAAAGGATTTGATTGGTCTTTCTTGGTCATATCTTCGAACCAGGCGGTGTTGTTCTTGAAGTCTGCACCAACGAGCTTGTGGTTGAAGAGCAGTTTCACGTTGGGCATGTCCTCAAGCTCATCCAGGAGGCGCTTGTTCAGGTTGTGGCGGTCTACTGCCAATATGGCCTGCAAAATGATTCAGCTATAGCTAAGGGACTGGCTCGATTGTAAACTCACTCGGCCATGTATATCATACGCTTGCGATTCCTCGTAGTTCTCTCCGTTCTTGCTGCCATGGATCATGCGTCCATGCATGGGAATGGTTTCACTCAAGACAGAGTCAATCAACCCAGAGCGGTTGAGCAGCCGCATGGAATTGATGCCACGCTCGGAAAGAGCAAGGTTGATGGATTTTGTGAAGTTGAGCGGTGTTGTGGACGGATCCCGTAAATCTGCACATTTTCGTAGTAAGAATCACTGGATGATGAGTGAAGGTAGAGAGAAAGGGCCCATGTCTCGGTGGACTGTACAGGTGCAGCGAACATGACTCGAGCGGCTGAAAATTCATGACGCGCCACCTTCTCGACAAAGCGGCTGCGCGAGGAAGAGCAAGCTGAACGGATTGCAAAGCACAGGTATGATGGAGGGCACACGGAACAATAAACCAATAGCATCAGTAGGAAAGAAAGCGTACCTCCTCTCAGCTCATAGACCTCCACTTCGTCTCCTCTCTGGGCCGCATAAAGAGCGGCGAGGGCGCCGACAGGGCCCGCTCCGACGACCACTGTTCGCTGGACGACCATGATGCCGTAGTGCAGTGCGTCAGAAAAGAGGTCGGCGGCAAGAGAAAATATGCGTCACCTGAGAAATGAGGTGATGAGGTAAGGGAAAGTTGGATGACTACTATTCCGGACGACCGCGGCTAAATGATCCCAAGGGTCTAGTTATTAATGGTTGCCCCTGCCTGCCCAGCTGTCACAAACAAAGGTGGCAACCTTTTTGCTGTTGTGCTCGCCCCACGCGTGCTAGCGGGATCGGCGTCAGCGAACGCGCCAATGCCGATCGCGTCCAGAAATTCAACGCCGTTTTTGTGCTACTCCGCCTCAACTCCGCTGAAAGTCGCGCGCTCTGCCACTCTTTGTGCAGCACATGCGACCACATAAATAGCCTGCTGCCCACACAGATACCACCAGCTTCCTCAGGCGGCTCGTCCTTCAACATCTCCACTCGACCGAGTCCTTTCACAACCATGGCCACCGAACTTGCAACCCCGCGCAAGTGCCTGGGAACCGACTGCAAGGAAGACGCCAGCGCGCTGCAATGTCCCACTTGCCAGAAGATCGGGAAGGAGTCTTACTTCTGCTCGCAAGATTGCTTCAAGAAGAACTGGGTATACAGCAAACAACTTCTAACGCGACATCGAACTGCCCCGCTGACCGCGACGCGACAGAGTGAGCACAAGGCACTACACAAAGCCGCCGGCGCAACCTCAAGTAACCCTCTCCGTAACATCTTTCCGCCGAAGGTTATCTCACAGCCCGACCCAGAAACCGGCCACTACAACCCCTTCCCTTCCTTCTCCTTCACCGGCGATCTTCGGCCCGTCTACCCTCTGTCGCCCCGCAGAGAGGTGCCCAAGACTATTCCTTACCCCGACTACGCGAAGGATGGTATTCCCAGGAGCGAGCAGATTTTTGTCAACAGACACAAGATCAAGGTTCTCGACGCGAAGGAGATCGAGGGTATGAGGAAGGTGTGCCGCCTGGCCAGAGAAGTGCTGGATGAGGCCGCCAGGGCAGCAGTGCCTGGCGTTACAACGGATTATATCGACGAGGTCGTGCACAAGGCCTGCGTCGCGCGCAACGTAGGTTCTAAAAGCGGGAGCATGCTGGCGCCTGCCAGTGGGGTCGCAGTGTGAACTGGTGGAAAGAAGTAATCGCTGACCGTCCACAGTCTTACCCATCCCCTCTTAACTACTGCCACTTCCCGAAGTCCGTTTGCACTTCTCTCAACGAGATCATTTGCCACGGAATTCCCGATCAGCGTGTCTTGCAGGATGGCGATATCCTCAATATCGACGTCACGCTCTACCACGAAGGCTTCCACGGCGATATCAACGAAACATACTACATTGGCGAAAAGGCGCTCGCCGACGCGGACTCTATTCGCGTCGTCGAAACAGCACGCGACACGCTAGAAGAGTCCATCAAGATTGTGAAGCCGGGCATGCTGTTCCGTGACCCCGGAAACGTCATCGAGAAGCTGGCCAAGCAGAGAAATTGCAGTGTAATCAAGACGTACTGTGGCCATGGCATCAACCAGCTGTTCCACTGCCCGCCCAACGTCCCTCACTATGCCAAGAACAAGGCCGTCGGCACGGCCAAGCCTGGAATGTGCTTCACTATTGAGCCCATGATCGCACTGGGAACCCACAGGGACAAGACCTGGCCGGACGACTGGACCAGCGCTACGCAGGACGGCAAGAGGACAGCACAGTTTGGTAGGATGCATTGCAGCATTATCTTCATTCACGACATGCTAATAGATTTACAGAGCATACTCTGCTTGTCACTGAAGATGGCGTGGAGGTCCTGACGGCAAGACTACCGGATTCGCCGGGCGGTCCTGTTCCGATACCGGGGATCACGGATGGAGCTACGAAGGAGGAGGCTACTAACGGAGCTTGAGCAGCGGCATAAACTGGGTTGGATGGGGTGCGGTGTTGCATACAGAGCGGCATGGGGGAGCGATGTACTTAGCGGGGTGGTGTTGTGCGCTTAGATACCTTTTGAAGTATTAGACGCGCTTAGCCGCGTCGGCATGCCGAAGGATAGTTGTGTTGCATAATGTGCATCGGGAGCTGTGGAGTGGATAGACTCGGGACGGCGCAGTAGTTTGGCTCGTGACAGGTGCCAATGCGTCTGTGCGGAGCTTGATGCGTGCCTTGGAAGGCAGCGGATGCCAGCAGCACCAGACTGGCTTCGTTTCGTCATCGCCAAACTGCTGTTCGGCCTCCTCGAGACAGCAAGTCCATTACGACTGCATTATTCTTCCGCATCGCATTATTTTCTTGCACGGTGCTGTATCAAGTCCCCAGCTTCTGGAGCTCGAACCGATAGCCCACCGCCTACGACTCGCGCACTTAGGCAGATAACGTCTTCGCGTCCTCCCCCGCCAACCGACAACCAGCAAGCAAATCTCGACGACGCAACTCTGCCCGGCCACCTCGTCGAACCACCAAAGCCCGACGCTGTCGCACAAGCACCGTCCATCTCCTCATCGCACACCTCCACCTAGAATTTTCGTGGTCCAAGGCTTTTCAAGATGTCTGGCGAGGCGTGGCTCTACCTCCTCGCTGTCCTCATAAATGCGGTCAACCTCTTCCTCCAGGTCTTCTTCACTATCATGTACTCTGATCTCGAATGGTACGCATCATTTCCCTACGCTCTTCGCGCAGCTCGCTCTGCTGGGGCGCCTTCCCCAAGCGCATTACGCGCGCTCCTAAGCAGGAAATCGGCGCCTCGCGGATGACAATGAGCACTGCTGACACGACCGGCCACAGCGATTACATCAACCCTATCGATCTCTGCAACCGCCTGAACACCTACATTATCCCCGAAGCCGCTGTCCATGGATTCCTGACGTTCCTCTTCCTCATAAACGGTTACTGGATTGCTCTGATCCTCAACCTGCCCCTCCTGGCATGGAACGCGAAGAAGTGAGTGCCACTCGACACCTCAATGGCTTCGGGAGAAAGACATTGCCCACAATGTTGGAATTGCGATTGCGCGGGCGGATACGTGGCCAAGCGATTGGACTGCCCACTCAGGTTGGAGAACAGATGGCTGACTACGACTGGCAGGATCCTTGAGAACCAGCACCTCTTAGATGCGACCGAAATTTTCAGGAAGCTGAACGTACACAAGAAGGTATGGGATTGCTCTCCTGGCGTCTTGCGCGCCAACCGATGCGCTCAAAATGGACACGCGTGCATTAACACACTGGACAGGAATCCTTCATCAAGCTCGGTTTCCACCTGGTCATGTTCTTCTTCTACCTCTACAGCATGATGTAAGTGCTCTGCAGCTCCGGACACTCTGGAAAATCTCTGATTCTAACATTCACCTAACAGCGTGGCCCTCATCCGCGATGAGACGCACTGAATCCGGTCCAAGGCTGAAAAGCGCATACAGCGTGGCTCCTCATGGGCGAAGGGCAAGCCTTCGCCAGGCGCGAGTACGCCTCGAATCCGCTTGCCTTTGCGGCAACGTGCCCTATGAATCAAGAAAGCATGAGTAGTAACGTCTGGGATGAGTGGATGGATGCATGAATGATATGAGATGGGCAAGGTGGGACGCGCCTTTAGGCATGTGCTCCCCTTGGCTCCTGATGCCCGCCTGGCGGGTTTGTCGAGCGTAAGGCTGTATTCATAGCCCCAGCAGAGACGACGAGTGACAGGATAGCTCTGCGATTAATGTCGAGCAGCGGAAACGACTTTTAAATGTTACCTCAATTCAGAATTCCACGTTCGTTTCTGCCGCCTTCTTCCGTGAGGCCCATGCCGCTGGCCGGCGAGAGCGCGCAATCTGTGACCAGACAAACAATGATGATGTTCGACACAAGAATCTAGGCACGTCCCATTGCGCAAGCACCTCGAGCTTTCCCTCTACTGTTTTGCAGACCGTGCTAGCTTAGGCTTGAGCTGGAGTGCTGAGTCAGCGTAAGACCCTGACTCGCTCAACGTCACCGCCTACGAGCTGCGACTGAAAGTCCATCCTACCGCTGCACTTGCGACTATCCTCGACTTTATCCCAGCAGGCCCCACACCATGGCGAATAACACGAAGGGTCGCGTGCCCACCGGCTTTGCCGACGAGATCATCATCAGCGAAGCATCCTTCCGTTCCGCGCACCGAGCGCGCGAGGCAGCGACCGAGCCAGCGAGCAAAAAGCGCAAGAGAGAAGAAAAGGGCAACTCCAGCATTGTGTACGGCAAGGGCGCATACAAGGGACCATGGGCAAGATACCAGATCGAGCGCCCAGACGCCGCATCAGACGAGGACGGCTCGGATGTGGAGATCGTGTACGAGGAGGATGAGATCGAAGAGCAGCCGGCGGCGCCGCCAACGAAAGACGGGACAGCGTACGAGCTCGAGGATGCAGCGGAGGAGAAGACCGTCTTCCACGGATCGCAAGAGTTCGACTACCAAGGGCGGACGTACATGCATGTGCCGCAGGACCTGGGCATCAACCTGCGCGGCGAGATCAGCGACCTCAAAAACTACATCCCCAAGAAGTGCATCCACACCTGGAAACACCATACCAAGGCCATCAACGCGCTGCGTTTCTTCCCCGACTCCGGTCACCTGCTGCTCTCGGCATCTGCGGATAACACGGTCAAGATTTGGGATGTCTATCACAACCGCGAGCTGTTGCGGAGCTACATGGGACACAACAAGTCGGTCAACGACATTTGCTTCAACAACGATGGCACGCAGTTCCTGTCCGCCTCGTACGACCGTCAGATGAAGCTGTGGGATACGGAGACGGGCAAATGCGTGTCCAAGTTCTCGACGGGCAAGACGCCGCACGTCATCCGCTTCAACCCCGATCCCGCGCTCAACCACGAGTTCGTGGCGGGCATGGCGGACAAGAAGATTGTGCAGTTCGACACGCGGACGCAGCAGATGGTGCAGGAGTACGACCACCACCTGGGGCCGGTCAACACCATCACCTTCTGCGACGAGAACCGGCGGTTCATCACGACGTCGGACGACAAGTCGCTGCGGGCGTGGGAGTACGGGATCCCGGTGCCGATCAAGTTCATCGCGGAGCCGTACATGTACCCGATGGTGCGCAGCGCGCCGCACCCGTCGGGCAAGTACGTGGCGCTCCAGTCGTCGGACAACCAGATCGTCGTGTACGCGTGCACCGACCGCTTCCGGCAGAACCGCAAGAAGTCGTTCCGCGGGCACAACAACGCGGGCTACGCCATCGACGTGGCCATCTCGCCCGACGGCCAGTTCGTGTCGTCGGGCGACAGCGGCGGCTTCGTCACCTTCTGGGACTGGAAGACGTGCAAGATGTACCACAAGATCCAGGCGAGCGAGGCGCCCATCATCAGCACCCTGTGGCATCCGAGAGAGACGAGCAAGGTCGTCACGGGCGATCTGAACGGCGCCATCATGTTCTGGGATTGATTAATCTTTCTTTTTTTTTCTTTCTTGTTTTCTTCGTACTCCCAGCGCAAGCGTTGGCAAAAATCGAGCGTGTTATTGCGCCGTCGAGGGTAGTTGCAAGAGGTGTGAAGGTAGAAATGGGAGAGGGGAAAAGCGATAGTGATACCAAAGGGAAAAATGACATCTTCACAACGAGTTGAGACAACACGGCGACGAAAGGTGGTGATACCCATCCCCGAGTCAGGACAAGGCATCCATTCCCTACTTGCTCCCTGTATGTACATACATGCATACCAAGGATCGTACGTATGAGACAAGCAGACAGACAGACAGACAGACAGCGAGCAGCAATGTCGAACAACAGAAACGGGGGATCAACGTTCCCACCCTCCAGAGAGAAACAACTTCGAACGCAGCGGAGCTGGACGGAACTGCCCAAAGGAGAGACGCCGACCGAGGGAGAGGGGGATGATGCACACACACGCAGCGGCAACGGGGAATATGTATGTAATTTTAAGTCGCACCAAAACATAACATATCGCCGGGGCAAGGCGGGCAAGGCAAACAGGCGCACGCGCGCGTAGATGTGCAGCGTGTGAGACGAGGCGCCCAGCCCGCCGGGCGGAGTTGCCTTTCTAAGTGCGTGTGGGTTTTTGTGGGGATCGTATGTAGGTAGACGGCGGGCGGGACGACGATGATGCTCCTGACGATGATGATGATGATGATGAATGATGAATGATGGGCGGTGCGGGCGCGGACCTGAAATGTGACGTTGTTTGGGTATAGTGTTCGTAACGTGGTGGTAGTAAGTAGTCCGTAGAGGGGGAAACCATTGTCATTGGTGGTGCTCGGAATACTTTCCCCCGCGCTTTTTTTTGGGGGGGCCGGCGGGGGTGGATTTGATTGTCCATTTCACATGTGATCGGGATCTTCGCCTTCTCTTCTTGGCTCTGTTGCTTGTTGTTCCTGTTTTCTTACAACCCTTGTTACGGTCACAGGGATGAGGTGACTTTTTCCCCCTGGCGCGCGCCGAACTATGATGGATGATGATGATGGGGAAAAAGCAAAGAGCGGGAGATGCGAGGGGGGACGAGCCGGATGGACAGACTGGGGAAAGGGAAGGCCCGCCGGTCTGCCGGATGAGGTAAACCGACTGTGCTGCGCTGCTTCGTCGGCTATGCAGGGGCGCCCGGGATGGTGGTGTCAGTTTCTGTGTAGCGGCTGGATAGGGCTACATACGACTCACGTCGCTGCTGCCTGCTCTCACTTCCCCTGGCTGCCAGTATTGTTTTTTTTTTTTTGGCGATTCTGTGAAGAGTGGTGGAGAACTGCAATCAGACACGGGCAGATGTGGAGTAGGCTACGGCGGTGCAGGTATGTGAGCCACTGTGAACGGAGATTCGATGATGAGCGGACATGCTTTCAGCTTGCTTGTCTACTCGATTGGTGGTGCGAAATGGAGGGGGAAAGGCGTCCAACTGACTTTCGTGGGATCAGATACGCATGCATATCGTTCACAAGCGCGCATTGGGTCATGCCAAGCTCGTTGGGAAGAAGAGTGCAAAGCATCGTGTATGTCATGGATGTAGAGCTGAAAGGGTACTGGGCCTCGATCTCGGGGATAGCGTAAGTGAGAGCTTCTCCCATCACTCGAAGAGTTCAACTCTCGAGCTCAAATTGAAGGCGAGAACATATGGTTGATTCAATTTCGTTTTCCTTAAGCCAATAGTCGTGTCAGAATAGTTAGCCTCATTTCCACGACCAGGCCTTTGGTATTTGAGGGTATATCGAGGCTACTATGTCTGACTTTGCTTTCGACAGGTCTTGTTGTTGGAAGAAGGAGCAGCCGTCTTGATATGGAGGTCATGGATTTTTTTGATTTTTTTTTTGGTGTACATCCACGTCCGGACGTATGCTTCCAGTCAACAAGTGGATTCGGTTTTCGAATTGAGATCAGGGTCCCGCAGGACTAGTTGACTACACGTGAACTAGACTTCTAAATCAGGGACAGGATCCTACACGCCCAGCGGGTGCTGGTGCGGCGCGCTCTCACTTTTGCCTACAAATTTTTCCCGCCATGTGAAACCGCACAATAGGAACAGACACAATAGCGACCCTCCCAGCCACCAACTGTCACCTGCTTAAGAGAAACCACTTCTGCCTCCCATCCCTCCAACCGTTCCGACACTGCTTTCATCTCTTCTTCACTGATCCATCCATCTCATTCCAGTCCTCCTCACTCCACACAGCGTTTACCATGTCTGTCAGACAGAAATTCTCCCGTCGTGCTGACACGCCCCAACTCAAGGCTACCGACCCCAAAGTCCTCACTCAAGCCCTTGAGGGCGCCCAACAGCGTTATGACGCCTTCATCAAGACTGGCGAATCCACTCACTATTCCTGGAACTGGCCGACCGGCTGTATCGTATGGTCGCACGGTCACAACGGCTTCACTTTGCCGAGCGGCTTCAAGCTCAGCATGCGCGACAAAATTGTCTCGGGCGTCCAGGATTTCCTGAAGTCATACCAGACGAAGGACCATGACCACTATGCCTTCTGCGAATATCTCAGCATGTGGGACATCTCAAGCCTCTGTTCGGGAGAGAAGTTCTTCCGCTTTCCTGAATTCGGATCCGTATTCTGCGTCCAGCTGGCCTCCGAGTTCAGGCCGCATGTTGTGAAAATCGGTCTGCTCCAAGGCGAACTGGCTGTCTACCTTCGGCGCGATATCTGCATCCCATTCTCTCAGTTCGTCGAGACTCTTCGTCAAGCCGGGCCTCGCTTCGCCGCAAGCTACGACACGCAGCTTAGGTTTTGGGAGGCTCGAGTCTCCGTGGGGAAGGAGAAGTTCAATTACTCTGGACTTCCGTATGAGCTGAGGTGGCAGATTCTCGAGAAACTTGGAGAGGACAAGGATCTCTGGCCGTTCCTGTGGAGCAAAGACCGAAGGTGTCGATACACTAACCAAGAGGACGTGCGCAGGTATGGCTCTATGGCCCTTGCTCCCGAGCAGTTTTTGTACGCGATGCCTGGTGTTGGCGTCTTCGAAGCAAGGTCTTCGGACCAGGACATGTTGTTCAAAATGTCCATCCGCCGCAACACTCTCTGCTTCGATAGGCCCGGCCATCTAATCCGCTTCCTGGACCAAGTCGTCGAGAAACAGATGCGCGAAATCCGCAACATCCACTTGAACTTCAGCCATGATGATTTCCTGAGCCTCTTTGGAGCCAACATCCAGCCTGGTAACCGTCACGGAAAGCTCACCAAGGTGCTGAAGACTCTGGGGCAGCTGAGCCTGGAGAACCTCTGGATTGAGCCCAAGGTGTCCACAAACATGGTCATTGAGAACTACTTCACCACGCCTCAGGTCTTTGGCTGCCACAGCAAGGCCGTGCAGTACATTTGCGGGTTGGTCACTCGCAACCTCCAGAACGCCAAGAAGCTTCGGCTTTGCGGCTTCCACGTCCGTCCCAGCTGGCAAAAGCATCTGGACGACATGTTCTTCGACGCAAAGCGCGCCGAGTTCGTGTCCGACCGCTTCTACGCCTCGAAGGCTCCCGAGCCGCCGCATGCCGAGGACGAAGACGACGGTGGCGTCCCGGTTTCAGAGAAGCGTCGCCAGCCCAATGAGGTGATCGCCCGTGCCGGACCGCCCGTGCCTTACGACGCCGCCATCGACCTTCCTCCGATCGACGTGGACAAGCTGGGCCCCCTGTGGCCCTGCGAGTGCCATGACCGCTGCCGCCCAGACCACTTCAACAACCGCGACCCGCCGAAGAAGGAGAAGGTCACTAGAAAGAACAAACCACGGGAGGCGGGAGGACCGGAAGCGGAGTCGGGTATCTTGGGCGAGATGATCCAGGTCAATGATGCGCTGCCAATGGGTCTGGTTCAGGACGTGATCAACGCCAGGAAAGTTCAAGACGCGGTCAACGCTTGGACTAATGGTGAAGACTATCATGACCAAGAGGACGGTGGGGATGACTCGAACGATGAGGACGACGCGCTGAGCTTGACTCCAGATGATGGCGCGGACTGGGTGATTGAGTAGATGCGGCCGCCGAGTTCCTTCGCGGTCGATTCAGCGGACATTTCTGCATTGATTTGGGATTCCTGGATACAAATTGGATGGGGTGAACAGCGAAGGCGGTGTCCTTCTCAGGAACGGTACGAAGCAGGATGTAGAACACGAGACTATTCAATTCAATTCACCAGACTTTCTCGACATGTTCTTGTGTGTGGGGTATGTAAAAAACGTGCAGCGACATCAACAACGGCAGGCACAATGGACGGCTCAAGCAGCAAGGCGTCAGTCGTAGTGGCAGTACCTAGGGCCGAGGCTGGTCCGTACGGTTGCCGATAAGAGGGTCCAACTGGGAGTGGGGAGACATATGTAATTACCATTCGGGCACGGCATTGTAATCCTTTCCTTCACTGCTCCTCATTTCCCACACCAACCACCATGACTCTATGCGCGAAGGGGTTTATATCCGGGTTCATCAGTTCCCCGATGGTGGAGAAGCAGACGGCCGCGGGATCGCCACTGGAGCTCAAGTTATGGTTCCAATACTCATTCCCGACGTAGGAATTGCCATCCCAAGCCCAAGTGACAACCAGCAGCTTCCCCTCATCCCCGCCGACCAGCTTCCTGCACGGATCCTCCTGCGTGAACCGCACCGCGATCCCCTTCGCGCCCGCCGCCTCCGCGACCGCCTCCTCCGTCTCGCGCGGCACGCCGTCGATCCAGCCAAACTCGACGACCGACACGCGCTCGAGCTCCAGCGCCGCCAGGCTCTCTGCAAACGCCTCGACGTACCACCCGTTCTGCGCTGCGTGCTTGCGCCACACGCCGAGCCCCAGCCCGACGACGTGCACGACCGCGTCCCGGCCCGCGGCCCGCGCCCGCGCGTCCGCCTCCAGCAGCAGCACGTCGAACGACACGCGCAGCCGCGCCTTGTACATGTGCTCGTCGAAGTCGCCGAACCGGTAGCGCGCCGCCGCGTCCGGGCGCGCGTCGACGTCGTCGACGCCGGGAAGCAGCCACTGCTGGATCATGCGGCGCACCTCCGGGTCCATGCGGCCGCCGACGGAGCGCTGGCCGGCCGGCGGCGGGCGGCAGATGATGGCCGAGTCGTGCTGGGCGGCGCGGTCGAAGCGGGGGCCCACGACGCCGACCATGACGCCGCGGGGCTCGTGGGCGACGCCGGCGTCGGCCGGGACGCCGTGGTTGAAGCGGTTGCCGCTGTTGATGAAGAAGGTGGGGCCGGAGGCGGCGAGCAGCGAGGACAGCATGATCTCGTCGTAGGAGAGGTAGGCGTCGAGGGTGAGGTGGCGGTTGAGGAGCTGGGCGGGCGTGCCGACGCGGTCCCACTCGGCGTGCTTCGCGCCGATCCAGCGGTTGTCGCGCAGGCGGGTGAGGTCGCTGCTCTGCAGGAAGCAGAGCGGCCGCTTCTCGATCATGCGCGTGGCCAGCCGCGGCCAGGTCATGGTGCTGTAGAGGGCCTGCTCGTGGTCGGAGCCGTTGGCGCGCTTGTGCTGCAGGAAGGCGTCCAGGAGGAGCGGCATGCGCGGGTGCAGGACGACGCGGGTGTGAAGGGCGTCCTGCTCGATTTGCGCGGGGGGGAAGTTCTCAATGCGGTTGGTCGAGAGTGGGAAGTCGCCTTTGAACTTGGACGGCGTGAGAAAGTCCAGGGGTGCTGGTAGCTCACCGGCTGGAGGAGGGCGCGGTGGGAGCTTCAGCGTCTTCGGATCTGGTGTGAGCACATGGGTGGATTGATGGCTGTAGGCTGCCGCCTGCAATGGATTGAGAGACGCCAATGATGGACCGCTGGGGAAGCTGGTCTGGGGCCCTGTTCCTCTGGAAGAGCGCGGCATGGTTGGGTTCAGAGAGCGCTGTAGTAAGGGAAGTCTTGGAAAGCGCCGGTTGGTATACCGATTCAATCGGTAAAGGATTGGCGTCTGTAAGCGCATCAATGATGCCTCCTATCTTTGTGAGAGGGAGGCAGGTATTTTGTATGGACCGGAAGGGAAGACACTGTCTCGGAGCAGAACCAACTGCTAATAAACAGGGTTTTTTGATGGATTTGACTCACACATCACTGGCGTAGTTGCCTTGAGGGCTGCCTGAGCTCAGCCTTGCTACCTAGTGGGCTGCGCACCGCGCTAAACCAGGTTGAGAAATGCTAAGAGGAGCTGTGGGATTTGAACGTTGACATGGGAAAGAATGACTTACAGAAACAACGTGGAGGTCTTCAGATTCATGATTTTAGTTTTGTACAGGGCGGGAGACATTGCCGTCCGCTGACGTTGGCTACCGGCAGACCACATTAATTCGGAATGATTCCGGTGTTCGCACCTAGCAGACACCATATTCCGTAATCGCGGTAGCTAATTAGTCCTTGGTCTCTCAAGCAAGAGGGCCGGCATCAGGCACGTCTGCAAACATGATTGGCGACACGGGAGAGATGCAGTCGCATGGACTTGCCTTAAGGGCTGACGGCCGTTTTAACCAGGCGGCATGGACCGTCTTGTCGGCAACCGTAGTCCGGGGCCGGATGGGGCCGTGCGGGCAGAGGGTTGAGAGAGGAAAGTCAGCTGTGCGCCTGCCTGCAACCTGATGGCCGCCGAGCTGCATGACACACCATCGCCCTTCCCCTCGTCCCAGTCCAGCTTCGTCGAACCCGGCTCCGGCCTGCGCGTGTCTGTAATTATGCTGCTTGCCAGCTGACTCCCCACACCTCGAGCGACGCGCTCACGACGCCATCCAACTTCCGCCGCAGCTGCTCCGACCGCCGTAGCTGCGGCTTTCCCCACGCCCAGCCCGCATGGCTTCAACCACCTCCGCCTTGTCGCGATACCGCCCCGTCGTGCTGGCCCTCGCCGGAGCTGCCGCCGCCTTCTCCGCCTACCTCGTCTGGTCCACCCTCACCGCCGAGCCCGCCCAGGGCCTCCAACGCAGCAACGCCGTCCATCGTCGCCGCAATCCGCGACGCCGCACCCGCTCCCACCACGACGATGCCGACGCCGATGCCCGCACCGACGCTACCGATTCCGCACCCCCCTACGGCGTCTTCGTCGTTGAGGACGCCGACAACCATGGGCATCGCCACCGCTTCCCGCTCTTCCCGGGAAGGCTGCCTGACGTTGATTGGTTCCGACGCGTCTGCCACCATGAGCAGTGGATGGCCGAGGAGCTGGCTGAAGAGGCCCAGCGCCAGTTCCTGGACAATTATCTGGAGCGCGAATTCGATGCCTCCAACCACCTCTCGAGGCGCCACGAATCCGATCGTATCTACCGTCGCCTCCTCACCTGGGGTCTCCCACGCGCTCAGATCACGGCTGCCTTCGGAAGACTCTACCGCAGGATCGCTGATACCGCCCAGACCGACGGCACACAGGACCTAGCCATTGCTGCCAATGACGATGAGACCGAGGCCGCCTCATGGCACGAGGCTGAGTCGCAAGGTGGCGCCATGGCAGTCAACGACCAGAACGGCGACGGCCACGCTCTCCGGAGGACACTGTACTACATTGCCGAAGATCAGGCGCGACAGAAGGGCATTGTCCATCGCGGAATCACTTGCGATGGCTGCAGCACCACGCCCATTCGGGGCATCCGTTGGCGCTGCACCAACTGTATAGACTACGACCTGTGCTCCGATTGCGAAGCTACCAACATCCATCCCAAGACACACATGTTCCAGAAGGTCAAGGTCCCTGCCAGGTACCTGGGATACACTCGCAATCCCATGCCAGTGTATTTCCCAGGCAATCCAGGCTATATGCCGTCCATTGTGCCCAACGCCGTGAGGAAAAGCCTGGAGGAACAGACGCAGTACGAGCCCGAAGAGATCGATGGCCTTTGGGAGCAATTCACCTGTCTTGCCAACGTCCAATGGGACGAGGATCCGGAAAAACTGGGCGCAGCCATCGATAGGCGCGCTTTTGACAAATCTTTCGTGCCCAGGTATACTGCAAACATCCCCGCTCCCAATCTTGTCTACGACCGTGTTTTTGCCTTCTTCGACAGCAACGGGGACGGCTTGATTGGTTTCAAGGAATTCGTCCTCGGCATGAACTTCATCCGCATGAGTCCACACAGCCGCGCGAAACTACACAAGATCTTTGAATGCTACGACATCGACGGCGACGGCTATGTGACCAGAAAGGATTTCCTGCGCATCTTCCGCGCGTATTACAACATCCTCCGTGAGAAAACCAGGGACATGCTGATGGTTGCTGAAGAGCATCTCAGTGTAGCTGGCGCTATGGACACAATCGAGTCGAGCCAGCCTTTGAGCTCTGCTTTCCTTGGCGGACCAAACTTCAACAGGCAGAGACCCAATGCAGCGCTACAAAAAACGTTTGATCGCTTCGGAGATCCCCAATCCGAGGATGACGAGGTTGTACGGGAGGATAGTCGCGACATCGAAGACCGTTCACAGCTCATCGCAGACTCTGGAGAACTTCGCCTGGGCACCGCTCGTAGACCCGCGGCTGCACTCATCGGACACGCTCGCCATGAAGCTGTCGCGGATCGATGGAGACGGAGAGAGTTCTATGTCGATGAAGAGGAAGGTCTCACTGCGCCAGACAGGTCGGAATACGACCACGCGGATGACTCCGACGACTTGTCCGCAGCTATTGGCGGCCAAGCCGATGCACCCACTGACGTCTATGTCCGACCCTCACATTCCCGTTCATCCTCGCGTGTCCGCTTTGCCGACGATCTTGAGTCTGATGCTCGTTCTGATATCTCTGCATCCTCGCGGCCCGTAGGAGAGCGGTGGGGCGGTTACCAAATTCCAGAGGCCGAAGAGGACCTTGGAAAGGATATTCTCTATCAGGTCACCCAACAGGGCTGCAACGAAATGCTCGATCCCATCTTCAAGCGGAAAGAGGACATTGCTATGGAAGTGCAAGCAACCAAGTCCGAGCGCCAGATGTGGCGCCAGAAGATCAGTGCCTTCATCAAGGACATGGAGGAGAAAACCGGCGCAGACTTCAAGAACGACCCGCTCGTCAGATCTCCCGAGGCCGAAGAGCTCATGAGAGTCTCCCTTCAATTTGTTGCATTGGTTACCGGCCGGAGCTGGAAGACGTACCAAACCCTGAAGAACAAGGGTTTCATTCCCAATGAAGACATTGACGCTCTCGACGGTTTCGTGGAGGAGGTCTTTCAACCTTTCGAACGGGATCTACGACAAGCAGAAAATAACGGCATTTCTAACGAAGCATACAAGAGTTTCATTTCCTCCGCTAGGTCCCTGATCGCAAAGGCTGCAAGGCGTATTTCGGAGACGAAGAATGAATCGGGAACAGCGACAGATACCCAGAAACGAGAGGCGAGGCTCGAAGTGGACTTGGTCGACATGCAATTGGACGAGCTATTTGAGAGGTCGAATCTATTGGAGGGCGATCGCGAGAGGGCAAGGCGGTCGGAAGAGCCAGGTAGGGAAGTTGGAGGGGATGCAAACAACACCAACGGGGGCGACGGTAACGAGGACCCTGAAGTAAGGTGGCTTGAGCTTGTGATGCGCCCCTCTGACGCCAGGACATCGGGGCAGAGAAGAGAGCAGCCTAGCGCACGCAGTCAAAGAGCAGCATCGCCGCCTAGGGATATAACTATGCCACAATTCCGCCCAAACAGCATCCCGAGCAACCCTGCGCAAACTGGTTTCCTGCCCATGCCGAACCTCAATCTTCCTACCAATACCACTGCGCCACCGGAGAGGCCGGAGACGCCTGAAATCATTCCTCCAGCTCCTCCAGTAGACCAAGCAGAGCCCCTCAACGACCCTACCATGCCCCAATTCCGGCCCAACAGCGAGCGCGACATTCACCCGCCCAGAGCCTCATCACTGAATCCACCGCCGGCGCCCGTTTCTCAAGGAAACGCAGTCCCAACTAGCCGCCAGGCCTCGCCCGCTCCAGCGCCCAGCCATGCGAACGAACCAACCCTCTTCATCCCAATCTCATCCGAGGCATCCACTTCGGAAAGTGGCTCAGAGGACACGCCCAGCTCCGGAGAATCCACATCGGCCGAGGAAGACGAAGACGAGGACGAGGACGATGACGATGACGACGACGACGACGACGAGGACGATGATGACGAGGACATGGCCGCCGAGATCCGCATGCGGCCCAGCGACATCCGCGACCTGCCCGAGGAGTTTCTGTCGCTCGTCAGCACGGCGATCCGCGAGCAGCGCGTGCGCGACGCCATCAACCACTCATCGGCAGCGGCACGCGTGCCCAACGTGCACTTGCTCAACGCGTACGCGCGTCAAGACGACCACAGCGAGGCGCCCGACGAGCGCCGGATGGCCCGGTTGGCCATGTTGGACGGTGCGGAGAGCGAGATCAAGAAGGTGGGAAGGGGCCGGATCGGGTTCGAGGAGTTTGCGGAGATGATGCAGGGGCCGGCCGGTGGTGCGTTGGCCTTTGTTGAGGGGTGGCTGGAGTTGGGGAGTTTGTGAGCAGGAGAGAGAGAGAGAGAGAGAGAATTTGAAGAAGGGAGGAAAAAGAATGGAAGTGAAAGGAGGGACAAAAGCGATTTTTTTCTCTAATGATGTATGGAAAGAAAACGGTTGATAGCATGGTCGGAAAGGGAAATGCGGACGGTTCCGGGACGGGACGACCCGCATGCATGGCAGATGGAGTTTTCTTTTTTTCTTTTTTATATCGATACTAAAAGAATAGTCAGTGCTACATACATATAGTGCAGCAGCTATCTACTTGTAGAAATGATACCCGACGGATCGGTCGTTTATATATCATTACCAACTTCGAGCTTGTTACGGGTTCTTTTTCTCTCTCTTTTGATTCGAAGACCCTGAACGGCGTTCAACTGCATGCGAGATGTAAGTTAAAAAAAAAAAAGGAATCCGTTTACTCGACGTCAGAGTGCCTAGTAGTATCTAAAATTGTGACGATGTGTCGCTCACACAACAAGGCTGCGCCATCGTCAGTGCAGAACCAAGTGAACCATTCTCGTGCAGGAAAATTGATGAGGTTTTGCACACAACAGGGCACATGGAGAGCGGAGATCCCAAGAGGGAGAAGATAGAAAGCGTCGCTCGACACTTCTTTCTTGAAGATGCTCGGGGTTAAAAGAGTTCGAGCCAAATTAGTTGTGGAAAGCTAGTATTGATTTGAGTCCCTAGAGACCATTAGGTTATCGCATCAACTACCAGCATTCTTGGTCTAAGCATATGGCACCAGTCCGAGTTCCTATGTTGATGATTCAGAATGAAGAGACCGGGTGTATGTACATACATCCAACCCTTTTTTTTTGCTACTGAAATATATACGGTGCTTGATTCTTTCTCAACAACCTCGATCCCTCTACGCATCCACTTTGCCCTTTTTTTTTTCTTTCTTTTTCTTTCCACTACGCCACCAACGGCACATCATCATAATTCTTCTTCATCCACACCCTCACCTTCTCCAACCCCTCCTTCAACACCTCCGTCTCGCAGCAAAACCCAACCCTCACATACCCCGCAAACCTCTCCCCAAAGCTCTCCGGGCCCGGCACAAACAGCACGCCCGTCTCCGCCAACAGCGTCCGGCAAAACTGCCCCGCATCCACCGCCGCGCCGTCGCGATGGAAGCGCAGAAACGCCGTCGTGCCCGCCTTGGGCCGCACCCACTCGACGACGTCGTCGTGCTTGACGACGAAGCGGTCGAGCAGCTCGAGGTTCGCCTTTGCGAGCGAGATGTTGCGCGCGAGCAGCGCGTGCACGGTGGCGGCGCCCAGCGCGCGCGCCGCCACCCGCTGGTCCAGGCTGCTGACGCTGATGGTCGTGTAGTGCCGCGCGGCGGCGAGGCGGGCGACGACGCCCGCGTCCCGCGCCGCGACCCACCCGACGCGGATCCCGGCGAGGCTGTAGGCCTTGGAGAGGGAGCCGGTGGCGATGGTGAGCGGGTAGCCGAGGGAGAGGATCGAGGGCGGGAAGGACTCGTCGACGGGGGAGACGCTGTGGAAGATGGGGCGGTAGACTTCGTCGCTGAGGATGGGGAGGGATTTGGTCTCGGCGTAGTCGATGAGGTTTTGGAGGAGGGACTTGGGGAGGATGGCGCCGGTGGGGTTGTTGGGGTTGCTTTTGGAGGGGGGGTGCGGGGTGTTAGTTTGGTTTCGTGGTTGTTTATATGTTTATATATCGGCTGAGAGAGAGAGGTGAACAACGTACTTGACTACGATGAGTTTGGTGTTTGGCCGCACCAAAGCCTTCAATTCTTCCAGATCCGGTATCCAGTCGTTTTCGGCTTTGGCTTCCCAGAGGTCCACTTCGGCGCCCAAGCTTTTCGGGACCTCGTATAGTTGCTGATACGTTGGATGGTGGACAATGACGTGGTCTCCTGGCCCAATCAGGGCGTAGAAGACCAGGGTGTTGGCCATGATAGCACCCGGAGTTATCAAAATATTATCCTCGGGCAAGGGAGTTGTCGCCCTTGATGAGTAGAGTCTTGAGAGGTTCTTCCGAAGAGCCTCGCTGCCGCGGATTTCGCCATAGGTGAGCTTTTCCGACGTTGTCAGAATACCGGCGGACTTCTCAGCAGGATCCTCAGCAAGCGATTGCAATTGCTCGATGGAGATGGATGCACAACACGTCTCGGCGAGATTGTACTTGGCGGAGTTCTCATGGGCGTCCATCCACTACGCGAATCAGTGCCAGGAATCAAGAGCATCGCAATTGATTCGTAACGGTTTGGAAGAGCAACTACTGTGCCTTCCCCTATACCGCTTCCTCCAGCGCAGCTTGGCTTGTACTTGGCAGCTGGAGACACCGACTGACATGGCTCCACTTGGTCGTACGAACGTGGGCCCAACCGCAACGCGTACACGCATCCAACAACAGAAGAACCGGAACAGCCGGGAGAAAGACGATGAAAAATCTGCAAAACCTACCTCCTCAACTCCAAAGGGCTCCAGGTGCACCATGATGACGGCGGTTGATCGACAGAGCTCGGGAGAACGGGGCAGCGGGCGCTCTGGTTGGAGCAGGCGGGCGATCCAGCGATCACGGGAGGCGAATGTGATTCGCGTTGAGGGAGCAGGGAGAGCTGAGGGAGGAGCTTATAGCGTGTCGTGCGTGTCGTGCAGACGCAGGGCCGCGGGTCAGGGCGAGCGGAGGCAGCTGGGGGCTGACCAGGCGCCGCAGCCGTTGTCGCCGCCGCCCCGGCGCAATGCTGCTGTCCGGCGCGCTGACCGACGATCGCACGTCGCGTGAACCGGCGATCGCGAGGCTCAACAGGGCTCAACAGGGCCTCTCTGACCACCTGATGCCACCATTCCGGCTCTTGGCTGACCCCAGACACATGCAAGCGACACGCGGGCGGCGCCGCGGTTGGTGCGGATGTGCGCGAAGGAAGTCGACACAGGCATCGCGTCAGGCTGGGACGGACGGCGGGTTGGGGGCAGTGCACTCTGGCCGGCGCGCGCTCAGCCGAGGCGCCTGGGCGGCGTTGGCCGTAATGAACCTGCCCTCCCCGCAGAGTCTCCACACCAGCAAGCAGGCACTCACTCGACAGCTTCACCGCCATCAGCCATCTCCCAGTCCCAGCGCCGAGTCATTCTCCGCGCAGCCCGGCATAAACGCCGCGCCAAACCTTTTCGCCGCGCCCAAGTCGCGTCCTCCACTCTTGCCGCCGCCCATATCCCCAGCACCGCGCCACCGCCAGGCAGCTGTATCGCGTCTTGAGAGCTTCGCCGCACCGCGCAGCTTGGGCCACGCCCGCCTCAACATCCACCATGCGCTCGCCCGGATGGGCCACTCACTTGCTGGCCGCCGCCGCCGCCCTTTCCAGCATTGCCGCTGCCCAGCGCACCTTTGGGAACTACACCAGCAACGACATGCTGCAGGACCCCTTCTCCGTCTATGAAGACCGCCCCGACGGCTGCCCGCCGTGCTTCAACTGCAACCTCGAGCAGTTCCCGTGCCATCAATTCGCCGGCTGCAGCAAGGCCAACGGCCGCTGCGTGTGTCCGCCCGGCTTCGGCGGCGACGACTGCTCTGATCCCGTCTGCGGCTCGCTCGCTGATGGCAGAGACAGGGCGCCCCGTCAGGGCGCACAGTGCGACTGCAGAGAGGGCTGGGAAGGCATCAATTGCAACGTCTGCTCCACCAACCAGGCATGCAACGCCCTGATGCCCGAGGGTGTCGATGGTGTCTGCTACCGCGAGGGTCTTGTCGTCAAGGAGAACTACCAGATGTGCGACATCACGAACCGCAAGATCCTGGACCAGCTCAAGGACCAGAAGCCGCAGGCTACCTTCGCCTGCAACGCAGAGACCGAGGAGTGTAACTTCCAATGTATGTTCTCCCGCCTCTGCTTTCGGATCGCCACTGACAGCCTACAGTCTGGGTCGACCAGAAGGAGTCCTTCTACTGCTCCCTCGATACCTGCGGCTTCACCGTCAACCAAGAGTCGAACCGGAACACTACCAAATACCGCTGTGAGAATGTCAAGTGCTCGTGCATTCCGGGGAGGATGCTCTGCGGAGAGGAAGGCTCTATCGACATCGGCGAGTTCTTGGACGAGTCCATCAAGGGCCCGGCAACCTTCAAGACCGTCTCGACCGATGGTGGCAGCAGCGAGGATGGCAGTCTGTTCTCCGAGCCGGCCATGAACGATTTGATCGCGAGCGTCTTCGGCGACGAGAGCATTACCCTGCGCTGCCACTCCGGCGAGTGCCTGCACGAGACCGAGATCCCTGGTTATGAGCGCCCGGTCAAGGCGATCAACACTCCCTTGATCGCTGGCGTGATTGCAGGATGCGCTCTGTTCCTTGTGGCCGTCATCCTCCTTGTGTGGATTCTCTCCAGGAGAAGCGCTGCCCAAGGCTGGGGCCCGATTCATCTGACCGACGATGAAGACGACGAGGCCATGAAGCTCATTGCGGACCACAAGCCTGCTGCGCTCCACTTCGAAAACGTGTCGTACCAACTCAATGGGAAGCAGATCCTCGCGAACATCCAGGGTGCCGTCCGTCCCGGAGAACTCATGGCCATTATGGGTGCTTCTGGTGCCGGAAAGACTACTTTCTTGGATATTCTGGCCCGGAAGAACAAGCGCGGCACTATTTACGGCGACATCTACGTCAATGGTGAAAAAATCCCGAACGATGATTTCAGGAGCGTCATTGGATTCGTTGATCAGGAGGATGCTCTCCTGCCCACTCTAACGGTTCATGAGACGATTATGGACTCTGCCCTCCTCCGCCTGCCAAAGGAAATGAGCCGTGCTGCCAAGGAACAGAGGGTAGAGGATGTCGAAAGGCAGCTTGGAATCTACTCGATCCGCCACCAGATGATCGGATCGGAGGAAGGAAGCGGCCGTGGCATCTCGGGTGGTGAAAAGCGCCGTGTTGGAATCGCCTGCGAGCTGGTTACCAGCCCCAGTATTCTATTCCTTGATGAGCCTACCAGCGGCCTGGACGCCTACAATGCCTTTAACGTGGTCGAATGCCTGGTCCACCTAGTCAAGACATACAACAGGACTGTGGTCTTCACAATCCACCAGCCGAGATCCAATATCGTCGCCCTTTTCGATCAGCTCATCTTGCTTGCCAAAGGAAGGACTGTGTATTCCGGACCTTTCGCGAACTGCCAAGCCTATTTTGATAACGTCGGGTATACCTGTCCCCCTGGCTTCAACATCGCCGATTTCCTCGTCGATCTCACGATGCATGCTTCTACACCTCGGGTTCCCATCGATGAGAACAGCTCTCTATTTGCACCCCGCGATGATTTCCCGACTAGGGCTAGCAGCGCAATTGGCGTGAAATCAATCCCGAGCGTTTCCAACATGAGCATCGATCAAGAGCAAGGTAGCGAGTCAACGAGCACCCGGCCCAAGAACAAGAGGAGGGCTTCGATCAGACAGCAGCAAGAACGCCAGCTCTTCACCCGCAAGAAGAGCGGCTATGAGCAGCCTCCGACGCCCAAGACCGACGACGAGTCGATTGCTGAGACCGAGAGAGACAATATTCGGCTGCACCGACAGCAGGGGGCTCCCCCGCCGCAGATCTTGGAAGACCCTGACCAAATTCCCCCGGCTGCTGAGGGAAGCACAGGCACCGATCTCGACACCCTTGTTTCCACCTACACGCGCTCGGACGTTGCCGAAGCCCTTCACGAGGACATCTACACGGTCATCATGGGATCCCACAGTGCGAATGGACACAATGACTCCAGCTCCTCCAATGGCAGTTACAAGGTCAAGGGCTACCGCAAGGTTGGCGTGTTTAGCCAGTTCGTGATCTTGTCCAAGCGAACCTGGCGTAATCTTTACCGCAACCCGTTGCTCATGTTGACCCACTACGCCATCGCGATCGTTCTTGCTGTCCTGATCGGCTACCTCTTCTACGGTCTGACGGACGACATCAAGGGTTTCCAGAACCGTTTGGGTCTGTTCTTTTTCTTGCTCGCCCTCTTCGGCTTCAGCACGCTTACGTCGCTTACCGTCTTCGCTCCCGAACGCCTGATCTTCATGCGCGAACGAGCCAAAGGTTACTATAAGCCTATTGCTTATTTCGCTGCCAAGGTGCTGTTCGACATCATCCCACTGCGTTTGTTGCCGCCAATCATCATGGGCGCAATCGTGTACCCCATGACTGGACTCATTCCAGCCGCAGCCGAGTTCTGGAAGTTCATGCTGTTCTTGACCTTGTTCAATCTGGCTGCGGCGAACATCTGCCTCTTCATCGGTGTCATCGTAAGGAACCAGGGTGTGGCGAATCTCGTTGCTACGCTGGTAATGCTCTTCTCGCTGCTGTTTGGAGGGTTCCTTCTCAACCACGAGACCATTCCCAAGTCTGCTTTGTGGCTGCAGTCCGTAAGTCTATCATCTCGATACGTTTTGCGCCAGTTGCAAGTTGCTAACCAATGCTGCAGTTGTCTATCTTCCACTATGGCTTCGAGGGTCTGATTGTCAACGAGGTCAAGTACCTCTCCCTTGTGGACCACAAGTACGGCCTCGACATCGAAGTGCCGGGCTCTGCTATCCTCAGCAGCTTCGGTTTCAACGTGCTCGCGCTGTGGCAGGATGCCGTCGGACTCGCTGTTTTCTGCGGCGTCTTCATTGTTCTCGCGTACGCTAGCATGCACTTGCTGCTTGTGGAGACTAGATGAGCAGGGCATGTTTCGGCCTTTGCTCGAAAGAGTGTGTATATCATAGATGGCTGGGCCTGCCAATGCAACTCTGCGCCCTCTGGCGCATTGTTGGACTAGAGGTGGCCACCGCATGGGCAGTCAGGGATGCGCTGTCCAGTTGTACAGAAGATAGAGTATTATTGATTGGTCTCGACGACTTGTCCGGGGGAATTAAGATGAGGCTTGCGATCAGCGGCACCACGTGGTCGGCATGGGTAACTGTATCAATACGGGCGTTGACTTTTGTTTCTTGGGCTTGCTCACAGGAGCGTCTCATCATGTCAATGGATTGTATCATTCATTTTGTGTTGCAATTTGCGCCGATTCAGGCTTTCCTTCCGACAGCTTTCGTGAGTGGACGAGCCATGGTGGGTCAGAAGTGATCCTGATTGGCACATGTAGCACTTGCTTTTTTCTCGTTCGGTGCGACAGGCTGGGACTCCATTAGGAAGGTTTGAAACATTTTATTTCAACGTCAACTGGACACGTCATCTAGGCGAGATCAACGGGGCCACACGAGTTCTTCGCTCGAACCTAGCCAGCTCAATAGCGAAAGACACACGACTAGCAAGCTCTGGCCTTGTTCTTCCTAGCGCGCCATTGGGTTGGGGAGACGGAAGGGCTGAAATGAGACAGTCCTACATTGAGCCTAGACAAACGACGAGCGAACGCACAGCCCCTCCACCCGCCTTCGCCATTGGCGACATTCCTTTCATTGCAGTGGCGCGTTCGCAATAACGCTGAACAGCCGTGGTCCCCACGACGGCGGTCGCGGCGGCTGCTGCCGCAATGCAAATCATTCGTAACCTTAACTCTCATTTCCCCTCCAGCGCACCGGGTCTCTGGTGAGGAACTCCGCTTTGGGGAAAGTCACCCCGGGCGATGCGTGCGTTTGAAGGAAGGCAGAAGGGCGGCCAGCGTTCCCATTCGACGCTGGAAAGCGTACAAAGGACGTTCGCGCTGGAAGAATTGGGTGCGGTTCGGGAAATGGGGCGTTGTGCCTGCGCTGGCGCATGGCGATCTCAGCATTTCCGTTTCTCTTCCCTGGTTGGGGCGGGCATGTGATGATTGACGAGGGGGACCAGCCGGTTTACCAGAATGCTCCTGCAATAATCAATATAGGGGCGGAGCCCGGAGCCCGGAGAGGGGGAGGGGCCTGCGCCTCGGCCGCATTGGCACATTTGGCGATGGTGAAGCGGAGGTGCCGTGTAGGGCTGGGCCGTTTAATGACCCTGACCTTGCGGCCTCCCCACCTCGGGCGTGCGAGTGGCCAACCTCGCTCCCTCCGAATCGGGCGAAGACGTCGGGTGGCATCTCGATGCGGGTTGTCCAGTGCAACACGATGCACGAGTCTTGGAGCGGCCGCTTCGTGCCTGGCTTCGCGCTACGGCAGCTTCGCGCCACGGCAGCTCCGCGCGGCGTGTGCGAGCCTCTACACGCTCGCAGGCCTCGCGCTGCGCTCGCGGCCAATGCGCGTGCTGGCAGCTGGGCAGCAGCGGGCGGCGCAGGTGATTGCGAGCAGCCGGCTTGCTGGAGGCTCGCAGGTCTCATGAGGTGAGGTGGGCGCTGGGGGCGTAGGGACGTCATTGGGCCCGCATCTAGGGCCGTTCGGCACAGTGTAATTTGAGCGTCAGTCAATTGATCTGGGCGAAGGGAGGCGGCGTCGTCATAGGGGGCCGGCCATCGAGGGCTGAGCTAGCTGGTGCGAACGAACCCTGGAATTAGTTTCAACAACGGCAGGCCGCCAGCTTCCTGTCAACAACACAGTCGACTCCATCGAGAGAGGGTTATGCGCCCGTAGTCGCACACGCATCTGTCGCGCATTGTGAGTGCACATCCTACCCACCGCCCCCCTGTCTGAAACCTGCGTTTCACATGGGCGCCCGGCCACCGTTTGGTGCCCACGCCCTGCCCTACAACCTGGCCCACCGCCCGCCCGCGCGTCGTCCCGCGACCGCATTACTATGTCCCCGTCGTCCTAGCCACGATTCTTCCCCAGAGACACCACCCACTGATTCCCCCCTCCCGCAACCGCAGCCATGTCATCGAATCTGCCTGGCGGCGGCGGCGTGAGATCACTTCGTGCTATGTTCGAGAGCTCACATCCCGAACGTTCTGCCTCCCCTGAAGCTGCCCGTGGCCGTTCGCCCACCCCCGGCTCGCCCTCCGTCCGCAGCAGCGAGTCCAATTCGCGCCCGACCTCCAAGGTGCGCGCCAGCTTCATCTCCGTCGGCCCCTTTGACTCGCCCCCGACCAGCATGCCCGGCGAAAACGGCGTCGAGAGCCCGGCCGTCGAGAGCCCGGCTGTCGAGAGCCTGCCTGGCAGCGCGAGCCCCTTCTCGAGCCCGCCCGCCGGCGCCATCAACGCCCTCAGGGCCGCCGCGCCCTCCGAGTCCACCGGCAGCACCGCCACCCAGCGCCGCGGCAGCATGAGCCTCGATCCAGCCCGCGACTCGGACGCGCTCGAGGAGCTCAGGCACACCGTGTCGTCCGAAGCCGACCATCGCCGCGCCAGCGTCGACATCCAGGAGACGGTGCCCGAGAACGCCGTCTTCACCGGCCCCACCAACACGCCCTTCATGGAGATCAAGGAGGACAATGCGATGGGCACCTTCGTCGACAATGACAACAACAAGTGGCAGGATGCCAAGAAGGCTAGCGAGCCTGGCCCGAGGGCGGAAGCCACGAACGAGAACGCGCGCCATTTCCTCGAGGAAGCCGCCGCCGGCTTGAAGCGCGTCGAAATCGCCGCGGAGGAGAAGAAGTCCGAGTCGGCTCACAAGTCGTCCTCCGCCTCTGACGCCACCGCCACCGGTGCCACTCCCACTCCCACTCCCGCCGCCGCTGCCCCGCCGCCTGCCGAAGAACCAAAGAAGGAGGAAATTGCCCTTCCCGCGGAAGAACCTACAATGGGCCAGCCGGACAAGAAGACCGACGTGGAGGACGAGAGCGCTGAGATGAAGCCCTCGGACCCCAAGGAGGAAAGCGCTGTTTCTGGAGGCGAGGCTCTGCCGCCGCCAACCGAGACTTTGAAGCCCCTCGGCGTTGAGAAGACCACGGAGGAGGCGCCTGCGCCTGCGCCCGCCGCCGAAGAGAAGGCCGAGGAGAAGGTTGAGCCCCAGCCTGAGGAGAAGGCCGATGCCGCGCCTGAGCCTGCTCCCGAGGCTGAGAAGACGCTTGCGCCGGCTGAAGAGAGCAAGCCGTCTGGCGCCAAGTCTCCCGTTCCTCCCGGAACTCCTACCTCGCCGGTCGCCTCTCCCAAGTCCACGACGTCGAAAACCTCGTCTGCCAAGGAGCCTGCGAAGAGGACCAGCAGGACGTCGCTCAAATCGGCGACTTCCAGCTCTGCCGCGAAGCCGCGCGCTACGTCCAGGCCCGCTGCTGAGAAGAAGGGCACTCACGCCACGCCCCCTTTTACGAAGCCCAGACCAAAGTCGCCCACGCGCCCCGCCAAGCTCCCCTCGCACCTGACGGCGCCCACGGCTGCTTCGGCTGCGAAGCGCGAGGCCGAGAAGGCCGAGGAGAAGAAGGCTGCCGCTAAGCCCAAGACCACGACCCCGCGCGCACCGGCCGTCGCGTCCAAGACCACGACTGCTGCCGCGCACAAGACGGCAGCCGAGAAGAAGGCGGGCTCCCGCCCCGCGCAGACGACGGCCAAGCGCCCCGAGTCCCGCACGTCCAGGCCCAGCGTTGGTGCGCGCGCGCCTGACGACAGCTTCCTCGCCCGCATGATGCGCCCGACGGCGGCGTCTGCCAGCAAGACGCACGAGAAGAAGGACGACGTCAAGTCGCCTCCGAGGCGCCAGACGTCGGTGAAGACGAAGCAAGCGAACGGCAGCGGCGTTGGCGCGAAGGCGAAGACAAAGGTTGTGGAGGGCATTGACAAGGCGAAGGAGAAGGTTTTGGACAAGGATACTTCGGAGAAGAAGGAAGAGAGCTCGGGACCGAGCCTGGAGCCTGCGCTTCCCATCACCGAGAAGCCAGTGGAGGAGGAAAAGGTGGCCGAGGAGGAGGGCAAGAACACACCGCCTCAGGATGCGGAGACTCCAGAGCAGAGCGGGGAGACGATGACGCAAACGCCTGCGGGCATTGAGGGCGGTGTTATTCGGTAAGATAGATACACTATTCTTCCACAATCACTAATTGCATATTAAATCTTCTTCCACCCGCCGCACGTTCCGTTTTCTTTTTCCTTGTTACTTTTGTGGTTGCATGCAATTAAGCGTCAAGATGTTCTTCGCCAGGTCGTAGCCCAACAACACTTGCCACTCTAGTTGAAGAAGCCCCACCGCAAATCCGGTCGCCGCCTCAACAACTCTTCCCCGACGCAGCAACGACGTCGACGCCAACAAGCGGCTCCCGCGCCCTCCGCAGCTTCAGCAACGCCAGCAGCATGACGGCCTACTCTTCCGCGAGCACTGCCTTCACCACCTCGACCGCCGCGACGTCCGTTTACGGCGGCGCTCGCTGCAGCACTCCAACCTCTTCCTACACCAGCGGCACTTCTACCCCGTCGTCTGTTTCTGTCTGTGGCGGCGACATCCCTCCGCTTCCTTCTTCCGTCAAGCCCAACGTCGCTGCCGCCGCCGCTGCTCCGCGCAGGGGTCGCATCTCGAACTTGGTTGCGTTCTTTGAGAAGAACCAGTGAACACTCTTTTTTTTTTGGTTGTTGTTTGTATGTATAACAGGGCCTTCTTTTGGCTGTTTCCCATCCCACATCCGGTGCTTTTCGGCCAAGTGAAAAGGGGAGCCTTTGGCGCAGTGGTTTATCGTCTGTCTGGTACAGATGGTATATCCCATCGCCTTTGCTTCGGAGCTGGTTTTCGAAGCAGAGCGAGAGCCCTTTTACTTTGCCTTTGAAGGCGGGATTTCCTTTTGGTATGTACAGGTTGGTACAGCGAGGGCGACACTTTTTTCTTTCTCCCTCCCCCTCACGATACTCACCCTTTCCTCTGGTAGGAAGGGGGGATGATGGTGTGTCTTGCGTTATTTGCGAAATTTCTCTTTGAGCGTTTTACTCGTCCCTTGTCTCCATGGCGCGCGCTTGCGTCATGTGATCAGGAGAGGGCATGGTACGGTACGGTACATACGGATGGATGGATGTCGGATGCGGGAAGAAGGAGAAGAAGGTTTCTTCCTGTCTCTGTGAGATTTGGAGGCGCCGTCTTCGTCATTGCTTGAACGAACACATATGCCGTCGACGTTGGACGATTGGAAGGGACAGGAAACATGCAAAGCGCCCGGCCTTTTTCTTGTTTTTTGTTGTTTTCGTCTCTGCTTTGTGGTTCTGGTTTGTTTTGCTGTTGTTTGGTTTTTGTGCTTTTGTCGCGCGTTTTGTCTTGCTGTTTGTCTTTGTCGCGTCCTTTCTTTTTTCACTTCGTGATTTGTCGTTTTGGTATGGCTTTTGAGTTCTCACTGTTGGAGTGGCTCGTGTATGTGTATTGTATATCTAGGTTTATTGGTTTTAATCGTTGATTGTTTTACCGACCCTGCTCCCTGCCCTGCTCCGGACGGAGAGTGACTCGATCATGTTTCATTAGAGCTGCAGTACGATTTCACACGAAGGCCTCACGTTCAAGAGTGGAGATATGCTAAAGCATAGTATATCCCGAGGTGCCTGCATGTAGTTGCATTGGGATCCTCCCGCGTTCGCTATATCAAAGCAAGCTACGACCAGCCGCCGTGCGTAGCACGTCGAGAATTCTCTTCCTCAGTGTCGTCCTCTTTTTTTTTTTTGAAATTTCCTTTTGGTCCTTCTGTCCCTCGCTTGCTCTTTTCATTTTTGTTTCCATTTCTCACCCTGTGTCCCGATCCGGTCGTCATTAGCAGCAAAATTGCCCCGCTCCGCCCCGCCCCGCCCTTCACACAACGGCATCCTCATCCTCCGGCAGGAAGAAGAACGATCCCTCATCGACCAGACCCTCTGCGGGCACGGCCGGGACAACAGAGGCGACGATGTCGACGTCCTCCTCATCATCCTCCTTCTTGCCCTTCTGCTTCTTGTTCGCCTTCGCCGCCGCCGCCGTCGTCGTGTTCTTCTTGTTCTTCTTCTTCGCGGAAGGAGCATCAGCGTCAGCAGCAGGCGTCGCCGCCAGCTCCTCGTCGTCGTCGTCGTCGCCACTACCGCCGTCGGCTGCTCTGACCCGCTTCCTGCTCGGCGTTCCGCCAGCACCGTCGACCTCGTCGGCCTCGTCGCCGTCGTCGTCATCCGCTTTCTTGTTGCGGTCCTTCCTGCCGCCGCCGCCGCCGCCGCCGCCGCCGCCACTGCGACCACGGCTGGGGGTAGCAGCACCACCACCGCCAGCAGCGCGCTTCCCGGCCTTGGACGGAGTCGTAGCAACGGACTCGCTGCCACCGGCAGCACCGGCACTGGGGGTGGGGATGTTGTTGTTCTTGCGCAGCTTCTGGATGCGCTGGCGGATGGCGTTGCCGGTGACGCCGTCGCCCATGATGGCGGCGATTTGGTTGCAGGCGTCGCGGGTGGGGTGGTAGAGGTGGAGGATGGCGTGGAGGAGTTGGGTCTGTTTGTTTGTTTTTTTTTCTTAGTTTTTGTTTTTTTTTGGAGTGACGGTGTGGTGTTTGTGGTTTGGTGTGTAAGCGGGTATGGAATGGGATGGAAGGGGAGCGGAGGCGAGGTGAGGCGAGGTGAGGTGAGGGCGGCAGTTGCACGTACGTTTTGGTCGACGGCGGCGGCGTCGGTGGTGGTGTTAGTGGACGACATGGTGTTGGGCTGGCTGTCGTCGCTGCTGGTTGGAGCTTTGTGGGTTTCTTTTTGGGGTGGAGGAGTGTAGTCGGGATGGGCAAAGGCCAAGGGCTCGGTCGGCTTCGAGGATGGTGGAAAGTGTGGGTGGAAGGATGGGGGTTGGAGGTTGGTAAGGAAAAGGTGAGCGAGCGGAAGTTGGCTGATGGACGGGGCTCAGCTCGGGAAGACTTCACTAACTAATGGTCACTTCGCACACGGTGTGATGGAAAACGGCAAAATACGATAAGAGCTCGAGGTGACAGTGGTATTGGATAGTCAGGCATGCAATGGACTGGCAATTCGGAATCTATTCTCTCTGGTGCGATCCTCGATCGCAATGAAGCCGAATCGCAGCCTGCTCTGCTATAGTAGAATTCCGGACCAAGAGCATTTTGCACCGTGTCTTAGCGAGCTGGTCCGTCCGATCTAGAAGTCGGTGCCATCTTCCTCGTCGAAGAAAGACTTCTCCTTCTTCATCTCCTCCTTGACCTTTTTGGTGGGCGAATCGGGGATCTCGTCGTCATCCTCTTCAGCAACCGCCTTAGCACCGCGCTTGCGAGAAGAAGAATGCGGCGTCTTGTCCATGGCCTCGGCGTCCTTCTGTTTGCGACCACGGGACTTCGGAGTCTTCACCGTGCTGTCACCGTCACTGCCGATGGCGCAGTTCGCACCGCCGTACTTCTTCTTCAAGACCTTGGTGAAACGCTGGCTGATGGCGCTAGCCGTGACGCCTAGGACGGCGGTTAGACTTTTCAAAGTGAAGACGAGGCTGTGAGCTTACCGCCGCCGAGCTTGTCGGCAATAGTCTTCCAACCCTCGGAACCGAGCTTGGCATCGGTGGCTTCTATGTAAGCCATCATGAGCTGCGCGAGAGTTAGAATAAACCTAGTCATATGGTGAAGGTTACTGACTCTGGCCTCATTCTCGGGAGACCACTCGACCATGGTGGGCTATTGTGAAGTGGTTGTGGTGTAGGCGAAGGTTTTGTCTGCGTGGGCTGCGCGCGAGTGATGTAGAGGATTGGTAGAGAAAGAAAGTCAGCGAAAGGCGAAGGTGTGGGGGTTTATATAAGCTCCTCGCGCACGTGAGACGCGTTCGTACGCGCTTGAGACTGCGTCGCATCCCACAAGAAAAGTGTGAGCGTGTCCCGGGCTCGCATGGGCCTTGGTTTCTCGCAGAGCATATAAGCGCCTCTTCTCTCTTCCAACCCCAACCACCCACCGCGACACTTCACCACGCAACATAGTCCACAACATCAACTGGTGCATACTGCGTCCCACGTCACGATGCCTATCAGTTGGACACCGGATGTGGACCAACGCGCAAGTCCATCCGCACTTCTCTCGAACCTCGCCACTGCCTGCTAACCGCGCTCGCAGCTTTTCCAAACCACCATGGAGATTTGCGGAATCACCATCAGCAGCCAACAGTATGACGAGATCTCCTCGCGCATGGGTGAAGGTGCGACTCATCCCCACCCGACACTTCCACTTCACTTGTCTTTGCTCACTCACATCACCCCACAGGCTTCACCGTGGATGCCTTAAAGCATCGTTTCCGTAGGCTGAAGTCGCAGAGCGGCAAGGCCGGCGGCGCCACGCCGCGCAAAGCCGGCACCACTCCGAAGGCCAACAAGACGGGCTCCACGCCCAAGGCCAGCCGCGGAAGGCAGCAGAAGAGGGACGTCGACGATGACAACGACGACGAGGAGCAGCCCGAGTCCCCGACGAAGAAGATCAAGCACGAAGAGAAGCTCGATGATGATGCGGGCGAGTCCTACTTCGATCAGCCCGAGCAAGTGTGATTCTGCACTGGAGATCATGAGGAACAAGTAGAATGGTTTCCGTAGCTTGGGACTTTGGAGAGCAAGGGAACAGCAAATCCCGTTGACTATCGAATAACCAATGACAGTAGCTACTTGACATCTGCGCTCACCTGTGTTGAATGCGGTATCAGACTACAGGTGAAAAATGTGACTCTGTTTCAATTTCTTCACGTCACTGAAGCACAAAATGTAGCCAAAGATTGGGATTTGGGCTCTACTAGTAAAGACAAGCTCTACACTGCCATGTCCAGATCTTTGTTGCGGCAAGTCAGTGCCAATCATACGGCCACACACCGCGAAATCAAGATAGCGGACGCAAGGCAAGCGTCACCATGTGATGATCCAAGCATGAGTTCCGTGGCCATGACCTTAGACCTCCTCCACCTGGGTTTCCTCAGCCTCGTCCAGGCCGCCATCACCATCGAAGAAGCTTTTCGCCTGAGGTTCGCCCAGGCCGTTGCCCTCTACGTCCTCGGTCTGCTCGACCTTGACCTTTTCAGCCGTGACCGCGCGCTCCTTGTCGACGAGCTCGTCTTCTTCCTCACCCTCGTCCGTGTCGGGCTCCTTGTAGGAGCGCTTGGCTCCAGCAGTGGCACGCGTGCTCTTGCTTCGCTTGGCACGGACGTTGGCAGTGGGAGACGCGAAGCCGCTGTCGTCACTGTCATCAGACAGCTCGCGCTTCGTCTTCTTGCTCGTGTTGGTGCTCCGGCTACGGGGGGTGCCGCCGCTCTTCGGGCCACGCGGAGTGAGCGGTGCGAGCTTGACGGGAGCGCTGGCATTGCTGGATATGATGTCTGAAGCGCGCTTGCGGGCGGCACCGATGCGGTGCGAGATGGCCTGGGACTTGGGATCTTGGAGACAGACACGGGATGTGAGTGATGGAGATTCACACCAGTGAGCCGAGCGGGGTGCTGCGTACCGAGGCCCATGGCGGCGTTGAGCTTCATCATCTGCTCACGAGATACCTTGACGTCGAAGAGATTGAGGAAGAGGCCGAAAAGCTAAAGTGTGTGTGAGTCAGCCACATGTTGTGCGTCTTGCAGCGAGGCGAAGGTTCACGTACCTTGGCGTCGGCCTCAGCGTCCCATTTCATTCCGGGAGCCATCGTGGCGGGTTGGTGTTGTCGGTCGTGGTGCTCGCGATGTTTTCGTTTTGTGTTTGGTGGAGGAATGGAGACGGAGGTGAGGCGGAAGAAATATAGCAGCAGCTGTTGTGAGGGCGAGCGCCTAAGCCTGATTCGGCGATGCGTACAGTCCCCGAAGAGCGCCAGGTTCGAAGAGAGTCATGCATGCAAAGTGATTTCGCTCGATGTTTCAACGGCAAGAACGGACAGCAGAAGCGCCCATCTGGGCACACGAGCTCAGCGTATCTGCGAATGAAACAGCGCGGACAAGAATTGATCTGGCCACAATATGTTGAACAGAGCCGTGAATTGAACGGGACACTGCTGACCCCTTCAACTGACGGCCTTGACGTCGCTTATATACGACTGTCTGGTGCAAAGATAAGAGTGACGAAGAAATCGACCCACCTAAATCCGGATGTATTTGCACAGTTTCTATACCCGCATCTGCCCCATGACATCTGCTTCAGCTACTTGTGAAGGAAGGTCGTTTGAGAGTACATCTACATTGGCCCACTTGCTTCAACTGCCCACGCGAAGAATCTCCGTAAATCGATTTCTTTCGTCACCCACCGTGACGTGGCAACGCTGTGCATAGATAAGGGGTACAAGGGTATATGACACGGGGTTGCAAAAAGCAAAAACATGGTACTGAGTTTCGGCAGATGGGAGGAGATGAAGTGGAGTTGGGCCAGCGGGGAGGGCGGGGCGGAAAGTCTTGGCCGATGACGTTGGCGGGGCGGCAGCCTGGAGCCGCTTCCCCGGACGCGCAGCGGCATTCATGTGTCAGCTCCGCGCTCTCGAACCACCGCCTTCTTCCTGCCCATATCCATGCGAGACCCTTCCTCACACCACCGGAACCATGGGCCAAGGGTACTCTGCCGACGTGCCCCCACCAACTTACGGTACGCTCGCATTGGACCCTGGTCTTCGGCTTCCCCCAAGCTCCCTGCGCTCCCTGTGCTGACCCTCTCCCAGAGCAGTTGTCGCTCGAGCTCGTCCGCCGTTTCGCTGACAAGTGCTACACCCCGCTTGAGATCTATTGCTTCAAGGTCGTCTTCAAAGCCCTCGCCGACTCGTCTTCGGGCATCCGCCATTGGAGCGAACCCACACTATGCCGCTTCCTCGCCCTTCCCGACTCTCTCGCTGTAGGCTCCGTGGTCTTTCACATGGCCAGCTACCTAGGCGCCTTCCCCTTCCCAAGCCAAGCACCTGCCATCTTGACGAGCGACAATCTACTCAAGGTCGTCACATTGCTGACACGGAGACACACTCCGGTGCTGGGAAGAAAGGGCGATGCCGTGTGGATACGGGAGATCTATCGCAGCCTCGCTGTCTACGACAGGGGGCTGCAACAAGCTACCAAGGATGCCGAAGCTGCCGGTGGTGAAGGTGCTCGAGACGGGGAGACCCAGGCCGTTGCCTCCTACGCCGGTTTCGCAGTAGACGCCCCCGTTGACGACGATGATGATGAAGATGATGGGGATGCGCTTGCCCTGGCCGCACTTGACACCATGGATGCGATTGACGTCTTCAAGCAGGGCGAACAATCCACACTGAGTCATTCCATCATACCCACTGACAACTTCCTCCGTTTGATCCAGCTGCTCTTGTTCATCGCTCCGCTAGAGGCTCAGGATGACCTTGCTGTGTACGGCCTTCAGCTCACAGACAAGCGATTGAAAGGACTGAGAGAAACAGCAAATAACATACTGTCATCTTTTGGAATAGAAAAGAGCCCGGGAGTAAATTACAAGACATTCCATACCGTCGTCTCATCTTCTCTTCCCTACATGTTCGACGGCCTCAATCCTCTCTTCGAGCACTTTCTCTTCACAAAAGACTTTGACCTGTCCAAGCGGAAAAACTCGGCCACTTCAGCGTCAGCAGAAACCGCCCCTGAATCGCCGAAGGAGGCTCCTAAGAAACAAATCCCTGCGCCTGAACCAATTCTCTTGTCGGAAGGTGAAATCTTGGACTTCAACTTGGTGAATCAGCTGTCTTTTCTCATCAAAGGAAACAATCTATTCAGGCGCCTGCGCCCACTGTACGCCGGAGGTACCCATGGCTTCAGCATGGGCAGTTTCGAGAAGAGCGTCTTCAATTGGCGTGCGCCCTCCATCCTCCTAGTCTCTGGCAGCCTCCTGTCCGACAAGCCCGAGACTCCCAGCGAACGCGCCTTCGCCGACTCTCTCCCACCAAAGCGCCTCCCCAGCAGCCTCGACCTCCCCTCCCGCAACACCACCAACCAAACCCTCACGTTCGGCGCATACATCCCGGTGCCGTGGAAGGGCACGCCCAAGACGGCCTTCGGCGACGCGTCGACGAAGCTGTTCCAGCTCTCGCCCACGCACGACCTCTTCGCCGCGTCGACCATGAGCACCGACTACGTCTACCTCAACAAGCCGCCGCACCACCCCTCGGGCATCGGCCTCGGCTCGCCCATCCCGCAGGCCGACACGTCGCGCGCCCACAGCCGCTCGCACGGCACCATCCCGCTCGGCGCCGTGTCGCTGCACCTCGACTCGGGCCTCGAGTTTGGCGTTTTCACCCACCTCGCCGAGGGCGGCGGGTCTTTTCATCCTTCGCGGAATCCGCATCGCCGGAACAGGAGCTGGCAGGACCGCTTCGCCATCGAGGCCATCGAAGTGTGGGGCTGCGGCGGGGATGACGAGGCCGAGGCGCAGCGGAAGGCGTGGGCGTGGGAAGAGCGCGAGGCGGAGGCGAGGAGGCGGATCAATCTGGGCACGGGAGATATCGACGCTGATAGAGAGCTGCTGAGGCTGGCGGGCATTCTGCACGAAAGGAGTGGTGGGAGCATGTAACTGGAGCCTTTTTCGATTTTTTTCCCTCCCTTTTTTTTTTTGCTTGTAAGGGTTCAATTGGTGTTTTGGCGTGGGGTCTGGGATACGGGGAAACCCGCGGCCATGGGCTTTGGATACACAAAAAGAATCCAACGTGCTACGAGTAATAATCTCCGCTCGCGGCTTTTTTTTTTTGTTTTTTCCTTGAAGTTGAGATTTCCCATCGCTTTGTGGCTACTTCTCCCGTTACTGCTGGATGCGTGCCCCGGTCTTGAATTGTGGTACACAAGATTTGACCCTTTCCCGCCATGTTCTCTGGAAAAAGAAAACGCCCAGTATGCCCTTTTATGTCACAACATAAACCCACGCCTTACCCGGATATTTCGCCGTCTTCGCTTCGTACCCGTACCCTCACTCTTTTCTCGTCATACATCCGCCCTCTCGGCTTCCATGTGTGCCGTCTGTCCATCTCTGAGCAACGCCTTCTAACCTTGCCTGTTCCCCGTTTCCAACATTAGCCCAATGCGCTCGTGAGCAATTCCCCCCCTGCGGTTGCTGTGCAGCCAATTTTGCTTGGTTTGGGTGGGTGGGTGACGGGACGTAAGACGTACCTCTGCTTGTGCTTCGGGTTCTTGCTGCAGATGATGTAGACGTATCGCTTGCCCTTGCGCCTGACACTCTGCAAATCGTTTCACAAATTCGCTCGTCAGCCATCCAGCCCAATTCAATTGCAACCGAGATCCGTATTCTCCGTGTAGAATCCAAACCACTCATTTCCTTCTTCTTCTCCTCCTTCTCCATGTTCATCTCTCTCCCATCCTCCCCCAATTCCCGATGACGATCACGCAACACACGTACCTTGCACCCATCACACAGCTTCTTCACGCTGCTCCGCACCTTCATCCCGCGCACCTGCTGGAGGACCGTGGTGGCGCTCGTCGTCGTCGTCGTCGGTGTCATCTTCGTCTTCGGGGCGCAAGTGGGGCGCCGCCACAACAGCTGCGAGAAGGAGGCGCGGGGGGTCGCGGCGGCGGCGGCGGCGGCGAAGGCGGTGGTGGTGCGCCGCAGCAACAGCGGCGTGCGGCCCGCCAGGAAGAGGGTGCGGGCGATCATTGTGCGTCGTTTTCCCGGGAGGAGGCAAAAGGGCGCGGTCGGTCGGTCGGTCGGTCGGGTGGGTGTGAGGGTTGGCGGGGCGGCGGGCGGGAAACGGGTTGTGTGAGGTTCGGGGATATGATGGGGCTTGGCTGGGATGATATGATGGAGGTTTCGTTCGTTCGTTCGTCGTTGGAGCGGATGTTACGGATTGGGTTTGGCGGGCGGATTAGTAAGGCAGGTAAGGCGGGTAATTGGATGGCTCGGCGGGTAGGTAGGTGGTGGGTGGTGGCGACGGCGCGGGCCGGCTGATGGATGCGGATGCGACTACAGTTTTACCTTTTTAGGAGCGGGAGGTGGGAGGCGGGCCGTAGTGCGCGATCGTCTCGATTGACGAGGCTCTTTCATGGGGAGTTGGAAATAGGATAGGTGTCGGGGCAGAATTTGGCGTTGAAATAGATGGAGCTGTGAGTGACATACCGTATTAGCGCTAAGCATCTTTTTCCGTGATGCTCATTTTATACGCCTTATCCTAAATCTCGAAATATCTTTACGATCAATGCTTAGCATGCAAACTCATGTAAAATTTCTATGTCAGCCCGTCAATGTTCTCTCATCACAACATCCATGACGACACCAGGACCCATTGAGACCAACACATGAAAGAAAAGAGAAAAACCCCAGCCCACAACCAGAAGTTCAAATGATTTCTTTCAAAATTTTGTCGTCAATGGAACGAAAACACCGAGGTGAACAGATACCATTCAATGTTTCAATATGAGCTAAGAATTCTATAGCGAGCCATTCAATTGTGCTTTGCTGAAGTCAGGATGTCACGGATGCCTGAACATTGATTTCATGATGCTCTAGATAAGCAAGCAACTGGCATGCGAACAAAGTAAAAGCATAAAGTGCTGAAAGCACGAAGCTAATTGCAGACTTACAGCAAACCCACAATGAGTTCCAAAAGCTCGAGGCCTCCTGTCCTCAACGAATGATACTCCGCTACGAATGCGAAAGAGACATCCGGACCTAGATGGGAACTTTGAAGCTGTACAATATATCTAGATAGAGGGTTCTACTGCCTAACAAGTCAGCTGCAACATCGCAAGGAGATAGACGTAGGTAGGCTCTTTTATTTTCAAAGTCTTTGAAACCCGCGGTGACACTAACGCCGACGGCGACTCAAAACCCGAAGGGAATTGTCTGAGACCGACCGGCTCAGCATTACATTTATTGAGTAAGCCGCATAAGCAACATCAGGAACGAAGAAGGAAGAGAGTAATGGCTAACCAACTTGGCCCCCAAGCCACACGATCGGCGTCGGCTTCTCCGCGCCGCTCCCCCCTACGGCCTTCACGACGTCCGTCTTACTTGTGGCGGTGCCCTAGATGTGGCGCTTTATCGGGATGTCTGTGCGCGAGTACTGTATGTACGGCGGAGAGCCTTGTCTACATCGACGTAGGTCGCACATATGCGATAGTGAACTGGTTACGAGAAAAGTGGTATCACACACTCTTTTGTTTACTGAACATTGGCGTGATGCTGTTGCAGCCACTTCGCACACTGAGCTGTACTTCTCCCGTTAGAGACCTTACGAGATGGGTCACTCGTGTCAGCCAACGAACGGTGTGTATACATGGGAAGTGGGCAAGTCATGGATCCTTGCGCGAAAAGTGGACATCACGAAGACCGCCATGCTGTCCTGCATACGGTCTCGACCGGGCGCTGGAGACCGGTCTGCTTATCATGCGATATGGAAGGTTCCAGCCTGATCAATTGTTTTACCATTCAGTGAGTAGATCATCGTTGACTTTTGCTTCTATTGGGGCGAATTCGACGGACCCTTGTCAATAACAGAGCCTTGACAGCTAGGGAACATTCGCCAGCACCTACTTTGTACGGCTTATCGGCCTATGCCTTGACTCTGAGCGTACCTGAGATAAGTGCTTTCAGTTTGATGATTCGACGCAAATTTTTCTTGCTACGTCGTCTATGGCGGCACCCACCAATGGGATGACCAGGAGTGTGGGAAGGCTGGGCGTCGTATGTCGTCAGGTACGTCCAGGATGCTGCTACGTAGTACGGCATGAAGATCCGGCAATGCAAGCGCGGCAGAGCAGTATGACGATTCTGCGGCCAGAACCAGTCGGATCACAGAGGCAGCCATGCGAGGAGGGTTGAACATGGTCGGCCCTACCAGATGGTCAGGAACGCGCGGAAGTCCCTTGGAGTCAGAAGCTTAGTTGCAGAAAAGCCCACAAAATCGGTTGCGAAGCAGCCAGTGGAGGCGTGCCAGCGATGTGGTTTATCAAGACTGATAAGGACGGAGCAATGACGGTGGGTCCCGCGGCGTGTCCCTGGCGTTCGGGGATTGGTGCGATAGGGCTGAAACGCACGTTTTGGCATGCAATTGCGTCAGAGGAAACCACCGCCACCGAAAGCAAGGAAAAGGAGAACAGCTAGGCCCGGGGAGAAGGACCGTCTGAGTCAACGGGAGCGTCGGGGCGGACATGGTGCCAAAAGCACGGCAGGTCGGCTCATAGGCCGTCGACCGTCGTCTGAGGTCGTGGTGTCAACATGTGAAATCGACGCTGGTGGGGTGGTGGAGCGTGCCCGAGTGGAGGGGATTCGCAGCATCCAGAAAGCATTGGAAGGGCGAGGCCGGTTCGAGAATGCGGCTGGGGGTGGGTGTGGGTGGCCAGAGCGGTGAGCGGTGACAGTTGTCCGTCGCATCGTCGGGTTGTTGCTGCTGTTGCCCGCTGCCATACTCGGTATCCACCTCAGGCATCCCGGCGGAGAAGCAGACCCTGCAGTCGCAGCGGAGCCAGGCGCGCGTGGGGTGTTTCGAGAGTCTCACATGCAAAAGCAGGCAGAGGACGAGGTGGAGTTAAAAGTCCGCAGATGACTCGCGGGCACGACCGGCGCAACGCCAGCGGCTCCTTTCACCACACCATGTCGGCAAGTCGACGGCGCAGGCGCGCGGCGGGAGCGCGCGGGTGATGGGCAGCGCAGCAGCTGTGGCCAAATTTAGCGTCATCTGAGCGCAACGGAGCTGATGGGGAAAGCCCTTGCCTCGAGTTGTCCTGGTGACTGCGGCTTGTGCGACGCAAGCAGGCGGCATGGCGAGGGTGCGAAGGATGTACTAGGTCGTAGGGGCGGTTGTAGGGGTGATTGGCGGCTAGGCCCAGCACTGTTCCCGCGATAAGCCCAACGCCAACACCTGGGGGGCCCCGCCGTGGGGAGAGATGCGGGCTGGATCTCTCTCACATGCCGCAGGACGGGGATCGCGCAGCCACCCTTGCGCGTTCCTCTCACCCGTGCGGCGGAGAAGGGCCCTCGTACCCGCCAGCGCGTTACCGGTTCCTGATCGCAGCCCGCGCCGGCGGGAGAGCCCTAATGCACAGCGTGGGGCGCTGGCAGTGGCAGGCTGGCAGCAGGGCAGCAGGGTAGCAGAGCAGGCCACGCACGGCGCGGAGCCGAAGCGTTGGCCGCGCGTGGGCCGCTGGCCTGCTGCCGGCCTGCCGCCGGCCTGGTCGATGACGAGGTGTCGATGCGAGGGTGCTACCTATCCCTGGCAGCGTCTCAGCTGGTCAGCGCACGGCGTATGACAGATCTCTTCGCGTAGTGCATCGCTGATTTAGGCGGCGCGCTGCGCTACAAGCCTGCCACCGCGACGTCTCACGCGCCTCCCTCAGCACCGCAGAGCGTGCTTGAAAGCGACGCGTGACCCGCTAGCTCTCCCGCCCTCGGCCTTTCACCCGCCGCCCGTCGTCACCGCACCTCCTTGCGATTCTATTCGACACAAATACACGAACACCTCCCCGCAACCCGCAACCCGCCCTCCGCACTCCGCATTCTGTTCCCCACAGCTCCGCGAGTCGACAGAGCCGCCCACGAGAGCCAGTTGCGCCCTCACGCCTATGGCTCCGGTGTGCTCATGTCCTTCCTCCACGACGCCCTCTTCTCCCGCCGGTACCACCATGCCTCCAAGGACGAGCAGACGGACACGCGCGGGCTGAGGCGTGCTAGCGGCAATGCCGGCCTGCTCTCGCCGCTGGCCAAGCTGGTTCGGGACCCGGCGGGGACAATCGAGGATTTTGTCGGCGCTCTCGGCGGCCAGGAATGCCAAAATCTCCCGGAGCTGGAGGACGGGAGCCGGAAGCAGATTCTGTACCTGCGCCTGCAGAACGTACGTCCCACCCCCCGTGGCGACAGCCTGCGGCTGCACGCTAACAATCAGCTTGGTGACAGGCCGAAAACTACACCGATTGGCACGCCGCAGCCTCGGAAATAGACGATTTGGAAGGAAATAACGATTGGAAGCACGAGCACGAGTCGTCCGAATACAACTACGAGCTGGTAGAGGCCCGGCTCAAGCAGCTCGACGACGCACGAATCAGCTGTGACGTCCAGCGCATGCTCTTCCTCATTCGGACCTCCCTGACTCGCGGCCTCGGAGGCATGGGTGACTTGCGCTTGTACAAGCACTCCCACGTCGGAACCAAGGCTCTGATCGAGCGCTACATAGAGTCCGCCAAGCAGACTCTCACTGCGTTGCTGGATATCTCGTCCAAACAGGGAGACAGCGGCCTCGACCCACGCTACGTATTGGAGCAGCTCCTGGCCACCCGGCAATCATTTGGGCGCAGCGCCCTGCTTCTCTCCGGAGGAGGTACATTTGGCATGAACCACATTGGCGTAATCAAATCACTCTGGGAAACCGATCTGCTTCCCAGAATCATTTCCGGAGCTTCTGCCGGTAGCATTGTCTGCGCAGTGCTCTGCACACGCACGGACACCGAGATGCCACAGGTGCTAGACGAGTTCTGTTATGGCGATCTGGACGTCTTCGAAAAACCGGGCGACCGCGGCCTCTTGACAAAAGCTGCCCGGTTCCTGAAGTATGGTGCTGTCTTTGACATTTCGCACCTGATTCAAGTCATGCGGAATATGCTCGGCGACATGACCTTTCAGGAAGCCTACAACCGGACTCGGAGGATCCTCAACATCACAGTTTCAAGCGCGAGTGCCTTTGATTTGCCCAGGCTGCTCAATTACATCACGGCGCCGAATGTCATTATCTGGTCTGCAGTGTGAGTTATTTCCCCATTTCCCTGTCCGACGTCGTCTTTGGTTGCACGAGCATCATCTGACTGGTTTAGCGCTGCTTCGTGTTCCGTACCATTGGTCTTCTCCGCAGCCCAGCTCATGGCCAAGGATCCTACCACCGGCCAGCAAATCCCTTGGGATCCTTCGCCCCAGCGGTGGATCGACGGGTCTGTCGACAACGACCTCCCGATTACGCGTCTCGCCGAAATGTTCAATGTCAACCACTTTATCGTATCCCAAGTCAACCCTCACGTCGTGCCATTCTTGGAAAAGGAGGAGGGTGTTCCGTTTCCGGAAGCCCAAACCAACGCCTCGGCTTTCGCAGCCGGCCCCGGATGGCTGCACAGTATGGCTAATCTGGCAAAGGGAGAGGCCCAACACAGATTGCACGTTATTGCTGAACTCGGCTTCTTCCCCAACTACTGCACCAAGGCCAGGTCCATCCTCAGTCAACGTTACTCCGGAGACATCACAATCTTTCCGGCCATCTCCTACTCGCAGTTCCCGAGGATCCTGAGTAACCCCACACCGGAGTTCATGAAACAGGCAATGATTTGCGGCGAGAGAGCCACTTGGCCCAAAATGAGTAGGATAATAAACCACTGCGCCATCGAGCTTGCTCTCGATGACGCCGTGCGTCAGCTGAGAGCACGCGTGGTATTCAGCCCTAGCGAAGTCGATCTGCGCAAGAATTTGACAACCCGACCGTCCTCCGTCCATTCCGAATCAGGTCGCGGCAGAGGCAGGACTTTGCGATGTCGCCAGGATTTGACACGCAGCATCAACGATTTGGACCAAGCAGCCCGCCATGGGCGTCCAACCAGCCTACACCTGGACGTGCCTGTAAAGTACCGTACCCGGTCAAGGCCGGAATTGCGGACCGCTGCGGCTCCTCGCGCAAGCGATTCGGCGCTGCTTCAGGTCCCGACGCAGGATATCCTCTCGTCTGCCACTGAAGAAGACCTTATTTCGACGGATAGCGAAGACGACAATGCCTCTCTCTCCTCGCTCGACTCTCCTCCAGACGACGATCAAGACGAATGGCCACCATATCTTTTCCCATCGATCTCGCAACCGGCAACACCAAACCACAGCTCTCGGTCGTTACGCAGTACCTCGGCCACACAACTCGCCATGACCAAAACGCCCAGCGCCGTCACGCAGCCCAGTTCGCCAGAACGGATTTACAAGCGTTTGTTCCATGCGCCGCAGAAGACGACGCAGTCGACGAAGACGCCTGAGAGTCCCCAGTCGGGGTCCAACAAGCCCAATGAGGGCAGACGGCGAGAGAGCCACTCGGGGCTGCACACCGACATCAGCGGCACAAGGGGAATGCTCCTGCGCCGCAAGAAAAGCTTTGGCTCCTTGCTTCCGAGCCGTCTACAAAGAAAGAGCAAGAAGACCACCGAAACGCTTGATTACCCAACCGAAAGCGACCTTTCATAACTTTGCCCTTCACGTACATGTATCGTTCACATCATACCCTTGAAGTCATGACATCTTTCTATTCATCGGCAGAGCTTTGAATCTGCACGAATTGCATTGTTCAGGAGTTAAGTGGCGCATCTGCGCAGGAAGAGAAGGGAGACGAGGGGCAACTGGATAGCAGATTCGCAAACGCTTGCTTCTATGCGCATTCGGCAACCGTTATTGTTCTCGTTCTTGCGGATAAGTCTGGCATCCATTGGCTTTGTATTATTCAGCATTGTCGACGTCGTCTAACCTGACACCCGGAAGTGGGAGGAAGAGAGATAGAAAGGGGAGATTTTTCTTATCAGAGAAGTAATCACATTTTCGGACTGGGGATAGATACAACACGCTCCCACGAGCCACCATCGACATCTATCTTTCCTTTGTATTCAGAAACGAGAACAAATACCCGATAACATAACATTGATATAAATTCTTCATCACTGATTTGACTGTGCCACTGTCGCTTGTCACTTTTACAATGCCAAAACCCACATTGAGGTCCATTTCGAATATATAGTACAAGATTGTCCCTTTATGTGAACACGCTGTTAACCCTTCAAATCACGCCACATTTGATGAGACGGCATGTCTTACTCATTATCGTCGTGTGCTCAATATTCATTTTATTTTTCCGTTCCATTCCATTGTGTTTTTACCCTCCTTCCGCCGCTCCTCTCCGATTCAGTGACAGGCACCCGCAATTAGAACCAGAGAACCAACTACTGTCTTCCGCTGACACCAAGCCAGCCATGCCAGCCATGCCAGCCATGCAATAATCACCAGCTCTTTCCCTCTTTTCCTCCCTACCTCTTCTTCTCTTCTGTATCTACTTCCTTCACCGCATTCGAAAGGTCCGAATTCACCACCCGTGGCATCTCTTTGCGCTCCTTCCCGAGAACCACTATGAAAAGGAGAAAAAAAAAAAAGTGTCAGTCAGCATCCGCGATGTATTGTATTCGCTTGTTTCTGTTTTTATTTCCTCTCCTCTTTCGCTCTCACATAACCCCCTCAAAAAAAAAAGGAAACAGAAAATCAAGAACCAAAAAAAAAAAACTCACATCGATCATACAACGCCCAGCTCGTCACGATGGCGATGGGCATGGCCACGATGGCCATGGTCCACCTCCGCGCCGCCGGCTTGTACCTCGCCTGCAGCGGCTCGACGGGTTTCCAGTCGCGCGGGGGCGGACGACGGGAGGAGGAGGAGGAGGAGGGTTCTTGTTGTTGTTGCTGCTGCTGTCCTTGCTTTGGCGGCGGTGTGGAACCTTGTGGGAAGTGGGGGCGGTATGGTAGCAGTACTGGGGTTGGCTTTGGTTTCGTTGTTGTTGTCGGTTGGCCCTGGGCGGGGTTGTGGTGGTGCTGAGGGGGCGCCATTGGGAGGGCTTTGGATGGATGGATGGATGGATGGTGGTGGTGCCGGCGGCGGCGGCGGCGGCGGCGGGGACGAGGAGGACGGAGGTTGTGGTTGTGGTTGTACGAGAGCGGTGGTAGGTACTGGTGTTTTTCGTCTCGGGAGAGTTGCTTAGTTACGGGTGGGCGCTGCTCTTCCCGTGCTGCGTCCTGCTGTGGCTCTCCGCTTGCTACTACTTTTGTGGCTTGCGACTGTGTGTCGTCGTCCGCCTGTGTATCACGCAGCAGCAGCAGCAGCAACGATACTGCTTCTTCCGAGGTGATCGAGGCTCCTCGTCGTCTTCCCTCGGCGCACGCCGCTTGCTTGTCGTCCTACGGTGGCAGCAACAATTCCCCGCGCCACAAGCTCGCTCGGTACCTTGGATTCGGCGGAAACAGTCGACCTTGCCCTCGCGTCGTCGCTTGAGATTGCCTCTGCTGCCCTTCGCGGAATTGTCGGGGGGCAGGTTCGGCGGTGGCGGTGGCTGCTTTGCGTCGTTGCGGAGTTCGAGTGGATGATGGAGCTTGCGGAGTTTGGCTCGGAGGTGTGATCGACGCCGCGGCAGCAACAGCAGCGGGTGGGTCCGCCGCCGGCTGCTTGGCCGTCGCACTTCTACCACCGGCCTTTTTAGCCTTAATGATTTCTACCTTGTCTTTTCCACGGCAGCGGCGTCAGACTTGACTATAGTTGCATCTTTAGCTGCTCTTGATTTCTTTGCTTTGGTAGGCGCTGACTTGGTGGTGGGAGCTTCGGCTCCGGCAACGACTTGTTGCTGCTTGCGGGGGGGGCGGCCGCGAGGCTGCTTTTGGAGCAGCATCGGTCATTATCCTTTTTCTACAATTTTTTTCGAGTTTCATGAAACGTCCTCGAGGATAAGTTCGATCTTCATCACGCTCACGGTAAACGAAGACGCGTGTATGATACGGTCGACGCGTTCTTCTGGGGCGAGATTAGCGACAAGGATGCATGCTTACAATGCGTGGCGTATGGTCAGTGTTCATTGTCACATGGCGCATGAGTACATGGCCCATGGGCAAGGATTCACCGTGTTGCTGGTTAGCGTGTGACTTGTAAGGCGTGCGAATGCAAGGCCGTCCAACCCTAATTAAGGCAGCTACTTGGTGGACTCGGTTTCCTGGTGTGAAGTGGCTAGGAAGGGTTCAATAGCTTCGCGAGTAACAGTTGTTGTGCCGGAATGCATGAACCCCTACAAAAAGTAGCGGAGGCAGAGCCGGCCACCGTCCAGTACTAATTTACCTATCCTTGAGGTTTCCTCTCCTCATCGATGAGCTCTGCCATGTCCAGATGCAAGCCGACACTGTCCACTTCTTGGAGGTTGGCGATTCATTGGGCGTCGTAGTGAAATGGGAGCCAAAGTAGCCAACTCGGCTCGTATGATGATCTCCTGGAGATTGATAGCCCACATTTGGACAGTCAGGGCGGCTGAAATAAGTTAGTTGGTCGGGGCAAGCTCCTGGGTCATCTGCATCTCCGTGTCAGCCAGGACTCGGGCGACTGTTTCAGGGCGAGGTTAAAAGCAAGCAGTAATTAGTGACTATGCATAGGGCTGAGGGTTGGGGCGGTCAAGCGGCGCTCCGGCATCGCACCGCAAGCGAATCTGCAGCATGAGTAGGCGAGGCTTGGGCGTACAGCTGAGCAGCGGAGTGGCTGGCAGTGGTTGCGCGGCCCGCGGGCGTGCGAGGGAAAGGGCCGGGGCGCAGGCGTTCGCTTGCGACGCGAGCAGCCCATCCTTGCGCCCATCACCTCTTGCATGCTCCACTGCCATCCCTCTGGCCAACCGCTGTGCCACTCTGTGCTCAAGCTTCTCCGACACTCAATGCCGCCCTGATGCCGTGTCGCCCATCTGCCTGGCCGTCGCCATGGCCCTGAACGCTGCCGTGCCCCGTCACTCTACATAAGACACAACCGTTTACCCGCCCTATATGTTAATGCTGCCCCGCCCCGTCAGGTCTTGCGTCTCGACTCGCTCGAGCGCCCAGGCATCATGTATCCTGCCGACCTTGTCGTCCGCTTCTTCTCGCCCTCGACCTACGCCATCTGCATCTCAGCCGTGCTGCTTTTCCTGTACTTGCGCCATGTAGACCGCGCCCTTTCCGGCACCCCCGACGAGGCCGATCGTGCTGGCTCTCGGCCCTGGACAGTGGAAGAGCTGAAGGAAACGTACCAGAGAATGAAGCAGTCGCCCGTTGACATACGCCAACACCTCCCTCCCAAGCAGTCCCGCCGCTACATCGTGACTGGAGGAGCGGGTAAGTCTTCGTCCACAGTCCGCATCCATCACAGCCTGAACTAACGCCAGAAGCAGGCCTGGTCGGCGGTTCAATCGTGCAACACCTTCTAGCTCGTGGTGAAGACCCCGATGCCATCCGGATCGTTGACGTCCGACGTCCAACCCCAGACGTCGCGGGAGATGTGCGTCGATCTGCAGAGCTTAGCAAAGTGAGCTTCGCCTCTGCAGACATCACGAACATCGACTCTACCAATCACGCCTTCTCCCTTCCCTGGCCGTCTTCGGTCGCCGACCGCCCGCTCACCGTCTTCCATACCGCCGCCACCATTCGCTTTGCCGAACGCGCAAGGGACCTGCTTCCTCTGTCAGAAGCCGTCAACGTCGTCGGCACCGAGAACGTCCTCGCCGCCGCCAAAGCCGCCAACTCCTCCGTCTTGATCGCCACCTCCTCAGGCTCCATCGCCATCCGGCGCGTCAACTTCTGGCTAGTCCCCTGGCAACGATGGCCGCGAGGCTTCTTCCAATCCCTCAGCGACGCCGACTACGACCTGACCCGTCCGCACGAGACCTACTTCGGCAACTACCCAGCCTCCAAAGCCACTGCCGAGCGCCTCGTGCGCGGTGCCGACGACGCCGCCGCCGGCTTCCGCACAGGCGTCATCAGGCCCGCGTCGGGCGTGTACGGCAGCACGACGGACAACACCATCGGCAACTACCTGCGGCGCGGCGGCAACGCCGACTGGATCCGCCACATCGTCAACCCCTTCGTCTACACGGAAAACGTCTCGCTGGCCCACCTGCTCCTCGAGCGCCACCTCATCTCGCCCGCCCGCCGCCGCACCCCCACCCCCACCCCCGCTCCATCCACCATCACCGGCCAGCCCATCCAGCAGCAGCAGCAGCAGCAACCCGCCGCCGCCGCCGCCGTCGTCGACCTCGGCGGCCGCGCCTTCACCGTCACCGACCCCAACCCGCCCATCCGCTACGCCGACATGGCCACCCTCCTGCACGCCCTCTCCGCCACCCCCGTCCGCTTCGTCGCCGTGCCCCCCGCGCCGATGCTCGTCGTCGCCCACGCCGTCGAGTTCTACTCGCTCCTGCGCCATCGCTACCGTCTCGCCGCAATCTTGCCGCCGCTCGCGGGCGACCTGGCGCTGCTGCAGCCGGCCCTCTTCGCCATCTGCTGCGTGCACCTGGCGTACGACGACGGCGAGGCGCGGAAGAGCCCTGAGGACGGCGGGCTGGGGTATCGCGCGCCGTGGACGTCGATGGAGGCGATGTGTGCGCAGGTGCTTGCTTGGAATGAGGACCAGGGGGAGAAGGGCGGCGGCGGCGGCGGCGGTGTCGTTGGGGAGGTGAGGGATGTGATTCGTGTGGTTGAGAGGCTGTCGGTTGCGCCTGGTGGGTCGTCGTGATGATGGTGGGTGGTTGTTGTTGTTGTTGTTGTTGTTGTTGTTGTTGTGGTGGTGGTGGTATACCCTGTTCTGTTACGGCTGAGTTTATGAAAGTACGTGCGTTGAGCATGACGAGTAGATACCATTTGAGCTCGTGCAAGTTTGAACAAGTGCGAGCTGCTGCTCACGAGAAACTATCCGTCATTTCTTGGTTTATTTGAAGTTAAGAGTCCTCGCGGTTCTCAGTTGACCAAGCATTACCGTTTGATCCGTACTACGTAGGCCATGACACTTGAAAAAAGGTGTTTTCCACCTTGGATGTCGGTTAAAGCAGGATCACTTGTTGTGCCAGAGTGAACATCTACTGTCTACCAGACAGCGTGTACAATCAGAAGTTCGATTCCAGCTCCTTTTTCTTTTTCTTTCTCTCCCCCTTTGGCCTTTTTCGTCAAGTCACCATAGACGCGAAACCCACTGTGCGTGCCTTTATACACATTGACTTACTAGTACAATTACCTACTATGAGCTCTGTCTGGCGTTTATACAGGTGTCGTACGTACGTATCCGCTCTTAACCCAAAAAAAAAAAAAAATTCTTTCTACCCAACAACACCACCCTAAGGAAAACATTACAACATCTGCCTTCTTGCTTAATTCAACCCTAATCCTTCGCGCCGGGTTCCATATTGCCACCACCAGCACCCTCCACCCGCGGCGGCCCCGGCGGCGCGGGCGTACTATCCAGGCCGAACCTGGATTCGGACGAAGTGTCGTTCTCGAGGGCCCTCTCGATGAAGCTGCACACGCCCTCGGACGCGATGACGGTGCTGCTCCGCGGCTCGCTCGCGGGGCCGCTGCCGGTGCCGGCGTCCGTGCTGCAGCCGCCGCCGCCGCCGACGATCGCACACTCCTTGTACCGGCTCAGGTCGTTGGCGCTCCCCGTCTCTTCCTGGATCGCGGCGGCGGCGGCGGCAGCGGCGGCGGCAGCAGCGGCTTTTTTCTTCCCCACCATGGCGTCGTCGTCGTCGTCGTCAGAACCACCACCGCCAATACCACGACGGTCATCGTCATCGTCGTAGTCGTCATCACCACCATCCCTCGCATTCCTCCCACCACCACCACCACCACCACTGCGCGCGCTCCCACGCCGCCGACGACCCTCCTCATCCACCCCCTGATCAATCCCTCCTCCTCCTCCCTCCCTACTACTGAACCGCCGCCCTCCCGCCCCTCCCGTCGCCGCCCCGCTCCCCCGCCGACTAAAATCATCACTGCTGCTGTTGTATCCTCCGCCGCCGCCATTATGCAGCCCCATCTCGACGTCCGCGACCGACGCGCCCCACCGGCCCCACAGGCCCCACACGCGGCGCCGCGTCGACATGCGGCCGATGGTCCAGGTCGAGGCCTTGCGGGTGACGGCGTTGGCGGTGGCATTACCGCCGTGGCCGTGGGGGGTGAGGAGGCCGTTTCCGCCGTTCGCGGCTGGGGTTCCGAGTGCGGCGCCGTGCTGGGGATGGAGGTGAGGATAAGGGTGGTGTTGGTTTTGCGCTTGTTGTTCTTGTGCTTGTTGTTGGAGCTGGAGTTGGTGTTGGAGCTGGAGTTGTTGTTGTTGTTGCTGCTGCTGTTGGTGGTGGTGCATGGCCGGGAAGCGGATCGTGGTGGAGAGGCCGGGGGACTCGAAGGCCGTGTCGAGGTTGTTGTCGTCGCCGTCGTCGTTGTTGTTGGTGTTGTTGGGGAAGAGGGTCGGGAAGTGCCGCGACAGGAAGGGCTTGAGGATGGGGACGCAGGCGCAGATGATGCAGAAGGTGAGTTCGGCTTGGCTGTTTTGGTTTTTTGAGTTTGAGTTTGAGTTTGAGTTTGGGGTTTATCAGGAGGAGGGATATAAGAGGGGCGGATAAGGAGTAAGGTAGGAAACTTCATAAAAATAAAAGGAGAGAGAGAGAGAGAGAGAGAGGCTGCGGACTGAATGGAAGGGGTGGGGGTTTCTAATAACGTACGTCCAAATTGCAACGGGGGTCCAGTCCCACGTCACGTCCCCGTAGCGCGGCTGGCGGACGAGTTTGTGTATTGGGTAGAGGCGGAGGATGCTGACGATGCAGGATCTGGTTTCATGCAATGTGGCAAGTCAGTCAAATGCCAGAGAAAAGATAAGCTCAATTGACTTACGCAGATCCCAAGGCAAAGACGGTAAAGACTTGCATCTTCCGTTTTGGGCCGAGGTTCAATGTCCATATCAACGGTACCGGTAGACTTAGTATGAGGAGATCATCTGGACGGGTTAGAAATCGGCTATGCTTGGGGTTCGGTGCATTTTTGGAGGATTCCGTGGAAATTGCTGGAAGAGAGAACTTACTAACACAGTGGAAGATAGGGATTGCTATTAAGGTTTTGGGAGTAATGCATTTTCGGTATTGTATGTGTAGGTCCCTGGATTTGTCAGAATGAGAGTTTCCAAAGCTTCGGCAGAGAATGGGGTAGCAAGCGAGTGGGGCAAGGAGTTGGATCACATACCACTGCGCAGCAGGGGTCCAGCAAGCAAAAAAACTCAACAGAATGGCGGTTAGGGTATGGGCAATCGTATAAGCCATTACGAACCACCAGCGCTTGTAAAATCGGTACACGTCAAACACACGCCGATATAGCAACAGCAAAGAGACCTTGACGAAAAACATTGACGCCGTGTAAAAGACTGCGGCCAGAACGCGGCCAAGGAGAAAGTGGGGTGAGAAATCTGCGAGGCTGATGTTCCAAACATGGCGGCCGAGGCCGTATTTGAGCAGAACCTGCAGATGATCAGCAACGGCCATCTCAGGCGAAGACGAAGACGGGAGGATTGAATACCTGAAGAACGGCTACAAGAAGGGCCCAAAACACGACAGCCACAAGCAATGCATCTGCTGAGGTGTCAGCGGGGATGTGGTCTGGGGCTGAGGCAGAAGGGAGCGGAAAGACGAGGAAAGACGGAATTGGAAACAGAACAGGGAAGAAAGGCGGGCTCACAGTCATCGACTCCCAGCCCTCTGACGATGTGCATGCGGGTATAGAACCTCAGGCCCACGGTCAAGACGACGAGCACGACGCAGACGACATTGGAGGCGGTGACCTGGTAGCCGAGCGAGGGCGAGTCGATGAGATTGCTGATTTGGCCGTCGGGGGCAGTGCCTGCTGGCGTGGTGCTCCAGTCTTGGTCGGCAACCTGCGACATGGCCAGCTCGTCGACGGGCTGCTGGCGCCGCCCGGGCTGGAGGTGGTGGCGGCGTCCGGTCCCGGTTTTCGAAAGGATGGGATCTGTTCTGATTGCTCTTGCTGCCACGTAGTGGACCTGAATGCAGCCAAGTGCGCGGCTGGGTGGAAACTCTGCAAAGCATTCGCAAAGACAAGTGCAACGCTCCTATTGGTGCATTCGTACCCCTGTCGGGAGCTGGGGATTCGAGCGGGAGGGTGGTGTCGACTGGGGCGCAGGAGACAGCGGGCAGGAAAAGCGAGCGGGAGCAGTTGGAGAGAAGCAAGACAGAATGGGGCCTTTTCCCACGAGGAGGCAGCGCGGGCGCGTGTGCTGGGATACGAAGTGGCGGCGTTGTCGAAAAATAGGCGGTGAGAATCGATCGCCGTTGGCTAGCGGTTGGCGACTGCCAGGCGTCACCGTCCAATGGACCGCAGGATGGGCCGGATGATCGCTAGTCGGTGCACGAACGGTAAGATGAAGAGTAGATCCTGTGCGGGTCCGGCCAGGCAGCCAGACAGACTCCTGAGCGCGCTCGCCATGATGGCGGACGCGGCGTTGATGGTTCGGCCGGCCGGCGCCGCAGAGAAAGGAGAGCTGCCGACCAGCAAGGCCAGCGGCGCGCGAAAGGGGAAGACAGGGCACGCCGAGCGGGAGATCGTCCGAGCTACCAAATGGCTTCCACGGCGGTTGTAGAAGGACGGGAGCCGTCGCGGAACTCTATTTGGCCTGCCTCGCTAGTTGCCGGCATGATTAATTGTGGAGTCGCTGTGCACTTGCCCACACGATGGTATATCAAAAAGGCCTGAGATGAGACCAGCTGCAAGCTCGCCGTTAGCTTGATCGCCCGCCCGCGAAAGACGCGTCATGGTGGAGCGGACTGGCAGCCGCCCTACCGTTGATGTATCCGGCGGCCCGTAGATCGTGGTCGGCGTTGTCGTCGTCGAGCTGCAATCGGAATAGTGCCGCCGATGCCATTGGCGCAGCAGCTGCACAGCACGTCTTCTCTGACACCAGCCAGGACCTGCCCTGCATGCCGTGCATGGCTTGATCAAACTTCGTGCCTTCTGTCATGGGACGGCGGGGTAGGCACGAGACATGCAAGCCAAGTCCTTGCCGCACAATGCCGGTGTGGCGACCCTGTCATTGGCCACGATTATTTGCACCATCATCTGGTCACGCCCACCTCTGCGCCAGCGACACTCCATGGACCGCCTTTTCACCCGTCTTGACTCGCGTGTCGCCAATCGTCTAGCGCGACACTTTTTCGACTTCACCTGTCTTCGGACATTCACCGTCTTCGGACATTCACCGTCTTTGTGTGCGCAGCCCCGAGTGATTAGATTCGTAATGTCGCCTGACAGCTGTATAACATATCGACCAACTCCGATAGAAACAAGACCAACCCTGACAGTCAAGTTTTGTAGCAGCTATGCACGAGAGAAGAAAAGCGGAGGTATCGGTAAAATCTGAAAACATCATCCGTCGTGAATCATGACACCCTCATATCCAATGGCATCCCGTCCTTCAACTGCCCTGGGTGTCGTCTCCGCGTCGCCCAAAAAAGGCCGGCCGTCGTCGCAACGTGGCTCAGCTTGCATTAGAACGTGGGTGAGCGTACTTCTCCCTTTCAATCCACCACCTTACTCTGCGGCCAGAGTGCGACCCTGCACGACCAGGATGCTCGCCTTGGCCTTCGACCTGACAATCGTCTCCGCCACCACACCCAGGCATTTCTGCGCCTCAGCGTCGACGTCTTCCCCGACGTCCTTCACCCTCTCCTGAGTGAATGCCGAGAACTGCGTAATGCTGCGTCCCAGAACGATGAGATCACCGGCGTTGCGTGGATTCTGACCAACTTCGGACCGTGCGCGCTCCATGGCGGCCGAGATTGGATTCGCCGTCGTCACTGAATCGAAGAGAACCGAGTTTTGCATCTCGCTCGGAAGCGAGCTGCGCAACGCCTGGAAGAAGGCAGCATCCTTATCCGCGCCCGGCGCCACGGCCGTCGTAGGCTGCTTGCCAGTTGCCGGCGAGATCGTGTCCGCCGGGGCGGCGTCAGGGGGTTCGAAGTAATCGCCAGGTGTTTCGAAGTGGACGAGTGTCGCAGTGACATCAGGGTGCTCCGCAAGTTGAAGAACGAGACGAATCGCGGCCCGATCATCAGCCCCGCCGAAAAAGGGGATGAATATGTGATGGGTCCTGTCCGCGCTCGGCGCCAACGCCACGTTCTTCTCCTGGTTGCTGCGAAGGCTGACATGACTGACCGAACGTTGAAGCTTTTTCCGGTCCTTTCTGCCCGAGCCGCCGAAATTGTCGTTGATGAACACGGCTGCCACGCTGCCTGTGTTGCTGAGCACCGAGCTGACGAAGCCGTTGTACGCGCTTGTGTGAAGTTTACGGCGAACTGCGTCATCAGAAATAACATCAAGCTCAGACATGTTCCCTGTCTCGCTCCAGGGGATGATGACGAGATCTGAGGACATGTCCGAAGCCCGCGAAATCAGCGTATCCGAGAAAGAGCTTCCGTGTACCACGTCGACTTCTCCAGAGATTGCGAGGTTGTTGAGGTAGCCAAATGTCCTGAACGTGTTCACCACAGGGTCGTGCAGCCCAAACTCGTCCACCTCAGATACCTTCATGACTGAAGAATCACGGTCTGTGAGCTCCAGCAAACGGATGCCATGGGCCTTGACAGGTCTCTTCGCCACACCCGTACCTCCGCGCTCTTGCGACTCCGATGGCTTGGACGGATGTGCCTTTTTCTCGCCATTGCTGGACCTGACACCGAACAACGACACAAGTGGAAGCAAGGCGGACATGTTGTCTAGACGAAGGTAGACAAGTAGGCTCTGAGCCTTTACGCTCTCCAGCTTCTCGAACGAGACTTCGTCAGTGCTGTCTTCCTCATGCCTGATGGCAGCGCCCGTATCCCAGTCAATCTCGCCTCGCTTCCAAGCCTCAAGCTTACGTTGATAATGAGGCGGATATAACCAGGAGGTGAGCGGGGTCGTGGCAAAAGTGGTGACCAATGCCATGACCACGAAGATGGTGAAAGTACGCTGGCTGAGAATTTTGGCTTGCAGTCCGATGTTCTAGAGGCGGTCAGTCAGAGGAAGCCTTCCGCAGATGGCACGCTCAGCTTACCAAGACGATGAGTTCGACCAAGCCCTTGCAACTCATAAGGGCTCCAATGGTAAAGCTCTCTCTCCAAACGAGACCGCAAAGGCGCGCAGCTCCAGCTGCGCCGATGAACTTGGCACAAAAAGCGACGCAGATGACAGCGATGACGTACGCCCATGTCATTCCTGTATCAAGCAGCCCCAGGTTGGTGTTGAGACCAGATAGAGCAAAGTAGAGGGGGAGGAAAACGGCGCCCACGATATCCTCGATTTTTTCAGTCACCTTGATGGCAAAGCCTCCTTCGTGGGGACAGATCAGGCCGATGAGGAAGGCACCGAAAATGGGATGGATGCCAATGACGCCGGTGAAGAAGGCGGAACCGAGTGTCAGGAGCATCGTCAGGGCAATTATGCCCTGACTGGGGCCATCTTGGAGCGCGCCGGACCTGCGCAAAAGCCACCAGAGAGCAGGCTTGACCGCAAACCAGACAAAGAGCGTGTAGCCAACGGCAACAAGTAGAACCCAGAGTGCCGTCAGTCCAGTGCCGGCATTGACGAGAGCAACGCAAAGAGCGAGGAGAATCCACCCTGAGCATCTCTGGTTAGTCAGATCAAACATACGGGACGACGCAACCTACCAACGACGTCGTTTCCAACTCCGGCGGAGAGTACGATAACACCGACGGGGGTGGTGAGCAGCTTTAGTTCGGTCAAGATTCTGCACAGGACGGGGAAAGCCTAGACGCTCGTGTCAGCTGCGCCACATGCACCCCACGTGTTGCGCCTAGCTTACGGTAATTGCCATGGCGACACCAATGAAGAGGAGATAGACGCCAAAATTGACGGGCACGGTGCCCCCTTCGCCTCTGAACTCGTGGTACAGTCCGTAGGAAATAGCAGCACCGAGGCCGAAGGGGAGGGCCATTCCAGCCAAGCCCACGCTCAATGCAATTTTCCAGTTGCTGAGGAGGAAGCGGAGATCAACCTCGAGGCCGACCAGGAACAAAAACAACACAAGACCCAGGTTGGCAACCAGGGTAAGGTTCGGCATTGAGGCGGTAGGGAAAATCGTCGTGGTGAAATGCGGAATCTGGCCCATGACCGAGGGGCCTAGCAGGATGCCGCCGATGACTTCGGCGATGACGCGCGGTTGGCGCAGCTTCTGCAGCGGAAAGTGGAGGGCACGGCAGAAAATGATAATGATGCCGGCCTGCACAGAGCGTCAGCCTCGCGGGGCGCAGGGGAGAGAAAAGGGAAGCGCGGGGCAGTCAGTACCTGGATGATGAACATGATAATCGGATCCTTGGAATTGTAGTGGGTCGGGTTGTTGCCCTCGAGGATGCCGGCCTGCTCGGGAGCTCGATTGGAGCTCGAGGCCGAGGGCGTGGCCGAGCTGGTGGTGACGGACGACATGGTGTCGCGGTGCTCAGGTTCCACCGGGATCCCGGGGAGGAGGCGGAAGGTGTGGAGAGGTGGGCCAAAGGTTGGATGGAGCTGGGTGTGGAGTCGTACGGCGCGGGGTGTATATGTACGCAGTAGCTGGCAAGGCGCACCATGGCGATGTGACGGCTGACGCGGTGACGGACGGCAAGCCAAGCACAGGAGCTGGGCCGCCGCTTGGGGTCTGGGCGAGTCGTGGCCGGGGCGCCATGTTGACGTGCGATTCGGATTGGCTGACTCGCGACAAAGGGCCAAGCCACCCGGGTCGTGCTTGGCCCATGATGGCCCATCTGACACGGGCGAAGCGACGAGGTGAAAGGATGCGGAAGAAAGGGCTTGGGACGGTGCTGGTTGCGTGGTGTGCAGACACAACAAGTGGCGAGAGGGGAAGGCGGAGCCGGGCAGCTCCCTTTCCCTTGCACGAGCTGCCGCGGCCGGCTGTGGCCTGGAGACTGCGACTCACCCACACCGCCGGCCCAGCCCAGGCGACAGATACAATTGCATTGTCAGATCAAATCTCCGTGCGCCATTGTTGTTATCGCTCAGAGTTCGGGCACCTCTCTAGCGCCCTCGGCTGGCGCGCTCGGCCTGCGCTTGCAGGAGCAGCCTCCGCAACAACCGCGCTTGTTGTTGCAGCCAACACCACCTTGACGCCCACCATCGCCCACAACGCCCGCATCGCCGCCTCCGCCACAAGCCCGCCACAAGCCCGCCGCCACCTGCCCTCCTCCCCTCACCGCCCACGCCTCCGCCGCCGTCCCTGCTGATTGCGCATCAGGCCAAGCTGATCCGAGACAGCTGAGACGCCGGGCTGGGAGGCGCGTGCCCGCTGTCCCACCCCCGCGCCGTCGCGCCAAGCTCGAACGCCATCTCTCCGCCCTCCGCGAACACATCCTCCCATGTGACCCACGCCCTGTCCCACGCCTCGCCGTTGACCGTCAGCCGCTGCACGTAGAACGCGCTCTCGGCCCGCTGCGTCGCCGCATCCAGGTTGGCCGTGATGTTGAGGAACTTGCCGCCGCCCAGCGAGATGGTCAGCTGCTCGAACCACGGACTCCCCACCAGGAACGTTGTCTGGCCCGTCACGGGGTAGAGCCCGATCATGTTCCAGAGGATCCAGCTCTGCATCGCCCCCGCGTCGCTGTTGCCCGGGATGCCGCCCCGCCCCGCGTTGTAGCTGTCGTACCCGGTCGTGCGGATCTGCCGGACCGTCGCATCCTGTCGGCCCGCGTAGTTGTAGAGATAGGGCGTCGTGAAGCTCGGCTCGTTGCCCGGATTGTACAGGCCCTGCGAGAAGAATGTGTCCAGCCGCTCGACAAACGTGCTCGGGCCCCCTGCTCGGCTGATCAGGTCTTCCATGTCATGGATCGGGTTGAAGCTGTACGTGAAAGGATTATCTTCGTAGTAAGGATCCGCCCAGTAACATCCGCCACACGAAAGAGGGTCTTGCGGCACGAAACTACCATTGGCGTTCCGTGGAACGACAAAGCCGCTGAATCCCTCCGCTGTAGCATTGGGGTTCCAGTGATTTCGCCAATTGCGCGATCTGCCGAGATACTTGGTGGCGTCGTCATCCCGGCCCATGCCATAAGCCACTTGATACAGACCAAAATCATTGGCCGAATACTCCACCGCTCTGGAAACAGCTCGTGAGTATGTGGGCGTGATCCACCCGTAATGGAGCCAGTCTGGTAGCGCGCCCCTCCCCTCCTTGGTCGACGACACGTCTGGAGCTGTCGATGGATCGTAGCTATCCGCTGGCACCGTCTCCGCATCGGTGAGCATTGCCCCTATACCCATGTTAATATTGCGTTGTGGAGAAAGCTTGGACTTGGCGTACTGTAGCCTTCCTGCCAGTTGATGGCCCCTTTCACCCCCTTCACGTACGCATCAGCAAGGACGTTATCAGCGTTGGTTCCACCCTGAACCCGACCGTTCCAGTTCGACGATCTCGCATCAGGCATAAATCCTTCATTCCTCCAGATGTCGATGAACGAGCGGATCTGTTCTTCATACGCCTCGGGCTGAAGGACATGCATCAATGGCGTGGTGCAGCGGAACAGGTCCCAAAGCGTAAACCCTGTGAACATTGTCAGCCCCGGCATGTATGGCGTTGACTATTCTGGCTCACAATCGTCGTAATACGGCTCATCGGACTCCCACAAAGGATTCTCTCCTGTGCGGTTGGACGGAATCAGGTGCATCCCATACAAGCTGGAGTACAACTGCGTTAGGTACTCCGAATTCGTCTCTGTTGTCGTCACCTTCGAAAGCACCTGCGTGTTCCACGTATCCTGAGAAGCAGCGACCAGACTCTCCAAGGTGGCATGGGACGGCAGCTCATCGTCCAGGAACTGACACGCTTTCTCTGACGAGATGAACGAAATGCCGACTCTCGACTCGACATCCGTCTCATCAAAGGTGAATACGCCACCCAAACGCTCAGAGCCAGACACCGACGCCTGCTCGCCATACTGCTCAAGCGTGGTTCCGTTTCCCAAGAAAGTCTTGCTACTCGTCGCCGGAGTGTTGAACCTGCCGCAGAAATAAATCGTCCAATCTGGTGCTGAAGAGAAGACTCTGTTTAGCCAGCCAGACAGTCTCTCAAACCACCCCCAACCCACAAAAGAACCAAAAAAAAAAAAAAGACTCACCAAGGTTCCACCCATTATTATACGTCCCACTCCCCTCGTAATGCCCGTCGTCAAACACCTCAAACGCCCCGCCCGCATATCCCTGCCCCCACCCCAACCCCCTAAACGACGGCAACACATGCGACACATCCACCACCACCACCGCCGCCTCCGTAGACCCGTCCCCCCTCCCCCCTCCCGGAAACCCATACCGATACAACCCCGCATGCCGCGTCCCCGCCAGCTCCACCACGACGCCGTTCGCCAGCGCCGCGCGATAGTACCCCACCGCCGCCTCATCCGGCGCCGCCCTCTCCACGCCCAGGTCCGCGAGCGGATTGAACCATTCTCCCCCTCCCCCTCCCCCTCCCCCTCCCCCTCCTCCTTCTCCTCCTCCTCCTCCTCCTACTGACCCATCGTCGGTGGTCATGATGACGACGGGCAGCTGCGAGACGACGCCGTATTTGGGCGCGCCGCCGGTGCCGCTCTCGTGCAGCATGCTGAAGCCGGTGACGTTGCCGGCGGGCAGGTAGCCCGAGTAGGCGTCGGTGGTGCCAGAGGAGACGTCGATGCCGAGTTTGGTGACGGAGAAGGGGGCTGTGGGGGGGTCGTAAAAGTATGTTTATATTAGTAGACAGCCGCCGAGAGAGAGAGGAGAGAGAGGGAGGGAGGGACTGGCGGATGACTTACCGGGAACGACGCCGGGGAAGACGTTGCCGCCATTTTCGGTGCCGTGGCTGGTGGTTGGTCATTTGGGGGGTTTTTTTTTCTCGAGACCGTTTGCAAACGAGAAGAGCGAGTCGTCGTCGTGTTTGGGGGTGGGCGACTTACAATGGATCGACGTATTGCGTGTAGTCCGTGGTGTACTGCGCCAACGCTGCGCTGCCTAACTCGTGGAATACCAGCACCAGCGCTAACGACGATACAAGATTGGCCATGGCGATGTTGAATGGGTATCACAAAGACAAGGATGAGGAAGAGACAGGAATTGAAACAAATCGTTCGTGAAAGAAGCGATGGGCTTGGGACTGCTGCCAGAAGCGGAACCACAAAGCAAGGTCCGGAGAGGAAATTACGTGTTTGTTGAGCGACAAAAGAGCAATCAGCAGAGGTTTGGGAAGAAGCTTCTTCACTTGTTCCACGAAACGGGTGGTCCGTGGTTCTTTTCTCTTATACACCGGCGTCGTCGCCCACCTACAGTCTCTTGCTCATCACAAGTGGGGCGCACGCGAGCAAGCAGGCAGCTTTCATAACGGAGGAGAGTTCGAGCACGGTGTTGGAAGAGATGCCACGATAGGGCAGTCGATCGTTCGGTGGCTGGTCAGCCGGTGTGGTGTGGGAGGGTCGTCGGGCGAAAGCGCGTGAGCGTATCAGGAGCATGAGGGAGGAAGCGTGCTTCTACATACGGCCTCTCTCTGGGTGGAACGGCAAGCGGGAAGGACGACATGGGTAGCACGCGGGGCTCCGTCGATAGTGTGCCGCATCGGTCCTGTGGCACAGGATATGGCATGGGGCGCTAGTGAAAATAGCCCGGTAGCTGCATATGGCGGACGAAGTTCCTGCATGGCGACTGGGGCCATGTGGGCTTTGTTTCGATAATGAGCGTTCAAAGCCGGTCAAACAGCGAGGAGGAGCTTGTATTTGCTTTCTCGATAATCACGCAAGTCATGGCGGATTGGGAGGAGGGCGGTGGCTGAGCGGGCGCGGTGTTTGGGTTTATCGCGGGAATAGCATGCACGGCGATGGAGCATTCATGGTCGTGGGGACGATCCCTTCCCTGCAAGACTACACGGCTCTGGCACACCCCGCAACCGACGCGTCTGATTGGAGTGTTCCTGAGCTGCCCCCGGCTCGGTGAGCCGCTTGTATTCCCTATCTACTGCACGTGTGCGACCTTGCTTCGCTGAACTGTCGGATGGCATGTCATCACATAACAGACAGACCCTTGGTTCTCCTTCTCGCATGTCTCATCCCTGCCTTGGAATATTGCGTGGCTACCACCTGCCGTTGCGCTGGGATTCTGCACCTTGCTGATCACCATGTCACGACCGGCGAGCCGCATCGCCTCAACGCCTCGTACCGTGGCCTTTGCCGTTTTCAGAACCGTGCGCTGCAACCTGCCGTCTCCGGCTAGCTAGATGGTACCTGCCCGTAAGGAGCAGCGCCGCCGGATCAATAAGTACAATGCACGCATCTCCGTGTCCTCGACAATCACTCCGCCTGCCCTCGAGGAGTTCTGCAGCATCATGACCGGCTCGAGCCTCATCGTCTGTCTCAGACACACGTGAGTGGAATCGGACACAGCACATGGCCAGGCAAACAGCAGCAGCATGGCAAGCCGCATGCATGCAGCGCGTGGTCAGCCTTCCTCTACCGAGACAATAGGCGCTGCCTCGTGCGACCTCGAGTGTTTCTGCCCACTAAGTGTACCTGTTACTTCCTACTATGGTCCACTATCGATTTTGGAGTCGCTTGCTGTCGACCGCTTGAGTTTGCGACCGCATGTTTGTCTTCCCTGCGATACATTGGCTGCTAATATCGAAAGCCTCTGGCCTGCACAACAGCGCTTGTGGACGACGTGACTTTATCCAGAGGCGGGAATAGCCGGCCACTCTTCAACACGGTTAGCAACCTCTTATCCGCAGAGGCCGGATCAAGATCCCGCTTCAGAATCTGACATCCTTGTCTAGCACGTGTGCCAATATTGAAGGCCCTAGGTATCAATCTCCGGTTCAATTTGACGGGTAAGCTTGCTGTTGGATGAGCCACGCCCGACTGTAAGCGTCTATCGCACTGTGCAGAAGATTTCCGATCACCACTCCTAGCGACATGACATCTACGAGTCATCCGTTTGGAGTTGATGTTCAGTTGTTTCGCATAATCCGGGGTGATGGTCTGCCCAAGTCCGCTTCCTCGATTCCCGGCGCCTGCTGACTGTAAGCTCACATGATAGCGAGGACGTAGGAATAGCTTCATAGCCTAAATGTAACACTTCCCAACAAGCGCTTAGGTGAAACTTGAATGATTCCCGCATGTCGCCTTCCTGTTGCACCGCAGGGCTTGAAGCGTTCATAGGAAGAGAATTCCAATACTCACACAACCCTAAAGCCACTGCGACCTACAAACTGTCCTGCGCAGAAAAGGTCGTACGTAACCCGCCCAAAAACGAAAGTCGCTCAACAACCCCCCCGCCGGTCAACAACACCAGGAAGCCCCAACCCCTTCCTCCCTTCCTCCCTTCCTCCCTTCCCCTCTCCCTTCCACCCTACAACCGCCTCCTCCCCACATCCTCCCTCCCCCCATCACAACCTCCACCCCCACCCCCACCCCCCTCGCTCCCAGCACCGCTATCCTTTCTATGACTCGCGCCGCCGCCACCGCCATCCCCATCGCTCTTCCGCCTCAACTCCTGCCCCCACCCCCCATCCAAATTCACCACCACCGGCTCGCGCCCTCCCCGCGCAATGACCCAAACGACGACATCGTCGCCGCCGTCGTTGATTTCCTGGTGCTGGGCAAACGCCGGGACGAGGGCGAAGTCTCCCGGGGCGAGGGCGTGCCGGGTGCGGCCGTTGTCGGAGAGGATGGCGCCGCCGTGGCCGGAGACGGCGTAGATGAGTGTGTCTGTGGGTGAGTGGGTGGATGGTGTGAGTGGGTGGCGTTGGTGTTGGTTTGTGCTGGGAGGGATGGGGAGGGGAGGGGAGAGGAGGGGAGGGGACGGAGGAGCAAAAGGGAAGAGAAAGAAAAAGAAAAAGGAGGGGGCGCACAACACAGCTTCGGCGCCGTGGTGGTGGACGGCGGAGGAGGTGTGGGGTTTGGCGATCATGACTATGTGGTTGGTGATGTTAGCGGATTGGATGGGTGTGGTGTTGGGCGGGAGTGGGGAGTGGGAGTGGGAGTGGGAGGGGTGGTTGTGGGAGAGGAGGAGGGAATACGCACTTGTGCCGCATATCTGGTCGGACATGTCTGAGATGCCGTTCATCCGGATCATGCCTTCTGTCTGCGGCCCGCTGGTCTTGAGGCTTTCGCTCCTGACGACCTTGACTGCGCCGCCGAGCACCATTGTGGCAGTGAGAGGAGTTTCTTTTTTGACGGGAAAGAAGTGGTGGAGGATGTGGTCGTGCGAGGTATTCGCAAAGAAGAAATACAGGTCTCTGATATCAAACGGTAAACAGGCACGAGAGCACGCGAGCAGGCTGAGAGTTTTGCTCTGTCCAACGAACAGACGAGGAAAGCACGCTTTTAAGGAGGGGGAGGACCGTCCTTTCCCTTCACTCAGCCAGCCATGTCAGCAAGACACAAGGCCAACAAAGCAAGCGGAGTCATCAGTGCACCTTCCCATCACCGATTTCCTCTTGCGCGAGCGCCCGCGCCATGCATCCCCGCGCGCACTTCGCTTTCCCCACACGGGAAAGAACGTCATTCCCGTCCGGCCGGTCCCCTGCCAGCATCGGAGCAAAACGGGAGCCACGCGCGGACTCGCTCTAAAACGACAACAAGCAGGCGCGATTGGCCGGCGAGACCCGGCCCCTTGTGGGACGTTTGTCGGATTGGGCAGCTTGATGAGCGGCTTGTAGCTGCGAGCTTGTTTTTCGGTTCATATGCACCCCGCATTTTTTTTCTCTTTTCCTTCGATGCCCCTGCCCCGGTAATAGTGCACATGTCAAAATCGCTGGGAGTTCGTGCTCCCGCGGCTTTGTGGGGATCCTGTTATTCCCGGTTTTCTCCTTCTGACTGGGACGTTCCCATGTCGGTATCGGGCGATGGTCTGCTTCGCATGTCAAGTTGTGGTGTATAAGTGACTCAAGTGATCTGCACAAGGCGCCGGGAGGTGTTGTCCGTGCACCTGACGAAATGTGGAAAGAAGAATTAAGCGCTTGTGGGAGTAAAGCAGAAGGGACCTTCGTCACTTATATGAGTATCCATTTGGGAATGAAGCCCCGCACCTCACTGCCAGCTGATTTCAACGTCGTTCTAGTCCGGGAAACCAGACTCCATACATTCTCCCAACACTGGCAACTCAGACCCGGTGGCATTCTTTTTCAGATGGTCGCTCCAATAGTCTTCTCATGCTCAATCTGCTTCGGGTCGACAATCACGATCCCCTTGCCCGCCATCTTCCCGCTCCGCACCAGCTCCAACAGCTTCGGGATCTCCTCCAAGCCCTGGACGGGATTCGTCCTGACCGAGATGCCGTTTTCCGACACCACCTTCATCATCTCGCGCGCCTCTTCCGGCGAGCAGACGAGCGAGCCATGGATCCTGATATCGCGGAAGACGAGCTCGTGAAACGGGACCGCGACCTCATCGGGCTATGCACCAGCACGAGCGTGAGCCGACTTCACCACCACCACCACATCGGGCAACCAAACAACGAACGCGACTCACCTGCGCAATCTGCACCACCAGCCCATGCACCCTGGTCACCGCGCACGCCAACGCCGCCGCGTCCCTCGCATCCGTCACCGTCACCGTCGCGTCCGCGCCCGCACCCCCCGTCACGGCCCGCACCTCCTCCACCACCCTCTCCTTGCCCGCACGCGCATCGACCACGACATCCGCCCCAGCCTCGCGCGCCAGCGCCAGCCCCTCGTCCCGCGCATCGACCGCGACGACGCACAGGCCGCGCGCCTTGGCAAACTGCACGCCCAGGTGGCCCAGCCCGCCGCCGGCGCCGACGAGACACACGCACTGGCCGGGGACCAGCCCCGTGGCGACCACGACGCCGCGGTAGACGGTGCAGCCGGCGCAGGCGAGGGGCGCGGCCGTGGCGAAGGTGACGCCGTCGGGCAGGCGCACGGCGGTGCGGGCGTCGACGACGGCGTACTCGGCGAAGGCGCCGTGCGTGTGCACGCCGATGGCCCCCGCGCTGCGGGGGCAGTACTGCGGCCGCCCGGCCAGGCAGTCGGCGCACGCGTCGCACGGGCGCAGGTAGATGCCGCACATGACGCGGTCGCCTGGGGAGAAGGTTTGCGCGGCGGCGGAGCCGCAGCGGGCGACGGTGCCGGCGCCTTCGTGCGAGGCGGTGCAGGGGAGGGGGGGCGTGAAGGTGCCGCGGGCGACCATGGAGTCGGTGTGGCAGAGGGAGGAGACGGCGATTTTGACGAGGAGGTCGTGGGGGCCGAGGGTGGATGGGTTGGGGGTGGGGATGCGGTGGATGGTGTAGGGCTGATTGAACTGGTGGAGGGAGGGAGGGTGTTAGTGGGGGGTCTGTATGTGTGTGTAGGGGGAGGGCTTGGGGATGGGGGTACCTCGACGACCTGGCATGCGAGCATGGTGTCGGGGATTGGTTCGGCGGCGGCCATTGTGGACTGGAAAGTGAGTCAATTGGTGGATGGAATTGGATTGGATGGTGCTTTGTGGAGCTGGAGTGGGTTTCAATTAGCTCGGGCTTTTATGTTGGAGCAAAGAGACGGGTCGCAGCATCGAGGTTGCACCAAGTAAGGAGATGTGGTGATATTCCGCAGCAGACGGCTCTTGAAGCGTGCATGCATGCATGAGCTGACGAGGGACTCACCTCGCGACAGTTCGGTGAAAAAGCAAATGATAAAAACAAAATGATATGGAGAAAACCGTGCCAGAGTGTAAAAAAGCCGAGAAAATCAGAGCGGAGTTGCAATTGCTGTAGACTTTAACAGTTCTTCCCGCTCCTCATCCAGCCCACGTCTGTGGATGACGTCATGACGGTTGCATGGCAGCTCCCGTCTTGAGCCACAGACGAGCCGTTGCATGCGGGGCTGAATGCTGTACGATGTCGAATTTGCGGGCTGTTTTCTCAGCCCCCATGATGGTCAGCAACATTCAGTGAAAACGACCTCCATAGGTGGAAGTCCATGGTGTTGGAAATCAAGCCACGCGCAGACAGACCAATGCCCAGCAAATGGTAGGCAGCCAAGTCTTCCGAATCATTCTAACTGATGGATGGCTTGACCTGTTCTTTTTGTGGGAGTGTCTGGCTGGCTGGGCTGATGAGCCCATGAGTGTGCGCTGCAAAATGGTGTTCATCGGACAGCGTGCACCCAGACGGCGAGCAGGCCGGTTAAGTACCTATTGGCCAGGTCGCATGACAGCGGCCCGCCATGTATTGTCTCGGGGAAGGGGCCGCCAGCTGTGGGAGCATTGCATGTTGTTCCCGGAACGTCGGAATGTGCAGCCGTGGCCGGCAGACGAACCGTGGTACGGCTGGCTTCAGCGTCTTGTCGTTGATGCGTGCGCACAGCTGACGGGTGCTGAGATGAGCTCGCAGTGACTTGGGAAGGTGCGCACATAATGCCGTGGAGCTGATTCGGCAGCGGGAGTGCACGTGCACTCTCTGACGCAAGGCACTGCTGGACGATGCTGGACCTCGGCATGTGCGACCCCGGACACGGCGGCCGCTGACCTCGCCGCGACCATCGCCCGCCACTCTGGTTGGCCGCGCCCTGTCCCCGCGGACGTCACGAGCGCCGCCTTCTGCGGCTCCCCCAGACTCAGGCGTATTCCGGGGTACTCGCTAGCATGTGAAAGACGACTTGTTCGACCCAAAGGCCGAGAGCACACCCTATTAATCCGCTCCACCCTTCTTTATCGCTACGTCCGTATACCCCGACCTGACCGCGTCGTCCATCTCGCTCTGCTTCCCTCACTCCATCCAACACCACACCATGTCGGGAACGTTCTCCAAGGCCGATGTGGCCTCGCACAGCAAGGCCGACAACCTGTGGATCATCGTCGACGAGGATGTCTACGACCTGACAAAGTTCCAGGATGAGCACCCGGGCGGCAAGAAGAGTGCGTCGTCCCATCGGCTGACACCTGTCCGACCCCTGTCAACTAACCGTCCCACGCAGTCCTCCAGCGCGTTGCCGGCAAGGACGCCTCGAAGCAGTTCTGGAAGTATCACAATGAAGGCATCTTGAAGAAGTACCAGAAGCAGCTCCAGGTTGGCTCGCTTGACAGCAAGCCCAAGCCCGCTGCTGCTCCTCCAACACCGCCCAAGACGCCGCCCGCGAAGCCCAAGGCCGAGTCCGGCACCGTGTCTGTTGTTCCCCAAGAGGACTTCGAGCCTCTCGACCAGTTCGGTGACCTGATTCCCTTCGCCGATCCATCATGGTATCAGACTGTAGGCATCCATCTCTGACGTCAAAGAGAACTTGTTCTGACCTTGGTGTGCAGTACCACTCGCCCTACTTCAACCAGACCCATGCCGACCTCCGCGCCGAAATCCGGGAATGGGTCGAGAACGAGATTGTCCCCAACGTCACCGAGTGGGACGAGGCCAAGAAGGTGCCAGACGAGATATACAAGGCCATGGGCGAGAAGGGCTATCTTGCCGGTCTACTTGGCCTTCACGAGTGGCCCAAGCACCTTACCGACAAGACGGTGGCAAGTGTGGATCCGGCAAAGTGGGACCTCTTCCACGAGATGCTCTTGACCGATGAATTGTCGCGTGCTGGAAGCGGTGGTTTCGTGTGGAATGTCATTGGCGGATTCGGTATCGGGTGCCCGCCCGTCGTCAAGCACGGCAAAAAGGAGCTCGTCCAGAGAATTCTGCCCGGCATCCTGAGCGGCGACAAGCGTATCTGCTTGGCCATCACCGAGCCTGGTAAGCTCATTTGACCCCTGTTCATACTCCAAGAAGCTGACGCATGACAGACGCCGGTAGTGATGTCGCAAATCTCACCTGCGAGGCCAAGCTTTCCGAGGACGGCAAGCACTACATTGTCAACGGTGAGAAGAAGTGGATCACCAACGGTATCTGGTGTGACTACTTCACCACCGCGGTCCGCACTAGCGACAAGGGTATGAACGGTGTTTCCGTCCTGCTCATCGAGCGCGACATGGGCGGCGTCAGCACCCGCCGCATGGACTGCCAGGGTGTGTGGAGCAGCGGCACCACCTACATCACCTTCGAGGACGTCAAGGTCCCCGTGGAGAACCTGATTGGCAAGGAGAACCAGGGCTTCAAGGTCATCATGACCAACTTCAACCACGAGCGCATTGGCATCATCATCCAGTGCGTGCGCTTCTCGCGCGTCTGCTACGAGGACTGTGTCAAGTACGCGCACAAGCGCCGCACCTTTGGCAAGAAGCTCATCGACCATCCCGTCATCCGCCTGAAGCTTGCCCACATGGCCCGCCAGATCGAGGCGACGTATGCCTGGCTGGAGAACCTCATCTTCCAGTGCCAGCGCATGAGCGACATGGAGGCCATGCTCAAGCTCGGCGGCGCCATCGCCAGTCTCAAGGCCCAGGCCACCACCACGTTCGAGTTCTGCGCCCGCGAGGCTTCGCAGATCTTCGGTGGTCTGTCGTACTCTCGTGGCGGACAGGGCGGTCGCGTTGAGCGCCTCTACAGGGACGTCCGCGCCTACGCCATCCCCGGTGGCTCGGAAGAGATCATGCTGGACCTGAGCATCAGGCAGTCGCTGAGAGTACACAAGGCGCTGGGCATGAAGTTGTGAAGGAAAACATTTGAGGGTTGCGGAGTTCTTCTGTATTTTATGACACATGCACGTGTTGGATAGGCACGATCATGTACGCTTTGTATATTGATGGGATGACGACGACGGTGGATCCAAATTCAATGCTAGACATGCCGGCCTATCTCTGTCTGATTGACGTCTACCTGCACGGTTGGTCTCGTACTTGTGGCGACTTGGTGGAGAAATCCAAATGAGTGATTGTGGACGGACTTGAAGTTGCCTCTTCCTCGGCTGCCTCCAGGTTGTCGGCCCATCCCATGTGGAGCTTCGGAGGACAACAGGATGCGCCACGTAGCGAATTGATACAATTGAGTGGACTGAGCAGATAGGTATATTCCTGACATGATTCATTCGCATCATTCATCGGCAAAGGTCTTGGTCGAATATGAAGTACTGGTATGTTATTAGGACGAATCGTTGGGGCACAAAAGGGAAGGTTTCGTGTAGCAGCAGAGGGAACAGATTAGTGATGATTTGTTACTAGGCAGGATGTAAACAAAGGCAATGTTTAAAGTTGGACCGAGCCTCACGCTGGCGTGGAGAGAGGCGGGCCCGGCCAGACAGCAGATGTGGAGCACAACAAACAAAGACGGGACGGATGCGGATGCAGGCTCGCAGTTGGCGGGGCGGAGGGCGCTCATTGGCCGAAAGGGAAGAAAGAAGAAGCGGTGGTCGCGAAAGCGGTGGTGTTCCAGTCTGTTCCAGGGGAGCGGCGGTTGCTTGGCCAACGCTAGCGTCGTTTGTGTCGCATCACAAATATGACGACACAGACGCAGTTCGCCCCCATCAACAGACGACCAGCAACACCACCGACACCACCGGACATTGTCAATGCCGCTCTCGAAGCCATTTCTACTTCCGCCCTACTGACCAACAACCAACCCACCCCACTCGCCCACCATGGTCGCCACTCGCGCGCAGAGAGCACAGACCAAGGACGAGCCCGCCGTTCCCAAGAAAGGCGCTCTAAGAGAGCCCGCTCGCCGCGGCAAGAAGGCCGAAGCCGAGACGCCTGCGCCTGCCCGGAAGCCCACGCGCGGCCAGCCGACAACGGCAAAAAAGACTGCCGCATCCGCCGTTGCGACGCCAACCGCAAAGTCAGCTGCGCCCTCCACGCGCCGGACACGCGGAAAAGATGCCGTCGCGCCTGAGAATACCGACCCCGCCCATGAACCCGACGCCGACCAAGACTCCGCAACATCCGCTCCTGTGAAGGCTACCAGGAAGACTGCGACCAAGCCTGCGCCGAAGCAGACAACAGCAACAACCCGCAAGCGATCCGCGAAGGACATCGAGCCCGAAACCGCCCGTCCGGCCAAGAGACAAACGCGGTCTCGCCTCACCGAGGAGCCCGAAGAAGCTACACAAACCCACACCATGGAAGACGAATCGAAGAAGGCACCTGTCGCGGCTCGGGCGACACGCGCGACCCGCGGCACCAAGGCATCCGAGTCACGCTCTACAGCCGCAGTCAAGCCTTTGGCCCAGCGCATTACCGTCAATGCTAAGAAGCCGACACGCAAGGCAAAGGCCGACGTGTCTGAGCCTCCTGCTCCCGAGGTCCAGATGGAGGATGTCGAAGAGGCGCCTGCTCCAGACTCGCTAAGGTCGACAAGAAAGTCTTCAAGACGGGCTGCGAGCGAAGAGCCGCAGGAACCCACTTCGGATGCGCCAGTGGAGCCTACCCCTGCAAAGTCGGCCAAGAGATCGACGAGGAAGAAGGTTTTGGACGAGGTTCCTGAAGTCCCGGCAGAGGATGTGGAGGCGGAGAACGAGCAACCCGCTCCTGCAACCCCGAGTAAGTCGACCAAGGAGGAATCGGAGAAGCCTGCGGAGGAAGAGGTAAACAAGGCCGAGGAGCTCAATAACGAGCCCGTCGCTGAGGAACAACACCAAGTCTCCACCCCAGTCCAGACGCCCGCGGCCCCTCAGCACCAACCAGAGACTCCGGCAAAGCCGACACCCGCTCCACCAAAGTCAATCCTTAAAACAGCTCGCTCAGCGGCAAAAGAGAACGTCCCTCCCAGGACTCCTGGTCCTGCTCACTATGCGACTGCTCTGCCATTCGCCGAGGAGGCTACTCCATTTTTCAGACCCGAACACGCTCCGAGCACCGTCAGCTTGCAAGCCAGGACCCCGGGTTTGAACAAGTCTTTGCTTCATGAGACGCCCCGCAGGGCACCCATCGCTACTCCGTTCAAGCTTCATCCCACCATGTCAGCGGTGAAGCCAATGCTTGAAACAAACTCTGGCAGCATCCTCAACAGCCCTGCGAAGAAGGGCCCACTTGGTGCATCCACGCATGGAATGACGCCCATGAGGCCGACAGCTGCGAAGCCAGAGTCCAAGAGCTCGCTTCTTCAGACACCTGCGAAGAAGGGCTTAATGCTTCCCCCCTCTACTGCTCCAGTCAACAGGCAAGGTTTCCAGCCGACTCAAGCAAAGTCGTCTCTTCTTCAGACTTGCCCCCGCAAGATAGCCCTACCAGGCCTCCTTCCCAAGTCTTCTATGACCTCTCCATCGAAGGCGGATGAAGGCAAGATGGGATCTTCTCTTCTGTCTGCCACGCCACGCAAGGGCTACATCGAGCCGCCGACTCAACCTGCCTTTGGAACCAGCGTTCAGGATTTCGCGACTCAGGCGCAGAATTCCGTGCTAGCAGCTGAGCCTCGCCGCTGGAACACGCCCGCGAGGACTCCTGCTCAGCGTTTCGCTACCCCCGGCAAGACTCCTGCCAAATCTCTTGTAGATGCCGATGCGGGCAGCCCCACACCTGTCAAGAAGACCCCTGCTGGTCTGAAGGACGTCAACTCCGCCATCAAGTTGCTCCACGCGGCGTCGCCTGCCATGCCACCGGCTACGCCGACGGAGCAGTTTGTTCAGGGTGTCATCGACAAGATCGACCAGAGCATGTCGGAGTCGGAAAGCGTCCAACAAGAGTCCTCAAGAGCTCAGAGCCAGGAGATTGAAGTCGCCAGGTCCACTGAGGAGCCGGAATCCCAGCATGATCAGGATGACATCGCTGCGGACTTGGAGCTCCAACACCCTGTTGCCGAGGAGATGGAGCCATGCGTTTCTCCTACCGATTTGATCATGTCTGGCAGCGAGACCCCAGTGGGATCTCCGCGCGCTGAGCCCGCAGAAGACTGTGTTGCCATGGAGGAGGAGCACATTGATGTCCCCATGCAGGACGCTGCGCCCGCGGATGATGCCGAGCTCAATGAGGCCACTGAGTTTGTTCAGGATGCTGCTCCTCATATGGAGCAGCCTATCTCTGAGGAGCCGAATGCTGTCGAGCATCACCACGAAGACTATGTCGAGGTTACCCCTGCTCGCTCTGAGATTCAGTTCATCGAAGATGTACACGACGTCGAGGAGGCGGCGCCTGAGCACGAACCCGAGGTCCAGCCTGCCGAGTTTGCTTCGGAAATCATCCATGCCGAGGAGGAGCAGGCTGAGGAGCAGGCCGTGGAACCCACCATTTTTGAGCATACCACGATGGTCCAAGAAGAAATTGTAGTAGAGACTCGGGAGACTCCCGCTCCCGAAGTTCTTGCAAGGCCTTCAACCCCTACAATGGAGGAGCAATATACTGCTGCTATTGCCAAGGACAAGGCTAAGACCGAGCGTCGCGCTCGCCACAAGCGCCTTTCTATGGCCATCGAGCTGGAGAGTTCCATCAAGAAGCCGAGGCAGAGCTTGGCTTTCATCCCTTCCCTCACTCCGGCCAAGTCTTCCCTACGCTCGCCCTTCAAGAAGCCCTTCGGATCTCCCAAGAAGTCCGTTGCTTGGGCGACTGAGCCTATCCAGGCCAAGATCATTGAGGAGTCTCAGCAGCCGCAGACTCCCAAAAAGGTCGACGCCGATCTTGAAGCCAACATCCCCCATCCCGACAACGGGCTGTTGACCGGCACCGCTTTCTTCGTCGATGTCCGCACTGCTGAGGGCGAAGATGCTGGCGACCTTTTCATCCCTCTCCTCGAGGAGATGGGCGCTAAGATCGTCAATGAATGGAACGGCATCGACGAAAGCATCAGCCACGTTCTATTCAAGGATGGTGCTGTAGAGACTCTTGAGAAGATCGCCGCTGCCAACAGCGCCGTGCAGGCCGTCAACATCGGCTGGGTCCTCGATTGCGAACGCTTCAACAAGCGCGTCGCCGAGGAAGACTACCAGATCGAAGTTTCCCGCCTTCTGGGCAACAACAGCCCCCTCCGCACCCTCTTCGCCCTGAGCGCCGCCAACACCCCGGCCCGCGCCACCCCCGCCAAATCCGCCTTCGGCACGCCCTTCGCCCTCATGAGCCTCACCCCCAAGGGCAAGCCCACCCTCAGCCCCTTCGCCGACATCACCACCACCACCCCGAAGCCCGCCTCCACCGCCACCCCCATCGAGATGGACAAGGAAAACACGCCTCCCACGCAGCTCCTCCTGTTCAAGACCCCGACCAAGGCCTCCCCGTCCGTCACCGTCACCGCCGTCGGCGCGGGCGAGTTCTCGCCCTCGACGCCGTACTTCCTGCACGCGGAGAACATCACGCAGAAGACGTGCCCGCCGAAGCAGAGCAACAGGGGTCTGTTTGACCGTGCCGCCGCCGCCTCCACGACGGCGGATGGCGACGGCAAGGCGCCGTTGGCCGTCACGCCGTTCAGGCAGAAGATGTTGCTTGCCAGGCGCAGTTTGAGCCCGGCGGCTTTTGGGAGGGCGCGGGGGATTTAGGGTTTAGAGTGATGGGTGTGTGGGCCACCAGGACATGGCTGAGGGGGAGGCGTTTCTCTCTCTCTGCGGAGTGGCACGTTGTGTTGCGCGATGATACCCCCCCGATTATTATTGGTGTGCGTGAGGACTGGCTGGTTTTTTTTTTCTTTTTTGATTCATGGTGTTCATATTATGGGTTGGGTGGTCGGCTGGGGTACATAAAGGGACTTGGATATGTGTGCATTGGGGAGGTGTTTAGTCTTTTGCGAATATTTACTTTTGAACAGCGTGAATACTATTGCTGATCGCTACCTACTACTGGAGTTGCTCGGATTAGATGTCACCTGGTCCTTGATGGAATATTTACCTTTGGACAGCGAGAATACTATTGCTGATTGCTACCTACAACTGGATTTGCTCGGATTAAATGTCACCTGGTGCTTGATGGAAAATGAAGTCCTCTATCATTCAAAAAGCATCATTCGCAATGCTTTCTTACAGTGTTGAGCTTCCACTCCAAATGCCAACTTATGCTAACGTAATTTGTCTAGGTGTCTCTTCATGTCAAGATCTATCGTCTATACTGGGCATTCGTAGCTCTCTTGCAGTATCCTTCTCATAATTGGCCCGAAGCCTGGTCATGATTTCGTTCTTGCCCTGAAACCTCCACTCCAGACGTACAATGTCAGTATTCGGACTGCTTCTGGGAATGTGGCATTTACTTACACTCATTTCCTCCCACCACACTCTGCGGGCACTGTGAGGGACGAAATCGCCTTCCATGGGGCCTTTCGTCTGCTTAAATCCCAGGCTGCGACAAAAGCAAATAATGACCAGGCAATCGAACCGGCTGCGTACATTGAAATGACGGTAATAGGAAGGTAAAAGATCTTGATTCTGCGCGGGCAGCCGTCCAACAGGCTCGTTGTCGGGACGAGCGGCATGACCACGACGAATGCGTTGACCAGAATGAAAATCGCGCCTGTTGTTAATCTCTTCCAGGTTCTGTCAAGTATGTTATAATCCCATGGCCATTTCTCCTCGTACGGGCCTTTCGAATTTGCTGGATCGTGGCGATGTGTTTCGTTGTCTTCCATGCGCTTTTTGAGGAAGATGAGGCCGATGCCGAGGATGACTATCAAACATGAGTATATTTTGATTGCTTTTGTCGGATCATGCTCACTTTGAAGAATTGCGTGGCCGTATGTGAATAGGTTGATCACGAACATTATGCCTTCGTGAATTCCGTCACCATAGTCAGGAACTGAAGCTATGGTTATGCATGTCGCTAATGCATGAAGGAGAAGGCCGCCGGTTGGTGTTCCAAGCATGTCCCCTCGGTTGCGACCATATGTAGAGCTACGCGCAAACATGATAGGAAATGGAATAATGCGCTGAATAGCAATGTCTCTTTTGACTATGTCGGACTCAATCAGTACCGTTTTACCACATCTGTCGAGCTGCTCACCTCTTGCATTGGTGAAAATGACGCCTATAAGGTTTCCGCAAGATGAGAGTGCAATGCAGACGTATATACTTGTTTTCGCAAGGCTTTCGCGTTGATGAAACGCCTTCGTTTTGTCGTTGTCAGTCAACAATGGGTCCGAAAACCAAGGTTGGCAACTTACCCGGACAGCAAAGGCGACAGCTGCAGTCGTCGACGAACTCTCCACAATCTCTCCAAAGCTGAGTAACCAGAACTGCACAGTCAGCAAGACTGAAAAATGCAATGATATGAAAATTGAGGCCTACTAGAAGGAAGTTGAACAAAATGTACAGTGACGATACAACTGTTACGGCTAACAGAGCGCCTCTTTTGAGAACTCTCCTTTGTTGCGAAGGTGTGCCCTCTATCTCCGAAGCCACATAGTCTAGTATTGAATCAGAGCTCGAGATCATCATTGGTCATCCAGAGAAGACTTACTTGAATTTTCCCATCCCTGGTAGCTGTAGAGAACCAAGAGTGCGGCGAGAGCCACATTGGCGCCTGATACTTGCCCCTCCTTGGAATCTTGCGACGCTGGCTCTTTATAGCACCAGTTAGATCTCTCTGATGATGAGGGATCGGGATACATGGAGGAGAAATCGCTACTTCCACGAAGATTACGATGAGCTCCTTCTTGGCAGACTGCGACAAGCCCTGCCAGTACAAAAACTAATAGCAACCCGGCTTTGTACGTTGCCAGTATGTTGTTGGCAGCTATGCCAATGCTGAGTAATCGGTAGTGCAGTAGGCTTATTGCAATGGTAATGACACATGCAACGAATTTCATGAGCCATTCACTTTCCTTGTTGGCCAGAAGGATGCAAAATCTGGCAAACATAAGAGCATTGTTTGCGGATGTAGAGAATGAGACGAAAAACCATGCAAATGATGTTTCGACCAGGAGTGGCGGGCTCGGAAAGAGTTTGGATATCTGCAGATAAAGGTCAGCCGAGCCACTGTTTGGACGGAGCTGCTGCAGTATGGTGACTTTACGTAGACAAATTCACCGCCGTTGAAGGGCCAAGCAAGGCCATACTCAATGTATATCAGGATGCTGTGCTACCGTCAGAGCCATGCACTGGCCAAAGAGGAACTGAAACGCACCTGCAAGTCGAATATATGCTTCCAAAAATCCACAAAGCAAGCGCGATAAGTTTACTGCCCGTTAATGCTGTGACCATTGCGGGTGCGATAAAGACTCCTGTCCCAATCATTCTGTTGATGATGAGACATGCGATAGAAAATGTGCCCAGCCGCCTTTGCCGGTCCTCTGCATCAATCATTGGCTTGGCCATGCCAACAGCGATAGCAGAAGAGTTTCATATGGCAGGTGATGAAGGCCTTTTAGCGAGTTAACATCGGAATACCCATTGCACGCACATGCGATGGTCGGCGAGTCTGCTGCGGAAACGTATGATGTATTCAGTGGCCCATTCGCCACGATTGGTGACACCTGTGCGGGGCGTGCCGCAGTCAGCAAGCCACAATTCCTACGCCTGCACATCAGACTGGCTGCGACTGACTAGAGGGGTGTAGGGCACCCGATCGCGTGGCTCACCTCATGCGCGCCAAGGCAGACTTTTCCGGGCTAAAACTTGTTTTTCACGACAAAAGGCTGACACTTGCAGCAAGCAACACCCCAAGCGCACAGCCCAACTCTGTCCACGGGTCTGCGGCTCTTGCTGTTGCCTACAGATTAAGGAGGCTTAGACTGCTCAGAAAACGCCCAGCCTCCATTTTCTGCCTCGCAGTCAGCCTAAGGCGTATCAGCATACCCATCTATATCAATGGCCTTTGAGCAAGTCATTGAGAGTCGGTATACCGGCAGCGTCGAAATAATCAAAGAATGCCTTACCAGCTGGTTTGGAGAAGGAGCATACAAGATTCTCGTCTGTCATGTGCTTTCTGGAGTCTATTGCTTGCTGACGGCCGTGAAGGCAACCCCGGACGATGATGGTGGGAAGTGGAAGGTTGAGGTTCCCTCAGAGTTGACCTACGTAAGTCAAGGCAGAAACACCTCAGCCTTGGACTGGCCCCTCAAACATTGCAGACTCAGCAGACGCAAATACAGAGAAAGTTCAAAGAAGGAACAAAAAAGTCGTCGGTCGCAGGTAGCTGAGCGTTCAGCTGGGTAGGAACAAGTCGGAAATCATGGTTGCATAGGTGTTTCAATAGAACATTTTACTACCGAACGGAAAAAGGACGTGTCCAATGGCGATTGCGCCTTGCTGATTGTGTGTGCATCCTCTGCTGGGTCTAGAGGCGTCGTGGACCCTGCCATATGACGCAAATACGGCCCCGAGCATCCATCCTGGCCGGGACGATGACGCAGTCCCTTTATTTAAGTGCGTCCAAAGGTTCCATCGCATTCCTCCTCGATCAGAGCCTGTTCATCATGGCTCTCAAGGGCCGAGCCCCGTTTTTTGGTTGGCGCGAATACCCGCACAACCTCAATCTTCCCGCCACGGAGATTGATGCTTCGAAATGTTGCGAGAGAATATCTGAATCCGCGAAGCGGCTTTTTGTCCCTGAAGGTGAAAGCTGCGTTGATGTCCTGGCCGTCCGAAACGATCCAGAAGGTGTGTCTACCGCTTGGCTATTCCCACCATTATCTGATGTGCAACCAGGAGACGGAAGTGAGCATTTTAATGCCGTGCTCCGCTCGGCTGATATACTCATCCCCTACCTAGAATGCTCGTCCCGGTTTTTGTGAGGACATTGGCCTTCGCTGCTCCTTGTTCGTAAGCGCTGATTGGCTCGGTAGCTTTATTCGTCAGCCGTACTCGTGGACCCAACTGCTTATTTCCGAGGTGCTCTTCCGGAAACTGATGACCATCTTCCGAGTGCATCCTGCGTTTCTGGAGGTCGTGCTTACATTCGGGGAGAAGATCGCGCCCGTCGAGGAAAGCCAGTGCAGCTTCTTCGCCAGCATTTCGAGCAACGGCGCGTCAGACTCCACATCAAACCGTCCTCCACCTAGCGGTTCTACCTGTTCCTTCGGTTTGTTGCCCACTTCGCATTTTAGTCTTACCTGAATTGATCTTGTTCTGTAGAAATCGCGTATAACATCAAATACGTCGCAAGGCATGGGAGGAAGTACCCGAAGGATCCGTATTCCGTTCGCGAATCTGGCGTGTATCAAAAGCACACTGCTGCATCTCAGCAGTGCACGTGGATTTTGCTACAGCCATCGAATGAGCTGGAGGAGCGTCTGCAACGGCACATGTTCGACCCCCTCGCGTCAAATCCCAATGGGCACCTACTTATCCACGCTTTGATCCTTCTCGTCGCATCTGAGGACTGGAGGGAATACGTCAATTACCTTGAGGATGAGTTTTCCAAGCTAGTAAGTGAAGTGTCCAAGCCTGCCTAAAGTAAGACGGAGATGAAAATATCTGACGTTATGAAGCTCGATCGTGGATTTTTCAGCAGTGTCCGTGGGTCGAACACCTCCGGAAGTATAAATGCAGACTTCTCTGATATCAGAGCGCTGCACATCCTTGCTGATAAGCTAAGAAAATTGCTACACATCCTTTCTTTGAACCGTGGTCTTGGCGCAAGAATCAAGGATACTTTTCAGTCTCTCCTTAGCCCTGTGTCTACGAGTGGCGAGGTCTCCTCCTTGTTGTACGCGAAACTTGATCTCTACGACTTCCAGATTAGCACGCAACACTCCAGGATAGATACGCTTATATCTCGCTCCGAAGGTGTTCGATCCCTTGTAAGTAGAAACATGGCATGTCCCTGACCGTCTATTAATGCCCTTCAGATCCAACATATTCTTGACATGAGGAGCTCTGAAAACAACGGCAACATCAATCGAGCTATGCGTGATCTGACAGAGCAAGGTGTTGAAGAAAACAGGCTCATGCGACGGCTCTCAAACCAGGCAACTCGCGATACCAGGTCCATGATGGTCATTGCAATCATCACAGCCATATTTTTACCGGCTACCTTTGCAGCTGTGAGTTAGAACCCCTTATTCCGTCTGCGGTAGTGCATCCATCTGGCTTACGCCATGTTAGACTTTTTTCGGCTCTAATTTCTTCGGTTTTGTGAACCGAGAGTCCGGGAGCTCCTTGGAAGCCGCTTCGAATCTTTGGATCTACTTCGTCGTTGCGGTAGCTCTCAGCGGGCTGGCAGTTTCTTTTGTTCTGATTTATTATCGCGTTAATTGTACATGGATACCACGAGACGGCACCAAAGACGAAGATGCTGAGAAGGATTCTGAAGCAACTGTGGTGGGACAGGTCTGATAAAGTACATGATGTTTTTTGACTGGTCTCGAGTTGAGCGCGATACCATTTCTCCGGCCGCAAGAATTACCGGTGCCCACTGAAAAGCGAATTTTTACCACAGACAAGTGGAGAATTATGGACATGAACTGAAGCGCTGCTATCGGCCCCTAACGAGCCTGCTTTGAAGCCACTCGGACCATTGATCTTGAAATTGTTTAACAGTGCTTACAAAACTCGACCGATCTATAAGTATTAGTGGCCTTTAAGAAAACTTGCCGAACCTGCGGAGCGAACATGCACTTACTTTGCTCGTCGTTAAAGAGTAGTTTGACGGTGGTAAACTCCTTCTTGTAGGAGTTGCGAGATGATGTAGGAATTCCATTTGGAATTTCCACGAGCAGCGTCGAAAGCTTTGGCTTTGGCTCAATCCGTGTGCGTGGCGCCTTCCGGGAAATGACACACCACCCAGTCTTGACCTCCACCGTTACCGACTCAGCTGTGAGCAAACGCGTCAGTAATGAAGTGTAATGTGGAGGACTGGTTAGTAGCTTTTTTACTTGCCCCGAATAAGCAGAATCTTCCTCGTGGCATGTGATGAGATCAGAGCAATATGGATGTCTGGTTCCTTAGCTGTTCTTTGGCCGGCCTCATTTCGTTCAAACCGTTCACTGCTCCAAAACTGAGCCTCCACACCTGTCCAATTCTCGCATTCTTTGGACTTTTGCCAGAGCTTTCCTTTGCTCAGCCTCGCCTCGGTGAGATCGAATTGAGTTTGCAAACTTCAAGTGGATCAGATGATGATCAGAGCTACGTGAATGCAGATTTCCCAACTCACTTGGGGTAAATGAATTGTCTTAGGAGCAATTCTTGGAATCTCAAAACATCTTTGGCTCTAGTCAGTAAGCCTGTCCAGTTTACAAATGACGGAGTCATACCGATTCGCTCCCGAAATTCGAAGTTGTATGCATCCCGAGATGGGAGTAGCTTGAGACCAACATTCCACTTTTCGGATGGTTCCGTCAGGATAGACGGGGCATACAGGGGTTGTAGGCCATACTCTTCATGGGTAGTCACTTGATAAGTCAGCTTAGCGCTCCACGCATGGTGGTCAAGAAAAGCTCCTTCTTATACCTGAGAACTCTCTTCCGAGAACCACTCCGCTGCCGTTACTGAAATCTGTACTCCATATTCCCAACCTGACCAAGTTTTGCAGCGGAGAATTTGGGATGAAAAGCGAGCATTTCTGCCTGCGTGCTCCCCCGCTATAAAAGCAGTCACTGATGATACACTGGTTAGCACATGTCCAAAAAGCTGAGCTTGGAAGATAGGTTACATTCTTGTACAAGGTTCACCGCTAAAAGCGGCACCAAGATCGCTTTCAGACATTTCCCAGATATCCGGTAGAGCCGAAGAATATCCTCGGTTTAGCAACATCTGAGACGCACTTTGATGTAGGTTATTCAGCTGTTCTACGACCTCGTCGGTACTCGGTCGTTCCTTTGGCTCTATCCGTAACATTTGTCGTATGAGGTTGAAGAAGTCTCTTTGGAAGAAGTTTTTCTGCCAAAGCTGATCGGGTTCGACGCGGTTCTCGTCCCTGCTTTTTTGAAAGCGTTCCTGCAGCGATTCAATCCGGCTCAAGACGTGGCCTTTCAACGTGGGACCATCAGGTTCGCTCTTGTAGAAATGCTCCGTTCCAGCATGGGTTCCCATTGAGTTCGGATCCTCCCATCTGCGCTCTTTTCGAAAGAGGGAGAGCTCGCCTTTATCATGGATATCAAACGTGGCTATCTCCAATATGATGGCTCCAAGCGACCAAATGTCCCAGGCTGGAGAGTATGGCTCATTCGGCGGCGGCGCATAGTAGCCCGGCGCCCGATGGTGATTATCCGAGTCCAGGTTTGAAGACCCAGATCCCATGGGCGGAGGTTTGAATCTCGAGAGGCCAAAATCCGAGATCTTCATGATGTATCCTTGAGTATCCCGTGCTTTGAGGATCAGAATGTTTGCCGGCTTGAGGTCCAAATGATAGGCTATCTTTTCTTGGGCTCCGTTGTTCTTGTGCCTGCCATGAAGGTAGGAGAGGCCCTCGGCAATTCCCTTGACTTGTTCCCAAAGCTTCGAGTGTTCGAAAGCCGATTCCTTGCTCTTCAGAAACTCTTCAAGAGTATCTTCAGCGCGCTCGAAGACGATGGAAAATACCGAACCGTGGTGAAAAGCGCATATAGCCGTCATCAGATGAGGATGGTTGATCTTCCTGATTTGTAGGATCTTGAGCCACTCTTCTGGCCCAGAAATAGAGTTCTTAAATACTTTGCGAACAAGTCTGGTAGCCTGTGAGACTCAGTTAATATAGAAAGCCTGGGGTGTTCAAACGGAGAGTATTACCTTGCTTCTTTTTATTGTTTCTCCAACATAGTCGTCTGACTGTATTTTGAAACCGAAAACCTCACCAAAGTTGCCTTCCCCAAGGTGCTCGGTGTCTTCTTCAATTGGAACGAATTCTTTGTTGCTGAATATCGCTATGGGGCTGTTTCCAATCTTGCGGACGTGGAACTGGTACTGATGGAACAGGATCCTCTTGCGGACGCTCGCGATGTGATCCGGACTTAATTTCAACTTTGACAGAAACGCAAGCGAGCTTTCGCTGAAATAAGCATCCCCAAGGCGAGCATCATTTGCGATAAACTCGTTGATCAGTGTGGGTACCGAAAGGGACAGCAACAGGGCGTAGACTGATGCATACTCTTGGTTGATTTTTCCCATGTGATCGTCTGCCAGCAGAGCTCTGTTGTCGACAGGACCGCCATGCGAGGCGCAGGTTGAGCATGTGCAAAGGTAGATCTCTCTCAATGGTGCCGTGACCCAGAGATCATGGATCGATTTTATTGGGACATACCCGGGACCTCGTGGTCCACCAGGAGAATACTTTTCGTTGATCTGTGGCTCTATCATCAGATTCCAGAGCGAGTTATGAGCTTGTACACACTTTGGTTCCGTCATTGAAACGTTGTGGGCTGCAAGTAGCTGTGCAGCATCTGAGATGCGACTCAGCGTTCAGCTTATCTATCCGGCAGGCTGGACTGCTTTGTGAAACAGCCTCGAGACCCAAGCGTTGCGTACTATCACTTTAATTGTCAGGCATCCTATGAAAGCCGCATTTTTCATGCATGAATTCACGAGAAGATGACGCAGCTTTCTCAACCCAGAAAGTCCATCCTGGGAGACTCCGGGCAATTCATCCACTGACATTCAACCAAGTACAACATAGGTTGCATGCGCCCACAAGGCGGAACTGATGCGCGCATGGTGGCTGGTCAGCATGACCCAAAACAGGCGATATGCATCAACGTGCATTCATTGGCAAGCAAGGATCCCTAGTCTGCCTTTAGCCGTTTTCGTTTGTGTCACTCCATGACGATTGCAGCACCTTCTATACGACCCTCAGGCTTCTATCTCGCGAGAACACCGTTCCAAACTCTTTTCAAAGGACCGTCCGCCCCAAACACCGGATCGCATGCCGGCACTGGCACTCCCTTGATCTCGTCGAACAGTGGATCGTCGGCGCCGCGCAGCGCCGTCTTGCCCCACTCGTTTCTCCACTTCGGCGAACCCTGCACACGGCCAATTGCGGGAACAGTGTCAGTGACGGCACAAACCATGGACTTCGGTTTCACCATTGAGGGGAGGTTACCCTCTCGGACGAGGGGACCTCATGAGGAGGAGGAGGAGGAGGAGGAGCGGGAAAAAGGAGAAAAGGAAAGTAGGAAAAGACAAGTTCAGGACCGCCGCACAATGCCATGCCACGCCATGCCATGCTCCTCCCCTCTCCCCCGATAGGTATCACAAAACACGCACGTACGTACGACGTACCTCTGGATAAACACCAATATACTTGTACCCCGCATCCCTCCGGACCGACGCGTGCGCGACGCCAGCGGGGACGACCACGACGTCGCCCGCAGCGACGGTGACGCGCACGCCCTGATCGATCGACCGGCCGTTGCTTGATCGGCGGTTGTTGTTGTTGTCGTTGCCATCGTCGCCATCGTCGTCGTCATCCGTACCGTCGAGTACGGCGTCCGCGCCGCCCAGGCCGAAGACGAGCTCGGAGCGCCCGTGGATGACGCCGTAGCATTCGTGCGTGTTGGGGTGGAAATGCTTGGTCGTGATGGCGCCCCAGGTTCCCTGTGTTTTTTGTTTTTGTTTCTTAACTCATTTTCGTTACCGGCTCAGGGGAGGCCTTCTTTGTAGGTTCGTGTGTGCCTAGATTAAGGGGGATAGGGTATTCGAAGTTTTCTTTTTATAAAGTTTTCTTTTTCTTTTTGGTAGTTCGCAGAGGGAGGAGAAGAAGCAGGGTGCGGATGGTAGGTAAGTAGGTAGGTAGGTATATAGGTAGGAAATATGGTACGACGAGAAAGGAAAAAAAAAGGGAGGGGATGCATAATGCGTTTGCAGAAAGTGGAGCGGGGGAGTCTTATTTTCTGTAAAAAAAAAAAAAAACTTGCCTTTTTCTCCCATTGGTTCCGCTGGAGGAAATCCGACGTCGACTCCTCGTCCACGGGCGTGGGCAGGACGCCGCGGTAGACCAAGACGGGGAAGACGCTGTTCGGGCAGTGCGGGGTGGGGCGGACGGGATACTGCTCTGGCTCGGTGGTGGTGGTGGTGCCGGACGACATGTCGAACAAGGGCGTGAAGTCTCGCTTTGGTTTGGAACTGCAGTCAAGGATGACGCTGGTGGTTTTGCGTGCATCGACGTTAGGTGTAGTCTCTAATTATCATGGACGTCGGGGACGCGGGGTCGGGTCGACTACGCAACCCGTATCTCCCCCACACCAATCGCGTTGCCGAGTCTTCCTAAAACGGAAATATTATCCGCTTCTGCCCTATACTACACGGCTGCGCCCCCTGCTTGTTCTACATGACTTCACAACAGTCGGCCTCGAGAAATGGTCGATTCAAGACTCTGCGACCCAAACGCGCAGTGGACGAACAGCTCAAAAAGAACAACCTCGTTCCATAAAACCATTACCGCCACCAACCCTACCTGACTCACCCCACTCCCACTCGTCACCAAAACCCACTGCTACGCCTCCGATGACTACTCCTCGCCGCCGCACCAGAACGTCTCCTACCCTCCCTTCTCTCCCACCTCTTCCGCTCCAACCTCTCCACCTCCTCCGGCGACGGGCCCACTCCCCTTTCCTCTTCACCCTCCCCCTCCCCCTCCAACCCACCCCCCCTCAGCATCCGCGCAAACGCCCCGCCCCTCCTCCCGCTCAACTCGGCAAACGTGCCCTCCTCAACCACCCTCCCCCCATCGAGCATGACGACGCGGTCCGCAATCTCCATCATCTCCCTCGCATGCGTGATGACCACGACCGTCATCCGCTTCTTCCCCATCCCTGTCGTCCCAGCACCAGCACCAGCACGACCACCAGCGACCAACCCCCCCACCGTCTCCCGCACCACCCGCGCGCTCTCCACGTCCAGCGCCGACGTCGCCTCGTCCAGCACCAGCACGTCGGGCCGCCGCGCGAGCGCGCGCGCCAGCGCCACCCGCTGCGCCTGCCCGCCGCTGAGCCCGAGCCCGCCGTCGCCGACGCGCGTGTCGTAGCCCTGGGGCAGGGAGGCGACGAAGTCGTGGATGCCGGCCTGGCGGGCGGCGGTGTGGAGGATGGTTTCGGTTGTGGTTTCGGTGGTGTCGTCGTTGGGGTCTGCGGAGGAGGGGGACGAGGGGGAGGGGTGGTTGTCGTCGTTGGTGTCGTCGCCGGGGGAGTAGTGGGAGGAGGATGAGTGGGATTGGGACGGTTGCTGTTGCTGTTGCTGTTGGTGGTGACTACCAAGGCCGTAGAGAATGTTCTCCCTCACCGACGCCGGGAACAGCGTCGGCTGCTGCCCGACGACGGCGACGAGCGACCGCAGCGTCGGCGTGTGGAGACGGCGGATGTCGCGGCCGGACAGCGTGAGGGACGCCTCCTTTCTTCCTTCCTCCTCCTCTTTGTCGTCGTCTTGATTGAGTGGTGGATGCGGCGGGTACAGCTTCAGCAGCAGGGCCGCGAGCGTCGACTTGCCCGACCCCGACGGCCCCACGACGGCGACGCAGGTGCCCGCGCGGACGACGCAGCTGACGTCGCGCAGGACGCGGTGCTGCGGGCGCGAGGGGTACGCAAAGTCGAGGTGATGCAGCGCGATGTCGCCGACGGCGGGGACGCGCGTGGTGCCGCGGCTCTCGTGCGACGACGAAGGGGACAGGTTGGCCAGGCGCAGCAGGCGCGTCGCCGTGTCGCGGGCCGAGCCCATCTGCGGGATCATGCCGACGATGGCGTTGACGTTGGTCATGCTCATGGTCAGCTCGGTGAAGGTCTGCAGCACGGCCGTCGTGTCGAACTCGCCGTCGGCCACCAGCACCGCGCCGTAGTAGAAGAGCAGCGCCGTCGCGAAGAAGACGACGCTGTCGGTCAGGCCGAAGAAGAGGCCGCAGCAGGCGGCACGCTTGGCGCCGCGGGCGAAGACGGCCTTGGTGGCGTGGCGGTACTGGGTGCGCAGGACGGGCTCGAGCGTGAGGGCGCGCACCGTCTTGACGTTCACGAGGGCCTCGCTGAGCACGTCGGTGGCGGCGGCGTCGGCCTGGTTGAGCAGGTGCTCCTGGCGGCCGCTGACGCGGTTGAAGGCGACGGTGATGGCGTAGAACAGCGGCGCCACGCCCAGCCCGACCAGCGACAGCTTCCACGCCGACGCCAGCGACCACACCACGGCCGTGCCCATCATCAGCACCGCCATCAGCACCGCCCCCGCGAACCGCCCCACCAGGTTGCGCATCTCCTCGGCGCAGTAGTCGAGCGCCTCGACCAGGCTCTCGACCCCGTTCCCTGGCTCGTCGAAGAAGGACCGCGGCTGCGCCAGCACCGACTGGAACGCCCTCGCCCGCGCCGAGTGCACCCACATCTGCCCCGCGTACTCGAGCGAGAGGTGCGAGAGGTAGTTGGCCGTCGCGTCCACCACGGCAATGCCCAGGATCGCGAGCGAGTACACGAGCGCCCGCCGGGACCGGTCCGGCCCGCGCAGGTAGAAGGTCGTGAGCAGCTTGTTGAAGATGTACGCGAAGACGGGCGTCGAGATGGCGTGCACCACGCACATGGCCACGCCGACGACGAGCACGAGCCGCTGCGCCCAGGTGATGCGTGGCCAAACGTCTGAGAAAATCTGCTTGAACGTGAGTAAGCTGCCGTCGTGTTCCTTTCGTTTTTGTTCGCCGCCGCCGATAAGGGGCAGTCGAGACACCAGCCGGTGGAGGAGTGACCTGGGCGCTACTGCTGCCTTCTCCCGGCCCACTGGTGCCGAGGAGAGACCTGGCGTGCCGGCAATCGCAGCGGTCAGTGTCTCTCTGCGCCGACGTTTCTCCTGAAGGAGGATGGCCTCCGAACCGGAGACCCTTCTGCTCTTACGCTCCGTGTCATCGGCATCGGTGACGCCGAGGCCTATCTCGTAGTCTCGCTTGGTCATGGACATGGGGCGCGTGTCTGCGAAGGTGTAGTCAAAATCGTAAAAGCTGCATCTCCTCTTGCTGTCGAGAAGCTCAAAGTTGTTGGATTGCTCTGTAGGCGAGCTTTCATCGCTGCGTATCTGAGGCGAGAAGGCCGCAGTTGGTGGAAGGACGCGCCAGAAGTTACCGCCCACGGCTGCCGGGAGGAGTGTCGAGTTGCGGTTGCCGGGCTCGACACGTTGCTCCATGAACATGCTGGGCACGAAGCGAGGCGCCCCATAGACGTCGGCATCGAGATAGCTTTGCAGCGGGTCTTCGTCGGCCGAAGATTCGTCCGAGTAAATCGAGCTGGTTCGCCGTAGTAAGCTGTAGGGTCTGGGGCCTGCTTGGGCAGCAGTGCTACTTGTTCCGGCGGCGAAGCCACTCGAATTGGCACCCATCCCCGTCTTCTCCTCTCCGTTCTCATCAACTTCTTCTTCCTCTTCTTCTTCCTTGATGGACAGGAACCTTTGAAACGGCGAGCTCTTGACTCTTTCCAGAGACTTCCTGTACCCATCCTGCACAACCTTGCCCTTGTCCAGAATGTAGACGTAGTCCTCCTGTTGAATCTGCGAGATATCATGCGTGATTATGATGGTCGTTCGGCCCCTCCGCCAGACCCTGATCGCCTCCAGGATGAGCGTGCGATTGACGTAGTCGAGAGCGCTGGTCGACTCGTCCAAGATCAGCACCGGCGTGTCCCTCAGCCGAGCTCGCGCCAGCGCCATCCGCTGCCGCTGCCCGCCGCTCAACGCCGCCCCGTTGGCCCCCACCAGCGTGTCCCACCCGTCCGGCATGCCGTTGACCGTCTCCTTCAGCAGCGCGAACTCGGCCGCCGCCTTCACCTCGTCCAGCGTCACGCGGTCGAAGTCCGGCCGCCCGTAGCTGATGTTGCGGAAGATGGTGTCGTCGAAGAGCACGCTGTTCTGCTCCACCAGCGTGATGTTACGCCGCAGCCAGTCGATGTCGAGCGCCTCGAGCGCGTGCCCGTCGAGCGTGATGCTGCCGGATTTGGAGGGGTAGAAGCGGCAGAGGACCTGCCCGATGGTCGACTTTCCGGAGCCAGACTTGCCGATGACGAAGGTGGTTTCGCCCGCGGCGAAGAAGAGGGACACGTTGTCGAGAGCAAGCTCATCCGGGCGGACGGGGTAAGAGAAACAGATCTAAGTTGCAACCGTTAAGCGATGCGTTCGCATAGAGCGGGTAGAGAGGAAACTCACGTTCTTCAACTCGAAATCTCCGGCACAATGGTCAGGCTTCAGCCCCTCTCCCGGCCTTGATTCTTCCTGACCCTTCGATCCGTGAACCATGACCGCTCTCAGCTTCGCGCCGGCCGCCCTCCCCTTTTCCATGACGAGGAACTGCGGCAAGATGGACATGAAAGCCTGACAAGCCATGAGCGCCGCCCAGAACGTAGTCAACACCTGCCCCGGTGTTTGGCCCTTGTCAAGCAGCGTGCTGCCGTACCAGAAGCCCTGGATGAACATGGAAAAGCTGACGAAAGACATGAGGCTCATCTGCAGCGCGTTGAGGTTGGCCTGGCGCACATAGTAGGAAGCCGCCTCACGCGCGACGTTGGTATACTTCCAAACCTCATAGTCCTGCCCGTTGAATACTTTGACAGTCTCGATGGATCTAATGGCGCCGATGGCGTATTTGAGCGCTTCCTGCAGCTTGTCGACCTGCTTGTCGATGTTCGGTTGGAGACGAGTGGAGAGAAATGCGACGGCAACAACGGCGACGGGAACGACGCAAAGGATGACCAGAGTGATGCGCCAGGAGTAGTAGAGCGCCATTCCGAGGCACAGGAGTGTTGTGGCCAAGTTCTCGCAGATGCCGCCCAGCGGCTGCGACAAGGAGAGTTGCAGCTCACGGATTTGCCTATTACCAAGTATTAGCGTAGAGACTCTCTTCAACGGATCATTAGATACTATACTTACGTTTGTAGCCGCGGAACCATCGCCGCCACCCCGTTCTTCCTTTGGTCGAACCAGGTCATGTTTCTCTTGAGAAGCGCCGCAAACACTCGTTCGCGGGCACTTCTGGCCTGCGTCTCCCCAAAGAGTATCCATATAGTGAAGAAGAAGCTGTTGAGGAGCCAATTACCCGCAGCTAGGCCCAGCAGATAGGTGCAGTTTTTTGTGACTTCGCTCTTCAGCTTTTCTCCTGTTATTGCCCCAGCTCCATGCTTGGCGAATGCGTCGAAAACTCTTCCGAGGAGAAACGCGTTTGCGGGCACCGCTAGACCGCAGACGACGGACAGGGACAGTGCGAGGGCGAGTAGCGGAACGTGTTTCCTGGTCAGAAAATTGAAGAGGTCTTTCCATTGGGTCTGCCTCAGCGCTTCGTCTTCTCCCAGGATATCCACATTCACATCCTGCTCTGCAAGACTGTCGCTGTCGCCATGTTCCTCATGCTTATACTTTGTCGTTCCGGGTGGAGACGGTCGATTGACATCAGACGGTGCGGTCATCGTGTCCGGACGAGGGTATTGCGTAGTATCGTTAGGTCCTTGCGATGCACGCTGTGTGCCCTATCGCGATGTTGACGTTGAAAGACGGATCTAAAGCATGTAATGAGTAGCAGACAAGTAGCGGAATAATATTTCGCAAACAGCAAAGTTCATGTGGTGAGCGAAGCCAAGGGACAATGCTAACGCCAAGTTGTTCAGTGCAACAACAACAAAGACAAGAGGGACAATGGTAAGGAATTGCCGAATTTTCTAGGCACCGAGCCTCCGGTGTCTATCTGCAGTCACGTTTCGTGGGCTATCCTGCGAGGATCCCATGGATCCAAGCATGCCACCAGTAATGGTATCGTACACCCCGCTTCCAATGCGTGACTCTCCGTCATGCCTAGACTAACATACCTGAGTCTGGCCAGGGTCACTGTATCGGAGAAGTCAGGTAGCGACTATCCAGAATGCCGAAAGGGAAGATATGAGCGCTACACGCCGCACACCTTACTCCTTCTTCGCCGCCGCCTCGGCCTCCTCCTTGGCCTTCTCCGGGTTCGCCTTCTCGTAGATCCAATCGTTCAAGCCAGCGCGGTTCCTCGCAATCTCGACGGCATAGAACTGCATCCTCACCGCTGCAACGCACACACAGACACAACATCAGCACAAATATCACCACCACAACCACAGCCACTCACCGAAAATCGTCTCCTTCTCCGAATACTCGGTCGCATGGCTGGCGCGCAGCATGGTGCCGAAGTTGTAATCGTCGATGCGCTTCTCGTACGCCATGATGAAGTTGCGCCACTTCTCCTTGCCCGCCTTGCTCTTCATCTCATCCTCGTCGATGGTCGCGGCCGGGTCGAAGTCCGGGAACTCGGTCTTGAAGTGCTCGTGGATCTCGTCGTCGATCTTGGTCAGCCGCAGCTTGCTGCCGCGCATCCGCTCCAGGATCGCCCAGTACGTCGTCATGTGCTGCACCACTGTCGTTGCGAAGACGCGCCTTCTTGCTTAGCATTTTGCGTGTGCTGCGACTTCTCGTCGTCGCGAAATGCGGACGTGGTGTGGAGCTTGGGAGGGGGGGTGGTAGGCGACGCCGACGACGGATGGGGTCGAGATGCTGGGTGAAATGGAGAGAGGAGGGGACGGCGTACCCTTGACGGCGAACTGCTTCTCGATCTAGATTTTGTGTCTGGGTCAGTCCCACCGGCTCGCCTTTGCTCGAGTCGTTGCGCGTCGCGAACATACATCCTCAAAGTTGTCGGCCTGCTCAGCATTGAGCTGCGCGCCGGGCGGTCCGATGGCAGACATGGTCGGTTACCTCGTTCTCACAATATGTACGCTGGAAGAAAGAACAAGGGTCGGGGGTGGCGCGTTGCACGGGAGCGAAACAAAAAGATGATGCGAGAGCTTGAAACTTGGGCGGGCGGGCAAATATTCTTGGGCGCCCACACCCACCCCGCCTTCGTCATACAGGCAGTATTTCTTAGATCATCTCCGTAATCTTATCAGTTCTTGTTTGTCTCGTTTGCATCTCATGACCCTGACTCCTCCCCGACCGGCACCCAACCGGGCCCCATCCGGCCCCCATCCGTTGCAGCCGGGCGGAAAACGAAAGGGAGCCCGCAGATCTCCACTTCTTATCGAAAGGTAATTTGAGCACCATGCAAAGCTCGCATTATTGATGATCTATCTGCCCCAGTAATATTACTGCCCGTCACTACTGCCCGTCACTGCCCACCCCATCACGGCCCATCTCTGCCGGCAGCCGGCGGCCATCTATGTACCGCAACGCTTCCCCAAGGCGGAAGGAACGACGGCTGCGACATCGTGTCCGTGTTCAGCTGGCTGCCCATCATCGCCCTGCAGATCTGGGGCAGTGGGTGGCGCAAGCGGGGGGCATTCAAAGAAGAGATAAGGCCGGTTACAGATCATGTTCTCCCCTTGACTTCCTCTTGCGAGTTGTCTCTTCACCATTTCGCTAAATGTTTTAGCATAAGTGATATGTTGGCCGCTGCCGGACAGCACACATCTTGTCTCAATTTCAATAGAACATTTCTTCAATGATCACCTGCCGTTCATGTGTTGAGCCCCCACCACCAATTTAATCCACCATCACTAGACTCGACGATGGCGACATCTACTAATTAACCATGGTCTAACTAGAGACAAAAATATAATTACATTGTAACTTAATAGCTAAGAATGTATAGAGGTGGCGAAGAACTCAACCTCCGCTCAAGAGAGACAGTATAAAAAAAAAAAGAGAGAGAGAGAGAGAGAGGGTCGGTCAGTCAGTCAGCCAGCCAGTTTGAGTCTATTACATCATAGCAGCACACGAGAAGAAAAACATAAAACGAACTAGGTAACGTCAACAACGATGACGACGACTATAAGATTTAGGGACGACGATGACGACGACAGTTTTTTCCATGGATGAATCAATCAATCAAGATATGAACAAAGCAACGACCACAACAACAACACAGCACTTCGAAAGCAAAAGTCAGACAGAGAGAAGAAATGATAGACGAACAACAAATTAATACACGAACCGTTCCATCTCCCACATCTTATATAGGCAAAGGGCGAATGCTAAGGTATAATCTCTCTCTCTCTCCAAAAAAAAAGAAACCACGAAACAGGGTGAAAAAAAAAGGGACGAGCTAAAGGGATGTGTGTGTGTGTAAAGAAAAGGGCTACCATCTACACACTAGCCCCTGCCGCAGCGGCACCACTCGGCTGCTGCTCACCCCCCTTCTCCCCACCCTTTGGCTTATCCTCCCTCTCCTTCTCCTTCTTCTCCTTCTTCTTCTTCTCCCCCTTGCCATGTTCCTTCTTCGCCGCCGCCTCCGCCATGAGCTGCTCGAACGCCATGAAGTCGCCTTCCTCGTCGGGGTCGCGTTCCGCCTTCGCGAACAACTCCCCGATGATGACAATCGCCTGCGCGCGCTCGACCCTCTTCTCCAGCTTCACTGCCTTGTCTTGGAGGACCTTGTCGCAGACGTCGCGCAGCACGCTCTGAATCTCAAACTTGGACCCGCGCCACGCGGCCGCGAGGATCTTGCCGGTGACCAGCTTCTCGAACTCGGCCTTCTTCTCGTCCGTCCACTCGTCGCCGCCGGCCTCCTCGGCCTTGGCCATGGCCTCCATGCTCATCTGCGCGTCGATGGCCGTCGAGATGGTCCCCCACGTGTCCTTGGCCAGCTGGCCCTTGTCCTTCAGCCGGCCGAAGAAGCCGCCGATCCCCAAGAACTTCTGGCTCTTGAGGAAGTTGGTCCCCTTGCTCGTATACACCTGGCCGATGGCATGCAGGATCTCCAGCCCGAAGCTCTCCATCTTCAGGTTCTCCACCTCGAGCTTCATCTGCTCCTTGAAGCTCTGCGTCACCCCCGACCCCTTGTCCGACTCGGTCCAGATGTTCAGCCGCTTGACCAGCTTCTCCGCCAGCGTCGCCACGCGCTCGTCCCGCACCTTCTTGCGCTCCATCTCGTACGCCGCCAGCTCCTCGCGCTGCTCCTTCGTCAGCCCCCCCTTCTTCTTCTCCTTGGCCCGCAGCTCCTTCTCCTTCTCCGACACCCCCGCCGCGTCCATGCGCGCCTCCTCCTCGCTCTTGTCCATGATCGCCAGCCGCGTCGGCACGCCCCCCTTCGGAGGTCCCCGCGGCGTGCTCGTACCCGACGCGGGCGCGCTCGACGCGGTGGCGTCGGCGGCGCCGGCGGGAGCGGTACCGGCGCCGGCGGCAGCGTCCGTGGCGTCCGCTTCCTCTTCGGCAGACGCATGCTTCTCGGGCGCGGCGGCAGAGGCAGAGGCAGAGGCAGAGGCGCCGGTGGTGGTGGAGGAAGTGCCGGCGGTAGCCGCGCCAGCGCCGGGAGAAGTCTCACCAGCCGTCGTGTCCGCCGCGGTGCCCGTCTCGGCCGCTTCTTGCTCGGCCGCTGCGGCGGCGGCCGCCGCCGCTTCTTCCTCTTCCATCTCCTTCATCGTGATGTCCATCGTGTGCGTGAGGTCTTTCATGAGCGAAATCTCGCCGATCCTGTGTTTTGTTTCCACTTCCCGTCAGCCCGTCTGCAATCCCCCCCTCAAGCCATCGAAGCGCATGGAGCGCGCATGCCGAGTCGGTGTGAAAAGGAAGGGTGATGCCTGTGTATGTGCATGTGCGTGTGCGTACCAGTCTACGAAAGCCTCGCCGCCAAAGATCATACCGAAGAACTCGGCCGGGTCCTCTGTTTCGTGCGAAAAAGAATCGCATGTTAGCAAATCCCGCGATATTTTTTTTTGGTAGGCCCTTATGTAGGGACTTTTGGGTAGACGTGGTTGCGTACCGAAACCGCTGTGCGGCACCGCTCCTTCTTTGCCGTGCATGTCATATTGTTTCCTGAGCTCTTTGTCGCTGAGGACTTGGTACGCCTCGCCGATCTGTATTGCAACGCGTATTGGTTGTGTTGATCAGACATTTGCCGGGGAGGGTTGCGTGCGGAAGGGCGAAAAAAAAAAAAGGCGCGGGGCAGCAGCCGCCGCCGCCGCAGCGAGGAAGTCTTACAGCCTGGAATTTCTCGTGCGCACTCTCATCGCCGGGGTTCTTGTCTGCAGGGAAGAGAGAAGCAGGTCAGCGCCGAAGTTCGCAGGAGATGCGGCGTGTCGCAATGTGGAACGTGGCCTACCCGGGTGCAGCTTGATCGCAAGCTTGCGATATGCTTTCTTGATCTCGATCTCGGACGCGGTGGGCGGCACCTGCAGGGCGTCGTAGTAGCTCGTGTCGACAACCATTTTGGCTGCGTCGGAAGACGGGGTATCGAGGGCGCGGCAGGTAGGAATGGGGGGGTGTTGGCGCAGGAAAAGCAGGTAGCGGTGGTGCCTTGGGCTATGTTGTGCTGGAAGTACGGAAGGGCGGCAAGCCAACAGCGGCGGGACCCTGGCCCATGACGACGATTTTCTCACTGCAAAGCCACACTGGGGCAACGATCACCCGAACACCCCTCCGGCAAGCCACAACCGCGACGTCACAGCCCGTAGGCAACCCACGCATCAAACGAAAAATGTTGTGGTACAAGAAGCTTTTTAGTATATCGACAGAAACCCGTTCCTGAAGATGCCGTCGTCAGCCTGATGCAACGCCGTGCTAAACCGTGCCGTGATAATCGTCCACCCCCAAAACTGAGCTATCGGGGAGGGCCACCTGTTTCACCTCCCGTGTATGATGCTCGTAGACTAAACGCCGTTGCAATGAAACCACCTGCCCGGCCACGAGCAAGCCCAAACTTTTCCCGTCTTGCCGAGAAACCCTCAAGGAAACTAGAGAGAAACAATCCCACCGCATCCGTGAATTCACATGAGTCGGACGTCATTAATGTGCTGATTCCAATCGCCTTTGCTCTGTCGCTTAGACGACAAACTTGGCCTTCGCCCTGGTGCTGCCAGAGTGCGCGCTGTCAGTGTGACCCGAGAACTCGACCTGGTCGTTTTCCTTGAGCGTCAGCGCCTCCTTGAAGCGCGAGCCGACCTTCAACAGGACCTCCTTGCCCTGCTCGAAAGTCCTGCCCTTGCCGCCCGCGTTGTTGCCATCGCCGCCGCCAGGGAACGGCTTGCCGACAGTGCGCGTCCACAGGCCGATACGGTAGAAGCCCTTGCGCACGTTGACAACGACACCCATGACTTCGCCGTCGCCCTCATCCTCCAGGGTCTCGCCGATGGCGGCCAGCATGACGTGGAGCCAGAGCGAGTCGATGTCGATGAGCTTCTTGTCGCGGAAAGAGAACGACCACTTGCCGCCATGCTTGTTCTGCGGGTCCTCCCACTCGGGACGGACGCCCTGCTTGAACAGGTGGTAGTCGGACTTGAGCGCAAGCTGAGAGGTGGGGGTGATGTTGTTCTGCAGTTGACACGTCAGCCATGAGCCAGCGCCGCGAGTCACGCAGCCGGTGTACGTACGTAGATGCCCCAAAACTCCTCGACCGAGTCGAAGGAAATCACCTCCTTCAGCAACTCGTTCCAGTTGTCGCCCTGCGGAGCAATGGGTCAGCATGAAGTCGCAGCAGCCTCGCGATTGCGGCGTAAACGTACCCTGCCGCTCGGCGGCTTGGTGAACCAAAGAGTCCAGGCGTTCATCAACGGGTGCTTGACGTTGAAGTTGTTGGGATCGTGGAAGACGGTGACAGGCTCGCTGTCATTGTAGGGGACCTTGCCCTCTTCGCCTTCCTGAGTGCCGTTCATGTTGCCGCCCTCAGGTGAGATCGGGATGGTGTCGAGGGGGACAGGTTCCTGGGGGTTTGCGGTAGCAGCCATGGTGGATGTTGGGTCGGCGCAAATGTGGGCGGCGACGGGCTTTAGGCGTGCCTAAAAGCGTTTGGCGAGGTTTAGGCGGGTGTAACCGCGGAACGCTTCAAACGTGCTTCAAGGATGAGACGCGCGCAGCGAGCGGACCGGCCGGCTGAAAGTTGGTCTGGATGATACCGCCTGGTGAAACGCCAAGCAGTGGGGATGCGCGATTGCCGAATGGCGCTTGTTGCGGATGTCGAAGGTTGTGTAGCAGCGGAAGCTCTTTGAAGGATGGCTTTAAGGTCGAGCTCGCAGCGAAAAGTCGGGCAGTCGCGAAGTTGCGGCAAGTGCGGCTTAGCGCAGGTCCGCCTCAACTTCGGCCCAATCCCCGCCCTGCTCATCTGCCGCTTCCCGTTTGAGCATTTCCCTCACGCCGTGCTTCGCAGCTGACGCATGTCTGATAATGTGAGCGTCTTGAGATGAGACCGTCCAGAAACACGCCGCTTGCTCATTCGCCTGTCTCCATCAAAGCTCCAACACATGACCGGTGCTGGCAATGACTGTCCTCTGTGCCGCAGGCCGGCATTCGCAAGCGATGATGCAATTGCATTATGATCTCCGGATAATTTGGAAGATGAAACAGCGTCCTGCTATTGCGCAGCCAAGGCGTTTGGCCTTTCAGCAATCACCCCTCAGCCCATTGAGAGTCACCAGAAAGAAACACATGACGTCATATGACCAGGAGAAAGGAGCTCGATTACTGAGTGTATGTGTACCGCACCAGCTGGCGTGGGCCTCATAGTACTTGGAGGCACACACCAAAAGTTCCCGATTACCGGGTAATGTAACTCGATATCAGCACATCTTCGGCACAACCGACGCCACTGAAAGGGCATGATTGTAATTTGACATCCGTGCTATGGGTACCCAGGATTCGGAAACGGAAATGCAAAGTAAAGAGTACATGTCCAAGGCTGTGAGACACCAAAAGACGGCAAACAGAAGCCAATCGCCGCAATCTTGGCGAGATGGCCTCTTGTCCGCAAATGCGAATTACTATATTAGTAACAGATGAACGAGTCGCCTCGGGCCAACTGCATCGCTCACGCTGTCGAGAGCTTAAGTGAATGAGAAGGTAATACATGCTCTGGTCGTTATACATCAATGGTTACCCCTTGTTTCTGAGAGGACCATATACCAGTGAGATCAAATGCGACTGAACAAATGTGCAGGCGGCGACCTCTAGAGCTCGCCGTGATCGAATTTCTCGATGGCTTGCTGTGCTTGCGACGAGCCAGGCGGGGGGGCTCTGAACAGGCCCTGCTTGAGCTGAGCGTAGGCAATGTCGAACCTTGCACCAGCGAACCACGCGACAAGGAGCTGCAGGATGAGTGTTAGCGAGCGACGAAGTTGGTGGTGTTGATGGGTTGTGCGCAACGCAAAAATTTAAACGCTTACCATGCAAAATGTGACTACCGTTAGCGTGCCCATTACGGCAATGCCCATGTAGATCATGTCCCACTTGGCTTCCTCCTCTTCCTTCTTCTTCTTCGCTTCTTCCTCCGGGCTCAATGCCGCCGGCTTCATCTCCTTGTTCTGCGCCGTTTGCGACGGGAAGATTGATTCGATGAATTGCTCAATCTGTTCAGATATTAGCAACGCGTGCATCTAACGCGAAACAATTTCCCTCCAACTTACCCTGCCGCAAGCGATGCTGATCTCGAGGAAGTTGGGATCTCTAGGATCGTTCTTCTTGAGAATCTTACGAGAAAACTCCTTGAAAACCTCACAGACAATCTGCAGGTTCTGCGTCGACCGGACCATAAGCTCGCAGGCCTGGCCCTTGGTGATCTTGACGTTTTTCTCGAAAATGGCCGGGTTGCGGAAGCACAGCTCGAGCGTCGCAATGGCCATGGTCTGGGGGATGGCGCAGAAGTTGAACACACTCTGGTCCCTCAGACCGGCAAGATAGAACAGGCAGTCAGGCGCGCGTCGCAGGGCAGTCAAGATCATCTCTGAGTTGCAGTTGAGGGCCTTGTCGCGATTCTCGGGCTTGAAGAGGTCTTCGAAGACCTCGACGTGCTTGGACCAGATTTCCTTTGGCCAAAACTTCCGCCTGTCATCCAAATCCTCTTTGATGTCCCTGATGATGTTGATCTGCTGCAAGAACTGACCCATGGACTCCTGCAGCTCCGGGCGCTTGACAAGAGCGGTGTTGGCCAGGTCCGCTTCGACGAAGAGGCGCGTGAGACCCTCTCCAACGAGGCCAGCGACGTAGTGGCAGTACAGCTCGTAGTCCTTGACAGTCTTCACACCGTACTCGTTGTGCTCGGCATTGTTGGCGTAGTCAGCCATGCCGTTACCCATCTTCTTGGTGATGTCCTTGATGATGGCCTGGTACGGCTTCTTGATCTTCTTGAACTCCTCGATGATGACCTCGAATTGGACAAGCAGCTGCCTGTCCTTCTCGTTGGGGCCATTTCCATCGAAATTCCAGCCATCTTTCTCCAGAATCTGGTCGAAGTCGCGCAGCAGAGGCTCCTTTGTCTTGATGTCGATGGTCATGTCATCCTCGATGGTGTCGAGGCCGCGAAGGATGAGGTAGAAGAGGCAGACGGGGACGAGAAGCTCGGGGTGCAGCTCTTGGATGACGGCGGCGAAGCTACGGCTGGTCTGCTGGAGGAAGACGAAACACTGGCGCAGCGACGCGCATTCCTTGGACTCGTCGCGCTCGTGAACGGGGTTGTGCCAGACCTTCCTAGAGCCTGGATCAGTTTGCACGGCAGTTGCGAGTGCGCCAGGGAGCCATCTCGTACCATTGGATTATGGACCGCAGCTCCTGCACGTGGAACAGGTAGTACACGACATCCGACGCCTTCGGCATGATGACAAGACGCGTGCGCTGGGAGGACTGAGAAGGGATTGGGAGGAGGGGGGGCGTGGCGGGATCAGCGCGGAGCGAGAGTCTGCAGATATATGGTGGTCGCGCGCGGGATGGAGGTCGGGTGGTTGAATAATGCAGCTGGCGGGTGATTATCCCACCATCGGCATGGTGCTGGATATTTAGGGGAGAAGCGCCCACAAGCGATCTGAGCCTCCTCCGCTTTTTGCGTGCAGGGCGCACCCGTACCCAAGCGGCGTCCGACTTCTGACCGCCGGCCGCGGCGACACCTCGCTCCGGCGCCCGGAATCTCCGCGACGCCGCACCAATCTGCCACGGAATCTCCGTCATCTCTCGTTGCATACACAACCCATGGTCTTATTCGCTACAGCCAGGATATCTATATGTCGTACGTTGTTACAGGCCCGCATTTACGCCGTCGAGCAAGGCCGCGCTCGCCCCCATCTGCAATCAAACGCTCAAGATCAGGCCATTTCCACCTCAACCGTCATCAAAGCGAAAGCATGCGATAGAGCCGTCGCGGAAGAAGTCGTGGAACGAAGATTACAGTAAAAGAAAAGAAAGACCCAAGTCATCTGAGTTTGTCCAAGAACGTGAATTTCGACGACACGGACGGCTGCCGTCCTCTCACCGATCCTTCCGTGGTACTCGAACGATCCGAGCCCCTGCGACTCATCGACGAGCTCAGAGGGTTCGACCGCTTCTTGTGTTTCTTGATGAGCATCTGGATCTCAGGCGAGCTTCTCTGAGCCAGCTTTACTGAGCTCTGGCCGTAATTATCCGTCGCGCTAATGTCCGCTCCTCGCTCTATGAGCGTGGCAACATTTCCTTCCTGTCGTTTTTCAATTGCCACGTGCAGGGGCGTGCGGCCGGCAACATCTCGCGCTTCTCGGTTCGCTTGACGGTCGAGCAACACGCCGAGCAAGCGCTCTCCTCCGTTCTTGGACGCTGCGATGTGGAGTGTGGTCTCGCGCTCCTTGTTTGGCGTATCGAGGCTGCCTCCTTTTCCGAGGATCGAGTCAATGATCTCGACACTACCGCTCTTACGCACCGCACGGTGAAGCGCAGTGTCGCCTTTCTTGTCCGTGGCATGGACGTCTGCACCTGCCGAAAGCAACAGCCGGACTGTAGTAAGGTGTCTCTCTTCAGCGGCATACATCAAAGGCGTTCCGCCAGTCGACGTCTTTGCTTCGATGTGCGCATGCTTTTCCAGCAGCAAGTGCGATATCTCGGACGATCCAGCAAAGCTTGAGAGGAGAAGGGGGGTCCAGCTGGCATCTACGTGTGTTGGGTGAGTATCTGCCTTGCAGTCCTTGCTGGCAGGAAGCCGCTTACCTGAAGAGCCCAGCGACATCCACTTCCTCGGTCCCATACACTCAAGACCGGCATCGTATGCTAACAACAATTTCACGAGGACGGCAAACTTGAGATCGACAGCACGGTGGAGAGCCGTACATTCGTAAGATGTCGCATCTACCCTCGCACCTTTTCCGAGGAGATGCGCGGCGATAGGTTCATGTCCAGCCGTGACTGCATGGATCAAGGGTGTAATGCTCCTGGCGCAACGTGTTTCTGGACTCGCACCCTTTTGAAGGATGTCTTGCACTATTCCGTCTTCCTTGGCCTGGATGGCGTGTATCAGAGGTGTCTTTCCATCCGCGAAAAGCGAGTCTTTTCCAATTCCCAGGTCCAACTCCATCAACAAGTTCGCGATCTCTCGCCGGCCTCCTTGAATGGCCCACTTCAAACTTTCTTTCGCAAGTGCTCGTTGCTTTTCGACGTCTTGAATTCGATGGAGCACCTCTGTAACGCCAGCTTCGCTGTCCTTTTCGATGGAGAGTTTGATTGCGCTCTTTGGGTCGAAGGCTGGGGACGCTGGGTCATGTCCGACCTCAGTCAGCCATGACCTCCCACTGCTACCACTTGGCATCACTTCGAGGCTCAATTTGCGTTCAGTCAAGCTCGGCTGGCGGGGTTTGTCTCCAAGATACTGTTCACGTAGCGCTTCTGCTAGTATGTGTTCTCCTTGTTGCTGATAAATATGGGCCAAAAGCGCCACGGCATCGAATATGAAAGGATCTCCTTTCGGTAGAGACTTCTCAGCCCCAGTGAAAGCTCTTTTCGCATATCTCGCAGCTTTTTCTAACCGCTCCTGCTCTTGATATATCTTTGCATAAGAGAAGTACCACCTCCAGATGTCCGGCGTCCTTCTCTTGTGCTCTTCCAGCAGCCGAGTGTAGATTTTCCTTGCCTCCTCCAGCTGCTTCTGTTTGTAGTATATCTGGGCCAGTCTCTCGAAGACCTCAGCGTTGTCATACTCCATGCCGTGGTTGCGACGACCCTCTTCCAGGTACCTCATCATCATGTTCTGGGCAGTCTCGGCTCGATGGTAGTTCCCTTTGTCGAACTCCTCGATGGCCTGGTTGTGGAATCTTTCGATGAGTCTCTTCAAGACACCTTCTGAGAAATGGTCGTCAAGGTTGGGATCTGGATCGTCCTCGTCATCAGAATGCTCGTCGGACCCGATCCCGGAGTCCTTCGGTTCTCCGCGCACTGGAGCATCAGATTCGGAAGCGCTGGACATCCTCGGCGGTGTCACCTCATTCTTGAAACTGGGACCTGCACCGGGGCTTTGCGGCGGCGGCGATTCGACTCCGTCCATCCACCTGTGTATCGGTGGGTCGGTAAGTTGGAGTCCGCTGCGGATCGAATCGGAATCAACGCTTGTTGCAGCTTCGCTGACGGCGGCGGCAGACATGATGACCTGCTCTACATCTTCGTTTATTTCGTGTTCCCCTGGCATGTCGGCCTCGATGTCGGCTGTTTCGGGGTCATCGACTTTCTCCGTCTCCGCGGGCCGTGACAACAATGTTGATTTCACGTCCTGGATCTTACGGGACAACTCCTGGAGTTCGTGCTCGATCGAGGCATGACTCTGCAACTGGTTTGCCAATGTCAGAGTAGACAGAGACACTTGCAGAGCCTGCGTGTACGATTTGATATGGCTCCGCAGTATGGAAATGATATGCGACTTCATGTCCAGCTTCAACTGAGTCATTGGTCTCCTCCCAAGCGTCGTCTGCTTCACCGCAGCATTTTCTAGTATCGACTGCAGCTTGACCAAAGTCTGTCTACAGCGTCCGAGAAGCTTGTCGATGCGCGTCCAGTGGTTTTCTTCGAGATCCGTCATCTGCCGCAGTTGCCAAATCTTCTTTGTTTCAGCGACCAGCTGCAAGGCTATTTGGAAATTGTGGATCTCGACCCCGAAGCCGGAGACGGTGATGTCGACATGGCTAGCTGCGTCGCAAAAGGCTGCTAGCTTGGAGATGATGATGCCCGCCAGCTGGGCAACGTTGGCGGCGCTGGCGCATATGGATAGAGGGTCCATGGCGGTGGAGACATAGGACCGAAAAGAGCTGCAGCAAGGGAAGCCTTCGTGCTGGGTGCACCAAGGCGATGGGGGAATAGAATGAACGGTGGGGGACAGGCGGAGCGGCAAGCGGGAAGGGTAAGAAGAACAGCCCTAACGCCTAGTTTTACGGGTTGCAGCATAGATGCAAGTGGCAGTGCCTGCAGCAGGTTGGAGTCAGCAGTCCGGACCAACTCTTAATGCGGCACTTACCAGCACCTGAGTTAGGTGAGCGAAAGGATTCGGATCCGGATCGTCGTGGCCGTCAGGCAGAAGGTTTGCCTAGCCCGAGGTCATTGGAGGCGCTGAAGGACCCCTGCAAGCAGCGAATGGGGATGCGAGCGCTGCTCCATCCGTGTCCCGGTGCACGACAAGCGGCCAGAGGACGGGACTGCGCCTCCGCCATGAACCTTGATTTAGGCACGTGTCTCGAAAATGAGGCTATAAGCGAGCGGCGTTATGACTGGCACAAGCAGTGATGTGCTGCGGTCAGCCGCTTTTGGGGCCGTGGACGGCGCCTTTCCGCTGAGGAGGAGCTGCTGTGGTTTGTACTATGATGGCACCAAGCATCAAGCAGACACGTGTGTGCTTTTTTTTTTTTTTTTTGAGGCATTATGCGAAGAGTCTTTGTACATACGATGACTCAGGAGCGGAGCCTCGAAGCTGTTCTCCAGATTGGGGACACATGCCCGGTGTGCTGAGTACTGTGTGGGGAAACAGCCTTGGGCTGGGGAATACTACTAATAATGCCGTGATGCTTCTTGAAAGTGTGGGGGCGGCGCCTGCCCCGGATCGCCGCCGCTGTTCCCCGACGTTGTCGATCCCTGTCCTCGTTCCCGGTCGCCGCCGCTGCGTTGGCGACGGCACGTGAGACCTCAGCAGTGGCAGCCTGTTGCTAGCGCGAATCCTTCCATGTACGACAGACCTGGGGTCCTGCGCTGAGGCCGCCGACGATGAGTGGCGTGCGCACAGCTGGCATGGTCAAGAAGGGATTTCAGCTGCCTCTCCATCAGGCTGACGGGTATGTTGCCAATGTGCGAGCTCGGTGAAGGTCACAGCGAATCCGGTAGCGAACTGTCTGGAAGGCAGGACCCCAGCCTGGTTGACTGTTTGCTAAACACCTGCAGGACATTTATGGATCACCGCCGGGCACTTCTCGTGGTGCAACATGCAGGCCGCCCCCAAGCTGGGCCTGGGCGCCAGCCGCAAGGCAGAATCCGCCAAAGCGACAAAGATCAGCCATCGCACAAGCCCCCGTCCCTTCACAAGTGCCGCATCTTCTCCTGCTCCCCCGTCATCCAACCTGGGGTTATACTCAGAGCGAAACGCTGCTATCCTACCATCCTCTCGACCGCTTGAGGGCATAATCGACAAGCCTGTCATTTAGCACACAATTGCATCCTCCATCAGCGAAGCCAACGGAGAGGCAGTTTTGGACCCTGCGTCCTCACTTCCGCATAGCGCTACGGAATGTCCACCCCACTGGAGCTGAGGGAGCGAATCACGGTCAGCAGCTCACCCCCCACAACAGCCTTATCTTGCAGTGAACAGCGCTTTCTCCCCTTGCGCCGGAAGCTAATGCTGTGGTATAGCACTCCAACCGGACCTCCAATGATGTTGAAAGCACGCTTCACGGCGAGGACCACAATCAAGTATAGTATGTATTGGTGCCTTACCCTATGCTCTTTCCGAAACTTGATCGGCACGCCCTACCGGTGACCGCCGAGAGGCTTGTTGTCAGATGTGCGGGGCTGGCTCGTGTAGCGCTGCAATATCCGGAGTAAACTACGAACATATTTTGGATTTAAACCGCCATGGACTGCATTTGCAAACGCGTGGGATGGGCATCTTCAGCTTCTCGGCTGTGTTGTAACACTACGGGAAACAGCCTCAACCTGAGAGCTCCTTGCTGACCACGAGTTCAGTATCGAAAATCCGCTTGACAACCTCACGCTCGAGGAGCTTGAGGAACAAGTCGCCGCCTTCAGGCTCAAGTATGGCTTAGTCAGCTCCGTCGAAGAAGAACTGTTGCAGAAGGGCGCACGCGTTGCTCAAAGCGGACGGACTTTCGAGGCTATCGAGGAGCTTACGTCGGAAGAGCTTCAAGCCTTGCGGGATGAACACACGCGGTTGTTCAGGCAACCACCGGCCTTTTGGATCACAATCTGCTGCACATGCATTGCTGCAGCACTGCAGTACGTTGGAGACCCGCAGCCCCGACGATAAAGCGCCCATGCTAACACAGACACTACGCAGAGGCTGGGATCAGACCGGATCAAACGGTGCCAATCTTGAATGGCCGGCGGCATTCCATCTCAACCCTGACACAAGGACTGGCGATATCTGGATTTTAGGGGTGGTGAACGCCGCTCCCTACTTCGCGGCTTCCATGCTGTAAGCGCGCTGCATTTCCTTTTCCCACCGCGTATGCTTACGTCTCCACAAGGGGCTGTTGGATTTCTGATCCGCTCAACAATTACACTGGCCGACGGGGCACGATTTTTTTCAGTGCTGTATTCTGCTTTGCCTCTGTCATCGGCTCGGCGTTCACTCAGAACTGGGTGCAGCTGTTCTTCTGCCGTTGTCTACTCGGCATCGGAATGGGTAGCAAGGCCGCCACAGTCCCCGTCTATGCCGCTGAGAACTCACCTGCGTTTTTCCGTGGAAGCTTCGTCATGAGCTGGCAGCTTTGGGTAGCTTTCGGTATCTTCCTGTACGCATCCACCCCTTCTCCACTCCGTCCTGTTCCTCTCTTCATCGTGGATGGATCGAAATGACGCTCTATGAGTGATTGCTCACTCCAAGTCGTGCTTTTGCAGCGGCTTCTCTGCCAACCTTGCCGTCTACCAAGTCCCGCACATCGGCTGGCGCCTGCAGCTCGGCAGCGCCTTCATCCCCGCCATTCCGCTCCTCATCCTCATTTGGTGGGCGCCCGAATCGCCCCGATGGTACATCAAAAAGAACTGTTATCCGCAGGCTTATGATGCGTTGCTCCGTTTGCGCAATGTTCCGCTTCAGGCCGCGCGCGATCTATACTATATGCACGTTCAGATCGAGTTGGAGAACAGGATGCTGACGGAAGAGCAGGCGGCGCGAGACGGTAGGAGATGCAGAGAGGAAGAAGCCACGGTCAGCCGGACACCGGTGGCGCAAGACCTGTACAAGGCGAAGATGTACGTACGGAGGTTCGTGCAGCTGTTCACGATCGCGCGGGTGAGGAGAGCTACGTTGGCGAGTACGACAGTCATGCTGGCACAGCAAATGTGCGGGATCAATGTGAGTTTTTGCCTTGTTGCTCGGCGCCAACGTCGGCTCTGGGTGGTTCGGGCTAACGCTTCCAAGATTGTTATTTTCTATAGTGCGACGCTGTTCGTGGACGCCAAAGCGGATACGCGGACCGCATTGCTGGTCTCTTGGGGCTTCGGTCTGGCTAACTTTATGTAAGTCGTCGTCTCCCGCTGCCTTCCATCGAATGCTATACTGACTCTCGTTCAGCTTTGCCCTTCCAGCAGTGCATCAGATCGATACTCTTGGCCGCCGTACATTGCTGCTCATCACGTTCCCAGGCATGGCTCTCACGCTTCTGGCAGCTGGCTTCTGCTTCTACATCCCCGAGACCAGCGCCGCCCGGCTCGGCCTGATTACTTTCTTTATTTTTCTGTTCGCAGTGTTCTACAGCCCTGGAGAAGGGCCAGTGCCGTTTACGTATTCGTCGGAAGCCTTTCCTCTATCCCACCGCGAAGTCGGCATGAGTTGGGCAGTTGCGACGAACCTCTTCTGGGCCGCAATCCTGAACACCGTCTTCCCCAGGCTCACCGATGCGCTGGGTAACACCGGCGCGCTCGGTCTATTCGCAGGCCTGAATGTACTTGCCTTCGTCATGATTTTCCTGTGGGTTCCGGAAACGAAGCAGCGGACGCTGGAGGAGCTCGACTCGATATGTAAGCACACCTGCGCGGAATGCGGCGACCAGAAAGCTGACAAGTTGCAGTCAAGGCTTCGACCCGAAAGCACATGCGCTACCAAGTCACGGTAACGCTGCCTTGGCTCTGGAAGCGCTATGTGCTAATGCAGAAGGGGGCCGAGAGGGAGTCGTTTTATGTTTCCAGGCGGTGATAAGGGTCCACAGCTTTTGATGGCGCGGCACTGGTGGGTGTCAGTGGCTGCACTAGCGCGCGGATGGCACTAGTATCGTGGCCGTGCAAGGGACGATGCTTCATCAGTGCGCGTCTCGCGGGAAACAGAGCGTGGCTTTTTTGTTTGTTGTAATGTTACCTACTTCATTGCACCAGATACCAGGCGCTAGGAGGCTTCATCTACAGAATGTAGTTCTCAACTTCTGTCGATGTCTTTCCTTCCCTTGTCAGTATCCATGAGTGTTGCTCAGCCCGGCACGCTACGGTGTTGCTCTGCTAAGCAAGCGTCAATAAATCTCTCGCGGCCTACGGACCTACAGCCCCACCCCGTCACCAGAGCCCGGGATTGCCAGACAAACAGACGGGCTAGGCCGCGGACTGCCTAGTTTGTAGATAGTGTCGAGTGAAGCTTGAATGACGATCTGCGCACACTCGCCGGGCGCTCCCGTGCGTATGCTGCGATTCGTCCCGGGAGCGAGACTTGCACGATTGCGGAACGGCGCGGAGGGCGTGTGCCCCGGATGGTGCGGCTGGGTGTTGCCGGGTGTTGCTGTAGTCACGGTGGGTGCCACGATGCTTGGCGTCGATGACGTATGCTCCAGCAGTCCCTATGTCATCGCTGGCAGCTTGTGCGCCGATTCTCTCGCGGCCATCGTCCCCCTTAACTTGGCCCAGCCCTGCGAAACACATTTCCATATAATCCTGCCGCATCCTCGCGTCGATCCCGTCGACTCAAGTCAATCAATTTCCCTCCCCCTCTTTCCCTACCCCGTCCGTGCGGCGTCCACACAAAGCGATCCTCCCAGACCCAGCCGCCTGCAGTCCTCCCAACTCGCCGCCCATCACACCACAAGACAACCCGACCGTAGCACGCACCCACGCCCGCGCTCGCCCATACCCGCCGCCGAACCCCGCCTGCCATGCACCGCACGTACTCGATGCGCCAGTCGCGCGCCCCCACGGCGTCGCAGCTGCAGAACCCGCCGCCGCCGCCCTCGTCGACCAAGGCCGGTCGCTTCTTCGGCAAGAGCAACATTGGTAGGTAGTCGACCTCCTTATTTCCCTTCCCCCCCGTCCCCACAAGGGCCGCCCGCTTTCGCCTTGTCCCACCCGGATCGTCGTCGTCGCCGCGCGCGCGCGCGCAGGGCTTTTTGGATCGCCTCCCTCCTCCACCTTTTGCCCCGCATCTCGCCGCCGACTGAGTGGCGCCAATTCGGTTCCGTCTACGTGCGCGCGCGCGCGCAGCTGCGACGCTCTCTGGGTGCGACCAATGCGAAGAAATACCCGCGCACCCCGTCATTACTCTTACTGCTTTTTTTGTTGTGCTTTGCTGCTAGACGCTTGTTCTCTGCGAATCCCTAGGGCGCAAAGTTGATTATGTGTTGCGACATCCAGGCCACTCGTTCCGCAGGCAGACGGCCGGCACCTGGGGCCCCGACCTGGCGAAGAAGCTGTCGCAGCTGGTGAAGATGGAGAAGAACGTCATGCGCAGCATGGAGCTTGTCGGAAGGGAGCGCATGGAGGTGGCGGTACGTCTCCACTTCTCCCAACATCCCCCCTCGGAAGCGGCGGAGAGAGGCGGGAGTGGCTGACGAGTTTGTGCATCAGCAACAACTGTCCATCTGGGGCGAGGCCTGCGACGACGATGTCTCGGACGTTACGGATAAACTGGGCGTGCTTATCTACGAGATTGGCGAACTAGAGGACCAGTTTGTCGACCGCTACGATCAATACCGCGTTACGATGAAGAGCATTCGCAACATCGAGGCGTCGGTTCAGCCGAGTCGCGACAGTAAGCCGATCTTAAAACAAGGCATATTCGGTGTGGGGAGGCTAATTGGGCGGTCAACAGGGAAGCAGAAGATCACGGATCAGATTGCGCAGCTCAAATACAAGGAGCCCAACTCACCCAAGATCGTCGTCCTGGAGCAGGAGCTCGTTCGTGCCGAGGCTGAGTCTCTGGTCGCCGAGGCTCAGCTGTCCAACATCACGCGCGAGAAGTTGAAGTCGGCCTTCACGTATCAGTTTGATGCTCTGCGTGAACATTGCGAGAAGCTCGCTATCATTGCGGGCTACGGCAAGCATCTGTTGGAGCTGGTTGACGACACTCCCGTCACTCCCGGCGAGACCAGGCCCGCGTATGATGGTTACGAAGCTAGCAAGGCGTACGTTCCGTTGCCCCCGGATTGAAATTATACAAGGAGCTAACAAATGTCACAGTATCATCCAGGACTGCGAAGACGCGCTGACCAACTGGGTCGAGCAAAACGCATCGGTCAAGTCGAGCCTGTCGACCCGCGCACGAACATTATCTCAGCGCCGCCACCAGCGCCGTCAGAATGGCGAGGGCGTCGATCTCTCCCACCAGGACCACCCTATGGAGGGGCGTGAATCCGGTCTTTGGATACCCGCATCGGAGCACGCGGCACGCGAGTACGACGACGAAGACGATGAGGAAGAGGACGCGCCCAGCACGATCGCGGCAAGCGAACCACGTGGCCGCGAGGCTGCCGCTGCCTAAGGTTGCGAAGAGCGGTTTTCCTTTTCTGTTTCCTTCTCGCCACGTGCTGCTATTCTCGACTCGAAGATTTGGAAAGGTCGAAGTCTAGTGGGACGGTAGACGTTATACCCAAGGCATGGAGACTGGTGGTTTTTTTTTTTTTGTAATACGATGGGCCAAGCAATCATGGACATCGGACGATTAAGGTGGTAATGTGCTTGTGGCTTTTAGTCGGTTTTCTTCTTTTTCTTTTGACATGATGGAAATGAATCAACTGTTGCACTTCTTAACATACTTGTGTCTTGTGAGTTAAGGTATGAGACGAGGACATTGCGTTTGTTCAATGCATGGAGGTGAAATTCGATTCATCATCTGGTGTGATGGCTTTTTTTAAGTCTAAATAAGACATTCAGGAAAGGCATGAAGCTGGACCTGACGAAGCCAACAAAGGCAGGTGAAAGCAGATTTGCAGGGGCTTTATCCTTTTCCTCATCCTATGCGGTAGATAATGGCGAGGGGGTTGCGTGGCTGACGTGCATATCCCGCCCGTCCTGCAGCGCGTCGACCCTGTACCCCGTCAGCCCACGCACGCACGCCCCTGCCCCACAGATCTGTGGCAGCGTCGCGATGCGTCCGGGGCCAGAGCGCTCTCTCAAACATGACTCGGGAAACGAGGAACGTAACGTAAGTGTTTGACGACGTCGCCTTCTGCATGCGTCTCTCGTTCGATGAAGCTTCGAGAAGAGCGTGTCTCGGCAGCGGGTGCGTGTCATGATCATCTGATAATGATAAGACGGGATCTCCGAGTGCAGCCCTCCCCGTGAGAGCACAGGGTGAGACCAGACTTGCTGCCTCCAGGCAATTGTCGAGACCGCAGGCGCGGACACCGGGCGTGGCTACGCAGGTTCGAGTCACCGGCGGCTGGGCCCCACACACCGCATCCCGAACACGGGAAGAGGGCGAAGCGAGCACAGTCCTTGCCCGGCGGTATTGATAAGCAGGCAGGCAGGGCGATCTCCACATGCCGCTTCCCGCTCTGAACGCTTGATGCTACAACTTGTCTTTGTCGTATTCCCTCCTTCTTGGACCTTTTCGCCTTTGCAACCCCGACCCCGCGCTCTGCTTGCGCCTGCAACCTGGTCTTCGCCCCCAACCCCCGCAGCAGAGGAGACCATGTTCGCGACGTAGAGATTATTATTAACCACCTACGAAGAACAAGCTCTGACCTCAGATCAATATCGACGTCAACCCATCACCATGACGCTGCCAGCCGCAGCAACCGATCATTTTTCCACACAGCCTGCAACGCCCGCCTTCGCACCGAATTCGACTGACGTCGACCCGTCCAGAATGCGGCTTATTCTCGCCGCCCTGGCGCTTGGCCTGATCTCTCTCCATGCTTTCGCCAGCCTGTTCCGCACCCTACGCCGCAACAAGCGCGCCAAGGGTGCCTTTGCCGGTAGTCACGTCACGACTGAACAACCCTATGCTGACCGCGACGGAGTCGCTACCGACGAGACCACGCAAGCCTACAGCACCCGCTGGCAGACGGCGCAGACGGCCCTTTGCGCTGTCGTTGGTGCTTGCGTCTCTCTGGCTCGCGCCGTATTGGTGACGCTAGATGCCGAGGATGTCGTAATTGCGTGGTTGACATGCGCGATTTGGGTGCGTAAATCACATCTCTTTTTTTCTTCACATCTACTGGCTCGCGCGTGGGAACCATTTCTTCACCCATGCTTCCATTGACCAGGATTGCGTGTCTAATAATAAAGGAAGCACGTGGGAGAATACGCGCGGGAATGTATACCATGTCCTTTAGTAGATCGGAGACGCGAGGGCTAGGTTGCGATTGGTGGCCGGACGTTATGTTATCCCGAACAGCCCCCTTCAATTGGAATGTTCAATGCAGGGCCGCGGTCAGATTCAACCTAGCTGGATACCGTTGCGTGCCTAGTTGAAGGCAGTCTGGCCTTCTCTGAACTTTGTCATTTCGAATGCACTACGGGCATGGCGGTGCTGACGATCATCATAGCTTCCTCTCATTGTCCAGAGCATCGATATCTCGATAGAAAAGGAGCCGGTCCGCAAGTACAACATCGCTCTGTCCAACTCCCTGACCTACCTGATTGGCTTCGCCGTGTTCTGCTACGTCGACGACCTCCGCGACACCTCGAGCTCCCCCAAGCTCGGCCTGGCCATCGCCCGCGTCTGCCTCTCGCTCGCAGGCTTCCTCGTCTGCACCCTCTACCCACGCAGGCCGGCCGTGACCTACAACGGCCGGATCGTCGACGCCCAGCGCACCGCCTCCGCCTTCAGCCGCTACACGTATGCCTGGCTCTCCCCGCTCCTCTCCTTCGCCGCCAAGAAGGGCTTCCTGCACCAGGATGACCTGCCCAACCTCGACGCCACCTCGCGGTCGCGCGACCTACACGACGACTTCATCGCGCGCATCGAGTCGTCCGCCTCGTCTTCCGCCGCCGCCGCCACCCCGCTCTGGCGCAAGGTCGTGCGCGCGCACGCGCCCGCCCTGGGCATGCAGTACGCGCTCACGACGCTCGACTCGGTGCTCATCGTGGCGCCGCAGGCGGCCATGTTCCAGCTGCTGAAGCTGCTGGAAGAGCGCGCCAACGGGCGCGGCGGCGCCGACGTGACGGTCGCGGCCAGCCTGTGGGTGCTCGGCCTGGGCGCCGGCATCTTGGTGCAGAACTTCTTCGAGAACTGGCGGTGGTGGGTGAGCTACGGGTACCTGAACGTGCCGATCCGCGTGCAGCTGAGCGCGCTGGTCTTCTCCAAGAGCATGCGGCGGAAGGACGTCAAGGGCGTGCAGAAGAAGAAGGGGGAGGACAGTTATGAGAGCGGCGTGGTGGAGGAGGAGGAGGATGTTGTCGAAGACGGCGAGGAGAAGATGAAGCAGACGCAGCAGGGGACGATCAACTTGGTCGGCGTGGATACGAAGCGCGTGGCGGATTTCGTCACGTATCAGAATGGGTTCTGGGGCGCGTTGATCAAGATCATCGTGTCGTTTGTGTTCATCTACAAACTTGTCGGGTAAGTGGAGGAAGGATGTCGGTCGGGATGGTTCGGGTGGAGCTGACTGGGTGTGTGCAGGTGGCAAGCGCTCGTTGCGGGTATCATTGCGCAGCTCGCGACGGTGCCTCTGAACATGTACTTCGCCAAGAAGTACGCGGCTGCTCAGGTAAGTGGTATTCACGAGGACGGTATATCTGGTTGCTTCGCTGACACTCAGAGTCCAGAATGACCTCATGGGTGCTCGTGATCGCAAGCTCGCAGTCCTCAACGAAGCCCTGATGGGCATCCGGCAGATCAAGTTCTCGGCGCTCGAGAAACAGTGGCAGAAGAAGATTGCAGACTACCGCGAAGCGGAGCTCAAGACCATATGGCGCGTCTTTATTGCTGACACGTTCCTGATCTTCTGCTGGATCTTCGGTCCTTATATGCTTTCCGCCGTCACTCTGGCCGTCCACGCCCTTGTCCACGACCATCTGTACCCCTCCATCGCGTTCACGACCATCGGTATCCTGACGCAGATCGAAGGGACGCTTGCGTTCATTCCGGAACTGATGGCGGCTGGAATCGACGCTTGGGTCAGTATCAAGCGTATTGATGAGTATCTGAATGCACCAGAGAAGCCGCAGAATACATGGCCCGGCGACCACATCTCCTTCAAGAAGGCAAGCGTTGCGTGGCCGTCGGACTCCGAGAAAAACGAGGAATCTTTCGTTCTGCGTGACCTGAACTTCACCTTCCCGAACCGCCAACTCAGCGTTATCTCTGGCCGAACTGGCTCCGGAAAGACTCTCCTTCTGAAGGCTATCTTGGGTGAGGTGGATGTCATCTCTGGCACCATTGAAGTGCCCCGTGCCCCATCTGCACACGAGCGGTTCGACCACAAGGCCAACAGGAAGAACTGGATCATCGACTCTGCCATTGCGTTCGTCAGCCAGCAGCCCTGGATTGAAAACTGCAGCTTCCGAGACAATGTGCTCTTCGGCCTACCCTTCGACGCTGTCCGCTACCGCAAAGTCCTCTCCGCCTGCGCCCTGGACAAGGATTTAGCCATGCTTACAGACGGCGACTCCACGGAAATCGGCGCACAGGGCATCAATCTGAGCGGCGGCCAGCGCTGGCGTATCACGCTTGCCCGCGCGTTGTATTCGCGCGCCGGAATCCTGGTCCTGGACGACATCTTCAGTGCCGTCGACGCCCACGTCGGCCGCCACATCTTCGAGGTCGCCCTGACGGGAGAACTGGCAGCGGGCCGCACCAGAATCGTTGTCACGCACCACGTCTCCCTGTGCTTGCCGAAGACCAAGTTTGAGGTCTTCCTCTACGAGGGGAGGGTCGATCGGGCCGGCACTGTGGACTCGCTTCGCCGTACGGGCGAGTTGCAGGATATCCTTGAGGAGGAGCGGAACGAGGAGGCTATCGCGGATGGCGATGCGCATCTCGATATCCCCAACGGCAACGGTCATGCGGCACGTCGGCGTAGCTCGGCTTTCCACAGGAGGCCGAGCGCTGCGTCTATGGGTGAGAGTGGAGGCGATGCGCTGGTCCGGTATCTCTCGCGGACCAGCGAGCGGTCGGACTTCATTGATGATGGTGGGCATGTTGAGTACGACTACAAGGAGCCGACTAAAAAGTTCGTCGAGGAGGAGACCAAGATGAAGGGGAAGGTGCTTTGGTCGGTTTACTTGCAGTATGTCAGAGCTGGTGGTGGCTACTGGTTCTGGGCTGGCATTGTGCTGTCGTTCTGCGCTATCCAGGCGCTGATCCTCGGGCGGGTGAGTTTGGAGTTCGTGAATTCGCTGTGAGATTCAATTGCTAACGGTATGACCCTCAGTCATGGTGGCTCACCATCTGGACCAGTCAGTACAAGACTCAGTCAGAGCCCGCGAAGACGTTTGTCGCTTCTGTCCTCCAGCACCCGATGCTCCATAATGTCCGTACGCCGTACCACGCACAGTCACTCACTAGGGACACCAAATTCTACGTCGGCATCTACGTGCTTATCTCCTGCTCCATATCCTTCTTCGGTACAGCGCGCTACTTCTGGGTCTATTGCGGTTCGATCCGCGCTAGCCGCAAGCTCTTTGACGACCTGACGTACGCTGTACTGCGCGCACCGCTGAGATGGCTCGACACCGTCCCGACGGGTCGTGTGCTGAACAGGTTCACGGCGGACTTCAGCACCCTGGATCTCGAGCAGGCAAACGCGTTCTCGTTCATGTTGTTCAACCTGCTCATGGTAATAGGTGTTGTGATTGCTGGGTAAGTGAGATCCCTACCGCTTCCAGACCAAAATACTAATAGAGCCTAGCATGATGGTCACCCCGTTCATGATCTTGTTCGCTGTTATTCTGTTGGCCCTTTGCGTCCGATATGCGCTATACTACCTCATGGGCGCCCGTGAGACCAAGCGCTTGGAGAGTCTGGCCAAGAGCCCCGTATTCGAGCTCTTCGGTGCAGCTCTATCTGGGCTCGGCACTATCCGCGCTTTCGGCAAGACGGAAGACTACATTGACGCCATGTTCGCCAAGCTTGACATGCACGGGCAGACGATGATGTACATGTGGGCGTTCAACCGCTGGCTGACGTTCCGGCTGGGCGTGGTCGGGGCCGCCTTCGCCATCGCCATGGCGGCACTTATCGTCTCGCTCAACATCGACGCGGCGCTGGCCGGCTTCGCCATTGGCTTCACGCTCGAGTACTCGATCGCGGTGGTGTGGATGCTGCGGCAGTACGCCATCGTCGAGCTGTCGATGAACGCGGTCGAGCGCATCCTCGAGTACTCGGAAATCCCCATCGAGGACCAGGAGGGCCTGGACGCGCCGGCGCACTGGCCGGCCGAAGGCCGCGTCGAGGTCGACGACCTCGTCGTCTCGTACGCATCCGACCTGGAGCCCGTCCTGAAAGGCGTGTCGTTCGCCGTCGCACCCAACGAGCGCGTCGGCGTCGTGGGCCGCACGGGAGCCGGCAAGAGCAGCTTGACCCTCGCGCTGTTCCGCTTCCTCGAGGCGCGCAGGGGCAGCATCCACATCGACGGCGTGGACATCAGCACCATCAAGCTCGAGGACCTGCGCTCCCGCCTCGCCATCATCCCGCAGGACCCCGTCCTCTTCTCCGGCACCGTCCGCTCCAACATCGACCCCTTTGGCGAGCACGACGACGCCGAGCTGCGCGAGGCGCTGGAGCGCGTCCATCTGGTCTCGCCGGCCGACCATTCCCAGACATCGGACAACGACGACGACGACGACGCCACCACTGCAACCGACCCCGCCGTCGACGGACCCGCCAACAACAACACCAACACCACCAACAACAAAAACCCCTTCTCCTCCCTCTCGACCACCATCTCCGAAGGCGGGTCCAACCTCAGCCAGGGCCAGCGCCAGCTCCTCTGCCTCGCCCGCGCCATCGTCTCGCGCCCCAAGGTCATGATCCTCGACGAGGCCACGTCGGCCGTCGACAAGGCGACGGACGCGCTCATCCAGCGCAGCGTGCGCGCCGAGTTCAGCGACAGCACCCTCGTCGTCATCGCCCACCGCCTCAGCACCATCGCCGACTTCGACCGCATCCTCGTGCTCGGCGACGGGCGCGCCGTCGAGTTCGGGACGCCGAGGGAGCTTTTGGCGTTGGATGACGGAGTGTTTGCGGGGATGGTGGAGGATAGTGGGGAGAGGGAGGTGTTGAGGGATATTATTTTGGGGGAGGGGGGGAGGGAGTGAGTGTGAGTGTGAGTGTTGGGGGGGGATGGGTCGTGGGTGGTTGTAAGAGAACAAAAAGTTATTCAATTTGGATGTGTGTGTGAGGGAGGGAAGGAGGGAGGGGAGATTTTAGGTTGTAAAGTACCCGGGTTTCTGATCTTGTCCACCTAGTTTTCCGATATTCTTCTGCTAGATGAGAAAAGACGTTCGGAGATTTGATCGATAAGTGCGAGGTTCCTCTTCAATGATTTCAAGCTGTCTGAGGGTGTGCCGATGTAGCCATGGTGGACTTTATGAGGGTATAGCTCAAACTCATCGAATATAAGGGTCCTATCACACCTATGCTATGCCTTGCTTTTCTTTCTTCGCTATGTGGCAGGGCCATTGCGCGTCGGTCCAAGAAGTACACCTTGCTGGCTCGCATCGACGCTTTCGAACTAGTAGTACATGGGCAAAGTTGAGGTACGCAACGTGACGCAAAATTGAACTTGAGGCCCCAATTGAGTGTGGATATGGAGGTTAACCCATGATGCTCTTTGTCCATTCGACTATGCGTGGAATTACAACCAAACCCAGCCCAGATGCGCGCCGTCACGCATGCAGCCGTCACGCCATAATTTACACTTTCCCTCCCCCTCCCCCTCCCCCCGGTACTCAATCTCATGCCGCGCGATTTCCGCAACAGCCCTTTCCGACCTGGCCAATCCTCTTTCCCTTTTTGCTGTTTTTTTTTTCTTTGTGTGTTTTCACCGCACCCTGCACAGCACCATGCCTCCCAGCTTCTTCTCCGCGCACTCCCTGGCCTCGAGCACACCCCTGTCGGTGGTGACGAAGAGGCACTCTCCGGGCCTGGTCAGGCCCTTGACCTGGTTGGCCTCGAAGCCCCGGACGATGACGCCCAGGTCGCTCGAGTTCAGCCATATCCGCTTCGTGGGCTTGCTGACGAGCGTCATGCGGTTGAGGACGGGCTCGTTGTTCCAGTACTTCAGCCCCAGCCACAGCCGCTGCAGCGCCTTGTTCTTGGGGATCGCCGGGGCCGCCTCCCCCTCGTCCGGATTCGAGCGGGATGTCGGTGGTGGTGATGATGTTTTTGTCGTCGTCGTCGTCGTCTTCGTCGCGTCGGACCGGGAGCTTGGCGGGTCCGGGTAGGCGCGCCACGGCTCCGCGGCCAGCGCCTCGTCGGACGGGCCGTGCGAAGGGGCTTCGCGCAGCGCAAACGTCGGCGGCGGCGTGGGCCCGCCCGGCTGCACCGTCGAGATGAAGCCCTGCTTCTGCAGGCCCAGCGCCAGCGTCAGGTGCAGCTTCGTGAGCGGGATCGACGTCAGGCCCAGCCGGCCCCGCGACGCGTTCTGCAGGTGCGAGCAGATGTTGGCGAGGTGGACGAGCGACATGGCGGCGGCGGCTGCGGCGGTGGCAGGGCTCCTGCGGCGCGGGACGCGACGGGGGAGAGAGAGTGCGGCGAAGGTGTGGTTCGGGTTTTCGGTTTCGCGCGGCGGGCGGATTGAGAGGGCCCCGCAGCGGGCAGCGGTGAATGGTGCGCGGTGGTGGCTAGGAGGGACAGCACAGAGGGCGGGCGGTGTCGGTGAGCGGGCGGGCGGCTCGAATTGGCGGGTTGAGCACGGGTTTGGTGAGGTCTCGATGGCGGTGATGGGCCAAAATTTCGGAGGAGCTCGCGGCTGCGGCGCGGCGCGGGCAGCTGATTGGCCGAGTAGCCGCCTCGTCGTGGCTGCGGGCCCGCGACACCCTTCAGCTCCAAGAATAGTGTCGCACAACCGCTCCCCACGAGCTGACTGACACTTCCCTCGCGCCGTTGTCTCGGCCTCCGCTTCCTTCGTCTGTATATCTTCATCCGCCGCGTGCTTGTTTTTTCTTCTCTTGTTTCAGCGCCGGCCGCTTCGTCTCGCCCCGATACCCCGCCCACCATGCCGCAGCAGCACGGCGAGACGTCTCTGTGCACCCTGTGAGCCGCCCCTAAGCTCTTACCTGAGCTCCGGCTGACGCTCGATAGCTTCGCAGACGTGCACTACTACTTCAGCCACCCGAACGCGAAGCCCGTCCACCACCGCTTCGACAAGAGCTCCTACGTCTACCTCTACTACAACCCGACCGACCGCCGCGGCCGCGTCGAGATCGCCAATTATGCCGGCACCCCCGACCAGGACGCCTTCATGGGCTGTGAGTGCTCCCATGTCCACCCGGCCTAGCGCCTGGCTAATTCGCTCAGATCTCGACACCATCCTGGTCAACCGCACGCATAAGCAGCCCAATCTCTTCACCATCACCGTCGATCCCTCCAATGCGGGGAGCACGCCCAGCTCACCTCAGCAAGACTATTCGCAATGGCACCTCCCCGCCCCCGACCAGCGGAACGAAGGCAAATACATGTTCCGTCTGCACACCGTCGACCTATATATGTGGACCGAGAGCGACGCGAACACACTCGTCGCCGCACTGCAACAGATCCTGCAGCCCCACCAGTTGAGGATACTGGACGCCCCCTCGCACAAGAGCCGCCACTCCGAACACTCCGAGACCATGAGCCCCGTCGTCAAGAAGCTCGAGCAGATGGCCGTCACCAATCCCCACCAGTACCGCAGCAACAGCGTGAGCACCACCCAGTCTTTCCCCGGGCCTCCCACAATGCCGGCGTCGTCGTTAGGGGAACCTCCACAGGAGCCTGCATCATACGCTCCCATGGCATACAATCCGGCCGCTCCCGCCGCGCCCGAGCCCATCGCTCACCGCGAGAAGACCCCGCCGCCCCCGGACGCGGACACGGGTCTGGCTGCCGCCGCGGCACACGAAGACGGTGCAGTCCACTACGGCATGCAACAACAACAGCACCAACACCACGCCTCATACCAGCAGCACCAACCCTACATGCCCGGCCCGCCGTCAGCAACCCACGGCTCCTTCCCGCCGCCTCCCGCCCTGGGCCCGACGCCCACACAGCTCCAGCGCGCCTCCACCACAGGCTCGTTCCCGCCTCCGCCTCCCCAGGACGGCACGCCGCCGTACCCGCAGTCCTTCGCGCCTCCCCCGACGAACCCGTCGCCGTACGGCCAGACGCCCACCCCGACCCACCCCGGCATGCAGCGCCAAGCCACCATGCCCGCCGGCTACCCCGGCTACAACAACAACAACGCCCCACCGCCGCATTCGCAGCCGCAGCCGCAGCCGCAATACGCCAGCTACCCGCAGTCCCCCGGCTACGCCCCCGTCCAGTCCCCAGGCATCTCGTCGCCGCTCCAGTCCCCCGGCGTCTACGGCGCCGCCGCGCCCTCGCCCGGAATGCCCCCGCCCGGCGGCTACGCGCAGTACTCGTACGGCCAGCCGACGGCGCATCATCATCATCAGCAGCAGCCGCAGCAGCAGAGCCAGGCGGACGCGTATGCCGTGCATGGCCAGCTGTATAGGCCGACGGAGCAGGAGGCCAACGTGAGGGGCCACGAGAGGCCGGCGGCACAGCAGCAGGTGGCGGCGGCGGGGCCGGGGGCGGCGGGGCCGGGCAAGTTTGAGCAGAGGGTGGATCGGGTGGAGAAGGGGGTGAGTAAGTTTTTGAAGAGGTTGGATAAGAAGTTGTGATGAGCTTTGGATGTGTGCGTCTCTCTCTCCGTGTGTGTGTGTGTGTTTTGTATGTGTGTTGGGTGAGGTGTCGGGGACGAGTAAAAAATGATTCCCTGTATTTTTTGCCGGGCTTAGTATTTTTCTCCTCTTGTTTTTTTTTCTTGGTTGGCTTTTGAGTTCGCTCTTTGGGCTTGATCTTGTCTGTCCTTGTTTTCAGCTGCCGAATAATACCCCCTCGATCGTCTGTCTTTTTTTTTTGGTGCGTTTTGTTTAGTTGAACATCTTTATGGAATCAGCAAGCTTGGAGTTAGCAGCGGGTTAGTTCCAGTTTTGTCGCTGGATCCATGCAGATTTTTACCCCTCTAAATGCTCCGATACATCCGTCCTTTGTCATCCTGGATTTTGGCGTAATGATGGTGTGATTTGATTCTCTAAAGAGTTTCGCCGTAGTTCTATCGCCAAAAAGCCTCTGCCTGTCATGGATCCCCCGAATGTTTCGCCTCCGTGACATCCCGGAAACACTTGACACGGATGGATTGGAGCAGGTTGTTAGAAGACAGCTGGCTCTGGAACAGGACGTGCAGGTCAAGATACATCCGCTCACCTGCAGCCCGCTGCGTTTCCAGGAGAAGGTAGCTATAATGACCTTAAGTCGACTCCCTTCACTACTATCGGCAGGAAACAAGTCACCATCGCTATCGACGACAATTTTGGCGGCTCTCTAGTCTTTGATAACCATTTCCTCGGGTTTGCTCCATTGCACTCTGCGGTGGATGGCAAGTATAATGTTGAGTGTGTTTCCCACAGCATTGTTGCAATTACCGGATTGAACGAGCTTGCCTTTGGGTCTTTCAAGGAAAAGGGCGGGTCATCATGTGGCTGGGTGAAAAATGAGCTTGTACTGCACAAGAACTTCGACAATCTATCATCAACTTCCTCCCTTAGGCTAGCCGTCCTCGCCCAGTGGTAATATTTGTGGATGTTCTTGACGAGATGGGCGAAGAAAACGCGGTGAACATAACCAGAGACTCTGAGAAAATCGCAAGTCTACAATAACCTTTGCAAAATATCCTGATATGCTTTACTTGCCGATACTATCCTGTGCTCTGGACAGATACTAAGCTTTCCGTGCTTGTGGAGAACAGCAACGGTAGAGCCATCGCCAAGCACGTCGAGAGCTACTGGACACTCGAGGGAGTCCAAGAACCGAGCAAGAGCTTGCTACAAGACACGATTGTCGGCAAAGCTCGTGGTATATTCCAGTGGGTTGCCATCGTCTTGGAGCAGATGTCAAGATTGTGGAAGAAGGTCAAAAGCATTCGACAGATCATAAGCGTGACATGTTAAGTTCCAGAATGACCAGAGGACCTTTATAGGTCCCTTCTACATGATGATGACCATGATGATAAGGACCAAATTATCCAGCTGCTTCAGTGAGTACTGTTATCCGCTCGGCCTCTACGGTGAGGGAGCTTCGGGAAGCACTGGCTCTCGACGCATACATGGATTTCAAGTTGATTACGAATGTTAGGGCCAACCCCGCCTACGTTGAGCACGAGAAGGCATGCTGCTTGTCATCAGGAACCTCTCGAGAGATTGATGCAAATGATCCCGCTGCAAAAGGGGAATAGTATTGAGACGGTTGGACTTGGACGTGTTGAGTTCATCCATCAGTCTGTTGTGGACGATCTCAATAACGGAGGGCTGGATAAGCCGGAACAGTTCAGCAGGTGCACCGCCGCTAGCCGCGGTCACTTCCAGATTTCCCAGTCCTGTCTCAAATACCTTCGGATGGGCGAAATCGGATCATACCACTCTTTGCAACACTCGCACCTAAACGGATCAACCGCGTTGGACAATGTCGCCTCGGGGGTTTCAACTTCAATTGGGTCCTTCGATGGACGGTACCAGGCTGCTTTCGATTACGCCAGCCGGAGTCGAAGCGGCAGGCTCACGGAGAGTAATTTCTGTCTGGCTGGCAACTGTCTCTATTTCGATTGTCTAAGCGCTGACTGCGACGAAGGTGTGCTACGATGGCAGTGTATTCTTGGCGGGAAGGTGAATACTGGTCCCCGACCAACCTGCTATAGTGTATCGAGGTAGCCAGGCTTTTCCAGTACAGCTTCTTGTATGACCGAGAAGTCTTCCCAGTCATGCTTCGCAAGGTGCACGTTTTACCCTTGGAAAACCGAAAACTTTGGTTCGATGGTATAACAACTGCTCCATGTTGTGTCCCGATTCTTTGGAACGAACTGTGGAGTAGTTCGGCGTCGAGGTATTGATGACATCCCACAAGACCGAAGATCATTATGTCTTGGTCTTCGCTGAGAGGCGCAGCCCCCACTCCAGCTGTGTGCCCTACAGGGTTCATGCAGCCGCCACACGATTTCTGTGAAACGCACGAGGCAGATCTGCAGCCACGTGCTACATAGGTCTTGTCACAGCCTCCTTCCGGTGAATGGAATACGCAGCTGCGCCTTCAGCGGGTGCAACCCTGACTCTCGACCTCATCCTTCGGCCTTCGCCACGTAGTTTGAACTTTACGACCCATGCCCCACCAACCGACTTTCATCCCAGAACGGACATGGTTTCTGTGCGGGCACCTTACCGCTGTATCGTGCCGCTCTTACAGCTTATTTTCCTGATCGCTACGCTACCGACGTGTGTCGACGGTCTCCCCACGCCGACGAACGTGCAGCCGAGTGCTCAAAGCGCAACAACCACCAGCTCTCCAACGCCTCGGTCGGGTGACGGGACGGCGAACCCGCTTGGGGCGCTCGCTAGGCAATGGCAAAACCCAAGTGATCTGTCGAGCGTGCTGATGATCATCGGCGGAGACATCGTTCAGGTACGTGCACTAACGCAGTTGACGACGACCCTCAGTCGTATGCGAAAGAGCGCACATTTTCATAGGAAGCTGAAGCCTTCATATCAGCGTCACCGCATGGCATATGAATGCCACAAACGCATCTAGGAATGCCATTCAGCTTTCCATGTACCGCTGCCGGCCGATGAGATTGTCGTTTACAGAACTGCAACACATCACATATGCTTACCACTTTGCACAGAAAGCCGTCGCCCAGCTCCGCGGCCGACACATCGCGCCAGTCGCTTTCAGCTTCGGCTTCGTCTCCTACTCCTTCACCTCGCTCCTCTCAGCCATCGGCGACGGCCGGCTGATGCCCATGTCCGACTGCCCATCGCTGCTCACGAACCTCAGCTCGGGCTACTCGCGCACCAACAACTCGTGGGTCCTCGGGCGCATCCTGCGCGACATCGAGAAGCGGCACGCGGGCAGCAAGGCGTCGCTGCACATCTCCATCTACCGCACGACGCAGGCGGGCGGGCGGCCGGCGCGGGACCGGCTGTGGTGGACGGGGGCGGCGGTGCTCGCGGGGCAGCTGGGCGTGGCGTGCGTGCCGTGGGCGCTCGACGGCGACTGGCTGATCGCGGCGCTGACGGTGGCGGGCACGGCGCTGGCGCTGGCGGGCAGCGCGCTGCCGCAGTGGGCCGAGGAGAAGTGGGCCTGCCGCACCGCGCCCCGCGGCCGCTACTGCCTCACCCGCGGCAACGGCCACCAGCACGCCGTCGTCGTGCTCAGCGGCCACGCCGACAGCCTGAACCTCGAGGACCTGGCCACCGCAAGGGGCCATCCCGTCCACCACACCCGCCTGCTGCTGGGCGTCTTGGCCGTCTGCTGGATTGCCTTTTTGCTGTGCGTCGCCGGCCTCGAGGAGAATACGTGGTACCTCCTTGGCGTGGGCTTTCTGGGCATGGTGCAGAACGTAACGGCTGCGGGCAAGGCGAGGGATCCGAGCGCAATGGGGGTTCCGATGGAGAGCGTCGATGAGATCTGCGACGGGAGGGTCATGGAAGTGCTGCAAAAGACTGAGAAGAAATACCCCAAGGTTGGCCTCTCGCTCTTGCCCATTTTCTTTCCTGGGGAGCTTCGTCCGGACGAGAGAGAGTTCTTCGACGAGATGAAGGCAACGGCCAAGGAACGACTCAAGGCGGCGGAGAAGGAGACAAGGCCACCGCCACCCCCGGCACCGACGCCGCTGTCGAGTGGAAGCTCCTCAGGCACGCTCACGCCGTCATTTTCGAGGAACTTGCCGGAGAAAGAGCGACCGTGATCAGACTTGGCCATGAACTCGCCCTCGGGTTGTGCATACCGTTTGGGGGAAGCGCCGGCAAGAAGGCCAGCCGTTCGCGAGGCAGGCGTGGCCTTCTTACCTGCGCCGCCAAACCCACTTCCATACGAACACGGCCTACCTCACCGACAAAGCATCTTAATTTTCATTTTTTTCCTCCCAGCAACGGGTCACCTCCCCAGAAACAATTCCGCACTTCGCTTACAGCCCTGATCTATTGCTTCAGCGCGCTATCGTCGTTATCGGCCGCCGTCAATTCCAATCGCGGAAACACTCGAAAGTACTTCACATTCAGAGACCATCCATTTTCTTGAAGGAAAAAAAGAAAGAAGAGCTTGGCGTGCTTGGGCTCACCGAGACCTATTATTGACTCCTGGAGTCGGTGGAAAAGTCAGGAAGCCTGCAGGATGGACAACACCCAGGACCAGGACCAGAGTCCATCGCGAATGCCGTTGCCAGGACAAGAGGGTTTCGATAGTCTGGACACTTCCGGCCATGATAACAGCACCGATAAAGCCACTACAATCAGTGAAGATGGGCACGTCAGCGACAGCTCAAGTGAGCGGTCGACAATTTTGCTGGAAAACCCATCGAAAGAAGATCCAGGTCAAACGGTCGCCGAGCTGATGGGGCAGATCCGACGACTAGAGGTTGAGGATTACGCCAACTGCAATCGTGCACGAACCATGTTTGACATTCAAAGGAAATTCCTGCAAATTGTCCTGATGCACGTGGATTTCTTCGAGCCAACCATGTGTCGGCAAATGGTCCCGTCACTCGTGAAATCGCTTGAACACCTTTTCGAGACTCTCACAATGATTCGCGACGGCAAACCAACCAATCAGTCTCAAAAGACCTGGGACAAAACGACAGTGACGAACCTAAATTGGGCTATGTTCTGCGTACGTGCATGCCTTGGATTCGAACAGGATATGCACATATGCCGGAGATGCGCCTTTCTCGACCGTTACATCCGAGAATGTCGGGAGGAACTTGCTCCATCACGGCACGACATCGAACAGTGGGCCTTTCCAATTAATGCATTGCCAGAAGGCCATCCGCATGCCACGTTCAAAGCTAGAGTTGGTGATGTCCATGCAGACGCGTTTTTGCTCAGCTATCTTCATCACGTTGCGCCACTCCACGAAGCAGCTTTCAAGCGGATCTATGGTGTCACGTCCGCAGCTGCGGAGATAGCGGATGAAGTAAGTGGCATGAGCCATGTTCTTAACTTAGCGGCGACCAGGCGCCTCAACATGGAAATTACGCACCTAGACGCCTATCTACGTGCGGTTGCCAATAGACTTTCCGAAGCGATACGTCTGTACCAGGAGCTGGACTATGATGAAGTTACAAAGACGTCGAAGGAGCTTTCGGAGCTTTCGGAGCACATCGAAGCACTCCTTTGTTTTTCAATTGAGCCTTCAGAGGGAGGTATGGGCCCCAGGCTGTTCTTACATTCATCTGTCCGAGTAGGAGCGAAGAGTCGATAGTCGAGTCAAATCCAAGTCTTGATGCTCGGTGGTGACAGTACACAGCGTGACAGTAAGCGGCGCACGGACGTTTCAGCCAGCGTGCGAGGAACAAGAGCCAGGGTCAGCGCCATGAGACGGAACGGAGCGAGGCCGCCATCGGAAGCGTTTGATAAGCGTACCATGCTCGGCGATTTCCCATGCGGATTGGCGCGCAAGACTGCATAAGAAGTGACGAAGTCGCCCTGCAGCGTGTTATCTCCGATCGTGACATCTGCCCCGCGACGCGCAGTCTAAAACCCAACGCGCGGCCCCACCAGCACCACCACCACTCTTCAGAACCGCCGCGCCCGCCTCGCCGCCACCGCGCCCGCGCATCCAACACCAGCGCTGACCCCGCGCCGTTCTCAGGAATGGCCACCCACGACAATGACCGTGCCTTGCCCGAAGGCGTCAACTCTCTGCTCGATACCGACCTGTACAAGTTGACCATGCAGTGCTGTGTGCTCAAATACTTTCCCAACGTAAATGTCACCTACAGCTTCACGAACCGCACTCCCCACATGCGCTTCACTCGTGCCGCCCATCGCTGGCTCCAGTCCCAAATCGACAAGCTCGCGAACATCACCTTTTCGCAGCCCGAGCTCGACTTTCTCAAGAACAGCTGCACCTACCTAAACGACCAGTACCTTCGCTTTCTTAGCACCTTCCGGCTACACCCAGATGTCCAGATCAAGCTTTCGTTCAAGGCGGACAATGACACTGGCGCCGACGAGGACGTAGGCGACCTGGATCTCAGGACGGAGGGGCTGTGGGTCGAGACGATATTATACGAGATTCCTTTGCTCGCTCTCATCAGCGAGGCATACTTCAAGTTCTGCGATACGGATTGGACCCACGACGGTCAATTGGACAAGGCATACCGGAAGGGAGTCGAATTGCTGGAGAATGGGTGCATCTTCTCCGAGTTCGGCAGCAGACGAAGGCGTGACTACCACACCCACGACCTCGTTATGCAGGGTCTCATGAAGGCGGCAAAGGAGGCAGACGGTAACGGCTGGGCGGGAAAGGTGACAGGCACGAGTAATGTCCATTTTGCCATGAAGTACGGTGTTGCTCCCGTCGGGACTGTCGCCCACGAATGGTTCATGGGTGTCGCAGCGGTGACAAACAACTACGAGGACGCCAACGAGATTGCCCTCAGCTACTGGGTCAGCACGTTTGGCGAGGGTGTAAGCAGACCAAGCCGGAGGGCGATGTTCAGGAGTGCTGACTGGTCCAGGTGCTGGGCATCGCTTTGACCGACACATTCGGCACACCTGACTTCTTGAAAGCATTCAAGAAGCCGATCCCCAGGTATACGAGTGCCGAACCGGGCTCGGCCGCGACAGCGGCGTCGGTGGCCGCGAGCTCCACACTGCCCGACACGGCAGCGCTCGGGAACACCGAGCCGCCTATCCGGGCCCCGATTCGCAAAGGCGATAGCACGAATACGGGGGCGCCGACATTTGCCCAGACGTTTACCGGGGTGCGGCAGGACTCTGGAGACCCCAGGGGCTTCATCAAGATGATGCGCGACTTCTACGACAAAGAGGGCATCAAGGACAAGAAGGTCATCGTCTTCTCCGACTCGCTCAACATCGGGCTGTGCCTCGAGTACAAACGGGCGGCCGAGGCCGAGGGATTCCAGCCAACGTTCGGGGTAGGGACGTTTCTGACCAGTGAGTGTGGCGCGGGCGGTGGCCAAGGCTGTATCGGTTGCTGACGATCCCACAGATGATTTCGTGCGCGCGTCCACGGGCCAGAAGTCGGTGCCCCTCAACATTGTCATTAAGATAGCATCGGCAGAGGGCAGGGCTGCGGTCAAGATCAGCGACAATATCGGCAAAAACACAGGCGACAAGGCCATGGTTGCGGACGTGAAGCGGCGGCTGGGCTATGTCGAGAAGGAGTGGGTGGGCGGAGACGAGCGCACGCGGTGGGGAACGGAGGGCGCTGCGTCTCCAAAGGCTGCCTGAGGCGCAGGGCACTCATGCGGCTCCAGCAGCCAGCACTGGATAGAGAATGGCAGCGGATGTGGTGGCAGCGCCGTCTGCGGAGCTCATGATGCACCGTGGTTCTTTCGTGTTAGGACTCGTGCGACAAAAATAGTGAGCAAATGAGCTACGGATGTCGCGCCCGGCCGCACGCGGGCGGCTTGGCCCTTTCCGCATTCGCCCCAGGGGCTGCGCCAGCGACTCTGCCCTGCCCTACCATCTTTCCTGTCACGCATCTCCTCAGCTGCGCCTACTCAGCCTTCCCTCGCGCATCCAGAGCCGCGGATCCGTCGCTGTCGTTCTTTACTTCTTACCGGCGCTTCCACAGCTCAGTCCGATCGTTCGCCCGGCGCGCTCCACCCACACGTCAACCGCAAACCACCCACGCTCCACGCGCCCACCCGCTCGATACCGCCGCAGTCTAGCCACCCGGCCCCCAGGAGTCGCATCCACACGCTTATAGTTTCACCATCTCACCATGAGTGTAAGCCTTAGCTCCGCCGCCTCGCCGCCCGCCTCTCCACCGCATCCAACTCACGCACCCTCGGCCTTTTGCTCTGCTAACCCATGGCATCGCAGTACGGCGGTTACAGCCAGGGCGGCTACGGCGCCCAGAATCCCTACGGCGGCAACGATGGAGGCTACGGCGACAAGAATGGCTACAGCAACCGTAAGATCAAGCCGCCCCCACCGCGCGCCGCGCGCCTGAGCCGTCGCTAAGAGCGTAGCTTTCACAGAACCCGACTATGAGATGCAGGCCATGAACAACGGCGGCTTCGCCCAGCAGCCCATCGACCCCAACGCCATCCTCAATGACTGCCAGGCCATTGACCGCGCGCTCGACCAGATCGACGCGCAGCTCGAGCAGCTGACGCGCCTGCACAAGTCGGCCGTCAACGAGCCGCTGGTCTACAAGAACCAGATCGACACGCTCAACAATGAGATCATGACGGGCTACCGCGGCCTCGTCGACCGCATGAGGCGGATCAAGGGCCTGCCCGAGTCGGGCGAGCCGCGCAACAAGCCGCAGGTCGGCCGCGTGGACCGCCGTCTCAAGAGCACCATCAACAAGTTCCAGGAGGTGGAGAGCAAGTTCAGGAAGGAGCTGCAGGAGAGCCAGGCCCGTCAGTACAGGATCGTGCGCCCTGACGCTACCGACGACGAGGTCAAACAGGCGGTTGAGGATCCGAATGCGCAAATCTTCCAGCAAGCGGTATGTGGCACCAAGACATGTCTCGGACGTGACCAAGTCTCCGCAATCAGATACTGATGTTTCGCGTCAAACAGATGATGCAGAGCGACCGCCGAGGACAGTCGCAATCCGCGCTGCGTGCGGTCGAAGGCCGTCACAAGGAGATCCAGAAGATCGAGCAGCAGATGGTGGAGCTGGCACAGCTGTTCCAGGACCTGAACGAAATCGTCGTGCAGCAGGAGCCGCTTGTGGAGAACATTGAGCAGAAGGGCGAAGAGGTTCGCGACAACGTAGTCAAGGCCAATGAAGAGATCGCCGTCGCCATCGACAGCGCGCGCGCCCGTAACCGGAAGAAGTGGTACTGCCTGGGTCTCGTTGGTAAGTGCTTTTTCCCCACATACCTGTGCTTTACCCTACACCGCTGTTCTGCATGGTAGATCCTACGGGGACATAGTTGCTGATCATGCCACGCAGTCCTCATCCTCGTCATCATCGCTATCGTCGTTGCCGTCGTTGTCGTCATGAACCAGCAGAAATAAGTTATGATACCCCGAACCTAAGGAAGAGATGCAAAAATGCGCCTCAGCGGAAACGGTTTTCCTTGATTCTTTTCATGCGTCATTGGGCTCATCAGAAACGGTGAACTTGTGATTCATGCAATGGAAACGAAGGAGAGGTTTCGAACATTGGCCAGCATTCCTGAACACGCAAAAGAAAAAAATTAAAACAAGCAAAAGACACCCGATAGAGGGCTCCAAGTCAGGAAAGATGCATCCACGTAGATGTGATCAGTGTACATTTTTGGCCGCTTCCTATTCTAACCATGCGGCCATCTCTCCTGATCATCACTCAACAACCAACCCAATCGTGCAGGCTTGGAAAAGGTGTAGTAGGAACTAAGGGATCAGATTGACGAAGGGGGCCTTGCGCTATACGGAAGTTTTGTGATATCAATGGGGCGAGGTTTTCATTTCCATTTTCCTTTGAGTGCTTTTCATCTTCCCTTTTTTTTTTTTCCTTTTTCTCATTTCCTCATCAGCATCATCGACCATCGGCGCGACGGCCACGTTGCCATCCCCCCGCTCGCGATGGCTATGAATTTTTATCTTTGGCCTCCTTTTAGTGTGCAACGAGAAATGGGAGAGATTCTTTTTTTTATTTTTTACTCATCTTCAACATGGGCGTTGGATCTCTGCATTTCCCCCCCACCAATTGCTTTTTTACCTATATTCCCTTTGCTCGTTTGTAGTGATGTGTGTTTTTCTTTTTGTTTTCCTCTTTCTGCCCTTTTGCTGTTTGCTTTTGCTGCTGAATAGATGTGCGCGTGTCGTCCGCTCGGTCGTGCTTTTTATGTACTCTGTTTTTTTGCCGTGCCGGATTCTTTATCCACCCCTCCTCTCTTTTAATACTGGCGCAAGGACTTTCAGCTCAGCTCAGCTCGGCTTGGCTCAGCTCAGCGGTCTTACTGTCTTTGTGTCTTGTGTGTCTTTGTGTGGGATTTATTCGTCGCGTAGACAGTTGCATGCAGCAAAAAGAACACGGAAAGGATCGTCTTTTATCTATATTAATCTGTTCGACTGGATTCAGGCTGCCTCGCTTGCTTCTTTGGGTTCGTTCGGTTTGCGTGAGGGCGGTGTGTGAGGAACTGTGTGTTGACGAGCGCAGCTGCTTCTTCTTACTAGTGCGGTAATAATGGACGTGGTTTCGTCTTTGATCTGTAAGCATAAGCGTGAGCGTGGCACCTTTTCCTTGACGGCGGGATGTGAGCGAGAGTAGCGAGAGAGAGCCGGCATGCACAAGAACATCGAGGAGCATTTTGTTAGGTTGGTAAGAGGGAGTGTCGCCACTCGACCTCGATTCATCAATGCTACCTAGCGAGTAGGGAGAGAGCGAAGGAAAAAGCTAGAGCGAAGGGAACAGAAAACGCCGCCAGATCCATCTCTTGAGGACCATCCGATGTGCCATGCTCATATAAAAGAAAAACACCCATTCCAGCCCATTCGTCCAACGCTATGCAAGAAAGAAATGTATGAAGTCTGGGGAAGAGGAAAAGGGAAGATGATGATGGATGCCAGAAATAGCGACGGCAACCGCAAAACCTGCCCGTGATCCCGTCCCTCCCAATGCTAAGCTCAGAATAAACGCCGTGCCCAATGCTATGATGACCATATAATGTGGGGGGTTTGGAGGATTGTTGCTGTGGTAGTAGTGCGTTGCGGCACTGCCATTGCTAAAAATAGCTCATGTGGGGGCCGGGAATGGGGACTTGTGGTGGTGCAAGCGTCAGCCACCACCACAACCCATCACCACAAACCAACATCCGCCAAGCCCCTCAGATTTTGTGATCGTTCTTTTGTGTGGGGCCGTGGGGCCCATCTTGTGTGTCTGTGTCTATGCTGAAGATGAAAGCAAGGAAAGATGCTCAAGCCGGCGGAAAAAAGTGGGTACATGTTGCGAGTTGGTTCGTCCAAGAAGGCGAAGCTTGCTGCGGCGGAGATCGTCGAGGATCCGGAGATCTGCATTCTGATTGGCGAGATGGCGAGCGCAGTGAGATTGGGGTAAGATCCGGAGAAGCAGGCAGATCACAGGCGATTAGATCGCTGGGATTGATAGAGATCGCCTTCTTGTGGAACCCTCGCTTGTTCCTTCTTTCTCGCACCCTCGCTACAGTCGCGGCGAACGTAAAAGGACTGTAGCGGACGGAAGAAGGAGAAGGTGGGGCGTTTAGTGGTTGTAGCCTGTGTTGTCGCGCGACACAGGGTCATAAGTCTGGCCGCCCTGGGTGATCTTGGGCGGCTGCGACCCAGGCTTCGTGCCGTAGCCACGAGTAGGCTTCATGGACGACGCCGTTGCTGCGGACGAAGCGTAGTAGTGGGAGGATGAACCAGAAGGCGAATAGTAGGCAGGCTGAGCCTTCTTGGAGCCGTAGGAGTAGGAGTCCATGTTGGCGGATGTGGATTTGCTTTTGTTGGTGGCTGGATTTAAAGTGATGGAGAGCGATGAGGTGAGTGCGGGTAGGGCGGGCTGATGTATGCTTGAGAGCGGCGAGAGCGTTGGATAGTGGCTTGGTGGGAGTGAAGTCGTTGGTGGCTTGTTGTTGGGTAGGGATAGTGGCAGTTGGTGAGAGAAGGATGGGTTTATAAGTTGAGGGTGAAGACATCAATCTGACTGCCATGTTCAAGCAGGCTTCTAACAAAAGCGCCACTGCGCATTCCAACATGGCGCCGCATTGGGGGTGTGACTGTGCGAGGCAGTGTTGGGTGCTCGAGGGCGGCCCCCAAGTCCAGGCGTCGAGGACCAACACCGGCGGCGGCAAGGCAGAATTCACTGAGGCGTGGGAAAAGAACCGGGGAAACCAGCAGCTGCGAATGGTCTGGACGGCGAGACAGAGTCATAGCGCGCGGTTGAGACCGCTGTGAGATTGCGCGCAAGGCATCATGAGGGCGGTTTTGCGCAGGTGCGCGCAGGAAAGGGAAAAGCGCAGGCTACAACGGCACGGTCTGACGCAATGAGATAACCGACATGACTGGACATCGGGTGCAAGAACGCGTGCAAGCCACAGTCTGCAGGCAGCATTCTCGAAAAGGACGCCGAAGGATTTAGGTCAAGGCCGCAAAGGCAAAAACCCACAGCCAAAGCGGTTGACCGTGAGCGGCGGGAGAGAGGCAGTGCAAGATGACTGACCGTTGCTGCCTTGGCCGGCGGCTGGTTCCGGGGCTGCTCCGCGACGAGCAGCGCGCTGTGCCGGCCGCCGCAGTGCGCGCGCGCCGCCCAGGTGCATCAGAATAGCAGTCGCAGTGGAGCCGGAGGGCATGGGAATAGATGCGGGAGAAGGTGGGCGGAAGGCTGTGGGGGGCGGAGATCCAGTGAGGTTTGCGCGGCTGGCGGCGTGCGGCTCGGGGCAGGGGCCAGGCAGAGGCTTCCATACCATGACTGCCAAATAAAGCCTCGCCTGTGCCTCAGGTGTGCGTCCAACACCGCTGTGCTCTTGTCTCTCCTATTTTAACTGCCGCCTCGCGCTTCTGCCGCCGACGGGCCCCACTGCCTGCGGTCGCCGCATGCTATTTTGACAGCCCGCCTGCTCTTTTCTTGGACGCATCGCCAGCATCGCCAGCATCGCCAGCATTCCTGCACCTGCCGTCTGGACGCGACCCGGAAACCACGGCCTGCCGGCGCAGAGCCAACACGTGCGCCCGTCTGCACCGTTTGAAACCATGCGCGCCCGCAGGCAGCCCGCCCGCCCAGCCAACCAGGCACCCGTGTCCCAGCTCGCCCGTCGGAGCAAGTCCCTCGAAATCGGCGTCGCTCCCCAAGATCGGCTTTCGCTCGGATTAGCGGCAGGGTGGTCCCGTGAGGTCCCCCTTCTGGCGCCAAGGTTTGCCCACAACCCAACCACAGATCCTCCGCAGAGTCCACAGCCTCGTGTCAAGGGTCCCGTCCAAGATCTGTGTTTCTCTTCTCCGCATTTCGAGTCTCGTAGATCGTCCGTTCCCCCTGCCGTCGCTGCTTAAGCTTAATCGCACCACACTAGTGTGTCCGCCGTACTCATCAGCGTGCCCACATGCCAGATACGTCATGACTGCCCATCACCACAGCTCTGGACCATCTCACCGACTGCTTCGTGATCGGTCGTCTTTGCTAATTTCTACGTCACCGGACTGTCTCGGCAATAAACCCCGCCCAAGGAATCGACCATGTTGCATGAATCGCCAACGACGCCAGGCAGCGGCCGCTAAGAAGCTTCGCGTCAAAGATCTGTGAGACGGCCAGCGACGGCGCGAAGAAGTATACGCACCGCGAGTACCGCATCGAGTAAGCCGGCCCCGATGCAGCCATGAGCCTCAAAGCTGCGGGGCCGACTGCCGGCAACCCCAGATGTCTTCCCCGGTTTTTTTGCTGGTTCCGAGGTCTGCAGCCGGAGGCTCAAAATGTGGAGGACCGAGGTCGTCGCCCGCTGCTTCTGGAAGCTCCAATTTGCCGTCTCGGTGTACGGGCAAATGGAACAATACATCATCGATGAGTGCGAGATGATTCCACGCTCTGCCATCAGATCTACGATTTGTTGGCTCACTCATCAGCCTTCGGCGACCAGCACTGCAATCGGAAGCGATTATGCGAAAAGAAAAGCTCACGCGTGGCATACGACCATGGCTTCACTTGGCACTGTGCAAGACATTACTAGCAGCTCATTGGCACAGGCTTGATTGCGCGACACCAAGAGTGGCGCGTGTTTCAACGAAACACACAGGAGCTCAACAGCGGAAAGCAATCTCGACGAATCCTTCAAGGATGCCGTGCCACCCGCACCCCCACCGGGTTGCCCACACGTTGCACGCCGATGCATGGTCAGCGACTTCAGCCGCAGATCCAAAGCGGCTGCAGGGCCTCCGACGGAGAAAATTGGGATGATCAAGGTGTGTAAGAAGGGCGAATCCCTCGTTCATCTTCCACGCAATGCGTCCACACGTCCCCTCCGGCGCAGGGAGAACCCTTGTGGGCGCGATGCTTGAATGCAGGCTCTGCCTCCAAAGCTCCGAAATGGGGCGGTCGTGCGCTGTGGATCCCTGAGCGGGGCGGCTAGGATTATGCTACGTATTTCCATCTGAGGTGTGGTGTGGGCCACGAGGCGGATGCGTAGGATTCAATGCTTGGAGGGGAAGTTGCTGCAGGGCAGCTCAAAACAGCCTAAAGTCGCCCGGTGGGACAGCTATTCTGGCCCTCTCCCCTCTAATCCCGGCGGCCGTGGAGCACGCGGCCCCAGGCTTGAGATGGGCGCGAAATTGCGATGCAGCGCTGCCGACTCCCCGACGGGCATAGTAGAGCTGTGGCGAGAGCTGTCGATTGCCGCGGGTGGCGTCAAAGTAACTTTTTTTTTGATTAAGCCTCAACGGCACTCCTCAACGTTCGCTTGCTGCTTGCGCGGCGAGCACCTGAGGATGGCCTGCTTGAGGGGCAGCACGACACGAACGACCGAACTGGGCGGAGGGTCCAGCACTGCAGCGAAGCACAGGGCGCTGATGAGCCGGCCCGAACTCCTGCTCTGCTGCGGGTCGAAGGTCGCTGCCACAACTGCGGTAGTGCGTCGGGCCTTGGCTGTAGCTGGCGTGCACGCGCAGCTCCCGTTAACCCGACTGGGAGCCGTTGTGCAGGTGTCGCGACGGTTTCATCAAGGATGTGCGGATAATCGACCGATGGGGGGCACGGGCAGAGGTAGCTGGCCTCGGAGGCTCAATCGCTCGCCCCGCCAGAGAGGGCTGGCACCTGCCAGCATCCGGCGCGCCCGCTAGGTTGGTGGCTGCCCGCTGGCTGCCAGCCCTTTGACGTCGACCGCTACAGCTGCCGAGGGTCGCAGCCGCGTGCCTTTCCACCGATGCCGCGCTGCGGAGACGGTGCCCCTCGTTGCCATCTCACCAACAGACATGCACAGCTGTGCAGACGCACGTGAGGCCCAGGCTGGAGCCGCGCCGCTCCGTCTGGGCGCCGGGAATTGGCTGCTCGTCGATGGCTCCCCATGTCGACACCTTGCCGGGCAGAAACGCTAGGTGCTCGTGGTGCCTGGGGTGTTTCTGGCGGTGCCGGGGCCCTGGCGGATGGCAAGCCATCCTCGCAACCGTGCCCTCGGCCGGCGTCCCTGCGTGGGATGGAATGGGCCGCGGGCTTGACAAATGGGAATTCTCGCATGCGGCGTTGTGGGCTGCATCCGCCAGGAGAGCTGGCCCATGTCCCTGCGGGCTGAGATGAGACGACACCGCATCGCACCGCATTGCTGCGGCGCAGCGGGCGACGCAGCGGGCGACGGGCGGGCAGACAGCAACGGATTGGCAGGACGACCGGCAGCCGGCTCGCGGGCGTCGAGGTGGAGTGACGGGCGGCTTGGAGGCGTGCTGGGCGGTGCTTGGACGGCTTGGACGAGCTGGGCGGCGCCATGACAATTACAATGCCACGGCCGGGCAGAGCTGCAGCGTGCGTCGGCAGGCCGCCTTCCCCAGACGATGACGGCGCAGAGGGGCGATCCCGTGCGCCCGGCTCGCTGCTCACGCCCGCTGTGACTGGCCGGGGCCGCCAAGGCCAGGGTGTGGTGTGGGTACGTGGAGAATCCGCGAGTGCTTCTGGCGTAATGAATCTGCTGCCGAGACGAGCCCACCACCTCGACCCGCCCTCGACCGCGCTAGAGTCTCCGCAGAATCGCTGTTGCCATGTATATATACCGCTCCGTGCCCCCGTCTGCTCGACCGCCGTCCCTGGTGTCACCCCCGACTCGCGCAGGCCGGCCCAATTGGATATAAACGCGACAGCCCTCCCCAAGCCCCTTGCACCCCATTAATCCCTCGACGCTTCTTCGCCCGGCGCATAAGAGCATTCCCTCACCTCAGCCGCAGGCCGCACCACAGCAACCATGGCCACCACCGCCACCGCCCACCCCGTAAGCCGCCTTGCCTTGCGCCTCAAAGAAAGAAACACCAGATCCTAACCACCCCGCAGGACTCCAAGGAGCTCAACGGCACCAATGGTACCTCCGCCACCGACCACGCCGCTGCCACGCCCAAGCAGCGTACGCCGTACGACTATGGCGGCAATCCGTTGGCTCACGTTGTCACTAATGATCCTTCTATGCGTCTTCCAGCCTTCGGCGGTGAATTCCAGCCGGGCTCGTACCGCGCTCCCAAGAAGGACTTCGCCAACCCTGCTCCACTCGGTCTCTCTGCTTTCGCCCTCACCACTTTCGTCCTGTCTTTGATCAACATGAAGACGTGCGGCATCGGCGAACCCAACATTGTCGTCGCTCTCGCCTACGGTTACGGTGGTCTCGTTCAGCTGCTCGCCGGTATGTGGGAAATGGCTGTGGGCAACACTTTTGGTGCCACCGCCCTGTCCTCGTACGGTGGCTTCTGGCTATCCTTCGCCATCGTCCTGACCCCTGGCGGCTTTGAAATTGCCTCTACACTCGAGGCCGCCGGCGCCGCGCAGTTCACCAACTCTTTTGGTCTTTACCTGATGGTGAGCTTCGATCCACATCTCTTACGAGGGATCGATAGGGGGGGACATATATGCTAACCCATTCCTCCTCCAGGGCTGGTTCATCTTCACCTTCATCCTGCTGATGTGCACCTTGCGCTCGACCGTGGCCTTCTTCTTCCTCTTCTTCACGCTTGACCTGGCCTTCCTCATGCTCGGCATCGGCTACCTGAGGGCCACCGACGGCGTTCCCCACGCTGGCCTCATCACAGCCGGAGGTGCTTTTGGTATCCTGGCCGCCTTTGCCGCCTGGTACAATGCTCTTGCTGGTATCGCCGACTCGACCAACAGGTTAGTTTGGAGCAATTTTTACACCTCCCGTCTTAGCCATGACTAGTTTACTAACACCTGCAATCTCAGCTTCTTCGTCATCCCTGTCGCACACTTCCCTTGGTCCGACAAGGGCCGTGAGAGGCGCAAGAAGGTCGACAACAGCGCTGCGCGCGCCGACCATTCTGTTTAAAGGTCTCCGAGAGGCATTTGCTTGACCCGTTGTCGGGAGTGGTCGAGTCGAGTCGCGGTCTCGACAATTTTCTTTCTGTTTACAAACGACATACTACTAATGAGTTAAACTCTCTTGGCCAGAGCCATGAGGGTCGCGCTGGGATATGACTGGGACATAAGGGATCAATCATGGGAAATAGGAGGGCCTCTTGCGTATGGGTGAGAGAGCGAAGCGCTGGATATCCGCGATGACAAGGAGGGTTTCGCATTCTTTTACTGTTTATGACGTCCGAAGATACCACAGTTCTAATACGGCTTTGACATACACTGTCTCTTTCTCTTTCCATCTCGCTTTGCGCGCTATTTTCTTTTTTTTCACCCCGTCTCTTTCAACTCGTGTCCTTTTACCGCCGCCGATCTCAACACTCAACCGAGACCTCCGCAACTCCGATGATCGATTTCGACGACATGACTAGAAGCTTTTTTTTCTCTCTTTCCAAGCCGAAGCCCAACCCTCCAGCCAAGGCGCCTAGGCAACGAATGCGCCCGAACGCCCCCAGTGACGGAAGGCGCGGTGCTTGGCCAGAGCGGCTGGCTGCGGCGCCTCTACCCAAATGTGGCCGGGGCTGACTCGCGACGGCGCCGGCAATAATATAACAATCACGACCTGCACCTGTAGCTCGGCTTTTGCTAGCTCCACTTGCAGCCTAGCGCTTGCCAAAGGTGGCACAGCGGTGGAAGCCAGAACGACGTTCCCCCGATTCCAGAAGCAGGCCGCAGCCACGTTCCCTCTTATTACTCCTTTGAGGTCATCGAACGGCGCGTGCGCGGAGTCCAACCAGCGATGCGCAAGTGCGCACGAAAAGAAAGAAAAAAAAATATTAAGGAAGGATTCAAGAAGAAGAGATAACGCGATTATCGGACAATCGTCTTTTTACGTCATGCGTCCGTCAATATACATCCAACGCCCTCCTTTCCTTTTCGCGCTTGCGCTCGCGCTCGCGCAAAAAGCACTCCACATCACGCGCCCGTGGTCGAGGCTCCCTCGATGACAGGGTAAACCAAGGTTGCGGTTCGTGTTGGTTTGTTCGCCACCTAGTCATTGACAAGTCATTCCACCATAATAATAATGCGCACTCGGGTTAATTGGCCGCTAGCTGATTGCCAGGTAGTTGTGTTGGGTTTCCTCGTCTATTGTTGCGTTGCGTTGCGTAGGAACGTCTCTCTCTCCCCCCCTGCTCTTCTTATTCCTTCGCGCGGGCAGTAGGAGCATACTTGTTTATGCTGTGTTCGCGGGATAACCTAGCAAACAAATAAAAGAACATCCAACCAACCAAGAGTGTACAGGGCAAAGAGGTTAACGGGGGGGATGCCAAACATACGAAACAACAGCTACATAGACCTGGTTATTATGTGTGCTCTGCATGCTGTTGTGCGCTAATGGTGTGACCGAAGCAACGACGAGGGCAGTGGTCTTTTGTCAGTTCTGATTCAGATCCCCAATAATCGATGATATCGCCCTTTTTTCCCTTCTCTGTTTGGCTGCATGCGGTCGTGGCGCATGGAAGTGGCACTCCCTCTGCACGACGTTGCTCAGATCCAGATCTTGCCTCTCCCTTGCAGGCGGAGATCTACTATAGCTTTTGACAGGGATAGGGGGGAGCGCGTCTACCCGGGGCCCAGCGGCGGGCAGCCACAGCCGTTCCTTTCTGCCTACCTGGACGCTACGATCGGCATGCAGCAGTAGCTGTCTGACCTTGAGATTTTCTTTTTCTTCCCACCTCTCATGCTGCCGGACCTGCTTGAAGACGTTAGAGGCACATGAACGAAGACGCACGTGTCTCTTGATGTTGAGACAATAGAAGATAGCTGTGGCATGCGACGAGACCGCGAGAACATGCTAGAAAATGCTCTACCCGTCTCGGTAGCGTAACATTCCTGCACAAGGGCGACGCCTGCTCTGCTGGGGCGGAGCGGAGCCGTCTCATGGCCCAGCGTCCCAACTACACGAACAGATCTACGCTGTCACGACGACCTTGCTCCCTACTAGTCAAGGTCCCCCCATGCAGCGTAAGTCAGGAACGAAACCCCATGCAAGATGACTCGATAAGGCTCCATTTTTATTCGGTCTTGGCACTCTTCAAGCTCTTGTTGTACAAACCGTAGCATCTCCCTTCTTGGCGCGGCGGGGCCCGTTTCGCAGAGAAGAGGCGGCATTCAAGCTTCCTGCCGGAGAGCGCGCCAAGAAGAGGTATAGGTGTGCTTTGCATATCGATTTCCCACTACTTGGCCCGCCTTTGACTGTCGCTCTCCGCCGTGCAGCACTGGGCAACACCGGCCTGCAGGTCATATCGGTAGCGTCCCTTGTCTCTCTCTCTCAGACGTTGTTGTTGGCAGTGGTGTGCGGCTACGAGCGACAAGTGACCGGGGCGGACATGGCGCGCTGCTCCTCCTCCGGGGTGCGGGTGCGCAGCTGAAGCGCATGGATGCCACCCTCCCTGGCCATCTCCTCCTTCATGAGGGAGTAGATCATGCGATGCCTGGCCGGCTGCATCTTGCCCTTGAAGGCCTCGGAGACGACGTTGACCCTGGAGCGGCGGCGCGCGGAGACGAGTCTGAGCGCATTGTCCAAACAGTGTGTGTGTGTTCATCACGGCGGCAGGGGAACGACTGGGTGGATGGCACCGGAGCGGCGCAGTACGTACCGGAAGTGCGTCTGTGATGTCGTGTGCGACGGTTAGCTTTCAGGGCAAGACATGATGCCGGATTGGGTGGAGGGAGCAGCAACGGACCTCTCTGGACGTCACGCCTTGCATGGCCTTGTGGTGGGAGTGCAGGTGCGAGTCATTGAAGACCTCGAGCGAGGCGGGCTTGAGCGCTTCGTTGATCTGTGGTGGGCGTCAAGCTGTTAGCGGGGCTGCAGCGGTGTCTGGAGGTTGCCAGAGTCGTGCCTTGGCGCGCAGGGAGTCCTCGATCGGAGTCATTGACTGGGCCATTGCTGATAGTTGACGTCGCGCGGCGCCGCGGAGGAGAGGCGCTCGCTGGAACATCAAAAGAAGCGGGCGGTTGAGCTGGGGGTGCCGGGGATTGCGGAGGGGTGGTGGGGAGACAGGCGGCGTTGCGGGCGGGATGACGGAAGCGCGACGAATCGACGGCTGCGCCGAGACAAAGTCGAGCAGCGCGCCCGTGACGCGCCTCTAGATTTTTTGCACCGGATGCCCTACGGGCTCAACACCACACGCAGGCCATCACCGCAGGAACGCTTGCCTCGCTGTACTTCTGTTGAGACAGGCCTCGGCGTCTACTTCTGCAGCCGCCGCCGCAAACCGGACCCATTGACCCACCGAGTGATCGGGCACTGGACCATGACTGCCGACGGCCAGCTGCACGTAATCAGAACATCCCTCCCTGGCATATAACTGATAGACCTGCCGTCCCCCAGCTTGCAGAATGCTCGCCCGAGCTGCCTGCCGCTTTGCGTTGAGACCACCCGCGCCGCCGTCTTTCCTGCGTCCCTCTTGCACCCGCCCGTCGCTCACCAGCCCGCCTCCGATCCCACGCCAGTTGTTCCGCATGGCCTCGACACTGCCGAGGTTGCCTATCTTCCAGGCCATCGCCGGTCACGACCCCCGGCGCACCGCCATCGTCCACTCGCTGTCCAACCGCACCTTCCGCTACGGCCAGCTGCTGCACGACGTCGCCCAGGCAAAGGACCAGCTGCGCCAGAAGGCCAATGGCAAGGAATTGCACGGCGAGAGAATCGCGTTCCTCGTAGAGAACAGCTACGACTATGTAGGTGCGCGCTGCCCATCCCTGGCGAGCAGTTCGAGTCTGGCAACGCGCTGATTGGCCGCCAGTGACGCTCCTCTCCATCCTGGCCAGCAATGCCATTGCCGTGCCCATGTCGCCCGCTTTCCCCGCACATGAACTGCAGTACATCGTCAACCAGAGCGCTGCTCTGATGCTCCTGGCCTCCGAGAAGTTCCAGGAGAAGGCCCAGAAAGTGTTGGAGGAAGGCTTGGAACATGAGCCCATTTACGCACAGGTCGAGAAGAGGTTTGAGGCTGTATCAAGCGGCGGCAGCGTTGAACTCGACGATGTGCCTGACGAGAAGGGCGGCATGATGCTCTATACGTCTGGCACCACGAACAGGCCGGTGAGAGAAGCTGCATTTCTCCATAAAGAAGGTGAAAGGCTTACTTTGCGCAGAAAGGAGTCCTGATCCCCATTTCCACCCTGACCGCGCAGTCGCAATCGCTCAACAAGGCCTGGGAATACAGTCCGGAAGACCACCTCCTCCACCTCCTCCCGCTCCACCACATCCACGGCACTGTGAACGCCATCCTCGCCCCGCTCTTCGCCGGCTCAAGCATCGAATTCATGTACCCCTTCAACCCCACCCTCATCTGGGAGCGCCTCGCCGCGCCCTTCCGCCAGCCGACCAACGGCGCGAAGCCGCGCGAAAAGATCACCTTCCTCACCGTCGTGCCAACCATCTACACGCGCCTCATGCACGCCCTCCAGAGCCTTCCGCCCAAGCTGCAGAAGGCGGCGCGCGCGTCGACCCGCCCGGAGAACCTGCGGCTGACCATCTCGGGCTCGGCCGCCCTGCCGACGCCGACCAAGGCCGCGTGGGCGGAGCTCAGTTCCGGCAGCGTGCTGCTGGAGCGCTACGGCATGACCGAGGTCGGCATGGCACTGAGCTGCGGCCTGGACGTCGCCGACCGCGTCGACGGGAGCGTCGGGTGGCCCCTGCCCTTTGTCGAGGCCCGCCTCGCCGATGCTGACACCAACGAGATCATCGAGGACGGGGACGAGCTGGACGAGCGTGGCAGGGAGCGTCTGGGCGAGGTGCAGCTGCGCGGCCCTACCATTTTCAAGGAGTACTGGCGCAACCCCGAGGCCACGGCGAAGGAGTTTGTCGAGGGCGAAGATGGAAAGGGCAGGTGGTTCAAGACGGGAGACATCGCGGTCAGGCGGGAAGTTCCTACTGCGGGAAAGAGCTCGAGGCCGAGCCAGGACTGGTGCAGGGGCAAGATGTACTTCATCCAGGGTAGGAGGAGCGCGGATATTATCAAGACCGGTGGCGAGAAAGTCAGCGCGTTGGAGGTTGAGAGAGAGATGCTCTCCCTGTAAGTTTTCCTTGCAAGGCTGTTTTAGGGTTGACGAGCTGATGGAGTACAGACCTGAGGTCGCTGAGTGCGCCGTCGTTGCGCTGGACTCGGAGCAATGGGGTCAGAGGGTTGCTGCGGTCGTCGTCCTTACCGAACAGGGTCAGACTGCCGGGAAAGGTGGCAAGCCCTGGGGTCCAATGGACATGCGCAGGGCACTGCGGGACGTGCTGGCCAACTACAAGATCCCCACGGAGCTCAAGCTGGTGGACAACATTCCGAGGAATGCCATGGGAAAGAGTAAGGTCCCCAGAGCGAGGTAGAGGTTGCGGCTCCTGTTAACACTATTCCTGCAGTCAACAAAAGGGCGCTCGTTCTGGAGCTCTTCGCCGGCAGGCCAAAGACCCCACCTCCCCCGCCGAGGAACTAATTTCAAGACGCTCGTTGGGTATCATCCACCCGTGTCTCCACTTCCTTCAATTGCGAATAGAATGGTAGAGACTGGACAGGTGGATAGGTTCCCTAAAAGTTTCTGAATGTAATATCACGACACGGATGTAGGACCAGGGCTGATCAGCGGCGGCTGTAGATGATTGAAAGCCTGTGAGGCCGCACACAGGTATTATGAAAAACCTTGCTTTGACAGAGGCCAATATGTTGAATACGCTGCGCATGCGGACGGGCAAGCATAGTGATAACTTCGGGCATCCCGATTAGCTAACCAAACCTTGGCCGGCGGGGTCAAAGAGCCGGGTTGCAAGAAGACAGTTTCCCAATTCGGCATCTCCGAGTTTGCTGTGTATCAGAAGATATCGAGCTCAACCCCAGCATCTATTGTCGATACCTCAACAGGCAGTTTAAGAGAGCGAGGCCCAGACCGACCTCGCAGCAACTCACCAAAAGAGGAAAAAAGGCCAGCATCGGAAGCAAGGAAAACTTCAGATGCAAACAAACGCACGTCGTATTCACCGGCCGGCCGCCTCACCGCTTCACGCGCCACACTCACAAGCCTCATGGCAGCCTTGGGCACGCCTCACAGCAAGGCAAACGGTTCGCGAACCGCAATGGCCCGGCTACACTTGTGACAGACCTGATCTGTCGAAGTGACGGACGATCCCCCGCTTGGACTTGTCGAAAGGGCTGACCCCGGCTCACAACCGCATGCTCGGCTTTGACCTGGTTGGCTCGGGGAACAGAATGGAACGAGGGGCGAGAGTAGACGTGTGGCGCAGTGTGGCGCAAGGCTGTGGCTCGCCCTCTCCGCATGCAACGGCGTGTTGATGACTACTCTGGTTCGTTCACACACAGTCGATGCGGGAACTCGTGGGTGCTACCTACACCGTTTCTTCCTCCCTCCCTTCTGCCTCGTGCCGCCCTCTCTGCAGCCTGCTGGACCTGGAAATCACTAATCTCTTCATTCAGATACCCGCAGCGAACAGTACCATGCGGAAACGAGCCCCCATTGGACGACTGGGGGAGATTTCGGTTCGCGAGGCTTGAAGGTCACGTCGGAGTCACCGTTATCCCAGCGAGATGTCCTAGGGCCGTTCGGCCTCGGCTGCCTTACCTGGTGCGGTGTTTTTCGGAAACTGGCCCTTTTGCTTGCTTTGCATGCTGGCCGGATAGCGCAGAGTTGCATTTTGCACCACCCGGTGCTACTACTGGTTGTCTTGGACTGTGATATGCACGCCATGCTGAGAAGAAGGAGGTGGTCGCCTTGATAACGAACTGGGTGGTTGTGAGGACCTTAAATGCGAGCTGTTCAGCCACAGTTCGAGTTTGGATTTCATCGTTCCAAGCTTCTTCACTCCTTTTCGTTGTGTTTGTTGGACCTGTGCTGTGTGGCTACGCCCGAAAGTCCGATCATGGCTCCTCGCTCGGCAGCTCCACGAGAATCACTGAGCGGAACCAGTCAGCGTCGTCGATATTCAAGCACGGCAGGTATGTACCTGCGTTTATTATTCCTCTGGGAAAAAGCAAGATTAGTCACCCATAGCCTTTCCCCCTCGCTAATGCCTTCCCTGCTGCCAGCGGAGCGCCACCACCACCACCATCCCGGCGAAAATACCCCGCCTTCCACCACCATCAAAGGCCATGCAGATCATCCCACCGACCCAATCAATTCGCAACAACAACATCTATCTGCACAGCCACAACACCAGATCAACGGCAGTAGCCGCAAGAATGGGTACGTCCTGCTTCCTTCTCCCCGCTTCGCCCCACCCCCTTTTTTTTTTTTTTTGCTCTCAACTAAACCGGCATTGGTCGATTCATCGTTCCTGATCCCTCTCTTCTTTCTTTCTTTCCTTCCTTCCTGACTAACTAACACGCTGTCGCCCTTCTCTCGAGAAGACCCAGCAACTTGACTTCATCTTCTGCGACAACCCCAACAGCCACTTCCCCAGTCGCTGTTGCCCTCTCCAACGGCGACGACGCAGCAGCAGCAGCAGCGTCGCCATCAGACCCGTTCACCGCCACTGCCACTTCCACTGCCACTGCCGCTGCCGGTCGATCGTCGTCGACTCCGGGCGGTGGAGGCGGCAAAGGTCTTCTCGACATCGAACTCAGTCACATGGGATCTTGGGTGCAGACGCAGGTAGAAGACGACAATGATTGGCAAGGAGGATCATTCCCCCATATCTCGTCGTTGGAAGGAGATGGAGGAGAGATGTTGGCGTCTGTTCGCTGCTACGACGGACAGGGAGAAGGAAGCGGTACTGAAGGAGAAGCGCAACGGCAAAGACGACGGCGGCGGCGGCGACGGCTACGGCTACGAAGCGGTCGAGAAGAGCCGAGATGGGGTGGTGGGGAATCAGAAGGTCCTTGGAACGTGTACGAGTACTACTCACGGCGCGAGAGATGGTCATGACAATGGCGGTGGTGATGATGTTGTTTTCATTTACAGCGGATCATCCCAGGTGGAAAACTTTCTGAGCTGGTTCTCACTGGCCTCGAAAGAACTGATGAAGCTTGAATCACTGCAAGGTTCTATCCCACCAATAAAGCATTCGAAGTCTCCGCCTTCTCAAGTGTGCGATGCGATTAGTTATGTACATACGTTTGCTGGCACTGTCCGAGCGAAGCCCTCCCCATTCCCTTTTACACCGAGTATAGTGATAGAGCGCAAAGACATGAGCGAGTCCTGAACAACTCGAACGAATGCTTCGTGGAAAGAATATACTTCCAATGCAGAGCATCGGCAGAAATGCTAAAAAGAGAACGCTTCTTTCGGAAGAGCTGTAAACACTCCAAGCTACATCAACAAGAGAGCAGTATGGAGCCGTTGCGTTAGAACGGCCGATCGCACTGCAAAAACACAGCTGTGACGCTGTTACCATTTCGAAGGAGCTGACAAAAGTGATTCGGAAAACTTACACTGCGCAAAGGACGAATAGGTCTGGGCATTATCGATTGCATCAAGCCAGTCCAAGTCCTTACAATACGGCCACGTATTGCGAGGAACATAGTCTCCGGTGCCGCGGAAGGTATGCAGACCGTCAATGTGCGTCAATTCATGGACGAGTGTGGTAGCGAGGTCATGTTGGTGGCACCCGGGAGAGAAGGCTGGGGAGTACTGCAAACTGAGGGGACAGATAACGATGATGCCGGCTTGGGCGTCGGTCACGGCGAGCGAGTTGTAGTTGCACAATTGAAAAATGTCCAAACAGGTGATCCGCGCCTTTCCAGATCCAACTAACTGGCATGCATCGGCGACGGCGAGGAGCTTGCATTGGACGAACAGTCGCACTAGAGGCAAATCCGTGTTGAAATAATCGGCGAATCTTGCGTCATGTCAGCGCATCTGTCTACTGTTCATGGACGAGTGCACCGGTACCTTATATCCCCGTCGTAGGCACCCTGGGCTCCCCGCGTGGCCATGCGGTGGCAGTAGGCCATGCCTTGTAAGATCCTCTCCCATTGTTCGTCGGTGCAACCGCTGCCATTTTGAATGGCGGCGAGATCACGATCCTCGGCGTCGCGGCGGGCAGCCATGTGCCGCGCAGCTTCGGCACCATCTACTCCCATGTAAAGCGTATTGCTCGAGTAAACAAGCTGGCCATCAGTATAGCCGGTGGACGACCTGATGGGGGCGCTTCCCTCGGCCTTGACCGTGTAATTTCCGCCAGAGGAAAGGTCGTACAAGTCGGCGGCGTCGAATTTGGTCACGAAGACATCGCCCTTGGCAATGTGGATCCAGCTGTCGGCCGTGGTTCGACGGCTTGGTGTGACGTAGATGCCCTCGAATGCGAGGGGCGTTCCGTCTAGCACAGAAAATCAGGGGGGAAGCTTGTGTAGGACTTGTGTGCTCACCGGTGGCGGCGTTGATATCGACCTTACGAACGTTCCGGTGGTCGAAGATGTTGTTTAGCTTCAGGATGGCCAAGTCGTACTCGCCCGTGTTTGTGATGGCAGCCTCAATGAGTGTGTTGCCCGTATTGGTAAGTTTCACATCGACTTTGGGGAGATGCTCATCCGCAGTGCTCTTGGTGACGAGGGTGACGTTGGCAGCAAGGTCCTCTGTAGTGTAGGCGAAAACGTTATTTGGCGCAAGCCCGAAGTAGGCGTTGTAGGTCATGTTGTGGGCAGCCACAAACACGGCAGACAGGAGTAGCAGCACGAATTGCATGGTTGTGATTCGACTGAATGAATAGTTCGTTCGAGAAGAAGAGAGAAGAGGAGAGGGCGAAGGGGCGGGCGCATGTAAGGGTAGTAGCAGTAGCCTAGCCAAGAGCTCCTTCTTCTCCGAGTAATCACTGCGCCTCCCAAACACGTGCACGAGAACAGGAAACAGTGTTTCTCAATTACTGCTCTGCTCTAGCAACACCGTCCAAATCCACTTTTGAGCTTTTTGGGTTTTGCCATGTGAGCGTCGGTGCTTTTCAAAGTTCCAGATTCGCTTCCCAACCTTCCAATATCCCAATTGTCCAATGCGGCAAACCTTGACCAAAAAGGACAAGAAAGCTGCTGAGACGCAACGGATGAAATCTCAGACGCCGGGACAGCCGAGATGAGCCGCTACAATGGCGTTAGTCACGGACTGCAATACCACTAGGAAGGATGGAGAACGACGTACCTGACGCAAACCAGACATACGTATCAGCGTTCTTCTTCGCGTCGTTCCAAGTCAAGATGGTGCACTCTGGCATTCCATCTGCGATTTCTTGGGCTCCGTTCCGGCCTCCAGGAGCTGGAATCACGGCGATCTCGTGAAGAATGGCGGTAGCAAAGCTATCCACGAAGCACTCTCTCTCGTGATGGCGCAGTCGGTAGATCCTGGGGCAAACGTGAATGACCAAGGGAGCTTGGGCGTGCCTGTACAAGTTGAAGTGGCCGAAGTTGCAAACGCCGTACAAGTCGTTGCATTGAATCCTCGAAATGCTGTTCGAGTTTTGCGCTCCACGACCACTACGCAACAAGGCTTTAGCCATGTCGACGAATCTGCTTGCGACATAGCATCTAGCTCCCTTCTCGTAGGCATGAAAGAACGAAGCGAATCTGTCCCCGTTAGCTGCAATTCCGCCCAAGGAAAGCGAATCGTGCACGGCTCACCTATCGTTGTAGACTTCGACCTCGTACGGTCCAAGAGCATCCCAAGCGCCATCTATGGCCATCCTCGCGGCCCAATTGATGGCCCCTCTGAATCTGTACCCTTGCCTCCCGCAGCGGGGGCTTCCCAACACGATGGTATCATCCTTGGGGTCCACGAATTTGCTAGTTGCACCCATGCCCTGGGCGGCCTTCACGCCGTCGACGTTTTTCATCTGCAGCTCGTTGCTGACGACGAGCAACGAGATCAAATACTTGTCCTGATACTTTGCAAACATGGTTGTGTCGATCTTGAATGCGTAGTCACCACCCGTTGAAAGGTCGAACTGCGTCCACGTCCACACATCAGTACTACATGCTCGTCCGACAAGAAACCAAGGGCTCACTAACCAGGTCTGCAGCGTTGAACTTCACCTTCTTGGTACCCTTGGGCTCGAGATGAAGCCAGTCGTCGGCCGTGTAGTAACCGCCTGTGTAGGGGTCGATTTCCGTCCAGGGAACCGTTTGATTTTCTGTGGCTAGCTTTAGCTGGTGGCTAGCTTCCAAAGGGTGAAGGGTTACACTTGCTGTATGGGCCATCCTCGTGCTTCACCTGCATCTTTCCGATGAAGTTGCGCGGGTCCAGAAGTAGTCCAGGTTGCAGTACATCGAGAGCGGAGTGACCGGTGTTGGTAAGGGTGGCGGTAGCCATGAAGTCTTCATAGTCAAGCCTGGCAAGCTCAATCTCCAGGGCGGCATCCAGGTTGGGTGCTCCCATACCCAAGACGAGCGGAAGAGATTGGAGGTTCGGACCGGCTCCACTCATGTCCACATCGCCACACTTCACTCCGATCGCCTCTTCGAGAGCCGCCAAATCAGCTGGGAAACTCTCCATGTTCGGGGGTCCGAAGTCACGGGCGCCCTGTCCACCGTTGGTGCCTTCAGAGGTCAGGACAAAGCAAGCCAAGACCGTGATGGTCACAATCAGGAGCCTGAGTGAAAGCTTCATTGTCGGTGACTCGGTGAGCAGAAGCAAACGAGTGGGAAAGAAAAAGAAGGAAGGGTGTGGAGGGTTTGTGGATGTGAGGCGAGGACGGTTTAAATAGCTTGCACGAAGACGCCATCACGCGAACTTAGACCCTGGGCCTAAGCGGTTTAGGAAATCATTCTGTGATTGAAGCAAGGCAGGGCGCAGGCTGCCGCGCTTCTCCCTCGAACCTTTTGTCCACGTGCCACATGAAGTCGTGCACGCGTTGGCCAACCTTTCACCCACGCTCTACCTCGGCTTCCACCTCACTCCACCTCGCCCTCTCCTCCCTCGTCAGATGCCCACCCGGGAAGAACGTATCCAGCATGCTCTTCCCCACCCGCGGATACCTCCGCTCAACCTCCAACAACGTATCAAACACCTTCGCCTCCCCCACCACCTCCCTAAACTCCAACGGCACGCCCGCCGCCTCAGGCCCGCGCCTCGCCCCCGCCACATAAACATTCTGCACCATCCCAATCCCACCCACCACCACCAAAAACCACGAATGCGCCCTCAACCCCGCCGCCGACACCAACAACCCCACCCACAACGCGCACAGCACCCCAACCGCCCCCACCGTCCCAGTGCGACTCGCCTCACCCAAACCACCGCCATGCATCTGCCCCGCCCCCGCCCCCGCCGCCGCCGCCGCGGCGAGGTCCTCGAGATCCAGCCCGCGGCCCTCGCCCAGCACCACGAGCGCGTGCTGCGCGCCGTTGCCGCGCGTCAGCACGACCGCCTTGTCGCTGCGGCGGCGGCAGCACCCCCACCGCTCGCGCCGCCACTGCGGCAGCGCCGCCGTCGCCGCCGCCAGCGCCGCGCCCGCGCCCGTCACCGCCAGCACCGCCCAGTCGCCCCAGACGGCCGCCGGGATGGACGCCACGCACAGCTGGACGAGCAGCGTCGCGAGGCCGATTAGGTGCGCGAGGTCGTGGGTGACCGGCGCGGGGTGGGCCGGGCGGTCGGCGGCGGCGGCGAGGACGGTGACGCAGAGGGAGGTGCGGGTCGGGCGGGGGGTGGTCGTGGTGGTGGCGGCGGTGGAGTCGAGCATCTTTGTGGAGGAGAGGTGCGAGTTCGGGGGCTGCTTGTCCTCGTCCTGCTGCTGCTGCAGCTGCTTGCGCGCAGCGGAGGCTTTGTCTGCTTCCCAGCGCTGGTCCAGCATGGATTGCAGGTGGTTCTTGGTTTGGGCGGGCATCCAATACTCGAAGTCGCGTACCAGGCGGCCGATCAGCCAAGAGGAGTTGTCGCGGGCGTATCCGCTCCGGCCGTTGATGACACGGCATGAGATGTCGGGCGCTGGCATCAGCTTGTTCTCGCCGACGGCGGAGAGGAGGGCAGTCACAGAGAAGGCGACCCAACCTATTTGAGTTAGCTGAGATGCTCGGTACTGGGAAGGAGCACGCGAGTGGGAATGGTTGGTTTGGAGAATCATAATCCAGTGTGCGACATGCAAGGTGAGGGTGTTGTGACAGCAGTCAGTGTGATCTCTCGGGAGCTTTTTTTATTTTTTATATTTTTTAAGAGAGAGCGGTCGAGGTGGAGTGGGGAAACGGAGGATGAAATTAAGGTTGGTTTACCAAAGGAGAAAGCGACAGGCGCGACAAGGGATTCGGTGCCGGCCACTTGTGCAAGGGCGCGGCTAATGACCTCACCGCCGAGGAGGAGAAGCACAGAAAAAACATCTCCCGGGCTCTGCCATTGCATGGAAAATGCGGCAGCTGGGAGATCCGTGTCAAAGACTTTGGTGAAGAGGTGAAAGGGAGCCATGGCGGAAGAAGGGTGAGTGAGTGAGTGAGAGGTGGATATCGAGGTGAGCACAGACACGGGTCGCTAGGTGCTTTTAGCTGCCCGTTTCGAGACAATTATGCCTTGCGCCAAGCGTCTAGTCCTTTGCTGCGCCGCACGTGGAGATCTTCACTCACTGCCTCAGCTTACTCGCCGCTCGTTACGCTGCGGCTGTAAGGCAGAAGTCGCTCGCCGTAGCGGTGAGCACTGATCCCTACTACACCATCTCGCCCGCCAGGCTGACTGCGATCCTTCGTGAGGGGTATTCCAATCGTTAGGAATATACCGAAAATCATGTTGCACATTCGCCGTAAGAAATGTCCAAGTTAGCCGCCGTAGCCGCAAGTGGCGTGATGATGCGAAGCCGTCAACCATGCTTCTACCTGGTTCACAGTATGCCTTGCCATAGAGTGGAGACCAATCTTGACGTCACCTCACCTTCACCGATCCTTCTCAAATACTGCTATACCTACTAGTCGAATTTTGACCTCAAAACAATCCATTGTGGGTGCCTGGACTACTCACTTGGACACATGCACCCCACCGGCTGTGGCACTGCCCCGAAGATGAACTGCTGGCTCCTTGATCTAACCAATGCACCATGTCTGCTTTGGCCGCAGCAATTCCCGCATCAACGGCTGCGAGGGGTTGACGACACCACCAGCAGGGGGCGGGCTGTTCTCCGGAAGCCGTGTTGCCTCAGCCAAGAGCTCGTATCGGCCGTAGGCAACATCGCCCTCTCTCCTCGTCAGTGAAAGGACGACGCAAGAAAGCCTTGTTGCCCCATTTTGGAACAGAGCGGCCTCGACCCCCTCGTAAGCCTTTTCGAACACGATGCCTACGTGATGCAGAGCACTCGGGTCCCACGCCTGTCTTTCTTTGGCAATAACATGCAAGTATCGGACCTTCTCATGGCCGTCATCGTCAACGTCCGTCCGGCTTACTGCGATCCAGAAGCCCTCTGAATCCCGTTCAGCCACGTAGCCGCCAAGGTCAGTAGTGAATCCGGGAAGAACGGTCAGCAACCCTTCTCTCAAGATCTTCACCGGCGTCTCCAAAGTCCGCCCATACACCTGGTCATCTTGGCTCATGCAGCGCTGCAGCGCCCAGCGCCAGCCTTCCTCCCCGTAGCGCTCTCCAGGCAGAAAGATGATCTCCTGTGAAAAATGCGAAAGCATCCCATAGAAGGCCCGCATGCGCTCGGGTGCGTTCTTCTTGATATCCAGGATGGCTTTTGGATCAAGGTTGACTATATTGGCGAATACCACCGGCCGGTCCTCATCCTTGGTTGTGTCTCTGGCCGCCACGTTGCTCCAGCTCATCGACACCAAGTCGTGAGGCTTGGCTATGATCTCATTTTCCTTGCCCATGGGCACCGCCTTGTCAAGAACCTTGTCGAACGTCGAGTAGGAAGACGTCACGGTGCGGAACCATTGGAACCACAGAGAGTAAGCATCATGTGCAACCGGTGCCTGCAAGGCGTGGAACTTCCCGTGATGGTGCTTCAGCCATAGCTTGTCCGCCATGTCTGGGACGTTGACGATCTTGTCCTTGAAGACGACATAGAGGCGCCTGCGCGCTGCGAGTCCCTCTTGTAAAGTCCACAGCCTCCGCATCCAGCCCGAACATGCCAGAATCCGCAACATGATCTCTTCTTTCGGAACATCGCTCACAGCAGTATCCTCGAGCTCGGCGTCGACGATCATGACCCGGTGCGCTTGACACACACACGCATTAGTTCGCAACAGACAACCCATCCTTGGACGCCCACTCACCTCTCTCATACACCTTCTTCATCCCCCTGATCGCCATCTTCTTGGTCTCTTCGTCCAGCGGAACACACAACGTGTCCATCCAGAACCACGTATCCTGTTCCGGAGTATGCGCCAGGCTCATAGCAGCATGCAGCAAATGCCTCCCGCTGACATGCAGCGCGCTGACGGGATTATCCCACGCCCCAGGCACATTCGCGCGCTCCCAAAGCAGCCGCGCCGCCATGGCCTTGAGCCGCACCAAGTGACACTCTGGCAACGCATTCGCCTCCTCATTCCCCATCCCATCCTTCCAGACATGCGACACCGCCACGTAGTTCCTCCCCGGCCGATGCGCGCCCACCTCCAACACCAACGGCCCCCCTTGGCCTTCACCCTCACCCCCCCGCCGCACCCGCACAATCGGAATCCCCCCCTTCCTCAGCACCGCCTTCACCTCCTCCACCGGCACCCCCACAAACCCACACCGACACCCCCCCTCATAATGCCCCGTCACATACGTCCCCGGCACAACCTGATCCACCACACACCTCGCCGCCGTACACCTAGCATGCCCACCCGCCGCACCCGCCTCTACCCCCGCCCTCGTCGTGCGGCCCCGCCGCCGCTCCCCCAACTGCAACGCATACGCCTGCGGCAAGACGGACCTGAAGTTCGAAAAGCACGCAACCTCGCTCGGACACCAACCGAGCTGCTCGCGCATGCGCGCGTCGGCCCACGCGTCGCGGCTCGCCGCCTGCGGGAGCAGCACGGCGCGGAAATGCCTTAGGCCGAGCGTCTCGCGCACGAGCAGGAACAGCGTCGCGTGCAGGACGCGGATGGCGAAGGCCATGGCCGGGCGGAGGAGTGACGTAGCAGGACTGCGTCCGTGTAGTAGTAGCATCTCGCCGAGCTGGTTCTCGATGGCTTCCCAGTCGGACTGCGTGCAGGATGGGCCGAGGAGGGCGGGGGCGGGGGCGGGGGGGCTGGCGCCGTCGCTGTTCGTCTTCGTCTTCGTCTTCTTCCCCCCCGGGCCGAAGGCGGAGCCGGCGAGCGCGGCGTCGACGTAGCGCCAGAGGTTCGCGGTGGTGAGGTACTGGCGGCCGTCAGCCGCGTCGTAGCGCAGGAAGTCGTCGTGGCGGACGACGCCGCTACCGAAGACGGCGTGGAGGACGCCAAAGTACAGCCAGCACTCGAGACGGGGCCCATGGCTCTCGGGGATGAAGAGGTGGTCCGATCCCGGGCGCCGCCAGCCGTTTCTCGAGGGGTAGCCGAGCCAGGGCCCGCCGTCGTAGACGGGGCCGTCGTATGGGATCTGGAGCGGCGAGGGGGGCGGGCGCGACGTGCCGAAGAGGTGGTCGGCCATCTTTTTCTTCTTTCTTTCTTGGGAGGCTAATCTGAACGTCCCGGTACCTAGTGGTGGGGAGAGTTCAACGTTTGCTGGTTGATGGTGATGCGCGCGGCGTTGGCCCCCAATGCTCTGGTTTACGCTATTTATATGTGCCAATCACATTTGCTGCATCCTCGTTGGCAACGTAAGGACTCGGATTGATGCCTGGCCATCCTCTCGCGTACATGCTTGGAGCGGGTTGCGGCGGTGTGCGTTGTTTGGGTGGTCTCTATCCATGAATGTAGTGGCCGCCTGGCCTGTCAGCACAACACTTCAACAAAAATCATTGAAGCGCCAGGGGCAGTTGTATGCCATCCCTGTGCTTAGCGAGTCTTCGGCCCGGGCCCACTCTGACTTGTTTGACCTATTCAATTGATTGCCCTGCTCATTTTCAAAACAAGATGCTCATCGAAAATATCCTCCGCCCGCATACCGAGCGTCTGGCAAAAGAAAATTCTAGGGAAAAGAAGAGAAAATTACACTTACTACTCTCTGTTGTCTCCGTTCCCCTTGCCGCGTGGTAGGCCGCGTAAGCTCTATCTCACAACGCCAAGTTAATACCTGAGACAAATGCGCCTTCCCTTTTCGTTCAGCTCTGGCACGCAAAGCGAGGATATGGTAGTAGATCAGAAGCGGCTTCGAGTACCAGACGTTCGTTCATCAACCACTCATGCGTGCACCCACAGAGAAACGAAATACTCCAATGAACAATGTGATATACGGATCGCACAACCAAAATACGCCTTCCGACCAGTCCCTTGCGTCCCCAGCCCTTGTATCTCATCAAATCGCGCACAGCATCGGCAAGGAGACCACGAGCATTCAAGGCGAGAAACGCAACGCCACAAAACTCCACGCTGTTGAACACCAGTTGTTGGAAAACAAGAAGGAATAATAGCCTTCTTCCACCAAGTTCCATTTCCATTTTCCATTTTCCATACTCCTTTGTTTCTCCTCCGTTGTAATCAAAACTCCCTCGTTCATCCTGTCCAGAAGTCCATCAGACAAGGCTCCCGTATGAACCAAAGGAAATAATAATGGGAAGAGTGATGAGCCAATACACTTGGTCAGCCGACTGCTCTTTACACACACTCCGCCCATCCGAATGATAAGGATATAAAGGATATCTTCCCAGCCTTGGTCCTTCACTGTCCCAAGAGAGGAGAATAGAAGAAAAGGGAGGAATGGAAAACGCGGCCATCTCAAGAATACGCGTTATTCCGGTTAGGGTATTGTGCTGTATCCAAAATCAATAGAAGTGGAGAAGGAGACATTTCGGTTCCTCTTTCGCTTTCATGCGCTCTTGAAGACCTGGCCACCCTCGACGATGATTTGCTCGTCCAGTTTCGCCTTGGTGTCGCCGTACTCTACTCTCTTCCACGTCGTGATGCGTGCCTTGTTCATGTCCACGTCAAACACGCGTACTCTCCGGTGGTAGCCATCATAGCCGCCGTAGCCGCCGAAGCCACTTCCACCGGCATAGCACATCCATAGTTTGGGGTCTTCATCGACCTTGCCAAGCGCGCAATAGTCGTTGACGTGGTCATGGCCACATGACACGGCCAGCACGTGATTCTCAACAAGGGCGTCGAAGAAATGGCTGTTGAAGCCCGGAGCAGTGACACCCTCTTTCCAGGTGCCTACGATGCTGTTCTCTTTGAGGGCATATTCGGGTAGCGGGATGTGGATGAATGCCATGTCCAAATGAATATGAGTGTACTGTTTATGCGCGTCCTTGAGGGAATGGGCCGTGTCTTTGAACCAGGTTATTTGGTTCGGCTTGAGCCAATCGTAGCCACGGAATTTGGCTTCGTCGGGCGAGTAGGCGTGCGTGTCGAGAAAGTACAGCGTCATTGCCGAGTGCTGCGAGTTTCCTGGTGCCATGATTTCGACATAGTAATTGCCCACACCTTCGATTGTATTCGGCCCAGGCTCAGACAACGAGTAAGGGAGAGTCGTGAGGAGAGACATTTGCGCGGCACGGGAAAGGGAGCCTTCGTCGTCGTGATTTCCAAAGATGGCAGCGTATGGGATCTTGCGCTTGATAAAAAGCTCTGCGAACTTGAAGATTGCCTACACTGCGGGTCATTATTGCTGGTCGTCCGTAAAAGGGCAAAAGAAACTTACGGATTGTGCATCCGGCGCGGTATCTCCGTTGACTTGATCACCAGATAGAACAACCATATCGGGCTTCTCCTCATCCAGAATCTTGCCAACGAAATCCAAAGTCCGGCTGTCGGCGTCACATTGGCCCCCGTTATGGTCCTTTGGCTCCGGATCCCTGCAGGCGCCCAAGCCGGTGCTCAGGTGGAGATCCGAGACCTGCAGGATCTTGAACTTGCCATCCTTCTTGATCCTGGGCACTGGTTTGTCGGTCTTGTGGGGCACCCCACGACGGACGCTGATGCGCGCCTCTTGCGCCTCCCCAGACGTGTCCAGCAGCATGGGAGTGTCGCGGACCTCCCAGCCCGGGCGGGGTTCGACGGCGTCAGCGCCGAACAGGATGTCGATGGCGGTGATGACCTTGTCGGAGTCGCTGTCGTGGCGCTTGCTCGAGCGCAGCAGCCAGACGCCGGCAGGACGCGACTCCCACTTGGCCGTTTCCTGGCCTTTCTCGCCCATTGAAGGGTCGAGGCGGCCGACCCGCACGTCAAGCACGACGCGGTCATCTTGGTTCAGCTCCTCCTCGCGCTTGCGCTTGACGTGTACGTAGGCCTTGTTGAACCAGCCGCTGCCGAGGTATAGGTCCTTCTCGATACGATGCCATTTGTCGGGATCAAGCTTGCAGCTTGACAGCGGGTTGAGCGAGGAGCAGGTCTGGACATGGATGTCGGTGATGATCAGGCCGGGGTGGTGGACCGGCAGGTGGTTGTGGATGCTCTGCGGCAGCACACGGAAATGGTTGTCGAAGAAGACGAGGATCAGCACGATGGTGGTGAAGAGCAAGCCGAGCTGGATGCCGGTGCGGACCTGGAGCAATTTAGCTTGGGATCTGATTAGCTTAGGGCGGGCGAGGTACGATTCGGCGGGTCATCTTGGCTACGGATCTCGTGAGCTCCCTGAGGCGGCGAGGCTGGGTCGGGGGAAACGTGCGGCAGTGGGCGAGGGGGCGAGTGGTGTTTCAGCAGACGGCTCGGTGGTCGATGTGCTCCGAGCAAGCCATCGTCTCGCGCGCAGCAGCTCAAGGAATGGTGTGCCGGGGGGAGGGGCCAGAAGCGCAGCGTGGAGAGTCAGAGCTCGCGGGCTGCTCGTCTGAATCGTGGCCGTTTAGCACTCGCGCCAGCCTAGCCCGCCCAAAGTCGATGCCGCTTGTCCGGCGCAGAACCGCGCCGCTGCCGACGCGACTTCACGCTACCCCAGATTCTCGCGCAGATCGCACGCAGACTCTGGAAAACACCGCCCGCTGCCCTCATGCACCTGCTCGCCCGCCCTTCGCCGGCGCTGCGCGCCCCCGCGCGTTGCCGCCAATGCCTCCGCTCGCTGAGCACGCAGGCCCACGCCAAGGTCTTTGCTGGTAGGCTTCTCCAGCCCTGCGTTTTTGTCGCTCCGCGCTGATCCGCGCCACTAGAGGGCGACGTAGTTCTGCTGCGGGACAGAAACCGCCCCCGCAACCCGGGCATCCTAACCAAGCCACTCAAGGCCGGCGTTGTCATCGTCAACCAGCACGGCAGCCTCCCCCATAGCGACATCATCGGCAAGCGCATCCGTGACAATCTCCAGACCACGAAGACCCAGTACCGCATCCAGGAGCCAACGCTCGACGAGTACGTGCGCATGACTCCACGGATCGTCACTCCTGTTCGTTCACACCCGCCAACTGGGCTCTCAAGACATGCTAATGCGGCTGTCTTCTAGATCTACCCTGAAGATGCTTCGTTCATTGTAAATCTGTTTGACATCCATGTGAGTCCTACTGAGCCGGGTGCTGCCTTTTCACCACCGCTGGAGATCTTGGAGGCCGGAACCGGCCATGGCGGTCTCACGTTACACCTCGCGCGTGCAATCCACGCCGCCAATCCCCCGTTGCCTGAGTCTCTTAGGGCGGAATATACACCTGTTGTAGACCCGGAGCATCCCGCTGAGGAAGTGACGTATGAGTCGACGATTGTCGACCACATGGCGGAGCACACTCTTGAGTCTTGGAAGAGGCAAAGGAGGGCTGTGATCCATACCGTAGACCACAAGGCGAAGACCTCAAAGCACGCGAAGAAGATTGTCAGCGGGTTCCGCCGCGGCATGTATGCCAATGCCATTGATTTCCATGTTGGGGATGTCTCGGCTTGGATCAAGGCACGCTTCACAGCGCAGACTAAAGGAGATGCTACCAAAGGGCCTGAGCCGTTCTTGTCCTACGTTTTCCTGGATCTCCCCTCAGCAGAGGATCATCTGGAGATTGTATCCCAGGCCCTCCACATGGACGGCGCTCTAGCAGTCTTCAACCCAAGTGTTACGCAAATTGCCGACTCGGTGAAGAGAGTCAGGGAGTTGGGGCTGCCACTCGCACTTGACAAGGTTGTTGAACTGAGGGGAAGTGATACCGTTCGAGAGTGGGATCTTAGAGCGGTGCAACCTAAGGCGGCGATGAAAGCGGCAAACGGCACGAGTTTGAATGGCGAGAATGAGGAAGTGGATACTGATGAGGCGGCTGCCGAGAGTGACCAGAAAGAAAAAAATCTAGCTGAACAAGCGGTAGAGGAGGCAAAGGATCTAGAAAGGATCGAGACTGAGCAGAATGAAGAGCTTCAGACAGGCGACGCTAGCTGGAAGTACGTCTGCCGGCCCAAAACTGGTTTGACAATGGGTGTTGGCGGATTTGTAGGTCTGTGGCGTCGTTTTAAGACTTAGATTTGCCTGCTCGGGTAGGATTCATTGAGCTAGGGGGGGGGAAAATGTACATAAGGCGTCTGTAACAACATCAGGCTGCTTGAGCCTTGTATATCAAAATTTACGCTTATCTTTTGGTATTCTGTAGCAGCTGTACCGTCATCTGGAAAAGTCCGATATCTCCGGCGCTGTTCCGGCCAAACGTCAGATCAGATCAAGTCAGCCCCGCCATTCCAGTCACCGTCTCGGCCTCAGCCTCAACCTTCCACTTTCCGCTCCCCATCCTCGTGCGATTTCAAAATGGCGGAGCCCAAGCACCTGACCGGCGACAAGGCCGCCATCGAGGAGTTCCTCAACAAGTTCGACGTGAGTCCGACGTCGCAGTCGGCCCTGCGTTGTGTTTCCAAGACTGACATCCCTAGACTTTTTTGTTTGACTGCGATGGTATGCTTCCGCCTCATTCCGCGCCCATCCTATCTCTCGCGCATGTTCGCAGGCACCCGCCGACCGTCTTCTTCCACGATTCAAGCCTGCGCAAAGAGCAAAAGTACGGATATGCTGATGGTATATGAAGGATAGGCGTACTATGGTCTGGGGATCACCTTTTCGACCATGTCCCGGAAACACTGGAGATGCTAAGGAGTAAGGGTGAGTGCTTCGCTTCTGCATCTGCGATGGGCGCTTGATGAGGCATGTGGTCGCTCATTCACGTCCCAGGCAAGGAGCTCATCTTCGTCACCAACAACAGCACCAAGAGCCGCGCAGACTATAAGCAGAAGTTCGACAAGCTCGGCATTCCCGCTAAAGTGGTATGGATTCCTGCCTTCTCGACCTCTAAACGCGCACCTACATCCGCAGTCGTACTTACACTTCCGCTTTCTTGCAGGAGGAAGTTTTTGGCTCAGCTTACAGCGCTGCGGTCTACATCTCGCGCATCCTCGAGTTACCAGCGGGCAAGAAAAAGGTCTTCGTTCTGGGCGAGTCTGGCATCGAGCAGGAGCTGAAGGCTGAGAATGTGCCTTACATTGGCGGCACCGACCCGAGCCTGCGCCGCGATGTCCAGCAGTCCGACTTTGAGGCGATCGCGAACGGCTCCGCGCTTGATCCGGAGGTTGGCGTGGTGCTGGCCGGTCTTGACTTCCACGTCAACTACCTGAAGTACTCGCTTGCGTTTGCGTATTTGAGGAGGGGCGCCAAGTTCCTGGCCACCAACATCGACTCGACGCTGCCCAACGCGAAGACGCTGTTCCCCGGCGCTGGTTCAGTCAGCTCGCCGCTGATCACCGCGACCGGCACGCATCCGTTGTCGCTGGGGAAGCCCAGCCAGGCAATGTTAGACGCCGTGGTGGGCAAATTCCACTTTGACCGCAGCAGGACGTGCATGGTGGGCGATCGCCTGAATACCGACATTCAGTTCGGCATTGAGGGTAAGCTGGGCGGCACGCTCGCCGTGCTGACTGGCGTTAGCAAGAAGGAGGACTTCTTGGGCGAAGGCGATGGAACAGGTGTGAAGCCAGCGTACTATGCGGACACTCTGGGCGACCTGCTGGTGTAAATCCGAGGATGCTAGAAAGTAGACTCTAGAAGGTAGAGGTAGATAGCACTAGACATGCATGAGCTACACCTGGATGCCTGGGGCATCGATTTCGGTATTACTGGCCCCTGCTAGCGTGATGCGACATCCTTGTCAAGACGCGAACGCGCCTCGCGTCTCCCAGCGCGCGCCGCCCGCAACATTCTAGCATCTCGCCCGCCAACTTCACCACACTCGGCTCTCCACCACCACAGACATACATATTCCCCCGCTCCTCTCGATTCATAAACTGGCGCCAGCGTTGGCAATCCAGCGACATGCAACGTACATCCTTTACCCGCATCGATCCCAAGCGGCGCGCAGATGTCGACCACAAGAAACGCCAATTCGCAAAGGCGACATGGAGGGAGCAGGACTACAAGCACCGGCTTAATTTCTATACCGTACCACCTACCGCAGAAATCACGCTCGAAGAGTTTGAGGAGTGGGCAATTGCGAGACTAAAGGGTGAGCAACGCTGCCATTCCTCATCGACTCACGCGCCTTATGGGCACCATGATACAAGCGTCTCTGCTTGCATTCCCGGTTGAAAAGAGGTTACTCACATCCTTGCCATGCAGTCCTCTCCGAGCTCGAAGCTTGTAGCTTTCGCAACCGCTCCCCCGAAGAAACGGCCTCGTACATGACGCCCATTCTCGAGAAGTACCTGCCGCTCCACAGCAACAGCAGCCGCAGCACCCAGCTAGATGCCGAGCGTAAGAAAGACCATTACTCACACTTTATCCTGCGCCTCGCCTTCTCCGCGACCGAGGACCTACGCCGCCGCTTCGCGCGCCTGGAGACGCTGCTATTCCGCCTCCGCTGGCGGGAGGAGAACGCGAACGAAAGACGTGAATTTGTCGACAGTTTGGATATGGGTGGACAGTGGGACAAGGTGACCGAGGAAGAGAAGAAGGAGTTGGGTCAGGACTTGCTCAACGCGACGGCAGGAGGTAAAAGAGCTGAGGAGGAGGGCTGGTTCAAAGTAGATTGGGAGAAGGTGCCGGAGCTGGTGGAACAGAGGAAGGTGCTTATCAGGAGAGGGGTGGCTTATGTACCTGTGAGGGAGCAATCAAGCTTGATTGTTGCTGAGTACACGAGGAGATTGGACGAGGCATTGCTGGTAAGTACTTCTCGCGCCACACCCAATAGGGCGCTCGCAATTACTGAACGTATGATCCGGTTGAGATGAGTGCTAACATGTTTTGTAGTTGGCGTCTCGCGCCCTACCCCGCCTCGATGAGGATGACCGACTCTCCCCCATTCTCTCTCACCTCTCAAATAACTTCACCGCGCCGGATACCACCTACTCATCTGACACCGCCATCGACGGCCTCTCCGCCCCCACCGCCGCCTCCGTCGACGCGCTATCCAAGCATTTCCCCCTCTGCATGCAGCATCTGCACCGCACCCTCCGCCAGAATTCGCACCTCAAGCACTTCGGTCGGCTGCAATACACGCTCTTCCTGAAGGGCATCGGCCTCTCGCTGGAAGAGTGTCTGATTTTCTGGCGCCGCAGCTTCAAGCTCATCACAGACGAGAAGTTCAACAAGGAGTACCGCTACAACGTACGCCACGCCTACGGCGACGTCGGCGGCGACGCCAACCGCCGCGGCCGCGGCTACACGCCGTACTCGTGCCAGAAGCTCACCACGGAGCCGCTGCCCGGCCCCGGCCAGACGCACGGCTGCCCGTACAGGTCGTTCGCGCCCGAGAACTTGGTCTCGATGCTCCAGCAGACGGGCGTCCATGACGGGCAGGTGCTGAAGGAGGTCAGGGACGATGTGCAGAGGCAGCGGTATCACATTGCGTGCAACCGCGTGTTTGAGTGGAAGCACAAGGGCGAGATCAAGAAGGTCAAGGACGAGGGGACGTGGGGCGCCAGTCAGATGGATACCATCTTGCACCCGAACGAGTATTTCAAGAGGAGTTTCTTGCTGGGACACTTGGGAGAGGAGGGAGGCAGTGCATTAAGGGAGAACATCAGGTCGCAGGGTTGATGGAGGCTCGTATGCGTAAAACCTACGTCGGAATGCTCTTGGGAATAGTGTTGGATTCAGCTTGGATTTTATCGCGTTTTCAGGGAGTTCGGTAAAGTGACGGGGTCGGATTACGATCGTCCATCGACAATGGTACACTTCTTTATTTCTTATTCAAACTTTTGGGTATTTACGAGATTCCACTGCTTTTGGGTGATCTTTAGATACTCTGATAATATTTGGCCCTTCCCCAGCTCACATATGATGCTGATATCTATGGATGGCTCAACGCAGTCACTTGCGTCTTTGGAAATCCGTCGGTAACGCATTTTATAAGAGTGGCCGTAGGCTCATCCGTACTAAGCTCGCATTGAACAGTGTTGTATGTACTGATAGTGCAGGTGAAACTATAGGTGAAATAACACCACACTTCTGCAAAGGGTATTCATCACCATCTATTTCCCTCCACCATTATGCAAGAGCCTAGGAAATGTCTAAGTCAGAACGCCATAAGACTGTCCACGGAGACACCACAGAATAGTTTCTTTCACCCACGTGCTTGAATGCAAGAACAACAAGATTATTTAATGCCAGCGAATTTCCCACGGTACATCTGCGAGTCACCACTGCACTCCGTGCTCGCAGATACAGCAGCAACACCAGCATACTCGCCCCTCCACTCCCCTGACCTGCTACCTCTTTTTTCGTGCAGCCGGTTAGGTACTCTATCTTCATCGCCCTCAATCCAGGCCGCGCAGCATCAAAGTTTTCGCACGCACACCCTCATTCCTAGCGTGTCATGCAGCACACCACCACTTTCTGCAAATGATGATGCATCATCCAATCACAAACATCAACAGCCCACTGCAAGGACTCCAGTATGATCGAAGGGAAAGTTTTCCAGGTATTTGTTGACGACACGCCAGAACCACACACCCCATGAGTTCCTTTGCGTCTCAGATCAACCAAGCAGCGGGGGTGTCCTTGCATGATGACTGATCGAAGACGGTGCTCAAAGCAGTGGATGGAGACGCGGCCTGCGGGAGGGAGGGCAGCATAATACATATACGCGCGGACGCGTACCTTGTGGAACATGTCCTGCTGCTGGCAAAAGCCGCACAGCACCGGGCGGCAGGGGTCAGCGGGCAGCAGGGAAAGGGCTTGCATATGAAGTGACGAGCCAAGACGGATCTGACGTGCATGCGGCCCGTAGTGCCGGCGGTCCACGCGGCTGCAAGGATAGTGACGCAAAAGGACTGAAGCCAACACATGGCGTGGGGGGGAGGGAAGTGGTCATGTGTGCATACACACTCGGCTCCGTAAGTGGCTGCTGCGGTCTTATGGGAGATTTCATCAAGTGACTACCCGCTGTCATCCGTGCGAATGCTTTGAGCAGAAACCCATGATGCAACCAGAATATTTCTCATTGAATTGATTATGTACTATGAACCGAAGTCTGGTTCACAGAGAGAGGTCTTGTTAAGATTTCAGCTGACCTTGCCCAACCTGCACCTCAGTGTGTCTCCATAAGCACACTGCGTTGGAAATCCGATTCTATCCCCTGTCATGTTTCCGTAATAGAGAGAGCTATCTCGTTGGAATTCTTTTTTTTTTCTCCTTTTCAATGTCTGTAAGCTCCTCAGGCGTCAGAATTGTATCTGCACCTAAGCTCAGCCACCGCATTCTTGTTTATTGAAATCTCCTCAATCCAGAAAGCTGGAAGTAAAATCTTCTCCATCAATTGGCCTTCCCTCACAAGAATGAATCAAGTCATTCCTCATTGGAGAGCGAACGTTTTATGTTTTGCTTTAGTAGACGTTCATCATGGGGCCATCGAATGGAGAATCAAAGTCGAAATGAAGAAAAGTTGAATTCGTACAACCGGGGTATCCTATAGAGAGCGCAGTGTCAGTTTCTGCAGGCGCTAGATCATAAAGATATGAAACTGTACTTACTTCAGAAACGCGCACGCATTACGAAGGCTAAAAATGACTGAGTGACCCCTCAACCACCAGAAGATGAGAAGACTAGCGTCCGCTCACATCGTCCTCGCTCGTGGGCGGACGAGTACTACAAGGAGTGATGGCGTCGTCCTTCTCATCTACACCGGATCGCTCAGAGTGGTGTCCCGTATAACCGTACCTTCTCTCCGGATACAGCTCACTCGCGATGGACCTACGCTTCGGCTTCGGTCCCGGCGCTCCAGTCATTTCCAAATCAGGGTCCGAACGCTTCTTCCTCAAGGTCAGTCCGCGCGAGAGTAGGGCGCGCACATCGGCCCACGCGTTCTTGCACTGAGACCACGATGTGCACACATAGATGACGAAGTTCCAGAAACCTTGCATCGGCAAGACGAAGGCCGCAGTGACATTGAGCGGGAAGTTGACCTCATCCGGATAGGCCAGCGCGTAGACACGGTTGACGGTTGACGGGATCCAGACAACGAAGAGAGCGAGGAACATCAAGAACGCCACTTTTGCGTAGCCCCAGGCGGCATCGTTGGCATGGCGACCACCCGAGCCCTTGCGGTTGCCATTGCCCGAACTAGTGGGGCGTGGGCCTTCGAAGTCGAGAAGGAGCTCAGCGGGCACAGGAGCGCCTGCAGAAACGGAAGTCGAAAAGACGTTCTTGGGATCGGCATTGCCACCGGATACAGCATTCGAGTAGGGCCAGACGGCGCTGTCGGGTTCGTAGCGATGGAAAGGGGGGTTGTCGCCAGGCTCGGAGTTGTTGCGATGAGTGCTCTGTCCAGCTGTGGTGCCACTCAGCTTCCTTGTGCTTGAGTAAGAGCTCCGCGCATCAGCTTCGACATCGCCAGTCCTGAGGTTGTCCTCGGATCGAATGGCCTCGGAGGTGACGACAACCTCGGTGACAGCAGTCACAGCGTTGGTAATGTTGAAAGGGTTCTTGATCTGCGGGAACGGTTGCTCGTTGCTGCGTGAGAAGGCACGGAGAGCCTTGCGCTGCTTGAAAATGACGCGTCCAGTGTAGCAGTAGATGGAGATGGTCACCGCGATTACGACCCTGAGGCGGGTGTTTGTTAGTAAAGGCCCTGTTTAAATGTTGCAGAGGAGCGAATTTACCAGACCGGTCCGTAGAAGAATGCGATGCGCATCCATTCCCAGTCTTTGCTCACCCAGCACCAGAGCTTTGCTCAGTTAGCCTCATCCATCTACATTCACCTGGGCAACTTACGAGTGCATCTCCATAGATCTCCGTCCTAAGCCGAGAATGGTCCAAGGCGAGATAGATGATGCCCGGGATAGCACAAACACCGTAGCACAGAACGACATAGCGGGATTCAAGGTTGCGCAAATCGACGGCATTGTAATTCCTGTGTGCTTGGTTAGTCAATTGCCGATCGGGAATGCAGTAGAAGTTGGCCGGCTTACTTGAAGAACGTGAGGAAAACGTTCAGCGCCATGCAAAGGGTCCAGAGAGAATCAGCGGGCATGAACCTTATCAGGAGTTAGCATGTTTCCGTGCAGGAGGGTCTTGCTGCGTCTAAAGTTGAAACTGATGCAGGAGAGGTCGACACGCCCAGGTGGAAATGGCGCTAGCCAGTGAGGCTGAAGATGATGAACTCACATCTGAATGAAGAAGCCTTGGAAGCGGCACAAAGACCAAGACCCGCCATGGCTGGGGATGGCAGCAACTGAGATGACAGTGGCGGTGTTGGTCAGAATGTTACCGATGGATGCGTAGACGATGAGCCTATTGATCGGCTTGCGGAAGGCCGGGAAGAAGGCGAATGTGAGCAAGATGAAGAGGCAGCCGGCCAAAGAGATGGCTGAGGTAGTGCGCGCCACGCTCTCGAGGACAACCTCCTGGGCCGGGGTCATCCTGGCGGCGGTGCGAGCGAACGTCTTGTGTGCGCGCAAGTGGTGAGCGGAGGATGGAGGTGTGCAGACGGGGCGGAGAGGAAGGAAAGAAGGACAAGGCCCCGACGGTGGATCTGCCGCCGCAGGGCTCCTCGCTTAATTGGTCCTGGGCCGAAGCGGCAGTCGCGATGCTGATTGTGGGAGCAGACTAGATGTGCAGCTAGGAAGGCGCGGCCGTGCGATTTCCTTGTCAGTCGGCTGGCCCCAACGCTTAACCCGCCCTCGACGTCCGACGACTGGAAATGATCTTCGGCGGCAAGCGTGCTTCTTTCTCCATACGAGGCCGGCAAATTGGAATGCCCTTATCCGCGAAGGGCTGATATTCGATCCAGTTACGCGCTCTTGCCGATCCGGAACCCGCGCCCACAACACTCGGTATTGCACTCTTCCACGTGGACAGACGCCGGATGTCGAGATACGGGATGGTGCGGTGCCGGCGGGAAAGACTGGTAATTGGGCGGTAATGAGCGTCGGTACACGTGCAAATCCAATCAGCAGCGCAGGGAAGTTGCAGGTACGGGCGGGAGAGTGCAGTGTTTGATGCCTGGCAGTATTCCGCCTCGTTTGCTTCGACAAGCGCAACAGAACAGAACGGTGCGGGGCCAGGGAGCGGATAGTCAAAAGGATGGTGTTGCGGTGACGGGCACCACGGCCTAGGGCGCAGAGTGGAAGTGAGGGTGCCGGTGGCACGTCGCACAGAAAAGGATGATGTGATGGACGGGCCTGTTGGTCTCACAGAGGGTTTCGCTGGCAGCACACACCGACAGGTCGGGCAGCACGCGGGCTTGCCTGTGGAGCAGGCGGAAAGGATAGTAGAGTGGAGCGGTGCTGCGACATGGCACTGGAGGGCGGACTATCGATTATTTCACACCCCAGGCCCACGAGCCACCATCGTCTCCGCAGCGCCCGGGGTGCTGGGAAGCTGCAGCCAGCCAGTCGGATGGCGCACCTACCGCCGCCAGGGCTCGAAACGCGTGCCGGCAGAACCGCAGGGCCTTGTTGAGCAGGGCAGCGTTGATGCGGCGTCAGCGCTGAATCAGTGCGGCCAGCCCGACAAGCGACGAGCAGGCGATCGACGGCTGGAAGCGGCCCCAGCAAGGGGCCACGGGAGCACGAGCGGTAGGGTCCTGCTATCAAGCATCCCTTGGCGAGTCGTGATGGCGACAAGCTGGCGAGGCTCCGCGATCAGGTGGTAGAGAAACCCTGGCGCCGGCGGGCTGGGAGGGCACACAGGGGCCTGTGTGCAGCCAGCCCGAAGCCGAGCCCCAGAGCTCACCTCAGTCCCCAGCAGCCAGCCAGTCACTGCGGAGAGCGTAAGCTCGGTGCAGTGCTCGCCTCAGCCATCGGCCGACGGAGCACGGCCGTGAGAGCTGGGAGATGGCAGAGCCGACGACCACGCCTTTCCTCCAAGCCACGGTCAGCGGTACTGCCGTCAGCCCAGTCCAAGGCCTCATAACGTTGGCTGTGCGCGATCGTCAGGGCGCCGGTCGTTGATTTGGGCACTCGTGTGTCGTCACACACGGCGCGTGAGGGCCGATTCCCTTTGTGTAGCGATTCAGCCGGGTAGCTTGCCACACGGGGCCCTCGTGGACACGGCGGAGGTGTTTCCTCGGGCCATGGACGGTGCTCTTTCTATTCCTTGTGCAATAGTACTGGCTGGATGCAGCAGTCGAGCATGGACCCCGGTGTTGCACTGACTCTGGCCAGGCACCGAGCGACTAGCCAGCCGGCCAGCGCCATGAGTAGGTATTTATTCCCCGTGTGAAGATAAAGCGCAGCTAGTGCTCACCAAATCCGGGCCGTTTGCTGTCTCGTCGCTGATTGACGCCGCTGGGGGCTTATCAAACAACGGCCCGGGCTGAGCGGCCATTGGCCACCTGCACGAGAGAGTGGAACACGCCGGCCCAGAGCGATGCAGGCATGCCGCCCGCTGCGGCCTGCGCGGCGGCCAGCTGTGGCGGCCATCGATCAGCCTTATTGCGCGCAGCCGGAGCGCAGCAGAGCCGGGTAAGCGACGGACGCCGAGGCGTACAAGAGGAAGAACAGTGGTGAGTGCAAGTGAGCAGCGGCCCACTGACTCGGGATCGCTTTCCCCGGCTGTGGAGCCCCTATCACCCCCCGACTCCCCCGCACCAGCACCGGGCCCACTGCCCGCGTACCCCGCAAATTGCCTTCCGCGACTTGCCTCACTCGTTCCTTCTTCCGGCCACCTTCTACCACCCCTTTTGAACTGGCTTCACATGCTTTCTTTCAGAATCCGGCCGCCCCAGCCCAAGCGCTTGTCTCTCTCGGAAACGATCCTCATCCCTACCTGGCCTGATCGTTGGCCGCCCCCAACTACTTGACTACTGCATCACCATCGCTTTCGACCCACAAAACGGACGCACCCTTCCCTTCTATCTCCGGCTATACTGTGGACTATTGCCGGTATTCCTTCTCAGAACCGTCTACAGCTACCGTCTACAAAGCCGGCTGAAACACCTGGCTAATCGCTTGCGCCATTAGGAGCCGTCGAGCCAGTTTATCCAAAGACCTGGAGAGTCAGGCGGCACCTTGACCGACGGCTTCGTTACCAATTGCGTTGCCTTGCCCAAACGCCATCTGCTCCACACGAGCCCTTGGCACGCGCCACCCTCGACGTCAACACGGTACAACGACATCCTCATGCAACTCCTCACGCCGCTTCATCCACTGCAATGGGGTCTTCCATGTCTCCCACGTGGTTGGTCGCGCCCCACCCGCTGCCGATGACACTGCCGCCATTCCCGTGCGGCATTTGCTCCGTCCACCACACTTCGAAATCAACCTTCCCCCAGATGCTTCAATGCCGTGTGGTACATATCAACATGCAGGCCTTCAAATGCACTGTGTTAGGCAACGCGCACGCTTATACCCCACTTCTGCGCACTGTTTCCAGTCCATAACTTACCCTCAGCACTCTATCTAAAACCACCCACCCTCTTCTCGCAGACTTCAAACTCTCACAGCCACGGGGCTAGACACGCCGCCGCGCGGACTGATCAGGTTTTTACTGAAGTGGTCCACAAACCCCGCTGCTCGCCCATTTTTCATCGCTTTCTCATTGGATCTGCGCAAACCAGACCCATGCCTACGGCTGAATTTTAAGCTCGGCAAATTTAGATGGCGTGACATTTGTCAGACAGCGCTCCAGAGTGGATCAATCTGGATCGCCGAAGTCGTCGCGTGGGCTACCCAGGGTGTTGGAAATGAAAGAATGACGGAAGCCCCGGTTGGTTCCGGATGGGATCACAATCCTTGCACCCTGGCCCGTGGCCCCCCTCGACGTGCGTCGACGCCATCCCGTTTTTGATTCATTCTCGGATTAGCGTTGGTGATTGGACAGCTGGCTGATTATGATGAGGTATGAGCCATGTACTTTCCCACCAGTTTCAATACGTGCACCGCGCCTTTCGGTCTCGTGCGGAGCTCAGCTACGTTGAAGACCTTTGCAGTAAGTCATTCACTGTGGGCCATTGGACATATGGTGATCTTAGCTCTGCCAACTCTTCTACTGTTCTTTACGACTCCGGGAATGAAGAAGCTAGGAATATTTAACCATCCTTTCAATATTTCTGACAGGATGGAGCTCGGTTACGAGCCTCGAAAAATGGTGCTCGTCTACTACAACAAAATTCGGCAATCAACTCGCTTCGAAAGATACGAGATAGAGGGCGCTTTTGGCGTTCTGGGGGCTGAAACGAGTCAGAGAGAGGGTATATATACACGAGTGGCGTTGCTTGGGTAATATACCCCCGGTTATTGCTCTGAGCGGTTCTTCATTCTGTTATTGTGAACAAAGTAGTCGACGTGAGGGTCTTTCTAAGCAGGCGTTGTATACAAAGGTAATTCGCTTGTACACAGAGACGAATATAAATGTAATATATGGCATCTTGCATTAGACAGCGAATTTATCCACCATGCTGGCCAAATCTATGCACATTCCTTCTTTCTTTCTCCTTTCGGGGGGTACCGTCAAAAGCATTAACGCTGTTGAGCTGCTTCACAACACAAATAGCTAATGCTCATTGTTTCACGATGCTATCAAAGCTCTGCGATGCACACTTATCTGACTATGCTTTCACAGTATCAATATAATGGTGGCTCGGAGTAGCCTTGCGCGGCATTGGAAAAAAGAAAAGAGGGAATCAAAGTGGACACGTGACGAGAGGATCAATGAATCGTCACATTCCTTCCAGTGCAGCGCCTCAATGGTTCTAGATTGCAAAAGTAGTGTAGAAATTGTCGTTTGAATGCCCAAGGGGCTCACATGCGTGGATATATGAAAGAGGTGGCGACAGAGCAGCTGACAGCTTGCAGTATCCTACAATTTCCTAGCAGCACATGATCATGGGTGCATCGTTATACTCAATCGAATAGCTAGCGCACATGTCTACATCATTTTAGTGAATTATAGGGCACCTCTATCTCATCTAAGCCTCTTGTGAAGTGAGTACAGAGGTAGTCTCAGCAACCTTTCCATCAAAATCAAATCCAGAGGATACTTTTACGCTAGCAGATGAAGACTTCAACAGTGCAGAAGCCAGAATTCGCCATAGTAATCTCCATATTCCGCCCTTTTGAAGTTCCTGTTCCTACAGGTACAACTCCACAATACCACAAACAGAAGTCCCATGGCGTTTTTCGGTCCACGATCTAATCGAGTAGTAATCTCCATCAAGGCCTAAGCCTCCATGTCTTTCGACTATTGCAACAAAGGGTGCAATCGCAGAGACGAGATGTACCTCAACGCTTAGGGCTTCGGGAGGATCGCACGCGGAATGATCAGCGGCAACGGTCGTAGACTCTCCGCCTCGAGCTCAGATTCGAACTCAAATCCAAGATCAGAGTCCGTCTCGTCATCGACACCGGACTCCACGCCGCTGCTAGACTCAGCATCGGACGCGTAGCCAGCCTCGTACCGGACGGCCGCCTGGATCCGCTCCTGCTCCTGCGCCTCGGCCTCAGCCTGCGCATACAGCTCTGCAACCTCATCCTCCTCCTCCATCTGCTCCTGCTGTTGTTCTTGTAGCGGCTCCAGGTCGTCATAAGCCGGCAGCTCGCCCTCCCTCGGCATCTCCTCGCCAGGTCCAACAACCAGCTGCACCTCATGGCGGTGCTTGACGCCGCAATCGTTGCACTCGCGCGTGAACTCAATCTTCCGGACCAGCCTCTCCCCCCTGCCGATATCCAGCAAATCGTCCGCAGCCATGTACTCGCGATGCGTATGCCCCCAGCACGCACCCGCCGGGTTCTCCGCGATCTGCAACGCATGCAGCCTCTGCCCACCGACGCGCAGCGCACCCAGCGGCGTCGTCGTCGTCGTCGTCCTCTTCTTCTTCCCCATCAACCCGCCAACACCCCGACCAGCCGACCACCTACACTTCCACACCGCCCACCCCCTCACCACATAATCATCCAGCGCGTCGACGCGCACAAACACCTCCGCCCCCGCCGCCTGGAGGTCCCGCCCCGCCCTCGCGACGGGATCGCGCGGCAAGACGAGCGGACCCGGCGGCGGCCACAGCGCACCCAGCAGCGCCTGGTCGCGCAGCAGGCGGGCGGCGAGCGCGGCGAAGGCGCCGGCGCGCGCGAGCTTGGTGCGCACGCGGCTGAAGCGGCCGAGGCGCGAAAAGTCCTTGACCGCCGCCTCGAGCTGCTCGATCGACGCGAGCGGCGCGCGCCGCGCGACGAGGTGCGTCCGCAGCTGGGCGCTGTCGCCGAGGGCGCGGCGCGTGGAGGGGTTGGTGGCGGCGGTGGCGAGGGTCGCGGCTGTCGGCGTGTTGGTGGTGGGGTCGTGGGAGCGCAGGCACCGGCCGATGGCGGCCCAGCGGGTGGGGTTGGCGGGCATGGTGCGGCCGGGTGAGGGGGAGGATGTGGTGGTGGTGGGGAGGTTGTTGAGGAGGGTGTGCGATGATGCCCCGGTGATGGGGGTGGCGGCGGGGTTGTGAGCGCGGACGGGGCCGTGGTCGAAGGGGCGGGGGGAGTATTCGTTGCGGAGGTAGGAAAGGGTGAAGTTCTCGATGTCGCGGATGGTAAGCTCGGCGATGTCGTCGTTCGTCGGGGTGCTGTTGTTGTGGATCGGGTTGCCGCCGCTGGTCGGGAAACCACGGTGGGTTGGAGGAGTGGGGTTGAACGAAAAGGCTCTGTGGAAGATGGGATCGGCTAGAATTCTCGTTCGGCTACGTGGCGTAGCCCTATCAGGTAGCTGTTGTGGAGGAGGCATGGAGTCGAGAAAGAGCGATGTCTCTAAGTTGTTGGTGGTTTCCGTCGAACGGGTAACCAGAGTTGAAGAGTAGGTGCAGGGTTTGTAGATGTTGGAGTGGTGGAGGAGAAAGTAGGTGGGCGACCAATAGTTGTGGTTATAAGTGACATTGTCGTAGTGGTTGCCCACCAGGGTGTTAACGAAGTGACTGTAGAAGCCCTAAAGAAATTGTGAAGCTCCACCTGTGTGAAGTGCAGACCTGGGTGATGAGCTAAATATTGCAAGCATTTGGAACAGTGGATATAGAAAAAAAATGAGATTAATGACAGCCTTTAGCAGAGCCAAAGGCGGTAACAGTCGGTTTGTTCAGATACTAGCACAAAAGACTGTAGGGACGGAGAAGGAGGAAATATGAAATTCTGAACAAAAGACTAAATTCTTGTGGGGGAACAGGGAATGTATGCCTTCAAAATCACAGGTTCTTGTAGTACCTCACTATCACGAAGTCGTACATTTAGATCCAACAGCAAGGTTTTGGTCAATCAGGCAAGTTTGTTGACCTCGAAGGCTCCATTTGGTCATCGTGGAGAGTGGTTTGTCGCCTCTGTTCGCCACCCCACCAACAACCCGGAGAAGCATACCGATGGGCTTGCTAGGGGAAGTTTCTGCTTCCCTGCTATACAGTCGTCGTGTAGTTTGACTCGTTTCGGAGTTAGCGGTCGAGGACTCGGACCAAAGGAAGGCCGTCTAGTGTTAGCGCACGGTTCTGCTCTGCTCGCGCCATGATCCTTCAAAGTTGTACAGGCAACGGTCACCACAGATCAAAAGATAGCTCGTCCAATGCTGGTGAAGCCGGGTCCAAGAGAAAGGCGGTCAAGGTCTAAGAAAGTAGGTGAAGCACCTGACCCGAACTTCATCCACCCGAGTATTGGCACGGTGCTCATGACGCTGAGCTTTGAAGCCGCGACAGTCAGGGCTCTTGTGGTCCATCGCAGCTCCAGCGAAAAGCCTCCGCTAAACGTCCAGGTATGAGATGGCTTGCAGGAGGAGTAGTGAGACTGCGACCAAAAGGACAGTAAAGGCCAAAATCAGTCTCAGCAAAGAAGACCAATGTATGAATACAGTCAAAGATGTTCGAACAGCTATGAGGTGCGTCTCTCGTCAATCGTCGATGCTTCAACGTCGACAGGGAAGAAAAAAAGCAGTTCTCTCACGGTCAGGTGACCTACGGATTATCAGTGGTAAGACGAAGCTAAGTGCCTAGTGAAACAGTGACACAGCTGCAACTCCGAAAGACGGCCGAACATGTGTTATGCTTTCATGCTTCAGCAAAGATGAACCGGCGAAGCCAGAAGAGATACCCAGGATTGATGCCTTGAAGGTAAAGCACCAGTAAAAGTGGACGTCGGTGAGAACGCGATCACAACCCGGACGCCATTGAGGCCGATGAGCGCACAGGAACCCAGCCGATGACTTGTCAGAGCAGCTTTCCCTTATAACTGGGTATATCAGCCTCACATGCCGAATCTGTAGGCTTCCTAAATCGCTCATGTATTGGTTCCAAGGGAAGGAGAGAGGTAGTGTCCCGAGGATGGACAACACTTGGGATCACGGCCACAGGCTCCGCGGCGCCAGCGAACGGGCTCACGTCAGGCCCAATCCTGTGGGGGGAAATCACATTACTTACAAAGTACCCGTGATGATCCGGCCATGCGACAGCGTAGGCAACTCTTCCGTGAGGTGTGGATATCCTGCGACGGGCAGACACTGTGGCCAAACCAATGAATGGGGACCGGCACCCTAGCGCAGCGCCCAAGATGCTTGGGGACGTGTCACTTGGAGCACTGTGAATGCGACGGCGACGAGAAGTATCTAAAAGAAGCCGGCTGCAGCAGTCCGTTTCCACAGCAGACTCCACAAAGCGGGGCCGCAGACCTCCCTGAGCACATCAGTCAATGCAAGCGTGGCAAGCTTCGTGGAATGACTCAAGGACAGGGAAGTGTGGTGGTCCCAAGCCGTCGGGGCCGGACGCAGGATATGACGCTTCCACTTGGAGGGAACCCAGGGGGGGTTGCAAGGACACCGGAAGACCCTTGATGGAGGCACGGTGCGGGCGAACTACTCTATTTCGACAACGGCACGGCGGCTCCATGGAACCAGTGGCGCGGGTGAGATTTGGCCGCGAGAACTGCGGCAGTGGCGGCATGGGCCACCGAGTGAGACACTGAGGCTCCCAAGAGAGCAAGATTCACAGCGGGGGAAGGGATAGGCCCGAAATTGCAGCGCGGGGACGGGCGGCGCGGCCGCACGCGGTGGTGGTGATTCGAGGGACGGCCGGCGTCATGCGGGGCGGTGAGCTACGAGCTACCTATAGGACGGCTATGGCTGGCTATAGCTGGCGACAGGCCTTCCAGAGACGGCGGCGCGGGGAGGCCGCAGGCGAGCAGGCGGGCAGGCGAGCAGGCGAGGGCGAACGCCTGCTCGCCCGACGGCAGGTGCCATCCGGAACCACAGGCGAGGCAGCGGCAGAGAGGGGGGGGGCGGCATCACCAGCTCCACATGATCGGCCAGGCTTGGCGCGGGCGTGGGTGAGGGCGAGTGAGCGGGCGGCGCGGTGGTGATGGTTTGAATTGCCTCCGCGGCTACAGGCAGCGCGGCAGCGGGAGGATCGTCTAGCGAGTCGACTCGACGGATCAGCTGAAAATCGGGCGTGGCGCGCTCGCCGTTCTCGAAGCCTGCCTGCTTGGGTTCGGGCAAATGACGCGCCCAATGACGTGCGAGGGCTGCCAGCATGGCGGGCGCGACTCATGAGTGGGAGAAACACGGCGGCGGCATGGATGGCAAGCAGATCTGCGGCATGGGCGCGCCAGCGCGTGAGCGCGGCCTTGGGGCTGCAGCGTTGCGTAAGCCGCGTGAGCAGGCTGCGCGCTGACGGGCGCGGCGGCTCGCTGCTCGCTGCTCTGCGCGCTGCGCTGCTCGCCGCTCGCTGCGCGCTGCCCGCCGAGCGCTGGAGGAGGCTGGAGGAAATGGCGGCGGAGGACGATCAAGCGGACGATCACGGCGGAGACCGGGCTGAGTTGGCAGGCCGCTGGAGTGGCATCACTTGATCCACCAGCACCGCAACTCGGCAACGGGCGTGTCTCTGGCGCTCTGGCGCTGGCTGCGCGCGCCCGGGGCCCTACGCAACGGCGGCCACTCATAGGGCGGCGCCGTCTTCTCGAAGCGTGGAAGCCTGCGCAGCCCGCGCAGCCCGCGCAGCCCTGCCCTTGCGGCAGCTCGAGTCCTGACCTTCCTCTTGCGATCTCCACTGCTCGCCCGCTCCAGGCCCCCTCCGGCGCGCGCGGCCCACGGCCGGTGACAGCGCTTGGCCCTCTCGCACCGTGCCCCCCGCTGTCTTGCCGCTGCGACACGCTCGCCGCACCCAGCATTCCGCCCTTTGTCCGCCATTCTCCCCCCTGCGCCTCCGAGACAGGCGCCCGCCGGCCGCGGTGCCTCTTATCCCTGCCGCCGCCCAGCAGCGCCCGCCGGCTGCAGCGTCCGAGCGAGCTGCTGTCGTGCGCCCGAAGTGCAGCCCGCATTGGCCGTTGGCGGGCCAGTTCGCCGCGAGTACAACGAACAGCCCTCGTTTCAGGCGCACCTTCCCTCTCTCCATCCGCCGACTGGCATTTTGCCTGCAGCCGCATTGCAATCCCTGGTTCGCAGCGGCCGCCTCGGCCCACTGACTCGCCGCTCGATCTCGCAGCGCAGCTCTTGACTTTTCCTGCGAGCCCACTCCGAGTCTCCACTACGGCACCGGCCAGCGCCAGACCAGCGAAGCTGCACCGACGGCGCCACGACAGGCCCAAGCCATCACCTAGCCCAGCGACACGTCCCTCAACGGCCGCCCGCGAGCTTCGCCTTCTGAGCGTGCGCGCAGACAACCCCCAGCCCGCTGCCTGACAGACGTGTCCATTGCGCTCGAACCACAACGCATACGGAGCTCGAGACGGATCCGAACGCACTCCGCGACGCGCCAGCCCCAGCGCACCTCTCCCCGTGCCTGCCCTCCCAGTCCCACTGCGACAACACAACCAACCCACCACCCATTGACCTGGCGTTTTGCTGTCGCCAACGGAGCCCTCCCGATCGTGCGGGGGGCCATAATCGCACCGGAAGGACCATCGCGCGCGCGGAGGGAGACACGCGACGATGGATCATGGAGCGTGCAGCGTCATCTACCTGGACCGGCGGGCGCACCCCGAGCGTCTGCGGAGAGACAATGTGCTGGCAAGCCTGAACGCCCGGGATGCCCGCGGCGTCGTTTCGTCACCCGGCTACTTCAACTTCGGCCGGTCCATCAGCACCCAGGAAGTCCTGTCCAACGTCGAGACGTTGCTGTCCATCTTCCACGAGAGTACGTGCACCGAGTCCCTAGCTGTGCCGCAGCCCTCAATGCTAACCGCCCTGCAGTCGACATCCACCGCTCCGGCTCAGCCGCGCTCGACCGCATCTGGCACCTCTACAACTCCTCGAGCCTCGACAACGCGCCCATCATAGTGCTGATCGACCTGCCCTATGACGAGGAACGTCGCATGAAGCGCCTGTCGCGCGAGCCGCGGACCCCTTCGCCCACAGCCTCGCGCACTCCTGGTGGGGACGTCCCAGAACCCGAAGACCTATATGGCATGCACCTGCTCAGACACATCTCCGCCGAGATCCAAGATCGGAGATTACCCAAGGTCGTCATCCCAGTCATCCTGCTGAGCGGCCTAGACCGTGAGATGGCATCCGACACCGCGTCGCCTGGCGCCAGCGGGTCACGGGTTTTGACCGACACCGTGCGCTTGACCCGCTATCTGGATGCCGGTGCCGTGGACGTGTTGGCGAGCCCATTGTCAAAAGACCACATCCACGGACTGGCCGTACACGCTTATCGGATAAACAAGGAAGTCATGCGGGAAAAGTCGAGTTTCCTCGCCCAGTCCAAGGGCCGCAAGGTCTCCTGGGTCGGCGTGAACGAAGCGAAGCCATTCTCGTATTTACGAGAGGCCATGGTCTCGAATTTAATGGGCAACATCTGCTGCCCCGATACGGCACGAGACACCATAGATCCCAAGTAAGAAAGGGCAAATCCACGAACGCCATCTCATCTGCTAACCAGCCCTCAGCGACATCGAGGTCAGTCCCGAGCGCCGGGAGAAGATTGCCCGTGCCGTGGGCACTTGGGCCTTCTCCGCGCACGACTGGAATGATGATGAGCTATTATTTGGATCGCTGGTAATGATTAAGCACGCATTAAGCATGCCGGAAGTGGAGCGCTGGCGCATTCGCGAAGGTATATTATATGTTTCGGAAGTTATGCGGAGGTTGCTAATATTAAGTCAGATGAACTGTTGATCTTCCTCCAAGCGAGCCGAAACGCGTACAATGAGTTTGTCCTCTACCATAACTTTCGGCACGTTGTGGACGTGCTCCAAGCTCTGTTCTATTTTCTCCTGCGGATCGGCGCACTGCCCGCATATTCCTCGGACCCCTCCCATGCTCCTGTCGAGCAACCTCCGATCGCCTCCCTTCTCAAGCCCTTTGACGCCCTGACCTTACTCATCTCCGCAATAGGACATGATGTTGGTCACCCGGGTGTCAATAACGCCTTCCTCGTGGCGCTCAACGCACCTTTGGCGCAGCTCTACAATGACCGCTCTGTGCTGGAGTCTTTCCACTGCGCTGCGTACTCGCAGATTCTCCGCAGATACTGGCCCGCCGCTTTTGAAGATGTTGCCATGCGCAAACTCATGATCAACTCGATCCTCGCCACTGACATGGGCCTCCATTTCAAGTATATGGCTGATTTGGGCAACCTGCAGGAGAAGCTGGCTCACAATAATGGTGGCATTGATGGATGGAGCCCTAAAGTCCTGGAAGAGTACAGGGATTTGATATGTGGCCTGCTTATCAAATGTGCAGACATTAGCAATGTGGTATGTCTGCTCGCGAGTGTCATTGCCTTTGGGAGCAGCGTGTGCAACGATTCCAAGTGCTGCCCATGCTGGTTGCTGATTACTAACCGCGGTTGTCCTTAGGCGCGGAACTTCAACACTGCAGTCCAGTGGGCGGCCATTCTCACGGACGAATTCAGCAATCAAGGGCAAATGGAGGAGGAGCTGGCATTGCCGACATGTCTCTTCGGCGGGCCACCCGTTCGTGATGACATCATCAAGCTGGGCGAATCTCAGATTGGCTTCATGAACATCTTTGCCCGGCCGCTCTTCGAGTCTGTCGCAGATGTGCTCCCCAACATGCGCTTCAGCGTGGTCGAGATTATCGAAAATAAGGTTGTGTGGCAGAAAAAGATTGAGGAAGCTAAAGAACGTCTCACGCCGCAAACGGACGGCGGGGCTGACGGGACTGGCACGTCGATTCTCGATCAAGCACGGAGTCCTCTGTCGACAAGTCGCGTGGACGTCTCGGATCCCAGGCCAACAGCACCCGAACGCACCGAGTCCACCTCCAGTTCGCTGAAAGCCCCGAAACAGACCTTCCCGCCGCCGCTTAATCTGTCCGACCCGCCAAGACGCGCATCCCCAGCTTTCAAAGCAGCGTCCGAGCCTCGTCGCTCGTCAGTCGCAGCACTACCAATTCCTCGCCATTTGATCGAAGGCCAAGGGAACAGAAACCCGCACTCGCGTCGCGGCAGCGCCGATGCAAGCCTTACAACCATCCTGGTAACACAGAACCCGACCAAACCCTCCGAAAAAGTGAAAAAGAAGGGCCTGCGCTTACGCTCGCAGTCGCCCGGCAAACGCCGCAACAGCCGTCAAGGACTCGGATTCTTTCGCCACAAAACCCAGCCTCCGCCGAGATCAGATTCCCCTGTACGTCCTTCTTCTTCGTCCACACCGCCCGTACCTGCTTTACCTCCACTGTCAAACGACCGGACGGCGCATGACCGGGCACGCACCAGTTCACTTCAAACTGATTTTGTGATCCAGCCCTGCGTTCCCGGAAGCCCTGGTTTCCCGCCAGCAAATGGCACAGTTCACTCCAACAAAAACCTGCAACCTCCTCAATCTGGGGCTCATAGCCCCATCAGTCCAGTCTCTGTGGACTCGGACTATGAGATCCCGCCTCACATGACCGCTCCTCCGCTGCCGTCGCCGAAGCCGACCTCGGCTGATGGCCAGCAAGGCACAGGCGAGGCGCCTCCCTTGCCACGTTGGAAGGCGGCAGGGTCGGCTTTCAAGTCTCGGCATTCCCGGAAAGGTTCTCTCACTCCCTCTTTGACTGGTTTCGAGGTCCAGCCACCGGAAACCAGTAGCAGTGCGGACAAGAGCGCTCATACCATGAGTGAGTCGCCAACGCTTCACACGCTGGAAGGCATCGGAGAAGGGACAAGCGGTAGACCCAAAAGCAGGGGTGGCGTCTTTGGCAGATTTTGGCGGAGGAAGATCAGAGGCGACAAGACATCTTCTGGAGATCTTCAGCAGGACAAGGAGATGGCCGTGCAAACGCAGGGTTTCCAGTATCCTCCGCCTCCAAAAACACCTGTCAACACAGGAGCCGCTGGCCCTCGCCGTGGAAGTATGCCTCTCCTACCTGGGTCGTTCCCGGATACCCCTCCTTACCGCCGTCAAGAGCGGGACAGGTAGTATTGTTGGAAACCTGGCGACAAATGTCTGAAGAGGAAGCAGAAAGGAGACATAAAAAAAAATTGGCATTTGTTTGCATGGGAACTTCTCTCATATCTTCTTCCGAAATGGACGGATGGGCCGTCATCCCCCGCTTCCTTCAAAGTCGCTCTCACACCCCCATCGTCATCCCATCCTCTTATCGCACATCAGACGGGCGGGCACCCACTCCGTCCATTACATTGTTTCCGCGAGGTTCGACAGGAGCTGGAGCACCTACCTAATACAGAACTATGAGAGGACGACCTTGAGGTATGGAAGCGATACGAACCACGAACAGACACGAAGACGTACTTCACAATCCATTAATCAGCAATGGGTATGGATCGGCGCTGAGGATTTTCATTTTCCAATACTGGAAGACAACACAACACGCCGACGCAGACACCTCCACTGCGGCTTTTTTCAGTTTCAATCTCTCGTTTGTCCCGACTGGGACCGGCGCATACGTGGCGTTTCTGGGGGCGAACTTTGTCTCGGTCGAAAACGGCGACTGTTGCTTTTTGCTTGGCGGTGCGGGCCGTGCCGATGGCGCAAAAACCGAACCCCTTATTCCTTCCCCTACTCTTTCCACCGACTGCTTCTGACAACAACGACGCCTGACACCGCCTTCGGCCTCGCCTCCGGCGAATCGCTCGATGCGAAGAGTCATCTCGTCCTTATCTCGCTCCGCTGCCTAGACGCGGAAAGGATCGACTCCAACATTGCCCGATCGGCTAGTCTTCAAGTCAATCGTCATTGCACCCATTGCACCCGAGCTTCTTCTTTCGCCCGTTAGAGCTCGAAGCGGTACAACGCGTCTCACTTTCTGTAGTGACGCTCCTTTGATCGACTCTCCTTATTTCCGGTGAGGTTCCAACAATTCGGTTGCCATCGGGCGCCCAATCTGACCTGCAGCGTCGTTTCCGTTGCCACTTTCTTCTTCATGAACACCGCGCTGTCTTTGCACAAAAAGCGCCTAGGGAAAATTGGGTGGATATATGGATATGAGCATGTTGTAGACTTTCTTGCGGCTTTCTATGCGTTTGTTTAATTCTCGGGGGTTTCCGTCGTAGCGGGAGCAGAGGATCATGGGTGCCACCTCTGACCCTGCTCGTTTCTTTGCTCTCGTCGTCGAGGCCTGCTACGCCCGGGCGACATGCCGAAAGGGAAGTCCCGTGGCCTGGCAGAGTCCTTGTTCTTTTTCCTTTTTCCATCATCGCGCTCAATTGTTCCTCTGTCGTGGGCTTGGGCCGGAGCGGGATTCATAGATACCATTGCGCGTAGGGTATATCTTCTTCCGTCTTCTCTTTCCCTCTCCCCTCTGGCTGGTTGCTAAAAACATTGTTCTCCACCTTGTCTCCTTTTTCCGCCGTCTGATCTCTACCTTTCTCATGAGACGCAGATATGGTTGCTTGATTAGTATATTGCTGTTTTACTGTTTGAGCTCTCGCTCCCGCGCCTCGCTTTACAAGCGCCGGGATGCGAGAGGAAAGCGAGTTGACGGAGTGATTGATGGAATGCAAAAAGAGATGGAGGGGTGAAAATATGTTACCTACTGACTGTCGCATGCTCGTTCTTGTTGTGTTTTCCCCCGCTTCATAGGGCTTACTGTTCTGTGACTTTTCTTGCGTTGTTATTTTTCATGTACGAGACCTCCATCCCTCCCCTTTCCTCCATCTCCACACGGCGCGCGAGCTGAAAGGTATCTCGTTTTTTTGTGATGGGTGAACGAAAAAAACATGCGTAGACCGCGTCGTTGTGCTTGTGTCGTTGCTACTTGTTGTTTTCATTGCGTCTGTTTTTTGTCTCCTTTGTTGCTTTTTATCTTCCCCTCTCACTGTTCCCTTCTCTTGTGTAAGGAGGGCAGCCGAGCGAATGATGCAAGGCGTCTGTCTAGTATGGCTTTTCATCTCGTCTTCTTTTCTGTTGCTGTGTAAGTGGACTAGTGATTCGGGAGCTTCGCGGTTGGTTGCAAAGCAAGCAGCTAGTACAGAAAGTGAGCCATCATGGCTGTGTGATTTCCTTGTTTCTTTTTCTTGACTTTTATCGTTGGTGGGAGAGGAATAAAAAAAATGAGAAGAGGTTTTATGCTTTCCCTCAAGTTCGGCTGCTTGGGATGGTAGTGGATGCTGCTACACGTGATGCATGTTTGTATGTGGGCTGTTACAGTTGTTCGACGATGTGCCTGATACGCGTAGGAGGTGATGTTAATGGTCAGATAGATTAGCTCGGTGCTTCGCGGATGGACTCAAGTGTAATGATGCGGTTTGCTTCGCGCGCGCTCTCTCGGTCTCTCAATAAAATGTTTTCGATATCTTCAATCCGTCATCTGCAGATATGTGAACATGTTTTGTGACTCGACGATGCTCGTTCATGGCTTTGTAGGAGTGCTTGCGCAGCCGCTTTAAGCATTAGTTTCACTGTTTCATTGAAGATTTTATCTCTTGGAGGACATTCAGCCTTGGATGTCCTTGACGGATTCCTCTCACCTCCAGGCTGAATTTCCAAGAGCCGAGTCCGAGCCTGAGCCTGAGCCCATTCCATTTATATTACGGCACTGCTCACATATTCGCTACAACCAAATTTTTGCCCATGGATAATGCATCATTTACCCCTCAAGAACTTATGTGTTTTTGCTGTGCCAGGCGCTAGAGTAGTTGGAATACACTGATCATGTTCCTAATTCTCCGCGGTATGAATCAGGCACACCTATTGGCAAGCTTGTCCAAGCCCTCTGGGGGTGTGGAGTCGTGGATAGACCTTAGTTGGGTTTATGGCTACATTGGCACGTTCGTGGCAGTACGGACTGGGGAGGTGATAGTCTTTGTGGAATGGCTCCAAAACGGTTGTACACGTAGAATCGATAAACTAGACTAATGAACGGAAAAAGACGAAGGGATAAGAGGTGGGTCCGAAATTGGGCTCTTCGCCTTACGCATTCATTATCATGGCTTTCCTGGAGAGAACACCCCGCCATCCAGAACAGTATCAAAGGTGGAGTGTTTCGAGAAATGGCTCCCAATTGAAGAGCCATTTGCAAAGTGAGCGCAAGCAAGTACGAGCTTTCAGACCTCCCAATATACCCAAACGCGGTCACCCGTTGATGTCCCTTTAAGCTTCCCGGCACTGGACAGAAGAGTAGATGATGTTCAATGTTGCGAAGCTTTAGAATTTTTTACATTTTTTTCCCTATGTTGACCCTACGCGGAAGTTTGTCAGCTCATCAAGGAAAAAGAAGCACCTGATGCGATTTCAACCCCTGGTTATAGAGGGTTAAACATGGTATAATGGTCGAAACCGACTGCTGATGTTTAGCCTCAGACTAGAACAGTCTGTTTGAGCTGGCTAGTATGCGGCCGCCCACACAGAACGACGACATGGTCATTATTCGCATGGTTGCCCAGAACCTTATGGGACAACAACCTTGAAGCTCTGATTACGTCTGATGCATCACCCAGTGTTGGACGAAAATTGATTCATTACGAATCAGGCGAACAAGGTGAAAGCGTACAAGTTCGTAACGGATGCTGATTTAGCACTTAGACTCTTCCGCTTTCTTGAAGCGGCAGATGTACGCTTTTCGCCGAGCTGATGGCTATATAGCAATTGATCTGATGCTCGTTGACTGGAATGAGTCTAGCTCATAAAATCTTTGCAAAGTAGTACCCTGTTCCGGCGTCTCGATGTTATGTCGATGAGCGGAAGTGCATTCATTTCCGTGCCCTCTGGACGATGGACAAATGAGATTGTGAGTCATTATCATGTCTCAACGTGCGTACATTCCAAGCCCTAGGTAGCACCAGTCTGGAGCATAGGTGGAGATTCTCGGAAGATCGAGAGTGCTGCGGTAAATTTCAATTGGAGGCGACGTATTGATGAAACAAACTTTTATTCTCGGCGTCGGTTTTTTTTTTGTAGTAGTCCAAAAGGCGAGGGTTAAAGCAATTTCATTTCAATGTCTCGCTCGTTCTCGACGGCCGGGCCCGCGCCCGCGAGAGATGAAATACATGAGGAAGCCGGGATGGGTCCGATTTGTGTTGTGATCGGTGCGTCTGAAAAGCACGCCAGGAACGCCGCGATTGCGTCTCGTCAAGAGTCCATCCAAAGCCCGCCGTCGAAGTGAAAGTAGTAGAGGATCTCGAACCATTGAGCCTGCCAGACGACATCGGACTGGTGGGAGCCGAATAGCTGTTCAAGAGGCGGAGGGAGCACCGGCAAAGCGAGCCTTGCGGGCTTCCGCCCTGGCCTTGTCCTCTGAGCTCATCCATGTGCCGGAGCCACCACCAGCATTGCTCTTTGCCCCCTCGTTACCCCTGCGTTCACCACCACCGCCACCTCCTCTGCGGCCCTGGAAGCGGCCACCACGGCCGCCGCGCCTTTTGTTGTTTCCACGGGTACCCTCATCTCCAGCATCTCTTCCGCGCTTGGGGCGGCGCTCAGGCAGAGCCTCATTCAGTCCTCTAGGGCCACTCGCGGCGGCCTCGGTACCGAATTTCTGAGCTCTTTCCAACAGCTTGGCTGCCTCGTCGTCCTCGGGCAGACCGAACTTCTTTGCGCGTGCCTTGCGCTTCTCCAGTTCCTCGTCCAGAGTCGTCTCCTTGATGCCAGAAGTGAAATCCTTCTTCTCAACAACGGGCTCAGTGGGCGCCTCATCGGCCGTCGCATCTGTGGCTGCGGCGGCCTCCTCGGGAGCTTTGACGGACAGATCTTCGGTCTTGGACGGGTCGACGTCGGGGACCTGATTCGGGACGGCCTGAGGGTTTGCGACAGCACCCTGGCCGCCAGCCTTGATGGCAGTGGCGGAAGCTTCGGTGCTTGCGGCGGCGGCGGCGGGCTTCGTATCTGTGGTGTCATCGTCCCAGTCAATCTCGTCCTCGGGAGGCGCAGTCGCGGTCGCAGTCGCGGTGGCGGTAGGCTCGTCAGCACCAGCATTTTCACCGCTGGCTTTGTCCGCTTCCTGGAGACGCGCGACCATGTCGGCCTTCTTGCCAGTGTGAGGGAGCGAACGCTGTTTTAGGAGAGCCTCAAGCTCGGCGTTCTTCATCTTCGCGTAATCGGCCATAATGTCGGGCAATTTGGATGATGAGGGCGTTGATGGAATTGAGTTGTGGCTTCGCTGGCGGAGGCTGGCGCGACGCGTCGATCAGCTGGAGTGCGCAAACGGCGAGGGCGGCGGTAGCGAGACAAAGCAAGGAAAGATGCGAGCGAAGGCGAAGCAGCGGGGGGTGAGGGAGTGACTGACAATAGCAGCGGCGCTGGGCAGGACAATAGCAGCGCAAGTGAGATGAGGGCGCAGCGGGAGCAGAGACGTGCTTGTTGTCGCGAAGTCGCCGGCCGCCGCGTCGCTGGCGCCAGCCGCAGCCAGCCCAGCGGTGGCCTGAGGCTTCTTGGTGCTGCCTGAGGCTGCGAATCAAAGGGGCAGCAACGGTTTAGTCGTGGCCGCTTGCCGCCGCCCTGTTCTCGCACCGCAGCGCTGCGCCACGCAGCCTGCAGACGGCCCGCGCGCTGATGACTCCTCGCTGTTCCACCCCATAGCCGTACGGGTGAATCGACCGGCCAACGCCGCGTCAATGACTGGTCGATTGCGGGCAAACAGCCGTACGGCCCCCTGGTCGATTATCTTCGTGTAAACGACCGGCCAAATAGGCGCTTCAACCAAGCATTTGACCGCACGGCAGGAGGGGGTCTCTAAGGTGAAAGGAACCAGTAAGCATCCCTACGCCTTTTGAAGGTTAATTCGCCTTGGTGATAAAGTAAATAGCGGTAGTGGTTGGCAGCATTGGATTTTGGAAAGGGCTTACTAAGCACATAACACCCCAGCATTCCTTGATATGATGCGTAAATAATCGGGCGATTAGAACATCGCCGACAGTCTGCAATCCTGGACGTTGCCGCCCACCGCCGCCAGCACTGCCGCCGCGTCGTGGCCATACCACGACGCACTGCTACACATCGGCGTCACCGCTTCCTGCCCGACACCCAACATCACGAGGACGGTGAGCCGGCACCCTGGCTCTGAATTCGTGAGGCGTCCTGTCCGACAACCCCGCCGTCGGCTATCGCCCATGGCGCGTCTCAACGGGAATGAGGCCAGAGCAGCTGCAGCCCTGAGCTTTCCTGCCAACGCTTCGTGAACACGGCCGCGCGGAGCAGACTGCTGCTTTCGTGTGTGATGGTGTGCTGGCCTCGATCTCTCAGACGACACGGCAAACTCTGCATAGCGTCAGCAATGCCGACGAATTCCCATTGTTTCTTTGCGTCAGTCTCCGTCGTACCTTCTGCCGCTTGGCCCTGTTACGTCAACTGCTGGTATTATTCCCGTCTTTCTCAGCATGACCAATCGCGGATCTTTATACGAGCGTCACAGGCTCTCGCCTCGGAAGCCGTCGACTGGACGATCCCGTACTGCCAACCTTCCCGAGGAAATGATTGTGGTTGCTGTGCCGCAGGTCGAGATACTATTGGAATTCGGATGTTGGATTGGGTGATCAGCGCTGCCGTGCTATCCTGCGATAGGGCAACAGTTCAGGTGAGTCGAAGCCTTAGTATGCATGAAATGTCATGTACCTGTCAACGATTGTGGCTCCCTCTCCTATGCTCCTGGAAAAGGGTTAGCACAGCACACCCTATCTGCTTCCTTGCATGCGGATTGCTGTGACTACTCGGGCACTCACGATAGGGATTATTCCTACCGGCCTCACTCTGTCCGAACACGCTAACCGCTGCGCACCGACTTCGTGTGGCTCCATGAATCCCTAGATGTGATTGGGCGCTCTGAAATTTCTTCTAATATTGCCGTCTCTGTCAACGCCATTTCCTGACGTGTTCCTAATACTGATCAGCCTGATAAACATTCCTCCGCATGCAATCCGAAGGCGGCGCTTAATGACGCTCTATTCATGCGCCATCTGGCAGGCTCGGAAATCTAGACTTCGTCACCCCACTATCCCCACCAAGGTCAAACGAACAGCCACGAACACCTCACAAACCTCTAACGTTCTCCACTTGTTTCACACCCTCAATCTTGGGGCTAGTGATGGTGGGGAGCCTCGGAGCCTCCCCACCGGTTGCGCGATATTCAACACCGCCTCCAGGCGCGGTTGTATCGGTTGCTAAGCGCCATTGTCGATCTCTCATCTTGGAGGTTGCCCATCACGCAGTCGGCTACCAGATACAGCGGATTGCAGATCTCGTCACACCTTATGTCGGTTCTGGGCTTGCTTCGCTGACTTCCCCGCCTGCATCGAGATGACGGGAGGGTTCTCCCGCCGTGTGACAACGATTATCCTTGGTGCGGAGGCACGCTCCGGCGGACTGCGAGTCGAGCAAGAATCGGTTTCGGTAAAAATCACCCCTTCCCGCTCTCCCTAGGGCTGGGGAGAGGCGCTAGAGTGGAGAGCTCGACGAGTCAAGAGGCTCGCTGGGCAGTAATCATGTGGTGGAGAAGACGGGAGACGGGAGTCGTCCGTTGGCCGTTGGGCAGGATGGTCCCTGCTGGGCCAGGAGCAAGATGGAGTCGCAACACGCACCAGGCTCTTTTACGCGCAGCGAGTGAGAGTTGAAAAGTACTTCTCAACGCCCTGATTGGCCGGCCAGCCTCGCCGTCCAACCCACATCCGGGAAAGCGTCATCACGTGCACGTTTTCGCATGCGGGCAGGGCCTGTCTCGTCACCCGCTTGCCGACCAGTCACACGGCGCAACAGGGTTTTCGCAAAAAGTGGCTTCCGCAAGACCAGCGCCAGGGAGCGCGCCGAGATTGAAGCTTGCGAGCGGGATCTCCGCCTCGTTTCCAGAGTTTCAACACGGCCGGATCTCAAGCAAGCGCAAGTTTGCAAAGAGTCGGCGTGCAGCGCCCAGCTGCGACGGATCTGCACGATGCGCTGGCAGTGGCGTGGGCTGCACTGCCACACTGGCCGGACCATTTTGAGCCGCGCCAGGGCGGGCGGGCTGCCGTGGCTGGAGAGCGCGCGCCCTGTCTGGGGGAATCTGCGCCGCCCGCGCATCTCGGACTGGCCGATTTGACCTGCATGCAAGCCCGAGGACCGGAGGCTGGATCGGCGCGCCCATTGCAAGGAACAGGGCACGCTCAGAGCAGCTGCTGGTGCCCCCGCGGCTGCGCTACTGCTGGGATGACTGTGCGCCGGTGGATCAGGTGTGGCGCTTCACACGGCAGCAGGAAGCAGTCCTGGCGAATGCTTCACGGCCGGCCGACGATGCTGGCGCGTTGGTGGACGGCTGCTCGCGGCGACGCGCATGCCGCGGGCAAGCCGGCCCCGGCTGGGCTGGCTTACTCCAGCGGCGCTGCGCGTGGTGGCTTGCCGGGCAGCGATCGGCAGCGCGCAACAGCGGAGGGCGGAGGGTGTTGCGGTGCGGGCAGCATTGTTGTGGCCTGGATTTCAGGCTAGCCGCTGTCTTCGCCGCGGCGACGAATTGCGGCCTCGCCCGGCGCCTCTCGCCTGCTCCGCTGCTGCCAATCGACGCTGCCGTCGCCGCTCACTGGCCGCCGGCCTTCCTTCGCCCGTCCCATGAGCCTCCAAGCGCCCAACCACGCGCGGCGCCGTCAGGCGCGGGCGGCACAGCCCAGCTGCCGCGGGAGAAGGCCGCTGGCCGGCACCGCAGCGGGCAGCGGGCAGCGAGCGGCGAGCAGCACGCAGCGCGCAAGGTATATACTCGCAGGCCAGCGTCGCGGTCGCACGACGCAACACATCGCCTCTCCTCCCGCGAGCCTCTGCTCGGCGGGCCTGATCTGCTCTGCAACGTCTGCCCAACGCCTGCAACGCCCGCAATCGCACCGCCCCGCCCGCGCCGCGATAGGCTGGCCGTCACTTAGCCTCCGGCTCCTGGGCTGCCCTGATCCACGCCGCCAGCGGCACTGCCCTTCGACAGGCGCTCGGGCACAACGCTCGCGCCATCTTCTCCACGTCAGACCTCAAAGTACATCATCTCGCGCGCCAGACCCTGTTCCCGGCGTGAATCGCGCGACGCGCGCCGTGGCCAAACATAGCCCGCGCGAGTCAACACCGTGGCAAGGGCTTTGGCTGAGCCACAGGGTTCGCAGGCCCCTCCACTATTCGCTCGGCAGAGCCGGTGGCGTCACATACAAGAGACTTTCATAGTCCGCGCGAGCGCGGGGATCGCCCGCCTGCTCCTCCTGGTGCCCTGCTCCTCCTGGTGCCCTGCTCCTCCCGGTGCTCCTCCTGGTGCTCCTCCTGGCCTCTGCTCTCGTCGTCGGCCGCCGTTTAATACCCCAGTGCTACCGGCTGCTATGTGCCTTCTCTCGCTCCTGTAAGCTGTTCCCCTTGCGGTAACACACCTCGCCTAGCCTCCCTTGCTCCGTCCTCGTGCAGCGTGCTCGCGCTGACTGCATACTTCCACCCTGGACCTGGTACCCGCCGTGCGCTGTCCCACGTCTTATACGAAAGCTGACCCCAAGCCCACAGATAGCACGACAGGTACGCTCATGCTTCCATGCGCCCGCCAGCGCAAACGAGTGTCCGGAAGACAGCCCTTGGCAATCCTGCTCCCGACGCCAGTCCCGTCGCACCAAGCAGGCTTCCGAGATGGCTTCCTACCAGATTAAATCCAGGCAGGGCCTGTCGTCGAGACAGGATGCCCCATCATCCATTCCCCAGCGCCCCACCTCGACGCGCTTGCCCACGAGGTCGGCCATCCCGAGCTCGGCCGCAAGCCATGCGTCTTCTGCTCTGTCCAAGCTCACCAGGAAAAAGCCCGAGGGGCAATACGGCAGTAGGGTATATGGGAACGCAGCAGGTGCCACCAGCAGCAGCCAGAGGGTTGCTACGCCGTCGAAGAGCCCGGGCTCCGGTGCGATGCGCCGCGAGAATGCTACTGGATCAGGACGGACGCAACCCAACCATTCGCCTCACCCCACCACCACAGCCCGCCCTCCACGTTTTGATGCAGCCTCCACTCGCACTCCCTCCCTCATGTCGGGCTCGACCGCGACCGCCTCCACCCATGACAGCCCCGGGTCTGCCTTCCTGAGGAGAAAAGCTTCCTCCATTGGCAGACCTGCAGTGCACGCTGCCCGCTCCGAATCCTCCGCCGCGCGCGAAAAAGTTCCGCTGCCCCCCAAAGCCCAGGCCCAGGACCCCTACGCCGACACCGTCTTGGGCATTGCGATGCCTCCCCTGGTGCCAGCCATGGACCCAATTGACGAGGAAAGGCGCTCGATGCTTGCTCCTCTCGGCGGCCAGGACATGCCGCCGCAGCTGAAAACCGATGACTTGCCACCCCCTACTCCTGCTTATGCGCTCTCGGCGAGTCCGTCTACGCGATACTCCGAGTCACCGGGCCGATTCAGCCACACGTCCTCGCCTACATCCATGTCTTCTCATTCTCCCGGCGTGGTTTTCCCGTCGAAGCTTGGGCCACGCCAAAGGCAAGGAAGCCCCACAAGAAGCAGGCCGCCTGTGACGAGGCGCAAGACAGACGACAGCGGACCCACAAATGATCTCCATGGACTTGCTTCGCTCCACGAATCCACGGCCTCGTCGTCTTCGTCCTCAACGGTCCTGGCGCCGCCGAGCGACAGGAGACAGCTGATGGCAGAACACGCCGAGAGGTCAATGGCTCTGAGGTCTCCTCTGAATCGAGAGCTGTCTCCCGGCGCTAATAGGGCCATGTCCCCGCCGGAACGCCCTCCTCAAATTACCGTTCAGACCAGGATTTCTGTCCAATCCATAAGGGAAGCCCCCATCTATCCCCCGCCTGAGCTGGCCCATCTTGCAGAGTCGAAGCCGCCGCCAAAGTCGGCTCCACAGAAGCCGTTGAGGCCTAGCCGCGAAGGAACCCCGGACCTTTCTGGTCTGCAACAGGGTCCATCGCCAGTCGTGCAAAGCAACCTTACCAAATTGCCCACTCGCCACAGGCGGCAGGCTTCTTCTGGATCCACCATCTCCCCCCTGAGCGCCGATGCTTCTCGAAACCCTTCATTCAGCGTCTCTCCGAACCCGAGCGTTGGATCAACCTTTTCGCCCGTGTCGGCTCACATCTCGACGACCAGAGGAACCACGCCCGACCAGCAGACCGATAGCGGAAAGAACAGCTCCTCCGTCCCTCCCAGTCCCAGCAAGGGCACATCTAGGTTTGGATTTTTCTCAAAGCGGACCAAATCCGAGGGGGCACCTGCTCCGCCCCGCAAAGAGAAGAAGTTGGTCCGTAAGGGACCGATGGCAGGGACAGGGCATGAAGGGTATGGAAAGTATGGCATAGGTCGTGGCCGAAGCACGAGTGCTACAAGCGTTGCCTCCAGCTACGGTCGGTCCAATAGCCAAGACAGCGTTGCCAGCAACAGTGCAGCGCGACCATCGGCAAGCAGGAAGAGTAGTATGAAGAGTGAACCAGAGATGGACGGCTTTCTCAGGGATCGTCTCAATCCGAAGATTTTGCGTGGAGAAGGCAGTGCTACGTCCAGCGTAGGCGCCAATTCGGAAGCGGACCTTAGTGCCACCAGCTTGGGTTCAACCAAGGAACGCCCTGGCGCAGGCTCTCGCAACGACTCTACCGTATCCGTGTCACATTCAGGCCGCCCAAGTGCCGATAACAACAAGCCGACGCTGTTACCCTCCGCATTGGCTGATCCCGGCCGTGGAACGTCGCCTTTCAGAGTCGGAGGTTTGCCAGGCACAATTCGCCGTCCCAGCAGCAGCGATTCAAACTTGTCGGTCAACTTGTTCCCTTCTACGTCTCAGTACGGCACCGGGCCCGCTCAGTCTTATGGCCAGACTTCGGCTTCGGGGGATCTGGCGCGTCCAAAGCCGGAGAACAAATTAAAGAAGAAGAAAGAACCGGAGAGCAAGCCAGCAAAACGGTGGAACTTCTTTCAGCGAGCTCACTCAACACCTAAGCATGAGCCCAAGCCCCAAACGCCACCAGTGCAGCAAATGCCTCCAGCTATCTCTGGTCCAATTCCGTCGAGGGCGGTTGCGCACTATGCATTGGATGATGCACAAGACGAAGTCGACCTGGACTACCTTGAGAGGCTCATGGAAGAGGCGGAGAGACTCGGCTACGAGTCTTCTGGCTCTCGACCACCGTCTCTCTACCGTGGAAGTAGCGTCTCATCCAGAAAGCATGGGAACTCGATTCTTCTTCCCTCTCCTCCGGTGTTCAGTCGGCCTTTTGCCGAAATTCCAAGGCCAGCGTCGCCCAAGGTATTCCTGCGAAATGCTGAGCATCCTGAAGTCAAAGAACCTCGCTCGGTACCAGTTGTCACTCCGATCGATGCCCAGAGGGCGCAACCAACTCCTCCAGTGGCGCCTCCCAAAGAGGCTAAGCCTGAGCAGAAGGTCGAACGTGAGCCGATTCTTCCGTCACGTCCTAGCCGACTGCCGCAGGTCGGACGTATTCCGCAAGTTATCTCAACAAGGGACCGCAACCGAAACTTGTCTATCAATTCCTTCTCTCGCCCGTTTGTTCCGGCCCTGCCATCTCCCGCAACGGCGACCTTCCCGGAGCAGGTGTCGCAAGATGTGTCGCTCGAATCCGCACGATCGAAAAAACAAGATCGTCCCGCTGCTGAAACTGTATTGCCACCGTTCGCCCGGGATGCCATGCCACAGCCCCTGTTTGCCGGGCCAGTCGCAACCCCGAACGAGAACATGCATGCTGCTCCAGAATTCTTTGCGTTCCCGCCTCGCAAATACTCCGAACTTTCTTATACGAGCAGCTCTGGCAACTCCAGCTTCCCGCCTTCGACCGCCGTCATTCCCGCCCCGAATTCCCCGCCCATGGAAGACGAGGTGTGGAACGAATATGACGATCTGATTGACGAAGTTCTCTCATCCCCAGAATCCCGTGGCACCAAACGGAGAGATGGTCCCGTTAGGCGTCGATCTCTGGCTAGTACTGCTCTGCAGGAGCAAAGGCCCCTGCAGCTCGGAGATGCCGGTGATCGGACCACTGTCTTCGAGGAGGACATCTCACCCCGGACTTCCGTACAGTTCCGGAACTCTACTGCAGCGTCTGTGCACTTGCGCCGTTCGCGTCTCCTAGCTGCGTTTCAGTCACTAGCGACACCTTCTTCAGCAGGGACCACTTCCGATTTTCCTTCTGATGAAGCGGGTCGGGATATCAGCCTGGCTGATCCGCATACGGGCAGGTTCAGCCTTCCCTCAATGCGCCTGAGTATGAGTTCTGTTCAGCAAGAACCTGTGCAGCCAGTAGTAGAAGGGCCGGCGGAACAAGAGGCTGAAATCCAACAAGCCAACGTGCATCAAGCCGAAACGGAGCCTGCAAAGCGCGTTCACTTCCGCGATTCTCGGCTGATCGAAGTGGCGGAAAACACCAAGGAAGGAGCGGTGTCGATGGCAGAACTCAGGCATGGAGCTTTGATGGTCAGCAAATGGCTGTCGTTTGGAAGAGTGCTGTTCAGTCCGGCCCATTTCGAGCTTAAGAACAGCGTTGAAGACCGTATCCTGGTTCTCGACGGCCTTGGACAAGGTACGCATCTTTCAACACTAATCCTTGACGACAAGATTGCTAACGATCGATCAGACTGGTCTTACTACTGCGCTCTTACCTATCCTACAGCTCAAGTGTACTACATCAGCCCCACTCCTGCCAACTCTTCGGCGCAATCTGGCCCTGTTTCTCCTGCGCCCAACCATCGCCAAATCCATCATCCCGATCTCCTTGCTCCTTTCCCGTTCCCGAAGGGCTTCTTCGCTGCCGTCGTCTTCCGCTTCCCGACTGCTGCTCCTGAGCATGTGTATCGCTCCGCGATCTCGGAGTGTAAGCGTGTGCTTCGGCCGGGCGGCCACCTCGAGGTCAGCGTCGTGGATTTGGATCTCGTCAACATGGGCAACAGAGCAAGAAGAGCCGTCAGGGACTTGAAGATGCGCATGCAGAGCACCGACCCCGAAGTCTGTTTGATGAACGCCAGCGATGCGTTCCAGCGCTTGATCGGACGCCGCGGGTTCGAAAACCTGAGCCGTTGCATCGTTGGAGTGCCAACAGCCGGCAAGATGCCCAAGAGCGTCGACCTGACAAACCAAACCGGCAGCAGCAACCCTTCCACAAACGGAATGCCAACCCAAGCCCAGTTCGGTGAATGCACTGCTACATCGGGCAAGGAGCGCTTTGCGGATGACGACATGGCGAAGATGGTTGCGCGTGTCGGCCGCTGGTGGTACTCCAGGTGCTACGAGAGTATGGTATTGCAGCCTGACGATGACCCGAGCCAGAAAATCTGGTCGGACGAGACGCTGCGGCACGAGTGCGAGAAAAGGCATACGAGCTTCCGGCTGCTCATCTGCTACGCACAGAAGCCGACTGTGACGAGGAGGCGGACCGTCAGCGTCTAATTTGTCATGTGCTGCAACACACCGTCTCACCGAGTATCTCACAGTCGGTCTGCGAGGTTTCACGTCGCACTTTCGCCTCACCCTTCGCACCTCTCACCTATTTTGATTTCCCATCGCATGTTCTGTTTTTGTTTGCTGCGTTTTAGCGATTTCATATTGTCGTCACGGCTGGCTTCTGTTTGATCGACTCTGTTTTACGATTTGTCTCATGTTTACACGGCAGGCACCTGCGATCACGGGCGGCTTTAACTGTTGTTGGTTGTTCAAAGATTGGCACATTCGTCTACTGGGCGCAAGCCCACCTATACCCTTTCACCACATCCGCACACGTTTTCGCATCACAATACCCAGGACCTCTACATACCCTCGTCACGACAGACACGATGTTTCATGTACAGATTGGATCACGCACACACACGCACCCTATACAACCCTCTCCCTCACCGGAAAAAAAAAAGACCCCTTGACGAAGAAACGGTCGATGCCAGAATTACACCCTCCACTATACGTTGAGATTGGACAGAAAATGACTGGGACTGATGAGGGGGAGGATACTTTAATAAGACCTTTTTTAATACGCAGCTGCTGTTTTGGTCTTCTCGTTTTTCTCATTTCCTTCCTGGCCTTTTGTTTTCCTATTTGCGTAGCTACATAGCTCTGTCGCGTTTTTCTTTGGACCATGCTGGATGTGGGACTGGACGGACGGTAGGAAAGCAGGTTACTGTTGTTGTTTGTTATAGTCATCTCGCTTATTGGATCATGCTGAGGAGGAGGGGCGTTCTTGATTGAAAGGGTTCGGGCGTCGAGAAGAGGGACAATACCCATTGTTGTTTGTTGGATGATTAAAGAGCCGACGCACAGAAAGACGAATGTCGCGTGGGAGGGAGGGAACGGTTGTGCTGGGCACGCGCCCTTGACACGGCTGATGTGGTCAGACGATGGAGCCTATCTATGTAGCGATATTTGAAAATGAAAAGAAAAAAGTTTTATAATGATTGCATGGCGCTGGAGTGTTTCCTCGTGTGCTGTTTATGCTTTGACATTGAAGGTCTCCAAGCTGCTTCTCTTTCGATCTCGGGTGCGTGCTGACATTCCAACATATCACTGATCTGCACTTGTCTGGAACGTCGAGCCAACTGCATGATAGGAACAGATGTGGCGCCTCTGTCATGACATTCCTGCAAATGCCTGACTACCATTGCCTCGGCCCATCTGTCTGCTATTTTGCCTGGCGTACTTCCTTCCGTTCAAAATAATTGCTGAATCCTCTTCTTGTGCTCCAGTTCTGCCGTTGCTCTTGTTTTTCTCCTCCGGTTTTGGCGGCATCCATGGAACAGTAAGCTTACGAGATCGATATGGGTAGCACCGCTAAAACCTGGACGGGAAAACAGTCTATGTGGCGTTGTTCCGCGGGCCCCCGAAATCCTTGACGTGGAAAGAGAATCCCCACAGCAGTACTCAGGGTGTCGGAGTACGGAGAAATAATCACGGGAATCGCTTTCCCCAGAGGAGCGTTCGACACGGGCCCCACGAGCTCAGGTCCAGACATCAAAGCGGCACAGTGGGCGACGAAAGAAATTTGAGCCGCCAAATTGGGTAGCGGAATCCTACATCTAGATTCATTTGTGCAGTTCTGATACTCGCATCCACATCCGGATATGCCTCAGCTACCTATGAGGAAAGGTCGTGGAAAATCTACATCAACTGCCTACGTCGACGGTTGCCGTGGGTCGATATCATTCGTAACCCACTGGGACGGCTTCGCTAACCAGCCTAGTCATCGATTCCGCAACACTCCGAAAGCTGATGTGAGAGCCCACATCTGATATCCCTCAGATCGCTGATCACCGGCCGTCCGGTCAAAGACCCGCTTAGTATCCCAGCCGGCCGGGGATCCCCCCAAGTCCCGAACTGATCGACCGGCTTTCGAGTAATAAGCGCCCGCCACAGAAAATGTGCCGTTACCAAGAGCACATCAGCACGAGTGTGTCGATGCCAACGCCGGAGGCACCAGCACCTCGGGGCTCGGATTTTCGGAACTCTGACCGTTCCGCGCGAGCGGGAGGAGCAACAATTAGTACTAAGGCTCGACGTCAAGCCACTTTCGCAAGCCACGCGAGAATCCCAAGAGAATCGGAGGAAAAAAGCAAAAAAAAAAATTAAAAGACGGGAATGACGCATGCCGTATGCAACATGCAAGCCTATGCATCATCGGGGGAGTTCGAGAAGGTGGTACACAGCTCGCGTGCAGCGCAAACGGTTTTCTCGGAAGTCCCCAGGCCGAAAAAGAAACACAAAAAAAAAGAAAATTGAGAACGGGAACGGGACATAACTTTAAAGCACAAGCTTATCAACACCGTTGTGTTTTCGCTGTCGCAGGCCCTTTTTTTTTTATCTCATTTTATTTTTTGCGATGTGTAGTCATCACCTTCAGTGCGTGACCGGCCAGTCAGCGCATCCCCTGACAATCGCATGGACAGATGCCGAACCAGGGAATCCCGTCAGCGACTTGCTAAAGATAAACTCCGAGTGGCGATGCTGACGGGGGGACAGTAAGAGTCAACGGTGACTTTCCCGCCTCCGGCCGGCTCCAGAACCGGCTGGGGGGATGCGGTTTCGGTTTCGCATACGCAAGCTGTATGCATTATTAGCCCACGACTTGACAGCAGAATTCTGTTTCGGCGAGAGCTATCGCCCGTCCGCTCCCGATCGACCCGGCGACAGGAGTCCGAACTCTGGTGGAATGGCTCATTGGAATTCTTTACGAGTTGAGTGTCCGTTGATGGAAACTCCCGTCTGTATGCAAGGCGGACACGGCGTACGAAAACGTAGGCGCGGATTCGGAGGGAAAACCGTGGGGCAGGGTGCGGCCAAGGGAGCGGAAGGCGCTGCTAATGGCTGGGAAACCGGCCACGACGATGGAATAATGCTAAGTTTATTGATCTAGCGTTGGCTAAGCTTTTGCGGAGACCGCCAAAATTGCTTGCATGTTTTGGGTTCCGTTGTCCATCAAGCCACCCTCTAGAAGGCGGCATGAGCCGGATTCTGCCACGTAATTGCGGAGAAGAGTACCACCGAGGATAGAACAGTGGCAAATGTGCGGCAATGAATGGCTATTAAGCTGCGTCGTTCACGTGCGCTGAGTGCAGCATTGAACTCTCACTCCACATGACGAGATTGCGACAATCAGCAAAAGCTTGGCTCTCGGCATCGGCCTGTTGGGCACAAGGGAGCCCACGGTTGAGTTTAAAAAGCGGTTCCAGCAGATTCCCATGTGTAACTGATGCAAGGGAGACATAGTGAACCCTGTTTCATATTCAAAACCTTTTCAGAGGATAATGATGAAGCTGCCAATGAGCCTGCACTGGAAAAGTGCTGAGCGGCGTGCTACATCAAGCGGTTAGAGGGAGGTTTATATCTGACCGGCTTCTCCATTATTGCGCCCCCGGATATAGACACGCGTGGGGTGCTGAGTTGAACTGAGGGGATCCGTAGGATGCGGCGGGCTTGGCCTTGATACGAGCATGGAATTGCCACAACCCAACCAAAGCTTTAGATGAAATGCGCATGGCCAGCTCGCGTAAGATCTCAGATCTGGGATCTTCTGGCAAGGCTGGGCAGCCCCGTTAGCCGAACAGAGTACCAAAGTCACGGATGATGAAGCCGTGGCGTAGACCGGCGTGCAAGCCGGTATCACGCATGGCTGGCATAGTGCAGGAAACTAGGCAGGAGGGCGGACGGTGGTTTCCAATTGAGGAGCTAGCTCATGAAGGTGCAAGATGGTCGAGTGGCGGACGGGCAGATGCAGGCTCCCGTTCGGTAACGAAGATTGCCTTGGTTAGATTCCGCGCCTTAAGCCCGCTGAGCGAGACAACAACGCAGGCCAAGCATTGGATGCACGAAGGTTATGACCGAGGTCGCGAGCTCGGCCGAAGTTGGTTGCTGGGCGCAGCGGGCGCAGCAGGCGCAGCGGGTGCAGGAGATGGCGGCGATACAGCACTGTTCTCGTCCCGGACAATGGACGAGGCTCGGCAGGCACGAGTGCTGGTCGGTTGCGACGATGAGGTGCTAGCAGACGTTAGATGGGCTCGATGGCACAAGGCGAGGGAGCCATGTGGAGGCACAGAATCAGGGGAAAGGGCGGCTGAAGATGCTCAAGCTGCCAAGTGCGGTGGCAGGAGATGACGCAGAGGTGGGGTGGCCATGGTCCGACGCAGCAAAATGCAAGGACGTGCTCCAAGCAGGCAAGCATACTCGGGAGGCGTCGGCCGAAGATTGGTCGAGAAGGCAGGGTGGACGGGACCAGAGCGCGATGGATGGGGTGAAGTTGCCAGAAGGCGCGCGATCCGGAGTTGGGCTGTCGGCTCTCCGCAGTGGGCTAGCCGCAGCCGGACTGGCGCCGCTCGCTAGGCGGCAGGCTGTCGACCGCAGGGCCAACGCCGTCTCCCCGCCATCGTTTCTCCTCGGCTAGGCGCCGACTGCCAGTATTGTCTACCGCGCCGCCCTGCCCGCTTTGCCGCCGCCAGCACCACCACCACCACCAGCACTGCCAACACCAGCACTGCTAGCACCACCGGCCTTGCGGCCACCGCCGCGTTGCTGGCGCCCTCTGGGCAGCGTTTCCGACCCCGCCAAACGTCTAGCATGTCGGCAGTTGCGAGTGCAGGCGGCCGTGACATGCAACGGCTTCAAGCGCTAACTACTGCAGCATCTGCGTCGTCCCACCACCAGCTCGTCGCCGCGCCCGCACTCCTGCTGCGCCTGCAGATCCTCTCACTCAGCGCACCTGTTGTCCGCCTCTCACCTGCTTCAAAACGAGCCCGGACTTCGGGTCGCGGGGCGGACTGCCTGCTCTAAGCTGTAGTGATGTGCTGGGCCTTGCTCGTCCTGTAGGCCTTGCTCCAGCTCGCCATGCCCGAACAGGTGACATTTTGACGAGACACACACCCCCCCGTCCATGCCATGGCCCCGGTGTGGTCAGAAGAGCGCGGCGGCATCGCACCAAGCTCTTGGGCCTCCCCCGATGTCCGAGCCATGTAAGCGGTTCCCGTATTTATACCATCCGCTGTTTCGCTCCACGTGCGCCACATTTGGTCCCCTCCGTCTTGCCGTCTGTCCATATAATCTATTACGCTTCCATCTCCCTTGGATCGCCTAGTTACAGCATCTCCCCCTGCCCTGCCTGGATTTAACTTTGTGCCATTCTCTGGGCAATAGGCCTATCTCTCCCTTCTTTCACCATGGCTTTGGTCATGCTGGTCGCTGCCCTTGGCCTTGTCGCCGTGGCTGCATTAATCAAAACTGTCTTTTTCCCGCCCAAGCCCAAGCTCCCCCAGGGCCTCAAGTCTCTTCCCGGCCCCAAAGGTCGGTTCGGCCCGTCCAGGCGAACTCAAGCTTGGAGCGTTGACAAGATCTGCAGGCTATCCCGTCCTTGGTTCCGTGCCCGACGTCCCCGAGCAGAACAGTTACATCAAGTTCTACGAGTGGTCCAAGCAGTATGGCCCGCTTTACCAGGTTAACCTTGCTGGGAGCAATCATGTCTGGATTTCGTCCGACCAGATAGCACGCGATCTTCTGTCCAAGAAGGCCGCCATCTACTCCGACCGCCCTCATATTCCTGCCCTTCTTCACGACAACCGCACCAGTGCCGAATACCTGCCTTTGATGAGCAAGAACCGTGAGCCAAAGAAACCCCCCTTCGTCAATACACCGAAACTGACGCCTCACAGCCCACTGGTCCCGCCAGCGCAAAGTCGCGACACACATAATGCGCGAAGCGAAGCAGAACACTTTCTACCACTACCCCGAACTCGAGTCGATCCGTCTGCTGAAGGAGCTCGTCGAGGAGCCACACAACTACAATCATGCCCTCGAGTCCTTCATTTCCCGCGTTACGTGCAGGCTGGCATGGGGCCACGCCGAGGCCAGCGACGAGCTCAAACAGCGCGCACGCGAGCTGCTGATCTCCGTCTCGCCCACCGGCCATCTCGCAAACAAGCTTCCCTTCCTCATGAACCTGCCCGACTGGATTTCCCCAGTCAAGGCATGGGAGCGCAAGAGACAGCGGACGGAGCGCAGGTGGTTCGAGATCATGCAGAACCAGGTGAAGCAAGACATGGACGAGAAGAGAGCTGCGCCCAGCTGGATGAAGATCCTCCTTGGAACTTGGAACAAGTGGGAGTTCTCGTACGACCTCGAGGGTGCTTTCTGCGTGGGCATGCACGGCATCGCCGGAGCCCTCACCATCGCCGCCCCCATGCAGACCTTCTGCCTTGCCATGTGCCACTATCCTCAGTACCTGCCAATCCTGCACGAGGAGCTGGATCGCGTCTGTGGCGAGCGTCTCCCCCGGGCCGAGGACCGTCCCAACCTACCCGTTCTCCGTGCTTTCATCCGCGAGGTTATGCGCTGGCGTCCTCCGGTCCCGACCGGCATCCCGCACTACCTGATTCAAGATGACGAGTACAACGGCTACCACATTCCTGCTGGCAGCGTTATGCACCCTCTCGAGTGGTAAGCTCCCGATGATATGGTCCCCGTTTCTCAAACAGCTTGCTAAGAATCTCAACAGGGGAATCGCCCGCGACCCTGAACTCTTTCCGGACCCGGACACCTTCAACCCGATGCGCTGGCTGGACCCCCAGTCGCCCGCCTATAAGGAGCCGCTGACTGAACACCCGAGCATCATCAACATCAGCCAGTTCGGCTATGGGCGGCGGCTATGCCAAGGGCAACAAGTCGCCGACGAGGATTTGTTGATTGGCCTCGGCGCGCTGGCCTGGCTGTTCGACATCAAGAAGAAAGCCCCAACTCCCGAAAACGCACCGTCCTCACCCGTCGGCAGCGCGTATCTCAACGAGGGGGCCAGCATCTCGAACGAGGAGCTAAGCACCGACGATGAGCAAGAGCGCAAGGATAGCGTCATTGGCACGCCCTTGTTCGAGGAGAAGCCCGTCATCGCGACCGCGACCGAATACGCCGCCGCAGCCGCCACACTCAAGAACCGCCGAAACCTCACCAGGCCAACGGAGATCAAGGCACCTGGCGCATGGCCGATCGAAAACGCTGACATGGAGGCGCACGAGACATGGGAGCAGGAGCAGAAAACTGCTGTTGCTGCTGCGGCGGCGGTGAAGGCTGGTAAGGAGGCGGCCAAGAAGATTGACCCCACGCTCGACTATACCCATCTGCTCATTGCAAAGCCGAAGCCATTCGAATTCGATCTAAAGGTGCGCAAGGGCATGGACAGGCGTAAAGAGCTGGTTGATCAACTGTTCAGGCAGAAGCAGGAGGAGGGTGAGTTCCCGGCCGGCAAGGAGTACTGGAAGAGCGAGGCCAAGGAGTACGGGTGGGTGGGTGTGGCGAACAGCAACGGCCTGAGATAGCGACGGCACTTGGGGATCCCCTTTTCTTCCATTCCTTCTTACTACCCACTGCATTTCTTCTTTCTATAACGATGGGCTGTTCAGTCTGATGTAGGATTATCACGGACAGACTGTTGATAACGCGAGCGCGGACACTTTAGACTAGTGCACTTACGATGGGCATACCACGCCCAAATCATAATCATCCTTTGAACTTCACTGCAGTCTCGCCCGCTGCCTAGTATGCTCCCGCCTGCCTCCGCTCTTCCACGGTTCTCAGCGAGCACAGCAGGATGTTGTGCAGACTAGTCAGCCTAGCCTGAGGACCTAACCACAAGAAGCAAAGCGCTTAACCATACACAGTAAGTTCAACGCGCCTCTCGCAAATGCTATACCAAACGCGGACGCACGATACACGAGAGGGTCCAAGAAACCGGCCGCCATCCCACGTCAGCCTTTTGCATTTGTCATCCAGCTTTCCGCCCGCAGTAGCGCATCCAAGCTTGCAAAGTGTGTCTAAAAAAGGTGCTTCTAAGGCCCGATGATCAGTGCGAAACCTAATACTTAGGTGCCTGTCAATCCCGCAGATCAGCAAGTTTCATCCCCGGGAATCGACCAATCGCGTGGGCGAAAAAGGCTCGGACAAACATCATGTCTTGCAGAAAACAAGCGCCTTCTTCTTGCCCCCGAGCCCGGGACCACATGCCTTCTGTGTGTTTGGCTACCTAGGAGATGCAAGGTTTTGCGCTTCGAGCAGACCAGGGAAACCAAACCAACCTTCCCCGCCGCCTCCTCCGCCCCCGTCTCCCCGGCAACATTGATCCCACCCGGCGAAACCCTTCGAGTGCTTCGTCTCATCTCCAGTCGCCTGACCAACACGGTTTGGAGGAGGAGGAGGAGGAGGAGGTCAGATTCAGTACCGGTCAATACCATAGCTGGACCGAGACGAGCTAGGAGCAAGAAAGTCCTCAGCCCATCCACCCCTCCCTGCACGACCCAGCGTAACCGAATGACGTCCCGGCAGCCCGCCCGATCTGGAGAAAGCTATAGGTAGGAGCGAGTGAGCAGCAGCAGCAGCAGCAGCAGCAAGAAAGGACGGCATTGCATCGTCGCACGTCACCCAGTCGTCTCCCGGGTCAGCAAATCAACCCTTCCGGTCCATGGATGCGACAAACGTCGGGGTTTACCATGGGGCCGTTGGCGCCGCGCATAGGTATGTACACACGCGCCGCACTAGTCTCAGCAGCCTACAGACAGACGTATTACTAACCAAACGCACGAAAAGAAACGGGTGGGGTGGGGTGCACCACGCGTTTTTAGTTTTTTTTCGCATGCAGGGCGGGCGGGCGGACGCGCACACGCGCACACACGCACGCACACGCACACACCCTTACATGTGCACAATAATACCGACTACCAAAGAACGCGAATCAGCAGGGACTGGGCCGAGCGCCACGTCGTTCCTTTGACGGCCCGTTGCATAGGTGGTACGTGACGCAATCATGCTGTTCCGTCTGACGACACATGGATCAGATCCTTCAGTCCGTGATTAGAGAGAGTGTGTGTGAGATGGAGAAAGAGAGAAGAAAAAGAAAGAGGACGACCGATCAGCCTGCTAGTCTTAGGCTGAATGTAGCACGGGGTCTGGACGACTGCTCTGCACTCCTGCCTTTTGCTTGAATGTCGACGACTGATGGTAACGCTCTCCACCCTCCTCCATTGCGGCGGTCATTCAAATGATCACGAGCTAAAAATGCGCAACTGCACCGCTAATGCAGAGTAGTGTCTGGCGCAAGGCCAAGGGTGCGTGATTCGGAGATAGGAAGGGCTAGCTTTAGCCAGGTGCGGAAGATTGATGCGCCGTGTACGACAATCCGCCGTGTACTTCACTGCAGAGCCAAAGCTGAATCGAAGTGACGATCCCTCATACATGTCTCTAATTTATCTTCAACTATGTGGCTAAGGATATTACCCTTCCTCCTCCCCCTTCCCAGTTCCTTTACATAATATCCATATCCTCGGGGTATATGAGGATTGTTCCGTCATAAGTAAATAATTCATCGTCGTCATGATCATCTCCCAGTAGATGCCAGCAACCGTGAGCTCGTCGTCCATCGTGTACGTTTTGTGCAAAAGCCCTCAGCCCGAGTCTTTCCCAAAGACGCCAAATACCTCAGTTCCCAGCCTCCTTGTTTCCTTTCCATTCCCAGTCCGAACCGAAACAGGAAAAAAAAGTCGTGTAGAAATATGCTGTAGAGAGTTATTTAGGGGTATTCCGTGCCAGCCAAAAAGAACGCCTGCGAACCATCAAAACGCCATGTTCCGCCCCACATCTCGTCCAGCGATTGTTAGAAGTCGTAAAAGTAAAACAAAGAATAGCAAGGAACGTCAAAGACGCCCCAAACATCCGAAGGAAGAAAAGACAAAAAGAAGATGCAACTTTACCGTGGTCCCTGTCCTCCTCTTACACCAAGCATTCACAAGCATATGATTCTACTCCCAACTCCACCTGACCTCTTTATTCTCTTTCATGGCTTGATCATCATCCACGACCTCGACGCCCCTGCCCTCCCTGACTACGACAACCGTCGTCCCCAGACTGGTTTTGACGGGCCGAGCGGACCGGAAAATCTCGCTGAGCTCCTCGAGGGTGCGGCGCTTGGTCTCGACGTAGGTGAAGTAGATAATGACGAGCTGCAGGCTGTCCCAAGCGATGAAAAGAAAGTAGTACTTCCACGCGAGATGTGTGAAAGCAATCCCAGTGACGAATGTCTACAAATCCACATTCATTGATCAGCACATTGCGTTCAAAGAAAAGAAGAAGAATCCTCTCCGTGAAGACGAGAAGACAGATAAGAGATGAAGGTCGACACGTGGCTGTGTCGAGGTAAGAGGGAACTTACGTTGTAGAAGTTCGCAACGTTGACGAAGAAGTTATACATGGCCATACCCTTCGCCCGGCTCTCGTAGCGGAGGCACTCGACCGGATACAACGCCTGTAGTGGCGTAAAGCCCGCCGAGTACACGAAGCCGAAGACGAAGATTACGGCGATGACGCCTCTCGAGCGTGTTAGCGAGATGGCGATGGGAGTACCGCTTGGATCGGTGACAGGAAGGCCGGTGTTAGGGTCGGTGAGAATATTGGTGGCGTTGAGGGCGGTGACAGCGACGAAAATGAGGGTGATGATGAAGGTTGAGGTCAGGAGCTGCTTGCGTCGGCCCCACTTGTCTGTGAAGGCGGCACCGATTAAGGCGCCTGTGAGAGAAACGAGGGTTTGGAAGCCATTTAGAAGCAGACGTGTCTGGTTGTTGTCTATGCCGGCACCCTGAAGGACTGTGGGATAGTAATAAGATATGGGACCATTGCCAACCCACTAGACATGGATTAGTAAAAGAAACATTTGGGCAGAAGGGAATACGAACTTGACTGAAGAAGGCAAAGGTGATGATGATGAAAGTGCGATGGCGGACTTCACGGCTGTTGAAAAGTTCGCGATAGTCCCACCAGCGCTTGTCGGCACCGGTGATTGAAATGTCCTCGCACATCTCCTTGTATTCAAGCTGCACGATAGCAGAGTCTCTTTTGCCCTCACCATGGTACTTTGCCTGCGTCAGAGTCAGCCTCTACGCTCACGGGAAACAAGGGCTAAACCATGCACTACATACCATCACATTCAGAGCCTCCTCGTGTCTGTCATTGGCAATCAACCATCGAGGAGTCTCTGGTAGCCAAGGTGCTCCAAAGACGACTATTCCCGAGAAGACCAACTGCAGCCATGTGGGGATCCGCCAAGCTCGGGTGCCGTCCAGCGCACTGGTTGCATACGGTACGAAAGTGCCAGGAATAGCACCCACGTACCAAAAAGTGTTGAATAAGCCGGTCAGCACGCCTCTGTAGGCGGGGTGTGCCATCTCACTGGCGTAAGCAGGGCCAGATGTAGCGCAGATGGAAACTCCGAAGCCGAGGGTGAAGCGGCCGCCCATGAAGGCAGGCAAGGTGGTTGCTGTCGCTTGGACACATGTCCCCAGTACTATGACTGCTGCTCCCATGAACATCCCCCACTTGCGGCCGCGCCAATCAGCGGCGGGCCCGGCGGCAAAGCTTCCTACAAGGTTGCCAATTTGATAGATGGCGTAGGCCAAACTAGTAGTGGGTGTGCCGTTCACGGGATCGAAGCCGAAGTAGTCGCGATACTGCGGGTATGAGTTGATCGAGGACATGAGAGTGCCATCGTACCCGTTGATGACGCTGTTAACCGTTGCGATGAGGAGGCAGAGGTAAAGCTGCGCGGATGGTGAGAAGGTCGTCTAGGAAGACGTCTGACGGCTGGGATCATACGAGGAACATGCGCTTCGTCCATGGGAAGACTTTGGCCTTGGCTTCGGCCGAGGCGAAGGCGACATTGGCGACGGCGACGGTCTGCAGCTCGTCTTCTCTCTCGTGCCAGCAGTAGGCTTCTCGTGACACGGCATTTTCCCAGCCGTAGTCCTGCGCCGAAACCCTGGATTGGGCCATGGCGGCGGGTCAGGAGCGGTTACAATGTTGGTAGCAGAAGTGTTTGGGGACTGGAGCAATAAGTGGACATGGAGTCGAAAAAGAAACAACGGCTATCAAGATCAGACAGCACGACGATGGCTGGCAGCGCGCGCGGGCGTCTGGCGGCAGTCCGGGGCAAATATAGGGCTTGACAGCCGGGTCGAGACACAGGATATATTGGAGCGTCAGCTGCATGAATGCATCCCGGTAGGGTGCTGGGCGGCAGCTAGAGGCGCCATCCCGCAGACCCTGCCCGCGATCCCACGGGCGTGTGTGACCTGATGGCGGAGCGAAGCTGGCGGCGCATCTTGCCCAAGGACGACAGGAGCGGCTGCCATTGGACCATTGGACCGGGGTCGCGGGCATCCGGAGATGGACGCGAAGGCTCGTGTAGGGAATCCCCTTCGATCAGCCGGCCCAGCTTCCCGGTTTCGCAGACGTTTCTGCTCTGCTGCCGTCAGTCAATGCGCCGGCTGCTTGCGCAATGCAGCCCCGTGGGCTGGGAGCCTGGACGGCGGCTCGCTCGCGCAGAGGCAGAGGCAGAGGCAGAGCCATAGCCATGCCGCCGCGCCAGCAGCCAGCCAGCGAGGGGCGGCGGGCGAGTGGGCGAGTGGGCGAGTGGGCGAGTGAGCGAGTGAGCGAGTGAGCGGACGGGCGGTGGGCACAGTCAGGCGAGCGGTGGTTGGCTCGGGGTTGCACGCAAGACGAGGGATTCGATTGAGCCGGCGCGGTGGGAGCGGCGAGGGCGGCGAGGGCGGAGGTGGAGAGAGGCAGGCGCAGCCAATTCACCAATTCACCCGGCCCCCGCCCGACACCACACGCCCAATCCGGCGGTGCTGCCGTGCTGCCGTCATGCCGGGCCCGGCACTTGTTCCAGTCCGCTCGGAGTCCAGCCGCCGTCTTGAACCTCGCCGGCTCTGAGAGCTGGAAACACGGCCCGTCAGCATCGAGCTACCGTCTCACGAGACGTCCTCCCTCGCCCGCTGCAACAGCTCGACTCGGACGCCGGCCTGCGTGCCTCTCTCAGTGCGCCCGCCGCCGCCCCTCTGGCATGGCCGGCAGTCAGCAACCAGCGGATCAGATTCCATCCCGACCCTGCCGTGCAACACTGTCACAATAAAGTTGCAACGACGCATCTCGAAGGAGAAGCGCCGCCCAAATTTAGCGCTCTACGCCCAACCGCGCCGTGAGTCAGTGGCCGGCAGACCTCAGCAGCCCCAGACTCAGTCGCACAGCAGCGTGTCCCAATGCGTAGCCCGCGCTGCAATCACACCGACACTCGCGCCCCCTCGAGTCCGACGGCCCGCAGCTGCGTGCTCCACGATCTCTGGCGTTGATCCCCGCCGCCGCGCTGCTGATTGCGTCTGTCAGCCCAAGAAATCTCCCGGCGCCTGCACCTGCACCCCATCTGCTGCTGTCGCGTGGGGGGTGTGCCTGGCAACCGTGGCAAAATGGCAGAAGCGTGCTCGAGTCCGTGCCTTATGCAGTTTGGTGCATCGGGTTTCAGCCACTCATTGAAAAGCCAACAGCTTGAGCGCCGGCAGCGAGCGAAACAGGCAACCCGTCTCCGGCCAGGCCCTCGAGTTTGCATGAGACACTCGCTGGAATGGTAGCTTCGGTGCCAGTCTTGCGCTGCCCAAAGCTGCAGAGAAAGCTGCCCTCAAAGCTGACATCGCCGTCACACCAGTCCCGTTGCGGGTGCGACATGCGTTGGCCTAAGATGTGGCCAGGTAGCTCCATGCAAGCCATCAAGATGTTTCAAACCGGCTATGCCGGCTGAGGCGTTCTAGAGAACACCACCGGCCACCACCAACATCCAGGTTTCTTTATTACGAACCGGGGCATGTGTTCCCGCCTCTGTACCTGCCGGCCGTTCGTACGCCCATTGGCTCTCTGCCAGCCTTGAGGATCTGCAAGTAAACATTAAACCGCCCCGCGCCTATTTGAATTTCTACCCGGCTTCCCATATTAAATGCACGACTCGCGCCTAATGGTTTTCTCGTCAGGCCCGATTTAGACGCACCCCAAGTTACAGCTTTGTTCCGCATTGCTTTGAACTGTGGGGTTCGCCACTGTCATGACTGGGCCGTTGCACTCTGTACAGGGTACAGTACGTGCCCAAATCGAATATCGGAACCTATTTTTCTTGGCTGTTCTATCCACTCTCGGTACTGCGCAGCCGCGTGCCTGTCGTGAACGTCTGGCTATCTTAACCGTGGGCTTCCACTTCCACACCCATGGAAACCGATTCTCCACGTCCTTCCTTGTCCTTCCTTGGAAACGTTTCGCAACCCAATCGCTGCGCACGATAAACCGTGAAGTTCGCTACGCATACGTGCACTGTGTGACAGCAGTTATGTTGCACTTACTAGCAGCCTCGTCTGTTCGCCTTGATTGTCAGTCCTGTCTACGAACCGTATCTTGACTCCCATATTCCACATCCGAAAACTACTCCCTAACACCACCTACGATAACAAAAGGGGTTCTATCCGGAGGTTGTACGGTCAGCATAGCCACCACCGATGCTCGTATTCTCACCATCCGGCAACACCGGCCAGTAGTCCACCCACCTTTACGATTTCTGTTTGGCGCCAGACGGTCAGGCAAGGGCATATTCGATTCTCTTTAGCCGCAGCAGTTCCGCCGCTTGCTACTGATACCACTCCACCGGTGGATGCAGGTTTTTCTGCACATTCTGAGCTCACTTCTTCCGCTTTCTGCACGGTCTTCTAGCTGCCGCTTCTGCCATGTGCCGCGCGACCCATCCTTCGCTTGATCACTGGCCACACGCACCCGATGACCGCCCACCCGGGCCATTCACTCGCCCATATGCCAAACTCTTGTTTTCGTTCAGCCGTCCGTGCTTCCACAAAACGCCCGACAACCCCTCTAGGATCGTCACCAAATGCATCCAGCGATAAGGGCTCCCTTCTCAACCTTGTTCTCTCCTGGCGGTGTATATTGAGCGAACCAGCGTTGTAAACAAGTCCGGGTGTTGCACGTTCCCCATATCCATCCTGCTAAGAAAAGAAGATAGCTTTGCTATAATTGGATACATTGGTTCCAGCAGTTGTGTTCGGATGGTGCGATGGTCCATTGGTGCTTGGTAATAAGTTGATGTGCTCTCAACCTTCCACGCCCTTCTCTTTCTTACAGCAAGTCCAGGTAGACGAAGAGTGAAAACGACACGTGGTTGTCGACATTGTTTCTTCTTCGGCCACTCTGGAGATTTCTTTTTTCTTTTTTTTCTCTTTTTCGCATTGTTTATCGCAGAAGGTGGGGGCATTCGTTGGATACGGAGTTTTGGCAACTCGCTTGCGGGTGTGAGTGGGCGCACCTGTTCGAGCTTTAATAGTATTTATGGAAAGTTCGTAATGGGTGAGCTTAGCTCTCCGACAGTCTGGAACCAGGCAGATGGATACGAAGGAGAAGAAAGCCGGTGCATGCAGAGTGCATCACTCGACGTGCAGTAGCAGCAGCGTGCTCGTGCCAGCACGCGATGCGTATCCATTTCTCCCTCGGGGAAAAAACCCCCCCAATGCGTCTTGTAGCGCATGCAGATACGGGGAAACCAGGGGCCACCCACAGTAATATTGTACGAGCAGCACGTGTGTTGTTCCGCAATCAAGCTACGATGACTGTTGCACCCCGACCCACTTGCTCGTCGCATTGTTCCGGGCCTGCATAGGATCCGACAAAGATTTCTGCAAGTTGAAAAGTACATCAGATCGCCCCTCTTGGTTTACATGTCCCATGCATATCGCATCCCACCTATGTGGGTATCTGATGTATATATCTTCAACTACCTATGCACAGAATATGATATCACTCGCCTTGATAGGCTGGGAATGCTGAATTCTTTGAACTTCTATATTTCGAGTTTATCTCTGGAGGCGCATGTTTGCGGTTCAGCCGCACTCGGAACCCATCTCAACTTCTCTCGAAACCTTGAAACTATTATCAAGGGTGAAAGCATTTCGATGTACCCAGCCCTATGTCTAACTAGGAGCTCTACAATTCGTGTTACCACCATGAGCAGCTCGAAACCCCAGAACGGTTCACCAGGGACCGCGTGCAGAAGACGTTACGAGACGCACTCTACATCTAAGGCCATAGAGTGAGAGACCGTCCTTGGGAGTCCTCTTGCGCAACGTTCGATCATGGCTTGAACTCCGGTGTACTGACACTGTACGACGACCCTGTGCGGCTCAGATGGGCCACACGCGCATGTGAAAAGCTCGTGAAGCTGGTTCAATCCCCCGAAGACTATATGGAGCACCTGGACCACGGACTCCCCTAGCTCCTGGGATTCAACGCCATTAACCTTCAAGGACAGGAGGACGACATTGTAGAGAAGACTTGTCATCTCCTCTCCAGGCTACCGTTCGACACACCAACTTACTGGGAACCAAGGGATGCAGCAACTTGTACCAAACTCAATAAACGGATTCTCCCGACGCAGGTGGTCAATTCGAATATATGGCGGCACTTCTCCGCATCTAAAACTTATATTCACACCTAGACATTAGATTCGACTGTACATGAGTATCTCTGTGAGCCACCACGTAAGCCCCGGGGGAATGTTATGTAGCGGCACAGGACGAAGGAGCCCTCCCTGACAAACCACGTAGGAGAATATAGCCTCAAGACAATGATGAAAATAAAGATGATCACGATCATGATACACTGCATCATCTTGAAGTTTTTACACCCCCGCTCTCAAGACCTAAAAGTCTTGTACTCACCGAGTGAGTTTCAAGAGATCAAGGTGAACCCATTCAGACGAGCGAGCGACATACACCATGTTTCATGGCTTGGTTGATAGAAGCACGCAAATAACGAGGCCATTGGTAACCGGAGGGCTAACATAAGCTCGTAGCCAATGTAGCAGTTTCTAAAGCTGCATAAAACTGATCTCATAACCAGACCAACCCTGCGCCTTCGCTTCCATGTGACGATTCATCAAGTGAGGGCTCTCAAGGAAAAATGCCTAAGGAAATAAGAAGCGGATAGAGAGCACAACGCAGAACTGAGCTTCTATACCCACTCCGAAGACTCAACCGCTGCCCATGCCAGAGCGATATAACGGATAACGCACCATTTTGCTTCTACCGGAGAACGAAACCAGTACGTCTTCTTCGAGCAATCTCATAGCGCTCGCCGAAACCGAGCAAAAGTACACACCCCCGTCTCTACAGACATGCGCCATGCGATAACAGGGATACGAAAGTCTTGAGTCCGGAACCATGACTCTGGCTTCAGCAGTCCGAGAACGGGTAATCTAGGTCAGAACGGTCCATTTCCTCAAAGGGGTTTTGTGAAGGTGCAGATGCCGGCCGCGCCTGACGGCCAAGAAGCGAATCTGAACTATCTGCTTCCGCGATCGCGTCGAAGTGCATTCGGGGTGGTCTCGGAGTTACCATGTGGGCAGTTTCCATCGTGTCAGGGAGAGTAGGGCCCGAACTTGAATGTGAAGGAACCGTCAACGCAGGGTCAATGGGAGGATGACTAGTGAAATCAAAATGGCCCGCTTGCAAGAGATCGTGCTCGTAGTAGTTGTTTGACCGGTTTCCCAAAGGCATCGAGGCGCTATGCGACATCTGTCCGAATTCTAGAGGCGCCCGTGGCGCATATGGCTCGTTGAGATTGGGGAGACTCATTGGGCCTATCCGCCTCATCAATTAGCAGACGCGGACACGACAGGGGCGGGCACTGGGTTGAAAAGATGATTATCCAAATGACTGGTTGTGGTGCTCATTATCTCAAGAGGTGAAAAACTCAAGTCTAGTAAGCACCTTGCGCCATCGAATAACCACCACCCATCTGTGCCTGCTGAGCCTGCTGCTGTGCTGCAATCTGCTGGGCATTCAGCTGCTGCTGCTGACGTGCCTGGGCAATGTCGTTGAACCATGGATGCTGCAGAGCCTGTGCTGCGCTGATGCGCATCTCCGGGCGTAATTGCAGCATGCTGCTCAGAAGGCTGAGGCCAAGCGAATCAATCTGGGGGAGGATGAGACGCAGATCCTGAGTCGCATAGACGTGGAAGTTGGGCTTGTACTCTGGAAATTGGCTAATGCCAGGCCACGAGCGCTCCGAAGGGGTGCCCATCAGACGGAAGATGCGCTGCAGCTGATCCTCGTTGGTGGTGCCGGGGAAGAGCGGGCGGCCAGTGTACATCTCTGCCATGATGCAGCCTGCGGACCAGATATCGATGCTGGTGTTGTAGGTGCGGCTGCCGAGTAGAACATCGGGCGCACGGTACCACAGGGTGACGACCTCATTAGAGAAGGTGTTGACGGGGATTCCGAAGGCGCGGGCAAGACCGAAATCGGCGAGCTTCAACTGGCCCTTGTTGTTGATGAGCAAGTTCTGAGGCTTGAGATCACGGTGCAGGACGCGGTTATCGTGGCAGAAGGCGATGCCGCGCAGGAGCTGGTACATGAACGACTTGATCGTCACGGGATCCAGCTGGCCTCTGTCACCGCGCGAATCCATGTACTTCTTCAGGTCCTTGTCCATGTACTCAAAGACGAGCATGAGCTTGTTCTCGGTGTGGATCACGTCGTGCAGCGACACGATGTTCTCATGCTTGAGCTCCTTCATGAGCGAGATCTCGCGGATGGCGGTCGACGGAGTGCCTTCTTCGGAGTCGAGATGGATCTCTTTCAGTGCGACAAACTCGCCCGTCTGGCGGTTGCGACCTTTGAAAACCTAGGCGGCGATTAGCAGCGGCACCGCAGCGCATGAATGTGGGGCGTCTTACTGTCGCATAGGTACCTTCGCCCAGCTTCTCCAGCTGCTGGAACGAACTCGGGTGTCTCTTGTCCATGGTTGGCAAGCCTTGTCCGTCACCGAGGTTGCGGACGCTGATGGTGGAGTCGGTGCGGTTGCCGACAGCGAGGGTTCCGACGTTGGTGGGCGGGAGGCGGGGAGGCGGCGGGCGGCGGGTGTACTTGGAGTTGAAAAGGATTGCGCTGGCGGTGGTAAGCTGTTCGGCGACAGCCAACGGCGAGGGAGGCGCGGTTGATGAGCGGGACGCAGCAGAGCGGGATGTGGGGTGCGCCGTGGTGGGCGGTCGTTGGGAGCTCTTATGAAAGAGCTTTGGCCGCTGGGAAGGCGAAGGAAACGGGCGCAGATCGTTGCTGCACTCAGGGATCGTGAAGGGTACGATGAGTGGGCGCGTGGTGGGGAGAACTGCGCGGCTGCCCAGTGCCTGCCGGCCAATCGTTTGTGAGCCCAGCGCCCGTGGCTGCCTCGTTCCATCGGCGCTTCTCACGGTCGTGCACGCAGTCGCCACAGCTTGACTCACTCGAATGTATTTCGTCCATGCCCAGTCTTTCCATCCTATCTGATACTCCTGAGTTCGTCTCAAGTGCCTCTTGTCACCTTAGTCGGCGCGATCCACCAGCACGCCCTCTCGTAGGATGCGGGCGCCTGAAGCATATCTGGACACAGATGTGAGTTTTAAATCCGTACAAATACTTTCAGGCACAGGACTCTACTGCCTACGTGGGTGGTCTATCTACATTTGTTCATCTCTAGACGAATAGAAACAAGTACAGGTGACATGTCGGTGCATCGCGCCGACTGAGGAGATACATGACACGTTCAAACTTCGTTCCCCTCATCAAAGAATCCTATTTGCCCCCGTAAACTCCTTAAGCTCCTGGCTATCATCTCCTACTGCAAAATCAATTCCTTTAATAAACTCGTCCTATCTTTGCGCACAAAGTAGAACACTAGAGCTACGCTCCAACCTTCGGTCAGGCGATGGAGCTGCCCATCCACCACGACCGCCGACAGTCACGCGGAATACGTGCTGAGGTATCCTCAGATCGAGGGTGAAAACCATGTAGCAACGTTACGGTACGGAGTCGCTTTCGTGATGGGGCCAGATGCTGTATTCTGGTGAAGCATCGTGAACGAGCGGGGGAAGCCAGCTATCAATCCCACCAGGCAGGGAATTGCGCATCGCATTGATGCACTCGGTCCTCCGGCCAGAAACGGAGTTCCCAATTACCTATGTGTAGGCCACTCGACCTAGGAGATGTTGCAAGGTAACGGCATGCAACTGCCGCTACTGATCAGTCTCACCGTGGTGTCGTCCAAGGGTCATCGTGACTTTGGTGAGACGAAAGCAAAGGTTACGCTGAAACCTGACTGTTTTCGTGGCCACGAGGTTTATGCTGACTTGCGTGGCTTTTGAGCTTGCGGGCACCTCAAACTGCGCCGCTGATGGTACTGCAGTTTTCCTCGTCGTTGTCGAGGACGGAAAAACACGGCACCATCTTCGAGACGCCTGTTTTGCCAATGGAGAACCAAGAAAGCGTCTCTGCAATGCCATAACTCAAGGGAGGCTGAACCTGATTCATCATCGCTTTTTCATCTGATGACACCCCAATCCTCAACAATGCCAAGACCTCCGGCTCGTTCCTTCTTTTTGAAGGCATTCCAGAACCTGAGCGTTTCGTCACCTGCTCCGGTGACAATCACTTGGCCGTCAGGGCTCATGGCAAGGTACAAAACACGGTAGGTATGGCCAGTGAGGCTGACAACTTGCTGCATGGACGGATATTTCCAGACGATGATCTGGTTTTGGCTATAACCGTGTGTCGAAACAATCTCGTTGCTGTTGCGGGACCACGCAAGGTTGCAGACCTGGGACCCTGTGTCCAGGCTACTTATCAAGTTCGCTGGGGTAGTCGTATTGGTGGGAGAGGCGGGATTCGAATGTTGGTAGGCCTGGGCAGCCATAGCAGCCGATGACGGCCCGTGGGGTGATATTTGCGTGTTCCAGAACTTGATCGTGCGGTCTGCGGTACCTCCGCCGGAAGCAAGCAGACCACGCTGGTGCGGGCTCCAGGATATGGCCTTGACAGCAGCCACGTGTTCGCTCCATTTGAAGGTGGGTTCTGCGTTGAGCTTCTCCCACACCATGAGCTTGTTGTCGTTTCCACCGGATGCAAGCTGGCCATCTTCCGAGTTCCACTTGAGACCGCAAACTTCCTGCTTGTGACCGACAAGCTTCCGCAGCCATTGATCTGGCTGTCGCACATCTCTGTGATAAATCAAACGATCACGCGAACCTGAAGTGAGAATATGCTCGTTCCACGCAAGAGCGCCAACCCGGGCCGTGTGGCCGGTCATGGTTCGGAGACGACGCTGCGTTTGGGCATCCCAGATCTGGACAAACCCCTTGTTTGTGCCAATGGCGACATGCGAGCCCTGATTCAGTTAGCACCTATGCTCAGCAACAGAACGATGAATAGAAGCCATACTCTTTGAATCCAGTTGACACTAGTCACCGTGTCGTCCGGGAGCTCACAGAGCTTGGTTACCCGGCCAGAACTCGAGTTCCACATATAAACGCACTGACCAAGGCCCACACCAAGAATGTTTTGGCTGCCCCAGTCCACAAGATTAAGGTAGAAATCATCGGCAAGATCGGGCGCGTCAAGCACTTTGTATGGCACCTTACTAACGGCCCTAGGCGTCTTCCTGGGGCTGAGAAGCATGACTTGACTGCTTCGTTTTACTGGCGAAAGGCTATAAAGCTCAGACCGAGCGTTTAGGTTCGGTCCATGACGGTGCGGGGTCTTGTGCGGGGTGGGATGACCTGAAGCGCTTGCATGCCGTGGAGACATGTAGGAGAAAAGGTTCTTGTGTGGGGTAGACGGTGTGAGACTAGTAGTAGGCAGCGACGATCGTCCCGGTGGTGTTTTTGACCGTGATGGGTCATGATAGGTGGTGCCTTCATTCAGTGAGATGCTCTGAGGAATTGTATCATCGAACATCTCCGAACGGAGGAGACTTGAGTATGTGCGGTTGGCTTCTTCAGCTGTAGGGAAGTTAGGCAAAGACCAATACTCCTGCTAGTTGAAATGTCCACGTACTTTTCTGAAAGTGAAGTTCATTGTGGGGCGTTCTTTTTGCCGACTTTGAGGGAGTTGCGGGAGAGCCATCCTCGTGCAACAAGCTAAAACTTGCAGGAAAGTCTTGCCCAGACCGGTTTGGAATAAATCTATGAAATTCCGGGTCAGCAAAAAGCCCCAGATGCCGTCCTCAAAAGCGTGCCGCGCGATAGCCTGGAAGAAGGCCCCCGCAGCCTCACTTCACCTACTGACCTGTCGCCATAGACCCTCTGTCTTTTTCTGCTAGGGCTCAGTCCAGGCGTGGGGTCACGCTGTCTGCCCACCTGTTGAAAGGATTCCAGCGCCTTGTTCAATGCAGCGGCGTCTATAGCTTCCGCGCTCTTTCCATTTCCAATTGCGCCGGGAGCGGTGATGTTGCGCTTATTGCGCGCAGTTGGGGGCGTCTTGGACTCCGGAGGCGATATTAAAGTCGGCGTGTGGACGTCATCGTTTGCGGCGCCAGCGCCTTCGGTGAGGCCAAGGTTGGCCGCTGCGTGCCTCATGGTCGACCGCCAGATCGAGTCGGGAAAGCCTGGGCGCCTGGGCACGGAGATACAAGCGACGAATCAAGCCGCAGGGGCGCAAGGATGCCGCGGGGTTGGGGAGAAGGCGGCCGTGGTGGGCGTCTGGAGGAGTGAATGCGACAACCAGCCACCCCTTGTAGTGGATTGGTGGGAGACTGGGTCGGCGGCGGACGGGAGCGGCGGCGGCGGCGTCGGGGACGGGCGCGGGGGGCCAGGGTCGATGTTCAGCGATTGCAATTGCTGTGCATTGCACGGCGGGGCCGGGTTCGGGGCGGGGCGCGGTGGGTGATGATGAGTCGCGGCAGCGGAGGAGCGTCGTGGAGTTGTTGCTCGTTGTGATGCGGGCCCGGCTGGGTTGCCCTGACGGAAGCTGATCTTCGCCCGCGCCGTGGAGCCGCGCACTACTGGACAGCCTGAGGCGCGCTACCTCACCACAGCAACAACAACGCAGCAACCGCAACAAAGGCACGAATCAAGTTCTGGGCGAGCAGAGGGCGGCGAGGACGTAAGGACGGTGAACAGCACGATGCAGGGCGCTGGGAAGGGAGCTGCGGGCGGAGGCGCTCTGGTCGCTCCGAAGCCCGGCTCTGTTGTTGTCGACACGTCCAAGACGCGCTTTGCGCCTTTGTTGTGCTCTCGGTCGCGTGGGTGAAACGCGCCTTCATTGGCCACCGGCCCACAGCCCACACTGCTTCGCACCAGCTCCCGCCCGCCGCTGCGCACCGCGCCGCTCTTGACCGCATTCGTCATCGAACGTCACGTTGCCCTGCATCTCGTGCCCGCCCGCCGCTTATCGAACTTCACCTGCTCCGCGCTTGTATGCCTTCCGCAGCCTTGTTGCTCAGAGTTTCCCCGCAGCGCTCCTCCACCGCGATCGTCGCCTTTGTCCGCACTCACGCACGCTCCGTTGTAACCATGGCTCCCACCCTGCAGCACGCCGAGGACTTCCTGTCCTTCGTGAATGCCTCCCCGACCCGTGAGGGATCCCTGCTGCATCGCTAGGAACGAACACCCCGGCGCTAATGTGCAACTCCAGCCTTCCATGCCGTTAAATCTGCAAGAGAGCGGTTGGAAAAGGCTGGCTTCACTCAAATCAAGGTCTGACACACGCCATTCCTTATGCACGCCGGCACGCGGTTTTGACTCGCATCTGCAGGAACGGGACTCGTGGGCCTCAACGCTCAAGCCTGGCGGCAAGTACTACCTCACCCGCAACGCCTCGTCCCTCGTCGCCTTTGCAATCGGCAAACAATGGAAGACCGGCAACCCTATTGGCATGATCGGTGCTCACACCGACTCCCCGTGCCTTCGCATCAAACCTGTGTCCAAGAAGCAGAGCGACGGCTTTTTGCAGGTGGGTGTTGAGACATATGGCGGTGGCCTTTGGCATACCTGGTTCGACCGCGATCTCAGTATCGCTGGCCGTGTCATGGTCAGGACCAGCGATGGCAGCTTCGAGCAGAAGCTCATCAAGGTGGATCGCCCTATCCTCCGCGTACCCACGCTTGCCATCCACCTCGACCGCCAGCAGGACTTTGTTTTCAACAAAGAGACCCAGCTGTTCCCCATAGCTGGCCTCGTTGCCGCGGAGCTCAACCGTCAGGGCAAGGGTGAGGGCGAAAGTACGGATAAGGTCGATGAGACCGGCCACTATGAGCCTCTGAAGACGGTCTCGGAGAGACATCATCCATACATCGTGGAGATCATTGCTGAACACGCTGGCGTCCAGCCTGTTGATATCCAGGACTTTGAGGTTGTTCTATACGATACTCAGAAGTCAGTCATCGGCGGCTTGAACGACGAACTCATCTTCTCTGCCCGCCTTGACAACCTGATGATGTCCTTCTGCAGCGTCGAGGGTCTCATCCACTCACTCTCGTCGCCCTCTGCCCTCGACAACGACCCCGCCATCCGTCTCATCGCCCTCTTCGACCACGAGGAGATCGGTAGCCAGACCGCCCAGGGTGCCGACTCCAACCTCCTGCCTGCAGTGATTCGTCGACTCTCTGTGCTCGCCCCGTCTGAATCCAACAGCGAGAAGTCGTATGACAAGCTCGACGTCGATGCTGCCACCGCGTTCGAGCAGACTCTTGCTACGTCCTTCCTCATCTCTGCCGACATGGCCCATTCCGTCCACCCCAACTACCCTGGCAAGTACGAGTCCAGCCATCGTCCGGAGATGAACAAGGGCACCGTCATCAAGATCAACGCCAACGCTCGTTATGCCACGAACTCGCCGGGCATCGTTCTCTTGCAGGAGTCGGCGCGCCGGGCGAAGAAGGCGTCTACCAACGTCAACACGGCGTCGGCCGAGGGTGTTCCTCTGCAACTGTTCGTCGTTAGAAACGATAGTAGCTGTGGCAGCACCATTGGTCCTATGTTGGCCGCAAAGATGGGCGCCAGGACCCTGGATTTGGGCAACCCGCAACTGAGCATGCACAGTATTCGTGAGACCGGTGGCGCTCACGACGTTGAACATGCGATCAACCTCTTTGAGAGTTTCTTCGTTCACTTTGGCGAGCTGGAGAAGAAAATCTTTGTCGATTAGATGTCGAATTTGACATATATGTGTTATGAGTATCGTATGAGCATATGAGAAAAGAAAGCAATAAATCTGGATTCGCAATCCTTGAGATGTGATAAGCTAGGTCTGTCGGTAAACGGAAGGCAAAGATTGATTAGTATCTCCCTGGACATCAGGGTGTTGCTACAACCTGCGATGAGGTCATCGACGACGTAAATTCATCTTCTACCACATGTTATTATTACCCTTTTCACGTGCATAACCATTTGCCCCTGTGGGGCTCAGCTCTTCCACGATTCAACTTCCCCGCGAACTCGCATTTGGATTCCCGCGTTGTCTCCTTGCCATTTCAGGAACCAAGTCACATAGGTACGCGTTCACTTCGCTCAACTTACGCGTTTTTCCCAACAACGAAAAGTGATGCCGCGATCGCGCGCAGGGGACGCGGATCAGTGTCGAATGGAAAAGTATATGCTGCAAGGAAACGGCGAAGCTTTGCAAAGCACGGGATCCCCCCGAATGCGGCAATCCCGATGGCACCGCCTTGCAGCCAGCGACCTGGCGAAGCTTTTCATCATTTCAGTCTGTGTACCACTGCAGCGATGGGCGGTGGGCGGTGGGCGGCAAAAAGGGACCACCACCCCGAAAGTGCCACATGGACCGAAGCTCTCGGGCAACCTCTATGCAAGGGGCGGCGTCGGTTGACCGCGTACTCATAATAACACTCGCCAATGATGATGCTCCCGTGACATGAATCGCAACACTCAGAGTCCGAATGTATTATATCCTTGGCAGTGTAAACGCTCCCATCACATGCGCCAGGAAATGTTTGCTTAATTCCATTGCTGATTCTCTTGCTGATTGACCGGTCATAACCCGCTGTAAGATCCACGCCAGCCTACGCCGTAAAAGCAAGTCACGTCCTCCCCCCTCACTTCCTTCCACCAATGCTTTCACCGCCCGAATCCGTTTGATTCTCCTCCCCCAAGGTCAATTTCCAGGAGACGCCAACGCATTAATTCCCTAGCGCCGGTTCCGCAAATCACTCGGGGGAGAGACGGGGGCAGGTTCGTTTGTAGCGTGCTGCGGGCCCAGGGGGGGGGGGAAATGGTCGGCCCCGGCACGCCATTGGTCTCAAGGCATGCTTCATTATTTATGTCGCCTTCTTCGCCTGCGCCGCCTTCAGGGCCTTCTTCCTGTTGCTGCGGATCATAACGCTGGCCAGGAAGCTGCCGACGACGGTGCTGCCGAGCAGGACGAGGATGACGGGGATGCGGATGGCCCAGACGCGCGGCGGGAAGAGGGACTGCAGAGGGTGGTCCTCGTCGACGAAGGGCTGTTACAGACGGCAAATGTCAATTCACGGATCGCGCTTCTTTGTTTTCTTTCGTTTGCGAGGGTTGCGGGCGAATGGTGGAGTGGGCGGTCCGTTTTGGGAGAGGGATGGCGAGGGGTGCGCTATACCATCAACAGGGTCCAGACGGTGTAGTAAGTGAAGACGGTGGTTGCTACGATGAGCATGGCGAATCCGACGAGGCGATCGAGCTGCGGGCGCATCACATCAGCATTCGCGCATTAACCTTGAAGCTCGGGGACAGGGCTTCCACAGACAGAACTTGCCATTGTGAAGCGGAGTCGGGAGGTTGCGATTACGGGGGCGGACTAAAAGGAGCGGAAGAGAGCGAAAAGAAGAGCGAGCAAAGAGCGTGTGGTAATTGGCGACCAGGGTGTGTGGTGAGTTCGTGAGCGGAAACGGCAACGTTTCTGGGGAGAGGACACGGAGGGCTGATGAGCGAGCGCAGACTACCTACGCCCTGCGCCGCCGCGGAGCACAGGCTTGCTTGGTTGAGCCGGGAGCTTGGACCACACTCGCGGCACTTCTGTTTCGCCGGGGCTCCGGAGACTAGCTCCTGCCTTCCATAAATGGAAAATTCTCGCGCAAACCTTCTCTGGTTTCTCAACGTTTTCCTCTGGCTTCAGGGTGTGTAATTCTGCGATATCGCGCGCCCGCTACACTAGATTATTGCCATCCCGCTATAGATCCATGTGCACACAGCTTGCTCTATGCTTCAGCAAGATGGACGCTCAAGTTACACACGGTATTTCCTATTCAGTCAAGCCGACCATAGTACCGGGACCTACAGAACCTACGCAGACTCTCACAATTTCGCGGTGGTCACGTGGTCCCAAGAACGAATTATTTTCCCAAGCGTGTTCTACAGGCTGTCCTACCCGCCTTGTGCTAGTGGTGGAGAGCTTTACTTTCACGCTTACACGCACTCGAGCCCCTCTATTATCACGTCTCGGCGACCAGATTAGGACACGTCAATAACCAATCGCTTACACGAGGAGACCGCCGCAACGAGACTGCAAGTTCAGCAGTTGAATTATTACTTGTCATTATTATTGTTGTGCTCGTCTTAATAAACGAGCCCGAGATGTTGAATTATTATCGCTTTCCCGCGGGTATCATCGTATCGCCGCAACCAAACACCGGACGAAAAAGCCCACCATGTCAAAACCCACTTTTTTTAAGCACAAACCAGCCCATCCTCTTCTATTCATTCCCCGTCCCGGACCTTGACGAAGACGCTCCGCGACCAGCCGTCGTCGTCGACGAAGACCTCCTTGTGTAGCTTGTAGCCGCCCAGCTTGGGCAGCAGCTGGGCCCAGACGAGCCAGTACACGCCGCCGGCGAGGACGATGGCGGTGCCGACAACACAGTGCAGCCAGTACGGCAGGTCGTTGTACACGTTCTGGTCGGCCGTCTCCGGCGGGATGTACGGCGCAACAACGAGGTAGATGTTGGAGAGCAGGAAGAAGATGGTGACGGGAAGAGTGGCTTTGATCGGCGGGTTCCAGTGGTACTTCGCGCGGTTGAGATAGAGGTGCACGAGGCCACCAGAGACGAAGACGTTGACGATGGCCAGCGGGTAGGAGATGACGTTAAGGACTGCAGGGTTGTTAGAAGGCTGCACACACAGTAAGAGAAGGAATGTGACATGCGACTTACTGAAGTTGTAGGCATCTCCGGGGGGAGGGGCAAGCATGATGATGACCGAGACAAGCCAGTGCTCGAACAGGCCAGCCAGCGGCGCGTTGAAAGGCTTGTTGCTCGCGAAAAAGCCCGAGAAAGGGAGGATGCCCTCGCGACCGAGCTCCTGGACGATACGACCCTGGGAGAAGATGACGGACATGACATTGCCGAAGGCGGACAGCGCGACAAAAACGGAGAGCGCGCGCTCAGCCCTAGGACCGAAGACGTTGCGGAAGAAAGAGGCGGCAAGGATGCGGCCGCTGGTGGCAATCTCCTCGCGGGGAACGGCGGCGAAGTAGGCGATGTTGACAAGCATGTACATGATGCCAACGGTGATGATGGCGATGGGCGCGGCGCGCTTGAGGGTGCGGACGGGGTTCTTCATCTCGGACATGGCGTAGTTGGCATTGCTGTAGCCGATGTACGACCAGATAACGTTGTAGAGTGCCGTCACGACACCGTACGAGGAGCCGGTCGTGCCCTCAAAAGCGTTCGAGAAGTTATCGGGCTTGTCGATCTTGAGGTGGCCACCGAGAGCCGCGAAGCCGGAAACGATGATGATCAGGATGATGATGAGCTTGATAACGCCCAGCAGGTTCTGCAGGCGCAGGCCCCACTTCAGGGCCAGGCCGTGGATCAAGAAGGCGGTGGTGATGCAGGCAAGACCGATACCACGCTGGTTCCAGCGGTTGACCTCGACGTTGGCAGCGTTCAGGATGTATTCGCCGAAGGCGACGGAATTGGAGCCCGCCCAACCAAGAAGGATGACATAACCGGTCTGCACGGAGAAGTCAGTGGTTTGTATTCACTTGATATTCAGACGACTTACGTAGAAACCAGTGACAAGGAACTTCGGCTTCGTGTACACATATTCGAGGTAGTTCTTCTCACCACCGTTGCGAGGAAGGCCAGTTCCGAACTCCTACATTGCGAATCAGTTGCGGCCCAGATATTAGACTTCCAACTGGCTGTACTTACAAGGTACACGGCCATACCCGCAGCAGCAATAAGCATACCAGCGACCCAAATGAACAGCGCAAGACCCACACTTCCACTCAGAGCCACGATGCTGGAAGGAGTGGAGAAGATACCAGTGCCGATCATGCGGTTAAAGATGCTGCACAGACGATCAGACCAACTGCCGGGTACCACCAGGATGGTGGGATTGGTTGCTTACAGGAAAATAGCGCTGGTAAGACCAATGGTCCTTCTGGAATCACTGGTCTGATAGATCTCTCCGCCATGCTCGCTGCCCTTGTCAGACTCAGGGTAAGTAGGAGCGGACTCCTCGACGGGAGAGTCGTCTCCTTTGCCCTTGAAGGTAAACATGGCGACAGAAAGGGCAGTGGCAGTGGTCAATGTTCCCTCGGTAGTACTAGACCAAAATAAGGGCCGAGGCAGGCTACTTTCCAGTAGTGTGCCGGCAAGTAGGGTGGGTGTGGGACAATGGCAGTTGGAACAATAGGGCTCGGGCTGTTTGAGCACTGAGCCGGAGCTCTAGATACATACTGGTCGGCAGCGTGCAGAATTTTCCGCAGGCAAGATTGTGCAATTCGCCTTTAGAAGGCGTCATCCGCCAAGTGGGCTATTTTGGCCGGTTTCTGCAAAATCTGAGGTAACGAAAATCCCGCGCGTGGACCGGCCGCGGCGCAAAACAGCCACAGCATGTCGCCTTCGCCCGCCCGCTCCTGCGCGCAGCTACCTGAGATTGCTACCTACCTGTTCCGCTCTACTTCAGATGCCAGCGGAGCAGCCAAGGGCGGAACACAGATCCCTTGGCGGCGACCAGTTGCGCCCCGTCGTGTTCAACATCGCGGCCAAGGAGCTTGGTCCGCGTTCGGTCGGACCATGCATTCGTACGACGCGTGGAGACCGCCGGTCGGCGGCATTGTCGGGCATGTCCGTGGCCTCGAAGAGTCGTGGAAGCCGCAGCTTCACCATTACAGGCTGTTGTAAGCTCCTGTGCTCGTTGGCGATGTGTTGGGGAAGGACTGGAGTCTTGGCTCAAAAGTCTCAGGCCGCTGCTAGCCGCAGCAAGCAATTCCTTGCGTTCTATTAGTGGCCGGGGACTGCACCGTGGCTGCCCATTGAGACGGCCACGACTTCCAGAAATGCCGCATCCCATTGTCATCATCCCGGGCCACATCACAACATCCACGACGCCACACGGCCTGCCTGCCGCTGCGCCGCTTGCAATGCTTCAGCCCTATGGCAAGTCCGCTCATGGCCCTTCTAGAAGCCCGCATCATCCCACATGTAGACAGTCGCGCGGCTCGACGTCGCAGTCATCCCGCGCCAGCACGCCCAACCCCAACGCCCAGAGTTGCAGCTGACGCTTGCGAATATACGGCACATATGTCGTCTTCTCTCATGCTCACACGACAGCCTTTAGCATCGCACATGGTCCTTTCGACTTCAGTGGCCTCGAATCTCGCATTCGCTTGCTTCCGTCTGCGCATAACTGCAGACTGAGGCTGGACCCTTGTGTACTTTTCGCTCTGGCCCTTTTGCGCCATCCATCTTCTTGCCGCTGCCACAAGCGAATTTGGTTTTTCATCTTCATTTCGCTGTCATCAGACCACGCTGATCATATGGCTCCAATGCTAATAAGAGCAAAAGTCGACGAGACCTAGATAGATCCAGTATCGCGATATGCTGGACTTCAACGACAGGAGACCGTACAAGCCTTCCGGCCAACGATAGCATGGCGCATTTAGCGAGCGACGTACGGTTCCCCAGCTTCCACGGGGTTTCCCCTAACTCTTCGCACTCTTCGTTTCCGCCCTGTACGGGTCTATACGATATCCTAACCTCCAAACATCCTGATTGAAATGGGTTTCATCATCCATGACTTAGATGAAAGTCTTCCCTCCCAGGCGTCCTTGAAAATTTGGACGGATTGTTTCCACTCTCAACAGCGACTGTAGCGATTTTCGATGCTATTTCTCAGCATCCAGACACGAGATCGCAAGCCGGCTCGATTCTCCGTCCCAGCGTCACTCCCGCCATCGCTACTTTCGACTGTAAAAAAGCTTGAAGCCCCGACGTATTAAACGCTCACAGATATCCCCGGGTCCTGATCATCCGGGCACATGTCCCGATGGCGGGGAGTACTTCACCAATCCGCAACGATGACGCGCAACCTCTTCCCCAAAATGCGGGGAAGCTCGCCTTCCGTTTCCCATCTCCCATCTCATTATTTCCTGATCCTAACTACTGACTCGAAACAGCCGCAATTTGATTCACATTTAGCCTGATTGCGCGACTCACGAAAACGCCCCGCTTGACCGTGCCCGCGTAGATCTACCCCAGGAAATCAAACTGATCAAAGGCTAGATACATACATATACGAGACGGATACCCGATCGGTGCCACTGCTCGCAATGACAACAGCGCCCAACTTCCCCTGGCTACCTTGAAGTGCGCGCCTCCCGTCCTCCCAACATGCTGCTGCTCCACGAGGCCAGCCTCTCCCGCTCGACGCTTCTCCTACGCTGCACCATCGCAATAACAATCCTCTTCACGCAACTCGTCGCCAGCGCCAGCACCCCGTACGAAGCGACCTTCAACCGGCGGCAAGATGCTGCAGGCGCCACCACCAACCACACGTCCGGCCGCTGGCTCTCCGCGTGGACGTCGATGCCGCAACTGACCGAGCCCGCCAACCTGCCGCCCGTCCCCTTCAACAACAGCGATGACGGCGTCATCTTCCGCAACGCCACCATCCGCCAGACGATCCGCGTGACGGCCGGCACCTCGCGCGTGCGGCTGCGCCTCTCCAACGCCTTCGGCCTGGCGCCCCTGCCCATCACCGCCGTCGCCATCGGCAAGCCCGCGTCGCCGTACGGCAACGGCACCGGGCTCGCCGGCTCGCCGGCCGTCGACGTCTCGACGCTGCGGACGCTGACCTTCTCCGGGTCGCCCAACTTCACGGTGCCGAACGGGGCGCTGGTCGTGTCCGACGCCGTCGACGTGGACGTGGGCGGCGGCGGCCTCGCGCCCGGCGACGAGCTGAGCGTCAGCGTCTACCTGGCCGAGGGCCAGGCGGGCGGCGCCATCACCTCGCACCCGGGGTCGCGGACGAGGTCGTGGCTGGCGACGGGCGACTGGACGGGGGCCGCCGACCTTCGGGGCGGCGACGATGCGGCCAGCGTCGCGCACTGGTACTTCATCAGCACGCTGGACGCGTGGGTGCCGTCGTTTTCGTCTTCGTCTTCATCTCTCTTGGGCGGCGGCGGCGGCACCCTCGCCATCGTCGGCGACAGCATCACCGACGGCCGCGGCAGCACCACCGACGGCAACGACCGCTGGCCCGACGCGCTGCTCGACCGTCTCCAGCAGCAGCAGCAGCAGGGATCGAATTCCTCCTCCTCCCCCCCCTTACTCGCCCGCATAGCCATCGCCAACCAAGCCGCGGGCGGCAACCGCGTCCTCGCTGACGGCTTGGGCCCCAACGCGCTGGGCCGCTTCGACCGCGACGTGCTGGCGCAGCCGGGCGTGGCGTACGCGCTGCTCTTCGAGGGCGTCAACGACATCGGCAGCGCCGCCGACGAGGCCGGCGCGCAGCGCGCCGTCGGCGACGCCCTCATCGCCGCGTACAAGCAGTTCGCGCTGCGCGCCCGCGCCGCGGGGCTGCCGCTGTTCGGCGCCACCATCACCCCGTTCAACGCGCCCGGCTTCGACGCCGCCGCCCAGCCGTACTCGGGCCGCGAGAGGGAGCGCACGCGGCAGCGGGTCAACGAGTTTGTGCGGAATAGTGGGGGCGTCTTTGACGTGGTTGTCGACTTCGATGCTGCGGTCAGGGATGCGGATGATGAGACGATGTTGCGGGCGGAGTATGATTCGGGCGATTATTTGCATCTGAATCCGGCGGGGTATCGGGCCATGGCTGACGCGTTTCCTGTAGATGCGTTGGTGCAGTTTGCGGGAGGCGTGGATGGATATGCGTAAAGGGGCTGTTGTGGGTGTTAGGAATTGATTTGTTGATATTACCAAGACCACAGTCGGTCAGAGCAATGCTATACTATTTGATGGCAGGGGAGGGAGTTTTGTAGAGAGAGATTAGCAACGTAATGTGGCCTGTGACGGTAAAGGCAGAAGGACAGTTAGCGAGTTCAAAGAGTAGTGGAATAGGCGCGATCGAGCTGTTTGAAACATTTGAATTCGTACGAAGATCTACATGTCGACATTCACAATTTTTGTTTGCTCACTTCGCTTCTGTGATCGTGAGCTACTGTCCGTTACCTGACGACTGTGGTCTGGCAGACGTACTACGCGAAAAGGTGCTTCGCAGCCCACTCCACGTGCTCATCCGCGAAGGTGGCCATGAAGAAGTAACTGTGGTCGTAGTCTGGCTGCATGCGTAGGTTGATGCCCTTGTCGTTGCCTGCTTCCTTGGCCGCAGCAATGAAGTTCTCCGGCAACAGCTGCTTCTGCTTGTAGAAGTTGTCGCCGGTACCCTGGACAAGACAGATGGTGGTTAGACAAATGTGCGATAGAGTGGAACAAAGGGAGCGGGCTAAACTTACCACATCGATGAGCATTTCTAGCGGGCCCTTCCACTGCTTCACCAGCTCGGAGGCATCGTGCTCCTTCCACTTGGCCTGGTTCTCCTCACCGAAGTAGCCCTTGAAGGCTTTCTGTCCCCACGGGCAGTTGATGGGGTTGGAAATGGGCGCGAAGGCGGAGACAGACTTGTACTTGCCCGGGTTCTTCAGGAACTGCCAGCATGAATTGTGAGCCACAGACTGTTGGAATCGCGACGGCTGTGCTGCATTTAACATCGGAATCAACATACCAGCGTCAAAGCGCCGTGGCCACCCATGCTGTGGCCGGTAATGCTAACCCTGCTGCTGTCCAGAACCTCAAAGTCCGCGAACAGCGTCTCGGGCAGCTCCTTCGTGATGTAGGTGTACATGTTGTAGCCCTTGTCGTAGGGCGCATTGGTCGCATCGACGTAGAAACCGGCACCGCTGCCAAAATCGTAAGAATCGTCTTCGCCCTGGATGCCCAGGCCACCTGCAGGGTTCGCGGAAGCACCGGTTAGCTGTTGCCCAATTGTTGGGAGATGCGAGATCGCCCGATGGCCCATTCCGAGAGGGAAATGCGGGGTTGTCCTTACGAGGGCTGGTGTCGGGGTACACGACGGCGATGCCCTTCTCGCTGGCCTTGTGCTGGAAGAAGCCCTTCTCGGAGCAGTTGTCGCCGGTGCACGTCAAGCCGGACAAGTAGAAGAGAACGGGGACCTTCTGCGTCATCTTTTGCGCGGAGAAGGCCTGCGGCGGCAGGTAGAGGTTCAGCGCCATCTTGCAGTTGGTCGCCTTCGCCTCGTGCGTGAGCTTCAGGAGCTTGCCGCCGAACGAGGCGATGGTTGCAGTCGTCGTGAAAGCCATTGTGCCGTGAGCCTAGAACTCGGTAATGTTCAGGTGAAAGGAAGAGGGTATCAGTGAAGAATTGGGGAGAAACAAGCGCGGGCGTGGTGTTTTGAAGGTCCAGTCGGAGCTCTGATTAGTGGGGTCAACATTCAAGCTCAAAGGAGGGGTCGCGCTGCCGATTCGTGACGTCTGTTGGCGCCCAGCCCACTTCTCCGCATTGCCGCGAACAGCAACATATTCCGGCGTCGTGGAGAAAAATTCCATTTGCAGTCAACTCATGGGATTTTGTCTAGCTATTACTCAGCATTGGCCCGCATCTGCTTGCGATGCTCTTTTCGTCCTGTAAACTCCCGTCGCCATTCCAAGAAACCATTCAATGCCACCCAGAAAACTCCGCGTCAAATGCCTGTCCTGCTTGCCGTCGGCAACTAGAGGAGTTCCTCGCACGTCCAATCCTCGTAGCTATCCATGAAACATTAGCCCTTGTGGGTGGCCTGCCACCTGACCTTCGCGAAACTCACAATCCATCAGGAAGGTATCTCCGCACAACGAGAGGGATCTTCTTTTCCCGAAGCTCTTTGAGCGCGATCTGCAGAGGGTCCGTCTCGCCCTCCAGATCGACAAGGACAGGCGCGTTCATGCTATAGCCGTGTCAGTCCATCCCCGCCCACCACGACTTTGCTATGTCCCATCCTGTAGCGTACCTGATCTGCAAAGCCCGTGTACCCAGCACTCTGGCCCTTTCGTACTTTGTCATGTAAGGAGTCGTGGTACGCTGGTCGTCCGGAACCTTCTTTTTGCTCTGTTCCTGGACCGAGTTGATTTTTGCTGCAGCGGCGGCGCTGACATCTCCGGTGACAACGACGTTCTCGCCGTCGCGCCTGTGCTGATCTGGGTCCTCCTGGCCACCAGCGACGTCCTCCTCGTCATCGTAATAATACGCGCCAGGCTCTTCGGGCTCGTCGAAGTCCTCATAGACCTCGTCCTGGACGCTGTTTGCCAAAGTCGTCAGTAAGACTGATAACAAGGATGATGATTCGAGCAAAGAACATGTCAAAGTAACAACAGCCGCATAGAATGGGTACATCCGCTGTCTAAACCACACAAATGTTCCAGGTGTGCGACAGCGGGGGAATAGGACGGGTGCATGAGAAGCGCTTACTTGTCGAGGCCACCATCATCGTCGCCTCCGCCGTAGTCGGACATCTTGCGCGGAAAGTGGTAGGAGAGTGTTCAAGGAAGGTAGCGACGGAGCGCGCAGGCGATCGCGGTGGTAGGTGGAGTGTGGGGAATCGGAGCGCACACCCGTCGGACAGGTGAAAGAGAAGGCGCGACGCCAACGGGAACCGCGTCAAGAATTCACTAGCGTTGCCAAGATTCGAAATTCTGCCGCGCCTTACCGCCCAATTTTTCCAGACACAACCCGCCGACAGCTCTCCTCCGCAACACCTTCCTTCACCTTCCTTCCTCTTGTCTGCCTCGTGGATGTTAAAATTGCTGTCGCAGTCATCATGGCTGCTGCTGTGACATTGCGCAAGAGGCCAGCTTCCCCCTGGGGTTCTGAGCTGCCTCAGTCCAAGAAAGCCCGTCAAGGTCAGCAAGTTCGCCGGTGCGCTTGTCTCGGAAGACGTCACTAACATGCTCCAGAAGACCCTACTCTGCAGGAATCCGATGCAGCCTCAAATAATTCGCAAGCCGCTTCCGACAAGTCTTCGACCGCAGACGACGATGCTGTAACCGCTGACACTCCACCCTCTCCGGCGCCGTCTCAACCCAAGAAGAAGCCCTCCCGGCCCAACGTATATCACTGCACCTTCGAGGGTTGTGGAAGGTCATTCAATCGCCCGTGTCGCCTCGAGGAGCATATCCGATCGCACAACAATGAACGCCCTTTCGCTTGCACATTGGATGGGTGCACCAAGACATTCATTCGTCAGACGCACCTCAATCGGCATGTCAGGGATGAACACGAGAACATCCGAGAGTATACTTGCGATTGGCCCGATTGTGGAAGGACATTTGCGAACACGACTCGGTTGAAGAGGCACATTGAAGCTCATGAAAGCAAATTTCACTGCACCGACTATCCTCCCTGTCGCGAGGTTTTTCGCAAGCATTCCACTTTGCAAAAGCACATTCGTTCGGCACACCTGGGCCAGAAGAAGTACCAGTGTCCTCACCTTGACCCGGATACTGGAAATCCTTGCGACCAAGCCTATGACTCCCCTTCAAGTCTAAAGGCTCACGAAGGACGAGTCCACGGTGGCATCAAGCATTACTGCACTCAGTGTGCAACTGATCCTGACAACCCGTTCGAGACCTCACTGGGCTTTTCGACTTACGCAGCCCTGCAGGTTCACATCAAGGAAGCACACCCTCCCACTTGCGAACACTGTAACCTCCGCGTGTCCACCCACAAGCAACTCCAAGCCCATGTCGAACTCATGCACAGCGGCCTCTCCTTGGAAGATCGCAAGAAGAAGTTCCCCTGTCCCTACCCCGATTGTGAGTCCAGCTTTACGAAGCAGGGAAACCTCAATATGCACATCAGGCATGCTCATGAAAATGCCGATAAGTGGATTTGTGGTGAGACGGACATGAAGTGCAGCAAGAAAAATCACATCAAGGCGTGGAACGGCGAAGGAGGCTGTGGACGCGGATTCTCTTCTAAGGGTAACCTAGAGGAGCACATCCAAACGCAACATCTCGGCATGGAGGCCACACGTAAATCGAAGAAGCAGGAGAAGCTCCTGAAAGAAGGAATTGACCCCAACGCACCGGCATCGAAGAAATCCCGCTCCCGCGAAGCAAAAGTCCCGATGGCCACCCGGCTCACTGGCATCGACTACAACGACGCCACAGGTCGTGATATCACCTGTTTATTCGATGATTGCGAAAACCGCTTTTACCGCGACTATGATCTTCAAGTCCATCTGGAAGCGGCACACGGTATGGATGGCGCGGAAGCGATTGAAGCGATCAAAGAGCGTGGTGCCAACGAAGGCGGCAATTTCTGGATCGGTGGTTTAGATGAAATGATGGGAGAACCAACGGGAGAGCACTATGAATGGGATGAAGAAGACTGGAAGGCGCAGCAAGAGCTGGATCGCAGGGCTGGTATTTTCAATGCCGGTCCGCCAGTGGACATTCACAATGCTGCTTTGGGCAGGGAGCCTCAGCATGGAGAGGTGTACAATGCTGTCTGGAACTACCTCCATGACCCGAAGGAATAGACGTGGGACTTCGGCCCAAGTTTGTGGAGGATGCTTGTGACGGTTGCTGGCAGTGTCACACCATGGAAGAGTCGTGGCTAGAGGCTACTACACGCCTTTCATCAGGCGAAGGAATTGGGATCAAAAGCAACGACAAAAAAGCTGGATCGAAGAGGAATTCGGGAGTAATATTGCAAAGGACTGAGAAAAGGTAATATGGTTTGGCTGTATCGATACCCTCCACAGAGACGCCGTTCTCGTTGGAATCTTTCAAGTGGCCATGTGCTCTGAAAGAAAAGGCATTTGTTTGGCGGCTGGCGCACATTCAGGGGTGAGGATCTTTCAAGGTTCATTTTTTTCCTCCAATTGCTGTGAGCGTAATAATTAGCGAGCTTCCTCCTGGCTAGAATTCTAGTAAAGAAATGGTTCATACTATTCGCGGTTCAAGAGACATTTTAATGATCTTGGCCGTACTTCAGTTGTCTAAATAATTCTACCTTTTCACAAGAGGACCTAAGCCTTCGTTTTCGAGAACTTGACGTGCCAAATCAAACTCCCTCGTTTGTTCACTTGCTGCCGGTCCTGTAGATATATATGGATCCTGGCTAGCAGGAGTGAGGTGACGAATGGGAGCACGGGCCACATGTATGGCTGCCAGGAGCTTGGGCGGCGGATGGTTTTGCCGTAGTCCCTGCGACTTTTGCCTGCGCGCCTTCCACCACCAGCAATCACCACTTCGCCAACCCTCGCCGCTGCTTCCAACTTGTTTTTCAACAGGCTCGGCCACCGCTCGCCGCGCGAGCTGTCATCCGCCCAGCTTCGCATTCGTGGTCGTGGCCCGACACCAGTGTCCCCCGCGAAACGCCCGCTGAATCCCACCCCATCACGACGTCAACTCAGCAGCCATGGAGATCGAGTCTGCCGTCCGCATCCCGTCGCCCGAGCCCGAGCGCCCGAGAAAGCGCTCACCTCCGTCGCGTTCCCCGTCTCCAAGGCGCTATCGGTCCCCTCCGCGAGGGAGGTCGCGTACCATCTCCCCCGACCACCGCGATGACGACCGGGCACGCGACCGTGACCGCGACGACCGCCAGCGCGATCTGGAGCTCCGCGCCAGACAGCCGTCGCCACCGAAGCCGGTGACGGAGGAGCAGAAGCAGGCCGCCGCGAAGGCCGAGTACGAGAAGTTGCTCAATATGCGCTCCGGAGGCACCTACATTCCGCCCGCCAGGCTGCGCGCGCTCCAGGCCCAGATCACGGACAAGTCCAGCAAGGAATACCAGCGTATGGCATGGGAGGCGCTCAAGAAGTCGGTCAACGGTTTGATCAACAAGGTCAACGTGTCCAACATCAAGTTCATCGTGCCTGAGTTGTTCAACGAGAACCTGGTCCGTGGACGCGGCCTATTTTGCCGGAGTATCATGAAAGCACAAGCCGCTTCTCTCCCGTTTACCCCGATCTACGCTGCCATGGTGGCCATCGTCAACACCAAGCTTCCGCAGGTCGGCGAGCTGCTTGTTACCAGGTTGGTTGTACAGTTCCGGAAGGCCTTCAAGCGAAACGACAAGGCTGTTTGTTTGTCGTCCACGACCTTCCTTGCCCATCTTGTCAACCAGCAGGTTGTGCATGAGATGCTGGCCGCTCAGATCCTCCTTCTACTGCTCCACAAGCCTACGGACGACAGTGTCGAGATTGCGGTGGGGTTGACGAGGGAGGTTGGCCAACATCTGGAGGAAATGTCGCAGCCCATTGCTCTGGCTGTGTTCGACCAGTTTCGGAATATCCTCCATGAGGCTGACATCGACAAGCGGACGCAATACATGGTTGAAGTTCTGTTCCAGGTCAGGAAGGACAAGTACAAGGATAATCCATCGGTTCGGGACGAGTTGGATCTGGTTGAAGAGGAGGACCAAATCACGCACAAGATCGGCCTTGATGATGAGGGGTTGGAAGTGCAAGATGGCCTCAACATTTTCAAGTACGATGCTGAGTGGCAGGAGCACGAGGATGCTTACAAGCAGCTGAAGGCTGAGATCCTGGGCGAGGCTGAGGGAAGTGATGACGACGAGGAGTATGAATCGGATGAAAGTTCGGATGAAGAAGAGGAGAAGAAGGATCGCGAGCTTGAAATCAAGGACCAGTCGAACACTGATCTCGTCAATCTCCGCCGAACAATCTACCTCACAATCAAGTCGAGTGGTGGATTCGAGGAGTGTTGTCACAAGTTGATGAAGATCAACCTCCCGGCAGGCTACGAGTCCGAGCTTCCCTCGATGATTGTCGAGTGCGCCTCCCAAGAGCGCACATACGACAAGTTCTACGGTCTCATCGGTGAACGTTTCGCCAAGCTGAACAGACTTTGGAGGGATCTGTTTGAAGAGGCATTCGTAAAGCACTACGACACGATCCATCGGTACGAAACGAACCGTTTGCGTATCGTCGCGCAGTTTTTTGGTCACCTTCTTGCCAGCGATGGGATTGGCTGGCACGTATTGTCATCCATTCGCCTGAACGAAAACCAGACCACTTCATCCAGCCGTATCTTCATCAAGATACTCTTTGAAGATTTGGCTCAGTCGATGAGCATGAAGAAGCTTGCCGAACGTATGAGAGAGGACATGCTGCAACCCTACTTCGACGGCATTTTCCCCAAGGACGAGAGCAGAAACACCAGATTTGCTATCAACTTCTTCACGGCTATCGGGATGGGTGTGCTCACGGAGGACATGCGCGAGTATCTCAAGAACATGCCGAAGCCAGCCCCTCCTCCAGCTCTACCAGAGCCGGAGAGCGACGGCGAGAGCGCTTCGTCGTACTCGAGCTACTCGAGTTACAGCTCACGGTCGAGGTCTTATTCACGGTCGCGATCGCCATCCAGGTCGCGGAAGCGCAGGGCCAGCCACTCAGAGTCACGGTCAAGAAGCCCACGTGGAAGGAGTCGGTCAAGGTCTGAGTCGTACACTCCTCCGCCTCGCCGCAGGCGCGACAGGAGTTATTCAGAGTCTGTCTCGCGCAGCAGGTCACCCACTCCAACTCGTCGCCGTACGGACCGCTCGTACAGCGACTCAGTCTCACGATCCCCACCACCTCGACGCAGACGAGCTACGTCATCGATGTCTCGTTCTCCGTCACCGAAGCGGAATGGACGCGCAAGAGAGTCGGTCTCGCGTTCGCCCACGCCCCCGCGAGCAGCACGCAAGGCTCGCAGCCCTTCTGCATCTCGTTCGCGCAGTGCACCCCGCCGCCGCAACCGTAGCCCGAGCTACTCGTCGCGCTCGCGCAGCCCTGCGCCGAAGAGCAAGCGTCGCCGGTACAGCAGCTCCCCCTCACGGAGCCTGAGCCGGTCACCACCGCCGAAACGCAGGTCTCCAGTCAGCCGCGAGGACAGGAGTTCCCGCGCGGATAGAGATGACCGTCGCGCTCGCAGGCGGAACACTAGTTCGGTGGAGGCTTCGCCGCCTCCCAGGTCGAAGGCTAGTGGCGCAAGGCGCAGGAGTCCGTCAGTCAGTGTGTCGAGGAGCAGAAGCAGAAGCCGGAGCGAAACGCCAGCGAAAAAGGAAGACGGGGGAAAGAGCCGTGCTCGGGCCAGTGATTATCTGTAAATATATGGGATGTTGGGGAGTTTCGCGGGTAAAAAACGCTGGGCTGAAGAAGCAAATTGATTGAGTCGGGAAATTGCCGGGCGCTGATAGGGCGGTGAGGAGCTCAGGCGGGTTTCAGGGTGTCATAGCTTGGAGCGCATGGAAAGCCCCGTGGAAGCAAGCGCCGGCTTCGAGAAGCTAGCAATGTAGAAATTAATTCGTGATAGCTTTACTCGTCCATTGTCCGTCCTCCTACGTACGAATGCTGCGATGGGTGGTTTACCTCGGACAACACGAAGGCCGAGAGCTGAGGGCACGATTAAGGCTTTTGGACCCCTGCTCGTGCCGCTTTCCCCACGTCGGCCACGGAGGATGCCCGCATGTGCAGATCCCCACCATCACAGCTCCCTGCTCCCTCTAACGTACTTAAACCCACTGATTCGTTGCCCCGTCATGTTCTGCCTCGTGTCCTCTCTTCTCTCCTCCCTTCTTCATACTCCCCGTCCCCAAGGTAGCTGAACAAAATATCAGCAATGTTGGGCAAGATTCTTCCAGCCGTGGTACGTTGCCTCAGGAGCTTCCCTTTCTTACCTACCCGACAATCCCGCAATCTATCCCGCCCCGTCTTCGTCGCGGTCATGCCACCGCAATTGAAGCTCGACGGCACGCCCTCCATCTTACAGACAACGAACACTGACATTGGATCACGCAATAGGCCCTCGGCGGCGTCGCCCTCCTTTGGCCGGAGCTGTCATGGCGCGTCGGTACCCTCCAGCTCGTCACCGCGGACGTCGCGTCCCTGAAGCACACGACCACCTTTAAGGAGCAGCAGATAAAGCACCAGGATATCCTCAAGAACTGCGAGGATGTCGTCGTGCTGGAGGACCAGGGTGTCGCCATCCTGAGCTGTGACCCGCAGCGCGATGCGTGGAATACCGTCATGGTGAGATACACACCCCGGATCGCTTTTCGAACAGAAAACTAGGGAATTGGAGGAAGAACGAAGCCTTGAGATAGGCGGACGTTCAATCCGCTCCGCTCCGCCGGCATTGGTCCTGAATTTTCAGGCTCGAGACGAGAGGGCTCGGCGGATGGCACCACCAAATAAATCTCAGCAGGCTCATACATAGCTAATCACCTCTTCCAGGGCACCTTCCTCGACCCTACGCAACCGGGCGCCATCTTCCAATGGTTCTACAGCAACCCCGACTCGTACCCGCAGCCGCTCGCGCTCGAGAACTTCGGCTCGCGCGGCTCAGTCGACTTCCACCCGCTGGGCATCGAGTACCACGAAGAATCGGCAACGCTCTTCGTCACAAACCACGCCTCATCCGGCCCCACGATCGAAATCTTCGACTACGTGCCCTGGGGCGGATTCGGGCGGGCATCAGCCACGCACCGGGCGAGCGTGTCGCACCCTGCGCTCTGGACGCCCAACAGCATCCACGCCCTCAACGCGACCAGCTTCCTCGTCACCAACGACCACCGCGTCCGCGCGCGCGACCACTTCATCCTGAACAAGCTGGAGACGTACGGCGCGCTGCCAGGCGGCAGCGTCGTGCAAGTCACGCTGCCCTCGACGCTCCCCCCGCGCGACGACGGCGACGACGGCCCGCTCGCCCTCGACCCGGCCGCCATCGCCGTCACCCAAGTCGCGGCCAACATCCCCTTCGCCAACGGCGTCGCCGTCCTCGACGCCGGCCGCACCCTCGCCGTCGCCTCGACCAACGGCCGCGCCGTCCGCCTGTACAACATCACGTCCTCCACCACCGCCGACGATGGCACCGACGGCACCATCTCCCTCGCGTTCAAGGACAAGATCTTCGCCCCGGCCATGCTCGACAACCTCTCGGTCGACTCGCGCGGCCGCCTCCTCGCCGCCGGGCACCCCCGCCCCGGCGCCCTCACCGCCACCGTCGCCTTCCGCGCCGACTGCCTCTCTCTGCGCGCCAAGGCGCACGCCATCGCGTTGGCCGCCGAGCAGGAGGTCGAGAGGAAGCTCGGCGAGGACAACGTCGTGCAGCAGGACCCGATGCTGATGTCGGACCAGGAAGACGTGGCCGCGGCGGTCGAGAAGAAGACGGTCGAGGTGGTCATGACGGAGGAGGAGAAGGGCCGGCTGGAGCGGTGCGTGGGAGGGTTCGACGCGACGTCGCCGAGTTGGGTGGGCGAGCTGCTGGTCGACGAGCGGACGGGCGAGGCGACGGGCGAGTGGAAGGAGTTGTATGTGGGGTCGGAGTTTGGGTCGAGCTGTACGGCGGCGAGGGATTTGAAGGAGGGGGTTGTGTTGGTTGTGGGGTTGTATGAGAAGGGCGTGCTTGTTGCTAAGGAGTAGGTAGTAGATCAGGGCGGCAGGAGCGGGGAAAGGGAGTCATGTTGTGATGTGTCCTTTGTTTTGTGAAACTGTACCTAGGGTTGTTTTCAACGGGCACAGATAGATGGTGTTGGGAATAGCGTGACAACTGGCGGCGGCGCTTGGTTTGTCCTCGATTGTCGGAGTAAAAAAGCGAAAGATCACACGTTGTTGAAGTTGAGAGACCAGTTAACAAGCCGACATTTCTAGACCGTCTCGAGTGAATTGAGCCAAGGGACTCAAGTCACAAAGTTTTGCAGAACACGACTAACAAACACTGGAACGGCTTCACACTTGGTTTCATCTCATCTCATTGCTAACGAACGAACCTCGACCAAGTCCCCCAATTGACGAGATGGAAAAGAAGAACGGAAAAGATCCGGCAAGCAAGCAACAATCAACAAAGATGTGATTACGGAAAGGAAGATCAATTACCATCGTAAATATGCGCCATCTAACCAACACAGCGAGCAGCCAGCCTCCTCCGATTGTACAGAACATGTATAGCTCCAAATTCCCTCCCTGCTCTTTTAAGAACCATGACGGCACCTCCAACAAACAATACCCTCCCGTTGCAGACCCCCGGAGTGCAAACCAAAAAGAAAGAAAAAAGAGAGATAGAAAGGAAACAAAACACTCAATCATTCCACAAGAACCACCCATAGAATCGATCACCCGCATATTCCTCGTCGGTAACCCGCACCTCCCGGCTCGCCACCCTCCTCACTGGCATATCAGTGAAGCGCACGCAAGAGTTTCCTGCCCAGCCGGCTAAAAGCGCAAACGACGCGTCCAGCGTCCTCCATACGGCATGAACATGATGAGCTTGCTATGGCGATTGCTAGGTGCAACGTCGGTGTATATGTCATCGCGCAAGGCGATCTTGAAGGGTCGTTAAGCGGTCGGGTCCTGAAGGAGTGAATAGGAAAAGAAAGAGGGAGGAGATGTGTGAATCAACGTAAAAGTCGCGAATTTCGCACAAAGAAAGGCAGAAAAAGAATGGGCTGGGTGGTGGAAGACATGGAGGAAAATAAATGACGGTTATAGCATTCTTTCCGAGTTCTCGAATATGTTCGTTTCTTCCCGCATTTTGTCCCCTTGTCAAGTTCCGCCCGCCCTCTATCACATTACCGTGCAATTCTCCTCACTGACTATTATTTGATGTGGACCTCCATCTGGATCATCGTCGTCGCCATCCGGATTCATGTAGAAACGTTGGGCCAGCTCGGCGAGCATTCCGCGCTGTGTAGACGTAGCTCAGTGTCTCTCCTTCAATTGTCCAAAAGGATGGGGTAAGAGTGTTCTAGGCGTGCCTCAAACTGACGCCGAGGGCACCAGCAATAAGGATGAAGGGATAGTAGATGCGGTCCGGCAGATGACGGATACTCACAGTAATGAAATTCTCACGGCTTCCGCCAACGCGGTTGACGTCATTTTCAGACGTGATGCGATACTCGTCATGCATGCGGCGGCGACTAGGAAGCCCGTTACTCGTGGCATCCTTGTCTTCATCTTCATCGCCTTCAGGGACCCTGGTCGTATCAACGTCCTCGGCGGACGGCTGAGAATGAGACGGACGGGCACGGCGTAAGCGACCGAAAGAGATGGACGAGAACTGCGAAGCGTCACCGGGAGTGACGCCGATGCCGAGACGAGCGTTCCTGCGAGCACGCGCATCGGGACTGAAGACCTTGACGGTATGATCGATGCCAGATACCGCTATCATAGGCTCGTATGGATGACCTAGAACAGTCAGAAGGATTGAAAGGGATAGGGAAAAGAGACTTTAGTACCTTGGACCACGTTGACAACCTCTCCGTCGCCCTCGAGGATGTTGACGATCTGCATGGTCTTCTTATCCCAGATAAAGACGTGACCGGAATCACTACCGCTGACGACATACTCATCCTCCAAGCCAAAGAAGTTGACATCCTTGACAGTCTTAACATTACAGTGACCGCGGTATTGACGAGTATGCGGTAAACAAGGTTTATCAACCTCAACTTTCTCTTTCAACCTTGAACGTTCGAATGCAGAACGGAATAGAATGCTGGTGGGCCCATCATCGTCGTCGTCATCTTCATCACTCTCATCTTCCGACCGGTCATCGTCATCGCCTGCATCATCGTCGTCTTCGTTCTCATCATCTTGTTGGCCCTCATTATGTCCAGCGATGATCTCGCTGAGTTCGTCCAGAAGTAAGGGCTCCTCTTCGCTTCCCGCGTTCTCTCCATCATCCGCAGCATCTCCGTTTTCGGACGCAGATGTTCTAGTGCGGCGAACAAGTCGAGCACTTTCCACGACCTCCTCGTCTTCGTCGGGATCAATGTTCTGCCAAGCTCTGCGAATCCTGGCCTCATCTTGTCTTACGCTCGCATCACCCCTGCCTAGTCCTCCGAAAGCGGTGTCTACAAGGGCGAAGTCGACGCTCTGACCAGCGTTCATCAGAACACCCCTCCCGACCTTAAATCCCCAGAACCTCAGGGCCGCTTTTCGGTCTTGCGCTCCGATGGCCTCAGGGGCAGAGCTACCGCCTCCACCGCCGGGGGAAGCCGGGACGACTGCGCTCGATAAGTCTGCAAAAGGTATCTTGAGCGCCTGCGCAAAGGATATGACAGCAGCTTTTTCGGTGGAAAAAACGACGCGATTTTCGTCCGTCTCAAAACGCGAGGTATCGATGTTGATGATTGGCGTGTCGCTGGCAATCTCCAGTAGATACGGAATCAAGACCTCGTCAATAGCATCAATGCCGGAGTCTCTCGGGACGGGGTAACGAGGATGGGTACGGGTCACATCTGAAGGCCTCGTGAACCCTTCGAGCAACGCTCCAACGCCGCTATCCAGCCAAAGCAGAATGGCCTTGAGGAAGTCGTATCCAAACTGTTCATGGCGGGGTATATCGTGAGCTTCACGGGGAGCCGGCACGATCTTCTCAAAGGGCGATAGGGCAGCATTGTTGTTACCGCCAGCAGTGCGTAACCTTCCACCAAGGACTCTCGACAATGTTCCTGCCGCTTGGACAAAGCGCCGGGCTGCCCCGCGCCTCTCACGAAGATTGTTCTGGAATCTCACATCGACATCCAAAGGATTGACCGGATAACGCCAGTCGCGCGAGATCTCATCCATTTGTGGTAAGACGGCAGCAGCATAACCAAGGACTGATGTCAAGGGCACGGCGTAGCCGGTAGGGTCAGAATCTGAAGTCGAACCGCGGGTTCCTAGCGTGAAGAGGTTCTTGCGCATTGCAACAACATTCTTAGCGATGCGGAAGCTTTGCTTCTGAGTCTCGGGAAGGACGGCCTCACGAGCTTCTGAGATGGGGCTTCGTGCGCGCGGGGGGTCGATTGGGATCTCCTCGCGCTGGCCGTTCTCGTAGTGCACCATGAGTGACATTTCCTCATCCTCTTCCGCCGAACCATCGCCAGTGCGTGGCCTCGATCCAGCCCGTTCTGTACTTTCCTGAGACACCCCCGTCCTAGCTCTCTTCCTCTTCCGGTCCTTTGACTCCTTTGCCCGGCTACTGGCCCTGGTAGACTTGGGTGTGGGCTGCTCTTCTTTCTCAGTAGCATCAGGGCTGTGGACAAGGTCAAAGCTGTAGATCCATTCTCCTGACCAACTCACAATCATCTCGTTCGGATTGTGGTCGCTGATCTTGCAAGCTGTGATGTGGCCATTGTCTGTACGCTTCATGCGCTTCTGGCCGTGGGGTGCAAACTTCCGAACGCATTGAGTAGCCTGTCTCATCAGCTCGTTGTCGTGTTCAGAGAGCTTCCCCGGTGAGAGCGGAGCGCCCTTCTCGCGAAGCTTATCACGGCCGGTCATGCGCCGATCGTGCAGAAAGCAGTGCAAGTGAGCGCCTCCTAGTGCAATGTAATGAGGCTGACTGGGCGAGCATGAGATGGTGTTCAGGTCAAGGTGGTAGCGCTTGTAAGAGATAAGAGGAGGCGGAACGTTATCATCATTGGAGGCACGCCTGGCCATGGAGCTGGAAGGCGGGTACTGGGAAGCGGGCTGGCGAATGTCCCACTGGCGCACTTCGCCGTCTTCTGAGCATGTTAAAAAGAGCCAAGGTGAGGACTCGGTGACGATTCTCTTGACTCTGTCGCTGTGCGAACGGAAGACCTTGCAGTTGGCCGAGTTATCGCTGAGGTAGCGTACGCCGTCATATACAGTATTCAGTCCCCTGGCACGACCAGATGTGTTCGGCGGCGCCGAAGGAACGCCAGAGCTTCCAGCATACTCGATATCGAAGATACGGACTTCGGCGTCGCCAGAGGCGGTCACGATTGTACGATCATTGGTGTAAGGCATGAACTTGACGGAGAAGATGTTGGCGCAGTGTCCTGTAGAAATGGTGGTGGTGAAGTCGAATTGCTTGTCGGAGGAGTGGGGCAGGTAGGAATGGATGTTGACGTGCTGATCATCTGAGCCTGATGCCAGAAGCTGGCCGGACTTGGACCAGCTGTGAGGAATCGAATGTCAGCAACGCATGAACAGGGCGGGGTTGGCTGGCTTCAGTCAGATGGACTCACCAAAGAGCGTTGACGCAGCCGGAGTGACCTGAGAGCTCGTCTACAATGTCTAGATCGTTGATCCATTGCCTGTCGCCGTAGATGTCGAGCACGCGTTCGTACTTGGTGTTGCGCAGGCCGAGCTCGCGGTTGAGCAGCTTGCTGTAGAGAGGGCGCTTCATCCCGGGGCACCGCGCTGCGGCTCGGAACGCGGAACGAGGTAGACGAGGCTAAGATGCGACTGGCGGCAAGGGCTCAGTGGCGGAAGCGCCGGCGGGTCGAAGGTGTGTGGAGCTCGTTCGGAGTGGCGTTGGAGCTCAATCCGAGAGGAAAGTAGTGTCGCGGTCCTGAAGACGCATCGCTGGGCGCACCGGCGAGCTGGGTCTTTTGCAGACAGTGGAAGACGGAGCAGGCGGCGCAACAAGCACAAGACGTGCGCAGGCGCAGGCGAGAGGAAGAGGGAACGAACAACTGACACGGACACTGACGCAACTGTTGGAGCGGGTCCGGTGGCTTATCGATAAGCAGGCCACCTACAAATGGCAGCTGCAGCCTGCCCCAGGTGCTGCAGCCGATGAGCCCTCACTTCTGCATACAGGCAGGTGCCCTCTCCCTCACCGCTGCTCTTCCTCAACCCCATTCTGGCTCCAACCACTTGTTGCATTATCATGCTTTCCGCCACCATCCTGTCCACTTGCGTGTCAGCACGTGGAATTAAAGCGCGTCAGACTAATGCGCTAGCGCCGATGTTATGAAGGACCTTATAATAGTTGATAGATCGAATAGAGATTGTATTTATGCTATCTACCAGTCTTTTATAGACCTAGATGCTGATTGCTGGCTTATTTGCCTGCAATCCATTGGAAGTTTGCCTGCGTTCAGATTGATATTTTACAGTAATGGGGACAGTTGCACCTTGTACACCAGCATGACGGACGAGGCTCGCCATATCCCGCTGTCACTGGTGGCTTCCGTTTTGTGGCCTAATAGAACTCCTCCTCTCGCTAGAATTTGGGGTAATTATTTCTCAGGTTATCCATTATAAGCTTACATCCCCGCTCTCTCTAATGTAGTTTCTAGACTGCCTTTTCCGCTCAGCAATAACTCACCTTGGTCATCTTTCCCCCATCTCCGTTACTTTTGGTTACGCCCTGAACACTTTTCATCTCCACAGCATATCTGCAAGGTATCGCCGTATTTCTAGTGCATCCCCAGTCAGGGACTGCTGCCAAGTACTCGAGATTGTCCAGCAATTTGGCTTACGCGTTCAGCGTCTCTCCGGAGCCGCCATTTATGATTGTTAAAGGCACCTTCCAGGCTAGGAAGGAAGCTGCCAAACTTGAAAAAGGCATGTGAGTCAGCGCATGACGCGCGGAAGGACAAAGTTGTGGAGATCTCATGCGGACAAGTTTGTAGAAATGCTGTTCAAGGTTACGTTTCCAACTGTGACTTGTTGATCATACGAATTTGAACTTAGATTAGCTTGAATTGAAGGCCGCCAAATATCGCCTCCGTAAAGTTTGATCTCCACAACCGTTTCTGTGGGATGTCGTTCAAACAATTTCGCTTCCCCGGCAAGTTACCTGCGCGAGAACAGCGAAGACACCGCGATCATACCACACGTGATCCCTCAACCATAGCATAATACTGCTTCAAGATCCATAAGGCCCTGGCGATGCCATCCTTGGGATGGTAGTGGTGACTATGGCGGCGGTGGCGGTGGTGGTGACCATGAGGGAAGCACTTGATTGCCCAAGAGACAACAACAACAACTACTACAACTACAACAGCAAGTGAGAAAAAAAAAAGAAAGCATAGTCACTGGGCGCGCGCTCCGCCCGGGATCGATCGAACCGAGGACTGATGGAGTTGAGTTGTAGAGGCAGGACCACTCGCAACCGGACACGCAATCACAGCAGCGAAGCCCGGATACTCTATGTATGCCTGTCAGATGATACTGAAAATGTGTCCGTCTCGAACAAGTAGGTATGAGATTGAGTGATGCACAAGAGGCATGTGAAGGAAGTTGGCACCTCGCGCGTAGAGCGATGGCAACGGAAAAGAATGCAGACGGGACGCGCGTAGATGCCGGCAGGGAGGCGAGCGTTGCCATTCGACGGATGGTGGTTTCCAGCTCTGTAGCAGCGGTTGAAGATGCGGGCGGCGGTGGCAATCCCGCCAGGTCGAAGGCTTCTTGATGTTGCCCCGGATACAGTGGGAGGTTTGAGCTTGCGATAGCACCAGCAGCTGCGGCAACGGGCAATGGACGCGGAATCGATGATGTGGAAGCCCCTGTTTTGTAGTCATCGGCAAAGAGTGTAGCATGGTGTGTCGCACGAGATGATCCCCTTCCATGGCACGCAAAGGTCACCTCATCGTCTCTCTATACCCCGGTAGATGCGTAAGCAGGCACACATATAAGCAGGCAAACACAGCGGCACGCTGACTTCGATTGTCTGTGTAGTCCGGGTACGGTGGCTCTGATGATTCGGATTCGAGAAGCATCCAGTCCCGCGGCAGTCTAGTGTGGCACAGAGCGGCCAGGGTTGGGACAAAAAGCTGAAGGTAGTACAAGGCTATGCCCCAAAGGTGTACGATAAGGGTGGTGGACGGCCGACATGCCAGCGCCACTCGTGGGCCGGAACTCAAATTGAGCGTAAACATGGCGGCAAAGGCGAGGCCAGCGGTCCGGAAGAATGTCCGTGAAGAGCGAAGGGGTGGCCAGCAGACGGCAAGTGGGCGGACTTGGACGGATATGGAAGAAGGAGCGGGTGCTCCCGCGTGGCTGCCTGGGAAGCTTTCGCTAAGCCCGCCAAGACACGTGGGCTTGTTTTTTCGCCCACACCCGCACCACCCGCTGCATCTCCGTTGCCGTCCTACCCAGCATCATCATGTCCGGCTGCACCTCAGCGCTCTGTCGACATCCAGCATCTCCCCCGCCGTTGGTCCGCTGCACCGCCTGTCGACGTCCCCGGTGCAATGTGGTCCTATGCCTCATTTTTGCATGGCCAATATTTCTGCCTTCATTCCACGCCATGGCAATCCCAACCGCAAAAGGCACTAATCTGGTTGCCTTGTCCCATGCCGCCGTGGGGGAGCTCCGCCTCCGACGTCGCCTGCTTTTGCACGTTAGACCGTAATCACCGCTCGTCTGGCGGCACCATGCCAGTCGAAGCTGCTTTGTTTTGATGATCGCATTTTTGCGCCCGCCGCGACGCTGCAAAGCCACTTGTCGACATGTAAAATGCCCGACTACTCCCGGGCGACAGCACACTCCTAACTGCCAGATCTTGGGTTGCTCGTCCAGCACACGCCCGTCCTTTCGTTTCCGAGCTGCTTTGGCTTTCCACATTCGCTCAAGGCACCCGCCTCACGCTCTTTCCGCCTTGCTAACCGAAGACCCGTAGGTAGCGTGTGACCCGATTGGTACTAACAGCAGCTAGACATGATCATACGGGGCCTCGTCGGGGGCCTGCTGCTGCCGTTTGCGGCTGGCGCAGCCCTTCGCCCCCGCCAGGACGGTGATACTCGTCCCTACAGAATTCTCGAGATCGACGTCCAGGTCAGGGTGCTGTTGCAACCCATACTTGTCGACACTTTCGTTCGACGCCCCACAGAATTCGCCGTCTTCCCCGGTCTTACCTTGACCGTTACCGATGTACCGACACGCCTCGACTCGGTCGTTACCGGGTCCACGACTACCAGCCTCACCTCGTCCCGCACCATAACCACGAACAGACCAGGCCCGGCGACACAGACGCTATTCTCGCTCGGTTCCTCAACGCTTCCGACCACGACCATCATTCTTCCAAGCCAAACCTTCCCGCCTTCTGTCTCGATCCTGCCCACCGACTTTCCCAGCTCCATTTTTTCAGCGAGTGGCTCCGCCGGTTCCACATTCAGCTTTTCTCCCGATGAGTCGACTTTAATACCTGTCTCCGTATTGCCGTCTTCTACCTCGACTGCTGAATCCCTGCCCCCTTTTGCATCTCCGGTGACAGAAGGTGGCGTAGCGACAGAATCATCAAGTGGTCTTCCGTTGGAAGAGTCCCCTTTCTCTACAAGCTCATCCACCGATTTTCTGGACGCTTTGAGCAGCTTCGTCTTTTGGACTGTCAGTTCGGAGGTGGTATCATCCCCGTCGGCTTCAGTATCTCCCAGCAACGCGTTTAGTGCAGGTACCACTGGCGCTTCGGCCCTGGAATTTTCCAATGCTCCGACCTCATCCACTCTAGGCGGTCTCGAGTCTGGTGGGCAACTGAGCTCCGTCAACTCATTGTCTGTGGAAACCTTGTCTGCTTCAAGTTCCTCTACCGGCCCCATCATCGATCAAGGTGCTACCCGTGTAATTTCGGGATCCAGCACACTTAGTTCCAATGAGCCGATTACACTTGCAAGCTCGTCATCAGCCTTGACACCACTTGGAGCTTCAACTTCTCCAAGCAGTAGCCGACCAGGCACAACTAACTCAAGTGGGGGCTCCAGACTAAGCAGCACCTCAGGATTTCCATCACCGTCTGTCTCTTCCTTGTCTCTCTTCGGCTCATTTGCATCCGGCTCGACAAGCTCTTCTAGCGGTGCTGTCGCGTCTGAGCTTTCTTCCTTGAATTCCCAGGGATCCTTGGCGGGCCTATCTACCAGCAACTCGCAGGCCGTCGCTCTTTTGACTCCGACCACAGCCACCAGTAGTTTATCCTCAAGCAGCGCTGGAACTGCTCTTCCATCAGCCAATTCTGGAGCTGCCAGCTCTGGGCCATCTAGCATAGGCTCTCAATCGGCTTCCGTCAGCAGCAATGCCTTCAACAGTGTGCCGTCCAGTTTGTTGTTGTCCTCGACTAGCAGCTCCACCTCAGGCATCAGCGTCTCATCGAACGTTTTTCTGGGGTCGTCTTCCAGCAGCGTTTCTGCCAGCGGTGAGGCTTCCAGCAACATGAACGTCGTTAGCGCACCCGTGTCGAATCTGGTTCCAGGAACCGCCTCATCTAGCCGCTCCTCGTCCGGTCGTGCAACGGGACTCTCCAGCGGAAACCTGCGGTCAGAAACTTCTAGTAGCATGTTTTGGGGTGCTGTCCCGTCCGAGAGCAGTTCTCGGTCCAAAGTCTCTAGTAGCATGTTCTGGGGTGCCGTCCCGTCTATGAGCAGTACCAGGGCTTCTTCGTCATCTAGCATGTTCTGGGGCGCTGTGCCCGCCTCTGAAATTCCTCAGGCTTCTTCGTCGTCAAGCATGTTTTGGGGTGCTGTGCCCGCTTCTGACATTCCTCAGAAATCGTCTTCGTCCAGCATGTTCTGGAGCATTGTTGCCAGCTCTGAGATTTCTTCGGAATCTTCATCCGTGACGGTCCCTACAGTTGCATTTTCTAGCACTACGGAGGCAGTTTCGTCGTCGAAGTTCCTTTCTGACCTCTCCTCTGCACTTTCCGACACTATTTCGAGTTCGATCGAGTCATCTACAACCGAAGTTTCTTCGGGACTGCTCGAGACTACTTCAAGCTCGATCGAGTCATCTACAACCGAAGTTTCTTCGGGACTGCTCGAGACTACTTCAAGCTCGATCGAGTCATCAACAACCGAAGTTTCTTCAGGAATTCTCGAGACCGCTACAAGCTCGATCGAGTCATCTACAACCGAAGTTTCTTCAGAACTTCTCGAGGCCGCTTCAAGCTCGATCGAGTCATCCGCGACTGATTCTTCTTCCGTACTTTTCGACACCACTTCAAGCTCGATCGAATCGTCTGCATCTGATCTCTCCACGCTTTTCGATACCACTGCAAGCTCGATCGAGTCATCTGAATCTTTAAGTTTCGGCACTGATCTGGCAGGCTCTACGTTCTTGCTTTCGTCTTCGGAAACCGCTTCGAGTTCCTCGAGCTCCTCGACAAGTGGCGTGAGCACAACATCGAGCTCTCCCTCTGCCCCAGCGATCATTCCGTCCATGTTGATGACCAACATCGCACCTCGGCCGCCATCTAGCTCCACGTCATCATCGTCAGAGAGCCTGAGTCTGTCTTCTATTTCTTCATTGGTTACAGAGCTGTCGTCGTCTGAATCCTCGCCGTCCGAAAGTGCTTCCCTGGACTCTCTTTCGTCAGTCTCCGAGTCATCGAGTTCGCAGCTGTCAGATTTGCTTGCATCGATTTCGATCTCGCTGTCGCTGGGTCCTGTCCCGGTGGATTCGGTATCATCGACCTCATTCACGCCCGTGTCACAGGATTCTATTTCACTGTCGTCTGATTTGCTTCCATCAGACCTGCAACAATCAATCTCACTTCCAGAAGCTTCGATATCGTCAGCTTCACTGGCAACAGACTTGCCGCTGTTGACGGAGTCAGTACTATTGTCGTTTTCGTTGGATTCATTGTCGTCGGCCTCGTCGTTATCCTCGGATTCGCTGGCATCCCTCTCGCTTTCGATCACTGAGCCATCGCTTACTCTACCAACGGATACCGGATCCATCCCGCTGGAGTCAACCATTCCGGAGTCGACAAGTGCTCGGCCACCTCTGATTGGTTTACCTAACTCAAACCTCGTAGGACTCTCTAGGTTATCGCGCTCGCGCTCGCGCTCGCGCACGAGCACGGGATCTGTTTCTGGTTCACCGTCTCTGTCGACCGGACTGTCTGCTGGGTTGTCAGCCCAATTGTCGGTTGGACTGTCGGCTGGACCGTCTTCGCAACCATTCATAGAGCTTCCGAGCCTGACAATCCCTCACATGACAAGCAGTCCTATCCAATCGCTCTCGTCGCAGCTTGTGCCTGGTCTGTCGCTGCCTACCAATCTTGCAACGAATCTCCCTGTGGAATCCCTCTTATCTGAGCTTCTGGGGATAACCACGGCCTTTCCTTCTCTTCCGTCCAATGTCCCGATCGGGTCTTTAATCTCTGAGCTTCTTGGTGTCATTACCGCGTCACCAGGCTTGCCTACTAATATTCCGGTCGACTCTTTGATCTCCCAGCTTCTTGGAGTAACAACGGCATTGCCGGGTTTGCCTACTAATATTCCGGTCGACTCTCTAATTTCACAGCTCCTTGGAGTAACAACGGCATTGCCGAGTTTGCCCACTAATATACCAGTCGACTCTTTGATCTCACAGCTCCTTGGTGTCACTACAGCATTGCCGGGTTTACCCACTAATATTCCGGTCGACTCTTTGATTTCACAACTCCTTGGTGTCACTACTGCATTACCAGGTTTGCCGACGGACGTTCCAATTGATTCTCTCATCTCCGAGCTTCTTGGGATCACTTCCGCGTTACCAGGGTTACCAACGAACATTCCGATCAGCTCTTTAGTTTCCGAGCTTCTTGCTGTCACTACTGAACTGCCAGGTTTGCCAACGGATATTCCGATTAATTCTTTGGTTTCTGAACTCCTTGAGATCACAACGGCGCTGCCGCCTCTGCCTACTGACCTGCCGGTTGAATCCCTAATCTCACAAATCCTGGGAGTTACTACGGCTTTGCCACCACTTGCGACTGACATTCCAGTTGAAGCTCTGGTGTCCCAAATTCTCGGAATCACTACCGCACTACCACTTCCCACGGATATCCCGGTGGAATCCCTAGTGTCTGAACTGCTTGGAATAACTACAGCGATACCGTCTTTGCCAGTAGATGTCCCGGTTGAGTCGTTGCTCTCTCAAATCCTTGGAATCACGACAGTCTTACCTGGGATTTCTTTGCCGCTGCCTCTGCCCACCAACGTCCCTCTAGAGTCACTTCTACCTGGCCTCTTGCCAAACGGAAGCCTTCCAATCACCCTTCCCAACGGGCTGCCAACGGATATCCCAGTAGACTCGTTGATTTCCGAGCTTTTGGGGATTACTAGTCTCCTACCGTCGCTGCCCCTTCCGTTGCCAACCCCTACGATCCCTCTGGTACTGCCGAGCCTTACGCTTCCTCTGACGCTGCCGAACGGTTTGCCAACGAACATTCCCTTGGAATCTGTGCTGTCCGATTTGCTTGCCATTCAAACTCTCTTGCCAGACCTCACTGTTCCTCTCTCATTTCCAGGTGGCTTCCCCACGGGTCTTCCGCTCGGTGAGATTATCTCAGACGTGCTTGGCCTTACCACGATTTTGCCTGACTTGTCCATTCCCCTACCGAGCATTGGCGTTTCACTCACCTTACCAAATGGGTTACCAACAAATGTCCCTCTCCAGTCCCTTATCACTGGCATATTGGGAGTCACGGCTCTGATACCACCCGTTTCTCTTGGCTTACCAACGGCAGTGCCTGTTGATTCTCTGGTGTCAGACGTGCTTGATATTACAACACTATTGCCTGGAATTTCGCTCCCTTTAGCGCTGCCGACTAACCTGGCTGTCCCTGTCGAGTCTTTGGTTTCGCAACTTCTGGGAATCACCACGGCTCTTCCAAACCTTTCGCTAGCGCTGCCGGCCGACCTTCCCGTTGAGTCACTTGTCTCAGATCTTGTAGGGATCGTGACTGCGCTCCCGAGTCTTGCGGTCGCATTGCCAACAAATCTTCCGCTGGAGGAAGTCATATCGGACATTTTGGGGCTTACAACCGCTCTTCCAAGTCTTCCGCTGCCGCTGCCAACGAACCTGGCTATCGAACCACTCATATCTGACCTTCTGGCATTCACGACTGCTCTTCCAAATCTCCCGCTGACATTGCCAACGAATGTCCCTCTTGACTCGTTTTTGTCCTCGCTGTTGGGACTCGGAAACGCTCCTCCGGATCTTCCATTGACGTTGCCGACAAACATACCTCTCGACTCACTCCTCTCGGATGTCTTGGGGATTACGTCCGTCATCCCTGGCCTCACTCTTCCAACGATTCTGCCTACAAACGTGCCACTCGAATCACTGCTCTCGGACCTTCTGGGTCTCCCTACTGCACTTCCTGGTCTCTCGTTGCCGCCGCTTCCACTGCAGACAAATGTTCCTGTCGAGTCGCTCCTGTCAGACTTGCTGGGTATTGCGACTGCTCTTCCCAATCTCTCTCTTCCCATCCCATTGCCGACGGGTCTGCCCGTTGACTCGCTCCTTTCAGAGTTATTGGGTGTTGCGACTGCGCTTCCGCTGCCAACAAACCTGCCCGTCGACTCGCTCCTGTCCGAGCTTCTGAATGTTGCGACCGGTCTTTCGCTTCCCATCCCGCTGCCGACGAACCTGCCTGTCGGGCCACTCGTGTCCGAACTTCTGGGCATCGTGACCAATCTTCCCGGAATCTCTCTTCCATTGCCTACCAACCTGTTGCCACTTCCAACCGGGGTCCTTGATCTCGCCCCGGTCAATTCGCTTGTGTCAGAGCTGTTGGCGCTTCCTACTGGCGTTCCAGGCCTCGAGTCGATTGATTCTCTTGTGTCGGATCTATTGGCACTTCCCACTGGTATTGCGCGTATCGAGCCGATCAATTCGCTCGTGTCAGAGCTGTTGAACCTTCCCACCGGGGTCGCGGATCTCGCGCCAGTGAATTCGCTTGTGTCGGACCTATTGGCACTGCCTACCCGGATTCCGGGTGTCGCACCAGTTGAAGCGCTTGTGTCGGACCTGTTGACACTTCCTACTGGGCTTGGGCTGCCGGACCTCGCGCCGCCGGTTGAAGCGCTCGTATCTGACCTTTTAGCACTTCCTACTGGGCTGCCAGGCCTTGAGCCGGTTGGGACGCTTGTGTCGGATTTGCTGGCACTCCCGTCAGATCTGTTGGCACTTCCTACTGGGACTTTGGGACTTGCGCCAGTTGAAACAGTACTCTCTGAGCTTTTGGGCATCGTCACGGCTCTGCCAAGCCTTTCTCTTCCCACGAACATTCCGATTGGGTCGTTCGTGTCGCAGCTGTTGACTGCTCTCCCAGCGCTTCCATCGGTTCCGGCCGTCAACTCTCTTGTATCAGAGCTGCTCGGCGTCACCACAGCCTTGCCTGCGCTCCCCCTTCCGCTTCCAAGTCTGCCTTTGGGTGGTTCCGCTGGCCTCCCGCTATCGCTGCCAACCAACCTCGCAGTTGATTCGGTGATATCTGACTTGATTGGGGCCCTGCCGACAAATATACCTCTTCAGTCAGTCGTATCCGACTTGCTAGGAGTACTACCTACCAATGTGCCTCTCGAGTCAGCCTTATCCGATTTACTCCATGGCACCCTGCCCATAGGACTCCCAACTGCTGTTCCGGTTGAGTCAGTTCTTTCGGACTTGCTTGCAGTCACAAGCCTTTTGGGAGGTCTCGGAACGGGACTCGCGCTCCCCACTAACCTCCTGTCTCTCCCGCCTCTTCCTTTGACCAACCTCCTGCAGCTATCGACGGCCTTGCCTGGCATTAGCCTCAACCTTCCACTGTCTGTATCGCTCGGCGTGCCTCTGCCGTCTCTGGCCCCAGTGAACCTCCCTTCGCTCCTCGCAGACTTGCCCAGTCTCGCCACAAACGCGCCCGAGTTGTCGAGCGCCCTGGGCGGCGTGCAGACCGCCCTGAACGACCTGCTTCAGACTGCTCCGGCTGTTGTTAATAGCGTCCTAGGAGATGTGAACAGCATCGTGCAGGGCTTGTTGCCGACGGATCCCGTTGCGGCGCTTTCGGCGATTGAAACGTTGCTTCCGGGCCTGGGGCTTCCTACGGCTGGATTGCCATCTATTGGACTGCCATCTATTGGACTGCCACCTATTGGACTGCCGTCTATTGGACTGCCATCTGTTGGACTGCCTTCTCTGGGATTGCCCTCTGTTGGTCTTCCCGGGCTAAGTCAAGGCCTGCCCCCAGTTGCTCTTCCCTCCATTGGTTTGGACGTCTTGAGCGAACTCTCTCTGCTTCACGGTGTCCTGCCAACGTCTGATCCGGCACTGTCTTCCCTCATCGACGGCATCGAATCACTCCCTACCAATCTTCTCAACAATCCCAACGCACTGCCCTCTCTCCTATCTCAAGTTGGCGGCGTAGCCGCAAATCTACCAAGCATAGCGCTGCCGCTCGTGTCGAACCTGCTCTCAGACTTGCTCAGTCCAACGACCGGAATTCTGGGTCTGCCAATCCCCGCCACTGAACTTCCAATCACTCTACCACCCGGTCTTCTTCCTACCGGCGGGCTACCACCTTTACCCCTACCTTCAAATCCGGTCAGCGATATCGTCTCCGTCCTCAACTCAGTCCTCCCCAGCCTCGGCATCCCCCTCCCCACCAACCCGGCAGACGTTCCCGGCGCGCTGTCTTCGGTCCTCGCGAACCCCGGCCCGGCTCTGCAGAGCGCGCTCTCGAACCTGCAACTCATTCCCTCGGCGCTTCAAACCCTTCTTGCGCCCGGCGGTGGTCTCGGGCTGCCGTCGCTTCCTATCGGTCCTATCGTCACTGCTCCAGTCGGCAGCGCTCTTCCGCTGCCCCCGGTCGTCTCCAATCCAGCTCAACTCGTATCCTCTCTCGTCGCCCAGGTTCCGGCGCTATCTGCGATCCTTCCCACAGGTGTTCCGATAGAGTCTATCCTGGCTAATCCGCCGCCCGCACTGAACTCGGTGTTGTCGCAGATTGGACTCCCTCCAGTCGGCAGCGCTCTTCCACTGCCCACGGCGGTCTCAAATCCAGCTGGACTTGTATCCTCCCTCGTCGCCCAGGTCCCGGCGCTATCTGCCATCTTGCCGTCAGGCGTTCCGATCGCGTCCGTCCTGGCTAATCCGCCGCCCGCGCTGAGTTCGGTGTTGTCGCAGATCGGATTGCCTCCAGTCGGCAGCTCTCTTCCATCATTACCCCCTGTGGTCTCCAACCTGGCTGGAATCGTGTCATCCCTCGTCACCCAGGTCCCGGCGCTGTCTGCGATCTTGCCGACAGGTGTCCCGATAGAGTCTGTCCTGGCGAATCCGCCGCCCGCGCTGAATTCCGTGTTGTCGCAGATTGGACTGCCTTCGATCGCGCTCCCGAGTGGTGGCCTTCTCCCGAGTGGTGGTCTTCTACCGAGCGGTGGCCTTCTACCGAGCGGTGGCCTTCTCCCGAGCGGTGGCCTTCTCCCGAGCGGTGGCCTTCTCCCAAGTAACGGCCAGCTCCTCCCGTCAATCGCGCTTCCACTGCCTTCGATCGCACTCCCAAGCGGTGGTGGCCTTCTCCCGAGTGGCGGTCTTCTCCCAAGTAACGGCCAGCTCCTTCCGTCAGTCGCGCTTCCACTTCCTTCGATCGCACTCCCAAGTAACGGCCAGCTCCTCCCGCCAATCGCACTCTCAAGCGTTGGCGGTGGCATTCTCCCGTCCATCGGTCTACCTCTCTCCAGCGCAGCCCCCCTTGCACCCCTCAACCTCCCAAGCCTGCTCGGTCTTCCCGTACAACCACAACCCAGCGCCGGGCTCCCGTCGTCCATTGGCGGTGGCCTGCTCCCTTCCATCGCCATTCCAAGCGCGGGCCTGCCGTCGATTGCACTCCCAAGTGGCATTCCATCTATCGGTGTACCTCAGCTGAGCGTCGGTCTGCCGTCACTCGGCCTCAACCTGCCCAGTGGCGGTGGACTGCTACCGTCGCTTGGTGTCCCGAGCGGAGGGCTCGGTCTGCCTACCGCCGGGCTGCCGTTACCGTCCGTCGGACTCCCTAGTGGAGGCGTCGGTTTGCCGTCAGTCCAGCTTCCGAGCGGGCTTAACAACTTGCCGAGTCAGCTCGGTCTGCCCTCGGTATCGCTTCTGGGTGGGGCAAATCTGCCTAGTGTTGGGTTGCCGTCGGCACTCTCCCTGGGTCCTGGATTACTTCCGAGTGCACTGTCTTCGCTCGGTGCTGCGCTTCCTTCCCTCGGTGCTGCACTCCCCTCACTGGGTGCTGCACTTCCTTCGCTTGGTGCCGCACTTCCTTCGCTTGGTGCTGCACTTCCTTCACTGGGTGCTGCAATTCCTTCACTCGGTGCCGCACTTCCTTCGCTTGGTGCTGTACTCCCCTCACTGGGTGCTGCACTTCCTTCGCTTGGTGCTGCACTTCCTTCACTCGGTGCTGCACTTCCTTCGCTCGGTGCCGCACTGCCTTCCCTCGGTGCCGCAGTCCCCTCACTGGGTGCTGCACTGCCGTCTCTTGCTCTAGGTCTCCCGGGGCTCGGTGCACCAAGCAACAACGGACAATCGCTAGGCTCCTCGACATCACAGCCCCCGCGTGTCATTCCCAGCAACCTCGCCACGGCACTTGCCAATCTTCCCAGCCAACTGTCGTCATTGGGCCTGTCACCCAACCAGGTATCCTCGGCCTTGGCTTCATTGGGCCTGCCTTTGGTCCCTGGTGCCTCTGAGCCCGCCGTGGCTCTGCCATCTCTGGGCCTGCCTTCCGTGGGCCTGCCTTCCGTGGGCCTGCCTTCCGTGGGCCTGCCTTCTTTGGGTTTGCCTTCTGTGGGTTTGCCTTCTGTGGGTTTGCCTTCTGTGGGTTTGCCTTCTGTGGGTTTGCCTTCCGTGGGTTTGCCTTCGGTTCAACTGCCATCCATCGCCTTGCCTTCTGTTTTGCCGTCCCTTGGACTTCCTTCTGTTCAATTGCCATCTGCCGGGCTGCCTTCTGCGCTGCCGTCCCTTGGGCTCCCATCTATCCAACTACCGTCTGCCGGGCTGCCTTCAGCGTTACCGTCTCTGGGTCTGCCCTCGGGGCTACCGTCGTTGGGCCTGCCTTCGTTGGCCCTTCCATCTGTCGCTCTGCCTCCAATAGGGTTGCCTGGTCTTGGTCCACAACCTTCCGCAGCCGTACCATCTGCAGGTGCACCCTCTGCAGGTGTGCCCTCTGCAGGCATACCATCTGGTGCCGTGCCATCAAGCGTCGCGCGCCCGAGTGTACCGTCTGTCGGACTTCCTTCGCTGGGTCTACCGTCTTTGGGTTTGCCCTCCGCCGCCGCCCCATCTCTTGGCCTGCCATCACTCAACCTGCCATCACTCCTTGGTGCCCCCCCTCCTGGCTTGTCTTCCGCTGCTGTCCGCTCGGGAGAGGTCCCTCCAGCTGCTCTTCCCTCTTCGGGCCTGCCATCACTCGGCCTGTCTCTCAGCCTACCGGTCTCACTCGGCTTGCCCTCTGTCGGATTACCCTCTGTTGGATTACCCTCTGTTGCATTGCCTTCAGTTAATCTGCCCTCCGTTGGTCTGCCCTCCGTTGGTCTGCCCTCCGTCGCCCTACCGTCCGTCGCCCTACCTTCCATCGGCCTCCCCTCTGTCGGCCTGCCCGGTCTCCCCGGTCTCCCCGGTCTCGGCCAACCCAACAGCCCCAGCAGCCCACCCCTGGCGCCCACGAGCCGCATCGTCACCTCCGCTTCATCATCCATCGCCCCATCATCGCCATCACCATCATCCATGGCCGCGTCCTCGAACACCGCCGCAGCCCTCCCTCCCCTTGCCGTCAGTAGGCTCGCCCCGATGCTGTCGGCCATTTCGTCTTCCAACGCCCCGCTCGCGTCGGCCCTCGGCCAGCTGCAGTCCTCGAACGGAGTACCGGCCGTGGCGAGCCAGTTGGTGTCGAATTTGCCGCTGGCGTCCGAGGTAGCGTCGGTATTGGCGAGTTTGTTGCCGTTGTCGAATGGTGGCGGTCTTCTTCCGAGCATCGCCCTTCCGCTGGGTGGAGCTCCTCCGAGTGCTTCTGGGCTGCCGGGTGGAGCTGCTCCCCCGAGCGGAACTGCTTTGCCCAGTGCTGGAGTACCGAGTGGAGCTGCTCCTCCGAGTGTTGGGCTCCCGAGTGCTGGTGGCGCTCTGCCCAGCATCGGTCTCCCCCTCAGCCTTCCCAGTATCGGTTTGCCAAGCGCTCAAATCCTTCCGAGTGTTGCACTCCCGCTCTCGCTCCCAAGCGTTGGCCTCTCGCTCGGGGCCGCGCCCAGTATCGCTTTACCCGGCCTCGGCCTGCCCAGCATTGGCCTTCCCGGCATAGGCCTACCAGGCGCTGCCCCTTCACCGTCGCCCGCCGTGGCTTCCGTACCGCCAGGCGTGGCATCATCCCAAAGCGCAAGGCCCCCGAGTGCTGCGGCCAGCATCCCCAGCGCGGCGGTCCCGAGTGCCGGCTCGCCCGGTGCACCTGCCGCTGTTCCCAGCGTCGGCCTTCCCAGTGCTGCTGTACCTTCCATCGGCCTGCCCAGCGCTGCCGTTCCCAGCGCCGCCTTGCCCAGTGCTGCTGTGCCGAGCGTCGGCCTGCCGAATGCCCTGTCCAACCTCGGCCTACCTAGCATCGCTCTGCCTAGCGTGGCCCTCCCGAGCGTCGCTCTCCCGAGTCTCGGCCTACCCGGCATCGGCCTGCCAGGCGGTGCTGCGCCGAGCGCTGCTCTTCCCAGTGCTGCTTTCCCGAGTGCTGCCTTGCCCAGCGCTGTTCTACCTAGTGCCGGTGCTCCTGGTGCTCCTGGTGCTCCTGGTGCTTCTGGTGCTCCTGGTGCTCCTGGCGCTCCTAGTGCGAGTGTTCCCAGTGCTGGGTTGCCTGGTATTCAACTTCCGAGTGTCGCTCTCCCAAGCGTTGCTCTCCCAAGCGTTGCTCTCCCAAGCGTTGCTCTTCCGAGTGTTGCTCTCCCAAGCGTTGCTCTTCCGAGTGTTGCTCTCCCGAGTCTCGGACTGCCCGGAATCGGCTTACCAGGTATTGGTGGTGCTCCAAGCGTTTCTCCCTCCTCCAGCCCCGGCTTGACTAGTGCTCGCCCTCCTAGCGCTGGTGTGCCCAGTGCTGCTGTACCAAGTGCCGCTGTCCCCAGTGCCGCTGTCCCCAGTGCCGCTGTCCCCAGTGCTGCTGTATCCAGTGCTGGATTACCTGGTATTCAACTGCCGAGTCTGGGACTGCCGAGTCTTGGACTGCCGAGTCTTGGACTACCAAGTCTTGGACTACCGGGAATCGGCCTACCAGGTATCGGTGGTGCCCCAAGCATTGCTTCTTCCAGTGCCGGATTGTCTAGTACTCGACCTTCCAGCGCTGCTTTATCCAGCGCTGGCGTCTCTAGTGCCGGTGTGCCGGGGGTTTCAAGCGCAAATCTCGTTCCTATTGGTGTCTCCAACCTCGGGCTTGCTCCGAGCAGTAGCCTGCCCCGGACCAGTTCACCAGTTGCAGGTGTGTCCAGCAGCGCTCTTCCAAGTGCTGCCCTTTCCAGCGCTAGCATTCCGAGTGGCGTTTCCAGCGTCGGTCTCCCAAGCGCCGGTCTCCCAAGCGTTGGTCTCCCCAGCGTTGGTCTCCTTAGTGCGGCTTCCTCGAGTATCAATCCTGGTCTCTCAAGCGTCGCTCTTCCGAGTGCTGCTCCTCCCAGTGCTGCTCTACCTGCACTCAGCGTCGGTCTTCCAAGCATTGGTCTCCCTAACATCGGCCTCCCTAGTATCGGCCTGCCAGGGATTGGTTTGCCAGGCGCAGGCTCGCATAGCTCAAGTGTTCCTCCTGCTCCGCTTTCTGCAGGATTGCCGAGCTCTAGTCTTCCTGCTGCTCCGCCTTCGGCTGGCGTGCCGAGTGTCCCGCTGTCATCGAGCGCTGGCCTCCCGTCAGCTGCTCCCCCGAGCATTGGTGTGTCGAGTCCCGGCATCCCATCAGCTGCCCTCCCCAGCAGTCCCGCTTCCAGTATCAATCTGTCACTAAGCGCTCATGTCTCGGTATCACCGTCGGCTGCGCTACCGAGTGTTGCTGTTCCCAGCGTCGCAGCTCCAGGCCTATCCATCGGATTGCCCGGCCTCCCAGGCTTGATTCCACCTGCAAACACCGCTCTGGCACCCATTGCCGCTTCAGTTGCTCATTCAGCTGCTCCTTTAGCTTCTTCTTCGGCTGCTCCTTCAGCTACTCCACCTGCTGAAATTTCGAATAACCCGCTGCTGTCCCATGCTTCCAGTAGTCTCACTAGCTCACTTGGTGAAAGTGTCCCCAGCCTGGAAACCCCTCGATCAACCTACATTCCCAGTTCAACCGAGGAGCCTGAGAACCCATTCTCCCTGAATTTCCTACCAACTGTATTCCCTGATGAGCCCACGGCCATCGCCACGGTTATGCCCGATATAGAAGCTTACCTTGCACAACTTTCTCCGGAAGAACTCGCGCAGCTCTTCACTGATCTGCCAACTGTGGCACCGGAGTTGATTGCGCCGGTGACCTCGGCAGTCTCGAACTTGGTGAATATAGCTTCACAGGGCTTACCTGTGGCGCTCCCTTCTGCAGGCACCAATGCTCTGAATCCGATTGTCAGCGCGCTTGGCTCGGTCCTCAGTCCTTCGGGCGGGGGCCTCATTCCTGCAGCTGTCTCGGCACTTGTACCTGGGCAATCGCGTGCGGTTCCTTCACAACTGGCCAGTGGCGCGGTAAGCCTGCGGCTAAGCTCTACCCCGGTGTCAGGCTCTGGCTTGAACAGCGTTCCCGCCGCTGCTCTCCCCTCGGCTGTCGCTGCATTAGGTTCCAACCTGGGCAACGCTCTGACAAGCAATCTCTTCGGCGGTCTCCTGGGCCCTGCCCCCGCGGCTCCAACGCCCAGCTCCGTCGCAGCACCTGCCCTCCCATCTGCCGGGCCAGCCCAAGTGTCCGTTCCGAACGCCGGTCCTCCTGCTGCTCCGCCAAGTGCGTTCGTTCCAAATGAGAGCCTCCGAGTATCGGAATCTCTTCCCATATCCCTCGGGCTTCCTGCTTCCCGCCTCGTTACTCCCGAGGCACCACCGTCCGCGTCTTTGCCAGCCGGTGTGAGTGTTTCGCTTCCGGGACCTCCCCGTGTGCCTGTGCCAGTCTCGAACCTCGCCGGTCCGGCACCAAGTGTTGCTCTCCCATTACCGAGTGCTTCGGTCTCAGTGGCCGTCAGTCTGCCCTTGGCAGCAGCTCCCAGCGTTCCGGTCGAGGGTGGCGTCTCCTCCGTTCCTGCCGGCGGCAATCCGCTCGCCAGCCTGCTAGGTGGTCTCCTGGGCGCCAGCCAGCCCGCAGCCGTCCCAAGTGCCGCCGCCGCCCCCAACGGCCCCGGCGGTCTCGGTCTTGGACTTGGCCTCTCCCTCGCCCCCGGTCAACCCGCGCCCACTGAGGCCGCGAACGCCCCTGGTGGACTCGGCCTGGGACTTGGTCTCTCTCTTTCACCCCCTGCACTGGCCTCGCCTAGTCCAGGCCTCAGCCTCGGTCCGGGCGGACTTCAAGCCTCCATACCCGGTTTGGGCGCCTCTTTGGGCCTTTCAGGCCTGCTCCCAACTCCTCCAGCTGCAGCTCCTCCGGTTTCTCAGGCTCCGGGTGGAAGTGCTCTCCGCGGTCCGGCTGTTCCAAGCGTTCCCGCAGGTGCGGCGCCTGCTCTACCCTCCAGCCCAGCTGCGGTTCTGCCTGCATCGAGCAGTCCTGTCGCGGCCGGTCTTCTCCCAAACCTACTGCCCGGGCTCCTAGGCGCTCCCGCCGCCGCTTCGAGCGCTCCCGCCCCTCCTGTGCTAGCGAGTAGCAATGCCCCCGCTGGCTTGCCTGCTTCAAACGCCGTGCCCGCTCCCGCGTTGAGCAGCCCCGCCGCGAACAACAACAACAATGGTCCCCTAGGACAGCTTCTCCCCGGGCTCCTAGGCGCTCCCGCCGCTCCTTCGAGCGCAGCCGCCCCGGCCCTACCCAGCGGTAACGCGGCCCTATCCGCATCCCTAGCCGCTTCACTCGGTGCCACCGCCGCCGCTGCCGCCCCTCCTCAAAGCATCCCACCAGCCGCCCCGCCCGCAGCGTCCCTAAGCCGCACCGGCGTCAGCTCCCCAGCCCCAGCGTTCTCAGTCCTGCCGCCCTCAGCGAACCCCGTGCCCAGCAGCAGCGCCGTCCCGCCAGCCGCTCCAGCCCTGCCCTCAAGCGGTGCTCCCGCGCTCCCCACAGCCGCCGCCGCCGCCCCCAGCAGCCCGGCCGCCGCCGCGCAGGCCAGCCTTCTCGCCGGCCTCATCCCCGGCCTCTTCGGCGCTCCCGCTCCTGCCGTCCCCTCATCATCACCACCAGCAGCATCAGCCCCACCACCATTAGTGGCGCCAGCAGCGCCGCCGCCTCCCGCAAACAGCAACAACCCTTTCCTCTCCGCCTCCGCGCAGCTTCAGGCATCGCTAGGGGGCGCGCCGCCAGTACCAGCATCTTCGCCAGCAGCGTTGGGCCCGCAGTTGCCATCATCACCCGCTGCTGCTCCCACCAGGCCGGCATCGTCCGTCGGCCCTGTCGCTTCTTCGCCTCCTCTTCCTGCCGTCGCCGCTTCGTTATCGGCGTCTTTGGGCCTGGGAGGGGGGGTGCCGTCGACGTTGCTGACGACGACGCGGCCCGCGACGACGATCAGGCCCACCACTACCGCGGCACCCAATATATTTCAAATTCTAGGCATCCCCCGAAGGAGGAGATTGAGGATGAGATGAGGTTGAGAAGATGAGGACGATGGGGCGGGGAGGGTTTTGACTCGGTGTGACACGTCATGAACGCTACCTACAGAAATGTGTATCTGTAATCTCTTTTCTTTTTTTTTTGTTCTTGGTGGAAAACCCGCATACTTACACTCACTCGTACGCGTACAACACATGCGCGCACTTATTGTCTTTCCTTTTTTTCTTTGTCCTCCCCACCTTTCACTCTACCGCTATCTTTTTTTTTTTTGTTTGAAAAACCGGCTTGGGCAAACGGGGACCCATGAACATGATGTGTTATCATAACGAAGCGTTTAGGAGGAGAATGACAGTAGGTGAAACCACAACACGAAAAAAACTGTCAAACGAAAACCCAGCGTTTGCTCTTGCATGGGGAGGAAGCTGTAATGCGAAAGGTGGGGTTGATGGACCAGGGAAAAAAACAAGCCTTGGTCTGATTCGTTCTTGGTTGGGATATGGGACTTTCATCATTTTCTCTCTCCTTCTTGTACATACACAGCCGTAGAGAGGCAGAGCATTGGATTTTCGACTCAGCCTGTTGCCCTTTTATTCTTTTTTTTTTTTTTGGTTAATTCGTATACGCGCGCTGCCATTTTTATCGTGAGAAACAAACGGGGACGCTGGAACGAGAAAAAAGGCCTATCAGCTTGCACAACCAAGGCTCAATCTCTCGTCCAAGCATTCACCACCGTCCGCCCACGGTGGGGGTATCATAATCGCCACAAAGAATAACCACTACTACCTTCTCAAGAAGCGACAACGGCAAAAGACCCATCCATGCATCCCCACTTCTTCACCCCACCTCACCTCACCTCATCCTCTTCCTCTTCCTATCCCTCTCTCCCATCGGCGTCCCCACCCTCTCCACGCTCTCCTTCACCGCCGCTGCTGCTGCCGCCGCCGCCGCCATCCCATCCTTCCCCTTGCCATTATTGTGACCACCACCCCCCTCTCCCACCCCCACAACCATACCCGTCCCCGTCCCCTCCTGCACGAACCCCTCCCTCGGCAACCTCGCCGCCAACTCCACATCCTCCGCCGGCTCCGCCCGATCCATAACCTCATCCATGTACCGCCTCACCTCCTCCTGCGGGCGAACCCACCGGAAAAGGCACTGCAGCACGCCGTTGCCGTTTCCATGGCCGTCGTTCAACGACGCCGAAAACGACGACGGTGACGACAACGGCAACGACGACGACGACGACGACGTGGCGGCAGCAGCGCGGAAGCGCACCGTGATGGGCTGGTAGTATTCCTTGCCGAGCTCGTAGTACGTCTGCGCCTTGGGCAGCTGCGCCAGCGTGGCGGCGTCGACCTTGTGCACCTTGAGGAAGGAGGCGAGGACCTGGTTGCCCGGGAGCGCCTCGAGGATGGCTTCGCGGGGGAAGAGGAGGCGGTCGCCGTTTGTGTTGAAGTCGATGCAGAGGGCGCGGTAGGTGGGTTGGGGCGGAGGGGGAGGAGGAGGGGGTGGTTGTTGCGGCTGGACCGGTTGGACGGGCTGGACGGGCTGGGGAGGTGGTGGAGGGTGGGGGTGAGGATGAGGCGCGGGCGTGTAGTGGCCGTAGGGTCCTGGTGGGGCGGGGGGTGTGTAGTAGGTCATGGGTGGTTGTTGGGGCATCTTCCCCGGTGTCGGAGTCGAGGGGCTGGGACGGGGCGGTACGGATTGAACGGCGCTGATTGCGGCCGGGGTGGATGCTGGTGGTGCCGAGGAAGCAGAAGGGGGCCGTGGAGTCGGCTGTGGGGAGGGAGCTGCGGGTGGCTGTGGTGCTAGACTAGCTTGTACAGGCTGCGGAGCCGGACTGGCGCGAACGCTCGGAGAAGCTTGGCTGCCATGTGCTGGTGCAGAACTGGGACTCGCTGGGGCGGGTGAAGGGGTGGGACCAGCATGAGCTGGAGGAGTGGGCCGTGGTGCTGGTGGCTTCTGCGCTTGCTGTGCCTTCTTCTGTGCCTCGAGCCTCTCGGTGAGCTCGTTGATGTGCGACTGAAAATATTCCAGCTGCTCCTTTGTGGCATCTCCTCTTGCTACAATCTTCATGATATCCCTCAACTTGAAATTTGTATTGGCACGCTCGGCAAGCATGTGGATGACTGGATCGGGTGCTGGCTTCGATGCTGCAGGGTTCGATTCGGGCGGCGGGGGAGGTCGACTCGGCGGAGGTGGGTTTGGTGCGGCGGGCGGAGGTGGTTTGCGCATGGGTGGAGGATGCGGCGGGTGTTGTGGATACTGTGGGTGCTGAGGGTGCTGTGGGGGATATGGGTGGTAGTGTTGGTAGGGTGGTGTAGCACCATAACCGGCGCCATAGTAGTGGCCTTGTGGATGATTGTACGAGGGTGGAGGTGGAGCTGGCTTCGGCTTCGGTGGAGGCGGAACCGTGTTCTCCCTCATGGTCCATATTGTGATGTCCCATTGGTGCGGGTCGATATAGAGCTTGCAGTTGCCCTCACGCTTCATCTGCTTCGCCTTGAGCGTCTCGGACGGTTCCTTCTCCTTGGCGCCGTCTCCACCGCCCTCCTTGGTCTTGTCTTTATCCTTGTCCTTGTCCTTGGCTTCCTCCTTGTTCTTGCCCTTGTTTGGCAGTTTCTTCTTCCCCGCCTTGCTGTAGTAGAGCTCGAAGATGCCGGGAGTCATCCATTTCTGTCGCGACCTCTCGAGTGCTGCTTTCAAGACACCACTGCAAACAACGTTTAGCTCAACCTTCACATGGTGGCTTCAGAGACCATACCTCTCTATCACGGACTGCCAGTCCGACTCTGGTAAGCCGGCGGGCTGTGGCTCTCTGACGGTGGGGATGGGTTGGCCAGTTGTAAGCTTGGTGGGCAATGGCGGAGGCGGCGGGGGGGCGGGCGGAGCGTCTGCCTGTTTTTCCTTGACGGGCGTGTCCTTCCTCTTGCCCTTCGCAGTCTCCTTTGCGGGCGCGGGAGATTCTTGTGCAGGTGTCGGCTCAGGCTTCTGGTTGCGCGCGGACTTGCGCCGTTGCATCTTTGCGGCGAGTGGAGAGGCCAACGGGAATCAATACTTCTTGCCGCGGCGGCGCAGGATGCGCAATGGTCGGGAAGGTAGGGTAGGGTTGTGGGAAGGCGCGCGTCATGGCGGCGAAGAAAGTCGCGACGGCTCACGCGAAGTTCGGATGGGTGACGCGCCGCTGGATTCCGGCCAAGACCATTTCCAGTCGGCCGCGCACAAACATCTCACCGCATGCAAAGAGCCACGAGACCAGCAAGCCGAGGACGCGCAGCCCTTCATTACCCAAGCCATGAGTCGTCCGGAGGGTGTGTGGCTATGGCCGCCTTATCACATGCGGCGCCACCGTGTTGCCGGCCAAGACTAAACGAGACCGCCACCACGACCGAACAACCAACAAGCTCCGGCCATCGCCCACCACTCGTCCGCATCATCCACCAAGGTTGATAGAAGCCAGGTATGCAAATGCTGGCGTCAGCCGCGATATTATTGTCTGCCTTGTCATTCCGCTTCCGAGTCTTTGCCTTTATTCCCGCTCAAACACTCCAGTCCTAGCTTTCACGTTATCTTGTCTGATCCAGGCACCAACCGTTGTTTTTGCTTCCATCTCTTCCGTCTCACATTTCAGTCCGTCCATCTGCTTCAATTGAAGCGTCCGTTCTAACAAGTGTGTCAGAAACAAAGATGCTACCGTTCAACCCCCTGATCAAAAAGGCCTACTTTGGCCTTGCAGGGGCTGGCGCCTTGTATGCCGCCCTCATGCTCTGCTTGACCAATGTTACCATTCAGCGGAAGTGCGTCAATCTACCTTGCCCAAAACTTGCGGCCCATGCTTATTCGTACCCTTCTCTTCCAGCGCACTCTACGCCAACAAGATAGTCGGCGCCTGGTGGGCCGACGTGGACAAGCCGCAAGCGTACGGCTTTGCAAGTCGGAATCCCTAAACATATCATATCGTGTTGGATTGCTGACACCCCACTAGAGAACCAAGTCACCGCTTTCAACCTTACAACTCTGGACAATGAGCTCCTCTACGCATGGCACGTGCTCCCTCTCAACGTGTACGAGAAGCACGAATCCGAGCTTTTGGAGCAGCCCTCAGGCTCTCCTGATGGCGACTTCACGCAAACCAAAGCCTTTGAGCTCCTGGCAAACGACCCTGATGCTCGCCTTGTCATCAACTGTGCGTATCCTTTCGTCCCATCGCTGTCCTTCCTTCTCTTCGCATCCAACCCGTCTAGAACTGACACGAACCTCACAGTCCATGGCAACGCCGGCCACGTAGCCCAAGGCTGGCGCACCGACACCTACCGCGCCCTCACCTCCCAGCCCAACACGCACCTCGTCACCGTCGACTACCGCGGCTTCGGCCGCTCGACCGGCACGCCCACCGAAGCCGGTCTGATCGCCGACGGCGTCGCACTGGCGACCTACGCCCTCGAAACCCTCCGCATCCCCTCCTCCCGCATCGTCATCGTCGGGCAATCCCTCGGCACCGCCGTCGCCAGCGCCGTCGGCCTGCACTTCGCCGACCCATCCGCCTCCCTCTCCCTCCTCCCCAACGGCACCGCCAGCACCGCCAGCCCTCCCCACGCGGCCCTCTCCCACCACTACCAGCAGCACAACCCGCGCGTCGACTTCGCCGCCATCCTCCTCATCGCCCCCTTCACCTCCCTCCCCACCCTCCTCGAAACCTACCGCATCTTCGGCCTCGTCCCCGTCCTCTCCCCCGTCCGCGGCTACCCGCGCTTCTCCAACTACCTGCGCGCCGCCATCGTCGACACCTGGCCCACCGCCTCGCGCATCGGCGCCCTCGTCGGCACCGTAGCCGCTTCCGACACCACCACCAAGCGCACCCTCCGCCTGCACGTCATCCACGCCAAGGACGACTTCGACATCCCCTGGACCCACGGCCAGGCGCTGTACGAGGCCGCGAGCGCCGCCGTCGTCAACCAGACCTCGAGCACCGCCGGCGGCGAAGAAGCCAAGATCGAGGACGTCGTCGTGCAAGCTGATGGCGAGCGGACGGCACGGTTGCGGCGCACGGCGATGAAGACCAAGACTGCTGGTGGTGGTGGTGGTGGTGGTGGTGATTATGCTAGAGTCGACGTGCGCATGGACCTGGTGCCTTTTGGTGGGCACAACCGCGTCGTCACTTTCGCGCCGGTGGCCTTGGCCGTGCGGAGGGCGTTTGATGCTGCTGCCGCTGCTGGTGCTGCTTGAGTTCTGGATGGGAGGGGGAGAGAGAAAGATATATGCCACGGCGCAAAACGTTAGCGGCGGATGTTGGAATTAGAGAGACGATGACTACGACGACGATGACGACGACTAACGGGAGAGGAAGAGAGAGAGAGAGAGAGAGAGAGGGAGAGGTCTTGTATAAAATCTTTTTTGTTTTCATTCTTGAGAGAGGAGTTCGGTGTATCTCTATTGCCGCAATGCAACAACAACGACGACAACAACAACGCATGCCCTGAGGATTCCCACTTTTGTTCTTCTGACGAAAAGCAAAACCCCTAGAACAAACGCAAGATCATGTAAAGAGTACAAGAATAGAACCGTGAAAGATTTGAAGAAGGGAAAGAAAACAAGGTGCACAGCCTGCTCCTGTCTATATGCAGAATCGCGCAAATATCATCCTACCTAATCCCACGCTTCGCTTTTTCTTTTTCAATCCATCCATCCATCCAATCCGGGCCATCCGTATCCCATCGTCCCGCCATTGATATCGTACAACAACAGCCGTAGGCTTTTTGGTGCGTGCGCATCTTCATCTCCATCTTCTTTCCACCTCTCCCCAAGACCTACAATACTCGCATCTCCCATCTATTTCTTCTTCTCCGCCTGCGCCTTCTCATAATTGGCAATCAGCTCGCGCTGCAGCTGGGGCGGCGCGGCGCTGTAGTGGCTGAACTCCATGCTGAACTCGCCCTTGCCCTGGGTGGCGGCGCGCAGCTGGGTGGAGAAGCCGAACATGCTCTGCAGCGAGCAGTCGGCGTAGATGGTGAAGTCGTCGGGGCCGATCTCCGTGTCGTTGATGGTGCTGTTGCGCTTGTTGAGCAGGCCGACGATGTTGCCCTGGAACTCGTTGGGCGCGGTGATGGTCGTCTTCATCACCGGCTCCAGCACCTGCGGCCGCGCCTCGCGGAACGCCTTGCGGAACGCCTGCTGCGTCGCCATGCGGAACGCGTGCTCCGACGAGTCCGTCATGTGCGTCGCGCCGTCGACCAGGTGCATGCTGGTGCCCAGGATCTTGTGGCCGAGGAGCGGGCCCTTGGCGCACGAGTCCATGAAGCCCTTTTCGCACGCGAACAGGTATTTCTCTGAGATGGTGCCGCCCACGACGTGCTGCTCGAACGTGTTGTCGCCGAAGGATCCCGTGGGCTCCATGTGGCCGATGACGCGGGCGTAGTCTCCGGCACCGCCGGTCTGCTTCTTGAGGGTGTGGTCGAAGTTGACCTTCTCGGTGAGGGTTTCCCTGTACGCGACCTGCGGCTGGCCGGTGATGACTTCGACCTTGTATTCACGGCGCATGCGCTCGACGTAAATATCCAAATGCAGCTCGCCCATGCCGGAAATGATGGTCTGCTGCGATTCCGAATCGACGTGGACACGGAATGTAGGATCCTCACGCTGGAAGCGGCTCATGGCCTTGGAGAAGTTGCCGCCGTCCTTGGTGTGCTTGGGCTGGATTGACAGAGAGATGACGGCTTCGGGAACGAACATAGAGGACTTGAAAGACTTAGTCGAAAGCCAACAAAGGTTAATGATGACGACTTACCATGGTGTACTCCAACTTTCCATCCGTGAAGGTATCGCCGGAAGCGCAATCCACACCGAACACAGCACAGATTTCACCAGCACCAATCTCCTGAACTTCCTCCATGTCGTTCGAGTGCATGCGTACAATCTTGGGAATCTTGACCCTCTTGTCCGTCCTGGCGTTGTAGACATTCATACCTTTCTTGAGGGATCCCTGGTACACACGAATATAGGTCAACTGGCCATAGTTGCTCTCCTCGAGCTTGAACGCAAGACCAGTGAACGGGAGAGAGTTGTACGACACGAGCTTGACGGGAGCCTCTTTGCGTTTCTTATCCAGAGCCATGTTCTCAACCTGAGCGGGATTGGGCAGATAGTCGACGACAGCATCCAGCATGGGCTGAACCGATTTGTCCGCAAGAGCAGAACCCATAAGGACCGGAGTGAACTTAAGATTGATAGTAGCGCGGCGGATAGCGGCCTTCAGCTGCTCCTTGGAAGGTTCTTCTCCCTCAAGGAAGATGTCGGCAATTTCCTCGTCCACGTCCGCAAGGCTTTCGATGAGCATGCCACGGCGCTGCTTGCACACATCCACCAGATCCGCGGGGATCTCATCTGTCTCCCTGATAATCTCTCCCCTCGGTCCATCGTTGTAAATAGCCTTCATGCGGATCAAGTCGACGACGCCCTGGAAGTTGTCCTCGGAGCCGATAGGAACCTGGATGGCAGCGGCCGCAATCTTCAACTTCTGGTTGATCTGCTCAACAGCCTTGAACGGATTGGCTCCCATGCGGTCCATCTTGTTGATGAAAGAAATGCGGGGGACATTGTAGCGCTTCATCTGCCTGTCGACCGTCATCGTCTGCGACTGCACACCGGAGACGGCGCACAGAATCATGACGGCGCCATCCAGCACTCTCAGCGCACGCTCGACCTCAATGGTGAAGTCGATATGTCCAGGCGTATCGATCAGGTTGAAGTGGTACTTTTCCTCCTCGCCCTTGTCGTTCTTCTTCACCCAGTCGCAGAAGGTAGCGGCAGACTGGATGGTGATACCCTTCTCACGCTCGAGGTCCATGGAGTCCATCTTCGCACCGACGGCATCCTTGCCACGCACTTCGTGGATCTCCTTGATACGGCCGGTGTAGAAAAGAACGCGCTCGGTCGCCGTGGTCTTGCCACTGTCAATGTGCGCCTGGTGTCGTCGTCGTCAGCCATACGTTCGCCATCTACCTGCGTTCACAGGCGCAAAGCATCCGCAATGGCCGGGGGGTATCGTACAGCGATGCCAATGTTCCGAACTCTCTGCAATCGGTCCCACTCGGCCGGATCGAGGTTCTCGACGATAGCGTCTTGCGTGAGCTGCGATGGGTCTTGCTGGGCGGCGTCGAGCCTGGGAGGCGTGTCAGTCCATGGAAAACGCGCCACTGCCTAATGCTCAGGTAGAGGGTACTGACACAGCAGCAGCGGCACCTGACTGCCATCTTCTCGCAGACCAGAGCTTTGCACCGGGAGTCTGGACAATGGCTGCGGAAGCTGGGCGCAGCGCGGCGGTGGACGCGCACCTGGCCCGGATGAGGGTCGATTGGCGACAGCTCAATCTGGCACCATTGGTTGCGGAGCGCAGCGCGGCGGCTTGCGCTCTGATGAGCCCGGTTGCCCTCATCTTGACCGACGATGAAGAAACGCGAAAATGCACAAGGAAACGAAGGACGCGGCCGAAGGTTGTCTTGCCTGCGGAGATGGCGGCCAAACCACCGAGAGCGCCCAAGCTCAGACCATCGCCCGGGGAACTTTTTTTGCCCTAACCTCGCCAAGACTTGACTCAGGCACAACCCTATCGAGACCATCACGTGTCATGTGTATTTGAGCGGCTGTCATTGGCTGGTGAATGACTACTATTTGTTGCTTGTGATCCAATGCTATGCCGCCCATTCGTGCACGAATGGTCCGGCTTTTATCTCGAGATCATTACATGCTGTTTTTATGTCCCTCTTGGCCATACCGGAAAACATTTTGATCTCTGTCTCAGAGCATGACAACACCGACTCCACCCATGTGCTTTTCAGAAGGCAGGTTCTTGTCGTTGACGCCACCAGGAATGAGCGCCGTGCGGTAGTTGTAAAGGTAGTAGTGCAGCTGCCCGTCTCCTGCACCGAACTTCTGCTCCTCCAGGAAGAGAGGGTTGTCGAGAAGCGTGAGAGCATTCAGAACATCAAACTTGGCCTATGATGCGTGTTAGTCAATTTCAAAGTGAAATGAGATGGAAACCTCACCTTCTTTGCAAGGGTCAAGGCATCCTTGATCAATGCGTTCAGCCTGGCCTTCAGCTCCTTCTGGTCTCCCGTGAACGCCACCTCGGTGGCATAGTAGTACAGGTACGCAGCTCTGACGACACGGTTGCCCCTGCCCTGGTCCTTGATGACCGTAGATTCAAGGCAGTAGAATGAGACGAAATCGGTAATCTTGCCGCTCGAAGGGTCTTCGACCACGTAAGCCCACACGACCTGCTTATCCGCGTCCTTCTCCCTGTTGATAAACCAGTGCTCTACTTCTTCCTTGGAGAACTCTTGAGCCAGGTGCGTGCGCGCGAGATACTTCGTCAAGAGATCCTTGACCTGATCGCAGTCCTTCTCCTCCATGGGTCTGAGGCCATTGGTTGATGTCTTGTCTGGAAGCTTGTACTTCAATACTTGCCTCTGCCTGGTTGAGCCATGCGGCAGCGGCGAGAACCCGACATCGTACAGCTTTTCCCAGTCAATGCTGCGATGATAGTAGCGGCAGGAAGCAACAGGAGTCGGAAGGATAACACCGGCCGTGTAAATTGCCTGGAAGATATCGTTCAGGTAGCAGCGGCGGGTAATCTCCTTGATGAGCGTCGGAGCAAGACGCTTGGAACGAAGCTTCTTGTGGACGCAGAGGAAGTTGATCTCCACCGAGTTGATCAGGTTCTTACGCACGCGGAGTTTGACCGGGATGCCGGAAATAAAGGCAACGAGCTTGCGGGACTGCGTCGCGCGGACACCAACGTGCCAGACGTCACGCCATCCGGGTGCCTTCAGCGCCCAGTTCAGGAAAGAGGCCGAGTAGTTGAAGCGGAACATGGCTTCATCATCCTCGACGTAGTGGTGGGTAAGCAGGTCGTAGACCTCGGCCAATTCCTTCTCGTCCTCCAAGTTCATTGTAACCCACTCAAACCCCTCAACCAGCGGCGCCGGATCCTTGGAGACCCTCTCCTTGTCAATGACCTTGATCGGCCCATCTTCGACCTTGAGTTTGGGGTCGTCGAAGGAAGGAACGGGTTGCGTCTGCCAAAACTTGTAGCTGGCCATGTCCTTCGCATTCTTGCTGCCGAAGGTGACACCAGTCAAGAGATCCGAGATGCTCAGGTTCTTGAGCAGTTCCTGCACCTGCTGCTCGTCCATTTTGTCGAACTCGGACTTGAGGGCAGGGTTCGCGGCCAGCAGCGCCTCGAGCTGTTCCTTGTTCAACTGCTGCTTCGGCGGTGCCGAGGCCCCAGAGCTGGAGCCGGCCTCAGCATTGCTCGTGCCGATCAGGGCCTCCTTGAGCTTCTTCTTCTTGCTCTTCTTCTTCTTTTTCTTGGCTGCGGCGGGACCGGCGCCTTCGCTGGCAGCGGGCGCTTCCTCGTCACCGGAGGATTCGTCTTGCTGATCGGCAGCTTCGGGCTTCGAGGTCTCCTCGACGGCTTCTTTGGCGGCCTCGGCGGTGGCCTCGAGATCTGCGGGTTTCGATTCGGAGGAGGACATGTTCGCGCGCGCGTAGATGTAGAAGGGGGTGTGAGGCTGAGTCGCGTTTCGAACGCGGGGTGGTGGGGCGCGAGCTTGGTGGGCAGCTTGAGGACGGGTAAATTTCTTGGCATGTCTACCACGCAGCCCTGGCCCTGCAGAAACGATTGGGAACACGTAGTATCATGTCGGGTTTATTTTTCTACACAGATCATCGCTTTTACACAGGCAACGGCTTCCAGGTAGCTTTAATATGTCAAGCAGTCGTTTTGCCAGCTTGTTGTGTCTGATCTTGCTATTCCAATTCCTGTATGTACAGTACAATCATCCAATCCACCAATGACGCTATGTAGTATCCAAAAGTCAACAAAAGAGAACGTTCCCAACCTGGTATCATCTTACAACGCTAGAATCGAATCGCTCCCGAACGAGGATCGTAGAACTCATAACCGTAGCCTGTTGTGTGCCGAATTTTGCGCCAATTAGTAGCCGGGGACCTTGCCCGCGCTCATGTATGCATCTCGTGCCTATGTCGAGCCCCGGCTTTGCTCTGATGCATCTCATGCCTATGTCGAGCCCCCGACTTTGCTCTGATGATTATCGTTGTCGATCTCATCTATCCTTTGAGGCGGGTGCTCCTCGACCGGCGTGACGCTTGTTGTGATGTGTATACTCGGGAGTCTTTGAATATTGGGGAGTTGTGGGGTGGTTCGAGTCTCTACAGGGCTGGTGTACGGCGGTGCTTCCTCCCATCCTAGTTCGTCGTAATTGGGAGGCTCCGGCTGCGGTATCCTTGCATCTCCAAGATCACTGCCGTTGGTAGTAGCCAAAGTCAACCGCGATCCCGAGGCCGAACGATCGTGCCCAAGGGGGACCGTCTCAAAGCTGACGGTACTGGCATTCCGCGCTGCGTTGCCAAAATCGTCGGAGCCCGCAGACAAAACCGAAGTGGCCGAGTAATCGCGGTGGTGCATCACGCGGTTGCTCGCAGCGCCGCCGGGCAAACTACCACCAATAGATGCTGCGGAATCCAGTAGAGGGCGGTGATCTGACTCAGCCGAATTCGCTCTGACCCTGGTCCCGTCATGGCGGGCAACGCCTAGCTCTGCGTACTGAACGGATGATACCCGCCGGTCGCGATTTGCCTGTGCATGTTGGTGTTCTGCGATGAGTGCTGCAGACAGGCCGCCTCCCATTTCCTGGCGCTGACGGCTTTCTCGACGCAGTTGTGCGAGTGTCTCCAGATCACCCCTCTGCCTGGCTTCCCTCCGCCGACGTCTCCGGTCTTCACGCTCCGCTTGCTCCTGTCGTCTTGCAACACGGATCTGGTAGAGCGATTCCATCTCCTGGTCCCTGACTTCCTCCTCTTCCTCCATAGTCTCGGGGAACTCGACAACGACGTCGATTCCGGCGCGGTCGCCCTCGCGGCCCAAGATCCTCTCGTTTTCTCGCACAGCAGGCGAATAAGCAGGCAGGGTCATGACGCTCCTGATCGAGGTATTTCTGTTGACGGCGGCGGCGGCTGCACTCGTCTCGTTCGCAGGTGCGGCGGATGTGTCCAGTCCCTCCATCTCACGAGCGAGCGACGAGTTCGCACGGTGGCGGCGCGTGGGGCCGTCGTTTTCCTGGAGCTGGGCGGAATAGTTGCCCTTGGCGCGGGGGTTCCATTGCTGCCATTTGCGCTTGAGGAAGTTGCCGGGAAGGAGCTTTGGCGGACGGGGCGACTTTGCTCGCAGTTTGCGAAGTTTGGCGTAGATGCCGACGACGATGATGATGAACAGTACGACCATGATTGCGACCTAGCGTGGGGTGTCAGAAGGCGCGCGTGGACAGGGCGCGGAGCTGCAAGGGACTCACGACGGTGAAGACGCGCCAGTCTGGACCCTTGTTACCGTCATTGTTGTCATTGTCGCCCTTGTTGTCCGTGTCCGTGTCCTGGTTGCTTGGTTCCTGGCGCGGGAACAGGGCGGACGGCGGGTGTGGAGCAGTAGGAATCCACATTGCCGGAGGTCGAAGTCCAATGCGACGGGCCGCACGGCGATGGGGAGCTCGAGGCTGGAGGCGGAATGGGCGGGAAGTATAGCTTCCGGCCGCAGCGATCAGTCTCGCATCAACGTCAGCTCGCGGCGGCTGTGCAGGCTCGGGGCTTGTGGGCGGGAAGGGCAGACGCAGGCAGCGCAGCAGCTTGGGGGGGTCTCAAGGCACACGGCGAGCAGAAACACAGAACAAAAACGAGCGACAGGAAACAAGAAAGGCAGAAGGCCCGCGGCTGCGAGTTATTCCTGGACGGAGTGGGACGGGGCTGAGGCAGGTTTGCTGATCGCCGCACCGCAACCACTGGGCTGCCAGCTCCGCGACACCCAGGCGCTTATTCGCCCGCGGCTTGCGCCAGCCGTGCCTCAAGCCTCCACCGCCTTCTCCATGAACAGCCGGCGAACGCGCATTGCCTGGCCCTCGCGCGTCGCTCGCCCCCATGACGAGCCCCCATCCTCACCCCCAGCCGCCGACACCAGCCGCCGACACCAGCCGCACTGCTCGCCCTCGCCCGGCTCCCGGCGCCGTGGCCCCGGTCACTTGAAACCGGCTGGTCGCTTGAGAGCTCGACACTCCACACCGCGCCCTTAATACGAGCGCGAGTCGGCGTCCTTGTACGAGCGACTTCCTTTTTTCAGCGGCTTGGCGTCGATGCCGCGGCCTTACTTCTGCACCTCTGCTGTCTTGCCGTTGCGCGCAGGAGACAAACCGCTGCGCCGGCCAATGGCTTCACATGCCGCCTATCGCCCGATACGAGCCTGTCCGGACGAGCCGCGCACTACGGGCAGCCGTCGATGGGTCTCGGCTGCTCCATTCACCAGACGGAGCCCGCGCGCTCCCGGCATCTGCCCACGTCTCCAATTACAGCAATCGCCTGCCTGCGCTCTGAGAGAGGCCCGGCTGGGCCCGCTTTGGCGTGCTTTATCTGCGTCGTGAGGTCCAGCACCTCTCCCCCTTCACAAAGGACACTCTCATTTCTGCTCGGCTAGCTCGCCACGAGTGGCGCTGCGGTCTTGCTCCTAACCTTTGCTTGCCCTCTGTGGCTTTGGCCCGCCATCTCGGCTAGACCTGCGTCTCAGGAAGCGACGCATCGACGAGAGCCTCGTCCCAAACAGCCCCAATGTCGTTGGCATATATCCATGACATGTCCGCTCCGCCATCCACGATGATCTTGTTCGCAACCCGCTCGTCAAACGAGGGACTGCCAATTTCCTGCAGCTTTTGCACCCGCCTGGACGCCTCGGATGCCAGATGGGCGTACATCCGCGCGTAATAGGGAAGCCGTATTGCATCAAACAAAGGCAACGCTTTCGCCGTGTCGTTTTGGAAGTACGCGAGAGCCTGCGCCAGAACCCAGCCATCCTCCATCGCGAATCCCGCTCCGGAACCAAACGCCCCAGAAAGGGCGTGAGAGGAGTCGCCAACGAGCACTATCTTGTTGTCCCATGCCGTCAACATATCGAGCTGGGGGCCGGCAAACGCGGCGAACTCGCGCCATCCGCCCTCAGGTACTCGCTTGAGTGCCTCCTTGATGTCTGGAAGATATTCCTGGATAATCATGAGGTCAGTGGATCTTGACAGTATGAGCGCTGACATACCGTGAAGTGCGACTCAACATGCTTGTTGCCAACCGGTACACCCCAACTGACTTTGCTCGCACTGTGGGTTGCTGGATCATGGAACGCTCTCGCCGCAATCTCCCAAAGGCCCTCTCCAACTGGTGAGAAGTACACGTGAGTTGTGGGCGAATGCCACCAGCCAGTGATTCCGAACCGTGGATCCAGATCCTTGACATTGTCCCAAGGGAGCAACGTCCGCCATATCGTCGTCCCCGTGAATTTGATTTCATAATCGGACCATGCCGTATCTCTCACCACCTATCTATCCGTCAGTATCGAACAAGAGTCTCACATTTGGGGGGGCAACGCACGGAGCGGATTCCATCAGAGCCAACAACCAAGTCAGCCGTTGCGGAGCTGCCGTCCTTGAAGTATAACTCAATGCCTTCCGAGCCTTTATCCACCATTCGATTCAGCTTCTTGGAAAGCTGGATGGTTCCCGGCTCGACATGAGCCAAAAGCGCCGACTGCAATTTCGTCCGCTGCGTCCGGATTGGCGGTCGCTTCGTATCTCCAGCCTCCTTTTCACGGCGATGGAGTTCTTGGCCAGACCGGCCGTTACTGCAAGAGAACTCAGCACCGAAGGGATGTAGTTTAGATCTTACTCATCGCAAGCTTACAGATTCAGCACCGTCCATGTCTGATGACCACTGGTCAGGGTATCAGCTACACCGAGGAGCTCCAGGACATTCCAAGAATTCTGCCCAATGCTTATCCCAGCCCCAACCTCGCGCAGCACGTTCGCTTGCTCGTATATCGTCACGTCGACATTCGGAATCTTGGAGAGCGCTATGGCGGTGGCCAGCCCGCCGGGCCCACCTCCAACAATCGCTACCCTCAAATGCCGGGCTGAATCGTCAACAGTCATTTCGCAAAATCGGTCAAAACTCCGAGGCAGCTACAATGTTGTGGTAACAAGTCGTACATTTTGTACTCAAAATACGCGCCAGAGTTCCGCGCCGCAGTGACAAAGCAAGCAATCGTCAGTCGTCACGTGAATTGCGTGCGAGGAACATGCACGGTTGAGCTGTCCAGTAGTATCCCGTACCGGGTTGGTTATCGCAAGAGTGGAGGGTGCGAGTGGTGTGAGATGAAATCACGAATGTCGCGCTTGCAAGTGTGAGTGTTCCGCTATTTGTCGAGGCTTCTACGCGCAGTTGCGAATCAATCCGCTAGGTGGGCGGAAGCTGGTGATAACAGTGTACCCTAGCACAAATCTTGCACCGAGGCGAGGAAACTGCACTGGTGATTTCAAGAACGTTTCGCTTACACGTCATATACGTCTCATGCTTGCGCTTCGATTGCCGACCGATTTCTCGAAGGTATTCCGCGAAGCATTTCAAAGGGCACAACAGCATTCTCGATCACATAAGAAATTCAAATGGTTGCTCAATGCTTCTCTTCGACGTCAAAACAAAACGAGGCTGGCTGATTTCGGAGTTGAGCGCAGTACTTCACATGGCTTTGGCTTAGGCTTCGTACCAGCCTGAGCCAGACCAAGTCTTGAGCAATATGCCGACGCCCCGTTCCGATGGAGGTAAGGCGGCTTACGACGCTATTTGCCTATCTACAAATTTACTTTTGCCATGGCACATCAGAATGGGTGACGTCGATGGTAGATGGGTATCGATGCGCTAGCCTTTGGCACCGCACGTATTGGCTAGATCAAAGATCAGCAAGGTTCGCGTGTGGATTCAAGAAACGAAAGATCTGATCGGATACGGAGTCAAAGAGAAACCCAGTTCGAAAAAACCTACGCCACCGACATTTTATGACTGACCCATCTCCTGAAACCCCTCTAGGCTTTCTTTATACAGTTCGCTTCTCATGGTTGCGAGCCCATCTGGTAGGTTCAGCCTTACCCCCCATGATTCAAGTAAGACTGACCGTTGGTACAGGGGTTCGTCTCTTAATTTTTAACGTTAAATTCCTACCACGTGCCAGGTTCTAGGCTAAGCCAAGTGGCTTGCGGGCGTTGGAAATCAGTTCACAACACCATTACTCCTCTGCCCTGAGATACCTCGGCTTGAAGAGGTACCGCATCGTCTGCCGGTTTGTCGGTTATTGCGATGTCCTTCAGGAGTTGCCGATCTTGGCATCCGAACAAGAGGTGGCTGACTCAACGTGGTCAAATATCAGAGAGAGCGGAGGGAAGTGAAGGCCGACGAGGACCAAAATGTGGACGGAAGGAAGTCCATGAAGATTTGAAATGGCATGCGCCACGTATCACTGCCCGAAAACCTCCGTATGTGCCGCAACCTCAGGCGGATTGAGTCCCGACTTCTCAGACAGCACGGACCCATAGTTGTCAAACGCGTATCTCCCGCACGCTTGAAGACGCCATTTGAGCATGGCTCCCGCCTCAGACTTACCGCATGCGGGCTCACCCGCGAATCTTTGACCCCAAATGACGACGGCTGGCCACCCCACGGATGGTCTCCAAAGCCCGAAACGGCCCTACAGACGCCTTTCCCGTAATTCGATGCCATGGTGAAATGGCTAACGGAGAAAGCTCTCTCTTCCAGCGGCAGAGAACGGACTGTGTCTTTCCGAAGCCGTGGCTTCCAGGCGTGAAACGCAGTGCCCGGCATTTCGGTCCTTTGCGGATCCGCCTCCTGGACGATAGGCATCGCGGTGAATGCTTTGGACCGTTCTGCGCTCAGCAAAGTGGACTGGCGGGTGGCAAGAGGCGGATGGAGCTCTCCCGTGAAGCGCGATTACTGATCTCTAAACAGCTGTCGGACGTTGGACGTGCCCCCGGAAAGACCTCCGTGTCCGGGATTCCGTTTGTAGGACCAATGGATTTGGGTTGCGAGGAGAGATCAGACAGTCTTCTGCTGACGAATTCCGGCTTCAAAGGTACCTACGTGAAACCATCCATGTGCCATGCACGACCACCGCCGCTCACGTGAAGTCGTACGACGCAAAGCTGCGGCCCGTCAAGGATGCGGCAACGACGTGCGGTGAAGGCGCAGCCTGTGCCTCGATCCCGGGGTGCATCCGAGCATGGGAACCCTCCTCGCGCCGCGTAGGATTCCCGAAAGGCACTATTGGAAGCATGACGATCCGGATCTCGCTGAGAAAGGCTCTTCAGGGCCAGGCCGGCGCCCCTGGCGAGAAGGAACGAAGTGTCAAGATCTCCTTTTCCACGCGGTTTCGGCCGTTATGTGGGTCCACGCGCCACGTGCGGGCCGACGCACGCGAAAGCCCCGGTCCACGCTCGGCGCGAGGGTGATTGGTCGAATGCTGGAGACCTCCACTAATGGGGAGCCTGCGACGGCTGAAGAACGTCTTCTAACTGCAAGCGGGCCTTGACCCGTGGAGCGGCCTCGTCAATCTTTCGATGGAGAGACGGTCGTCGGGATTGATAATTCTTAGTCTGGTCCCTTAAACTAATCATCACCCCACCGAGGGGCTGCCCGCCGGGAGCAGATTTATATAGATACCCTCCCGCCGCCGAGTTTGGATCTCCAGCTTTGTACTCCAACTAAAGCACCAACACACCAACTCCTCCACCATGTCTTCCCCCCGCTTCGAGTCCGAGAACGTCGACCCCGCCCCTCTGGGCAAGCCTCTCAAGTTCGAGTTCTCTGGCCGCGTCGCCAAGAACCGCTTCCTGAAGGCTCCTCTGACCGAGCGTATGTCCTCGTGGGACTTCAAGAACCCCCAGAACCGTGGCATCCCCTCCAAGGAGCTCGTCAACCTCTACCGGAGATGGGGCGAGGGCGAGATTGGTGTCGTTGTCACCGGCAACACCTTCTTCGAGCCCGAGCACCTTGAGGCCATGGGCAACCCCATCATCCCCAAGGATGCTCCCTTCGAGGGCGAGCGCTTCGAGCGCTTCAAGGAGATGGCCACCGAGTGCAACAAGAACGGCGCCATCTTCCTTACCCAGGTCAGCCACGCCGGCAGACAGGTTTGGTGAGTAGAGCATTTCAAGAACCGCCAGCGGAGCAGTTGCTAAACCCAGCCAGGGACGCCATCCAGCCCAACCCCATCTCTGCTTCCGACGTGAGGCTCGAGAGGGAGGTCATGGGCATGAACTTCGCCAAGCCCCGTCCCGCCACCCAGGAGGACATCAACGGCATCATCGAGGGCTTCGCCCACACTGCCGAGTACATGGAGAAGGCCGGCGGTGACGGCATCCAGGTGCACGCCGCCCACGGCTACCTGCTCGCCCAGTTCCTGTCGCCCGACACCAACAAGCGTACCGACAAGTACGGCGGCTCCATCGAGAACCGCGCCCGCATCGTCACCGAGATCGCGGCCGCCGTTCGCGCCCGCACCGGGCCCAACTTCGTCATGGGCATCAAGATCAACTCGACCGAGTTCCAGGACAACAACACACGCGAAGAGGAGATCAAGACGCTGAGCAAGGTGCTCGAGGCCGCCACCTTCGACTTCGTCGAGATCTCGGGCGGCTCGTACGAGGACCTCGGCTTCCTGCACAACAAGCGCGACTCGACCAAGCGCCGCGAGGCCTGGTTCCTCGAGTTCGCCAAGATCATGGCGCCCAACCTCTCCAAGACCAAGTCGTACCTCGTCGGCGGCCTCCGCACCGTCGGCGCCATGGTCGACTGCCTCAACACGGTCGACGCCGTCGCCCTCGGCCGCCCGCTCTGCCAGGAGCCCTGGCTCTGCCGCGACATCCTCGCCGGCCGCGTCAAGGGCGCCATCATCCAGAAGGGTGACCCCACCGACTACCTCTTCAACACCATCGCCGCCGGTAAGTCATTGACATGGCAAACTTGCGATAGAGACCACACACTGATTCTTGTCACGCAGGCTCCCACATGCTCCAGATCGGCAAGGACCACAAGCCCACCGACCTCAGCCAGGAGGAGAACTTCCAGAACTTCCTCCAGGACCTCGGCGCTTGGGGCCAGAAGATGGCCACCAACACCGAGCTCCTCCACTACGGCTGGCCCGACGTCAGCACCGGCAACATCCTGCCCTACGCTCCCAACGTCATTTAAGCGTGTGGTGAGGAAGAGAAAACAAAAATACCCAGATCCTACATTTTTTTGTCGCGCAACGAGCATGGAAATGATCAGATTATAAGAATAGAAAAAAAGCCTAAAATAGATGATAGAAGTAATAAAAGTGACTTCCATGACTTGAATGTACCTACCCCAGTGCTCCGAAGTGTAAGGATAATGCTCTACCTAAACGATGTTATGCAAGAGATCATCTCAGGAGTTGTAGGAGATCTATCTATCCGCTGCGCGTATACTTTAAAACCATGGTGGTCGAAGACTGACAACGATCTGACTTGGTTCAAGGATCGGCCTCAAGCCTGGAATACAAAGGGTATAGCTTTCTTCGCGGCTGCTCCGAGAAATTGATCCGCCACTCTCAAGGTTTTGTGTACGTACAGAGCTACCGGCTGAGAAGCGATCCTCTGATCAACCACGGCTGCCTCGGGATCCCACGGATGTAATGCCGGACAAGGCTAGTCGTTTTGCGCAATATAGGACTTTCGGAATCCGGCTCTGAGCATCGAGAGACGAATGAACGAGCTCGATCGGAAGGATGTCATCAACGCCCCTCCCGCTGATCGCGTATGCAGGAGGCTGCAGGGATCGGGAGCAAATGACGACTTGCGGATTTGAAAATGCGGGGAAAGCTTCACCAGCTCTCACCAAGACTTTCCTCTTTTTCTCCCCACGGTCTGCAAGCATCACCTCATCCTTGTTGGCCAAACGTAATCCCAAGAAGCGGAGAGACGAGGTCTTGTCGATTTCCTCGTGCCGCGTTCAACCGTTCAACCCCCACCCGCTCTCAACCACTTTCGCGCCATTGCATCTCAGGTTAGCATTTGCCTTCCTTGCCTCAGCCCAACGGCGTGTTTCAGAACAAGAGTTCCGACAATGACGACGCGGTCAATCGAGAAGCAGCAACTGCGATCTGGCGTGATCGGTTTCTCCGGCGTCGCGCTCGCCACGGCCGCCATGTTCTCGTGGAGCTACAGGGCGCTGCCGGACCTGTTCGCACAGCGGATCCGGGTCGAGAAAGAGCCCGTATACACGGTCGAGGAGACGGCCGAGAAACGCGCGCGGACGGTGAAGCATCTGCTGCAGGCGAACCACAGCATCTACAGCGTCATCTATCATAACCTCGAGTTCCACAACCATACCCCGCACGTAAGTCACATGGGTTTTGGCCGAGGAGAGGACCGTTTTGATTTTGTGCCGTCTTGTTTCGATTGATTCTCCAGAACAGCCTGGATGAAGCTGCGTCTTAACCTCGCGTGTAGATTCTGGGGTCAGCCTACATCCTCGGCGCGACCGACGAACACCTGAACGAAGTGTACGACGTCGAAACCGAGACGCTGGAGAAATGGACCGACTCGCCCGGTGAAATCACCGAGTCCAACTGGCGAGAGCATTTCGGACAGAGGGAGTAAGCACCGAGAAGACGAGCCCGTCGGAGCGAAGACGCGGAAAAAAGAATCGCAGCTCACTCACATCGTCTCCACCCAGGTACCAGCGGGCATACATGGACTTTTTCGAAGACCAGATCCCCAAGCACGGCCACGACTGGAGAGCCATGACGGAGAAGTATCTCTTCGAAGGGCCCAATCCCCTCATCAACAACATCATCTGCGGCCGTCAGTCGCCCACAACCCAAAAAAAGAAGAAAAAAAAGAAAAAACTCCCCGAGATCACTGACACCTCTCCCTCCTCCCAGTCGGCCACGCCCTCATCCACCTCGGCTACGCCTACGAGCTCTCCTCCCGCACCCTCGCGCCCGAAGCCCTCGTCCTCGCCACCTGCTTCCACAACGCGCAGCACAAATACCTCGACGACCCATCCTACACGCGGCCGCCGCCGGCCAGCAACCCTCCCAGCAGCTCCCCGCTCGAGCTCCTCGCCCGCCTGCGGCGCGACCCGCGCTTCGACGACGCTGACGACGCGCTCTTTATAGGCGGCCCCGACGACAACGACGACGACAACGAAAACAACAGTAGCAAAGGCGGCGCCGGCGACGACGCCAACATCGAAGCGCTCCTCGCCTCGCCCGCGCACGAGGCCGCCGTGCTCGAGTACTGGAACGCGCTCGCGGTCCCCGCCGCCGACCCGACCGCCATCTTCGCGGGCGTGCAGCGCGCCGCGGTCGAGCTGCTGGTGGCGACGAAGCCGGAGTCATCGTCGTCATCGGCATCCGGAAGTCGACGAGACGACAACAGCAAATACGACTTCTTCCTCGTGCACACCCTCACGACCAGCCACGCGCTGCGGCACCTGCTGCCGGGATTGCCGGCGCGCTGGCACGTCCCGCTCGTGCGGCAGTGGTGGCTGCTCGTCGTGAGCGTGTACGTGGCGCAGGGCCGGCCGGCGGTCGAGCGCGGCCGCGTCGAGCGCGTCGACGTGGCGGGGAAGGGTTGGGACGGGTTCGTGGTGGGCGAGGCGGCGCTGCGGGGGAGGTGGCGGAACGATGCGCATTTTGTCAAGGGTGAGTGAGTGCGTGAGTGAGTGTCTAGTGGCTGTGCTGTGCCTGTGCCTGTGCCTGTGCCTGTGCCTGTGCTGTGCTGTGCTGCGTTCTGGAGGTTGGAGGACCTGGAGGAGGTGGAGGAGGAGGACGGAGGAGCATGGAAGACGTGTTGTTCCCCTCCCCCCGCGCTTGCTTGCTTCACCTGCCTACACTCGGAAGTGGCGAAGCGGCAGCAGCAGCTTCGAACTGATGGAGACGTACGTCGCTGACGATGAACAAATATATCTAGCTCTCCGCGCCATGAAGAACGCGGCCGACACGTGGGGCGACCCGGATCAATTCTTCCTCAAGGCGGCGGTGCGGTTCGCGACCGACTTCGACGGGTGGGGAGGCTTCGGGCGAGCAGAGGTTGAGCGGACGGATGAGAGGAAGCAGACCCGAATGGGAACCATATCGCCCGACGACCTCGAGCTGGCGGCGCTGGCGCAGGCGGGGGAATAGCGAGACTGAGGGTGCAGCTGTGGAGAGCAAGTGCCGTCACGTGGCTTTCTTCTTCTTCTCTTTTTTTTTTTGGCGTCCTCCTACTCTCTTCTTCTATCTTCTAGTTCTCGTTCTGTCGTCGCTTTCCTTTCCGCGGGGACCAATTCAAAAGATGCACCACCGCACGCTCATTTACGATGGCGGTCAGGGGGCGTGTGGAGAAGTTGAACAGGCGCGTCATCTGGCGTTGAAACAACCTTCATCATTCCCATACGTATGCCCTTGTCTCATCTTATGCTTAACTTGTCTCTGCCGATTTCGTCGTCGGATGTAGCGCCAATCACACTTGGTGTTTGTCCGAAGACGGCAGGCATCTCGGCCTTTCGGCGTCGGAAGTACCAAGAAGAGATTGGTGATGGAATGCAAATGGTTTCGGACTTAGCCAGATGTCTGAGTAATGGGGACGGGATCCAGCTGTACACGTTGCTCGGCGAGCGGATTTCTGCGCGAGAGACAGTGGAAGCTACGTACAGCGGAAGGATACCGCGAGCGCCGTTAGTCAGGGAGTGCAGCTAGCAGTGACTTGGTTTAGCTCGTCGTAACGCTGACCTTTCTAGAAAGCGTTCCACAGTAGTAGCGCCCGAAAGAAAAAAAAAAAGAGGGCTCCGAAAAGCAATCCGATGGGATAGATCCGACGGCATTAAATCCGATGGCCCCCTTCGACGCACTCCGCGCCGCGCGCTGTACAGCAGACACAACTACATTCCCAATGCGGTGCCTGATGGCGAACGGTGAAGCAGGCCGCTATCCAGGCGCCGGCAATGATTGGTCCAAGGCGTGCCGCTGGAGCTGTTTCCGCGGATCGTCGGCGTTTGAAGAGGCTGCGGCGAATGCAGGGTCCCGAAACGTTTCGCCTGCCTATACATTGTCCCGCGTCTCGGAACTATCTTATCAAGGAAGATGATGAGTTAAGCTCGCCCGCCTTCTCATGACGTACAAGCCCGATTGTGCAAGAGAAAGAGAGGTCCGATTTCTCGCAACACGGCCATGCAATTCCGCTCTGCCCCTCAAGCTTCTCTCCGCCACATGAAGCCCTGCTCCGCCTTCCCGTCTCTGCTTGATTGAAAAACTGAAGCATAACCGCCCGCCCCCGGCCACCGACGAAACAGATACGCGAGACTGTGAAACTACCTACCGCAGACCAGCACACATAATTACCCGCCCGCACCAGCTTCCGCACGCCGACACAGTGCTCCACCCAGTGCAGTCAGACGCCCGCCCCTAATCATACCGCGTCCACACGAACATCGGATGCGAAACCCCTCCCCCGGATCCAAGGCCCGACAAGAAACGGAATAAAACCGAGCACTCACTCCATCCCGGCCCGTGTTCCCCTCCACCTCCTCCTCATCACTATAGAGGCGTACCTGCCTCTCTCTCTCTCTCTCTCTCTTTTTTTCTCTCGTAGGAAGAGCTTAGGAGAAAGATAGAAGAGGAAGAAGAAGAAATATAAAAAAAAAGATGGCCTTCTCCGAAGACATCGAGAAGGACGCATCGCCGTCTGCGGGCCAGACGTCGTTTCCCACCTCGCCCACCTCACCCACCTCGGCCGGCGGCCTGTTCAGCGAAGAAAAGAACTCGACCGACTTCTCCCGGCCACCCTCCGCCAGCAGCAGCAACAGCGACACGGACAACGCATTCCCCACCACCAACAATGCAGCAACGCATCGAATCTCGCACGCGCCCAGCGCGACCCCGAGCACCAAGCCGGCCGACATGCCGCTGCCCAAGGAGATCCTCTTCATCACCGTCGTCGCGTCGGCGCAGCTGATGACGCAGGCGGGCATGTCGCAGTCCATGGCGCCGCTGCACATCATGGCGCAAGACTTTGGCTCGCCGTCGGCGGGCCAGCTGTCGTGGTTCACGGCGGCGTACAGCCTGACGGTGGGCACCTTCATCCTGATCGCGGGGCGGCTGGGCGACATGTTCGGGCACAAGCCGCTGTTCGTCTTCGGCTGGTTCTGGTACGGGCTGTGGTCGCTCGTCGCCGGCCTGACCGTCTACTCGGGCAGCCAGGTGCTGCTCGACGTGTGCCGCGCGCTGCAGGGCGCGGGGCCGGCCATCCTGCTCCCCTCGTCGCTCGCCATCCTCGGCAGCACCTACCCGCCCGGCCGCCGCAAGGAGATGGTCTTCTCCGTCTACGCCGCCACCGCGCCCAACGGCTTCATCGTCGGCGCCCTCTTCTCCAGCCTCTTCGCCCAGTACGCGTGGTGGCCGTGGACCTACTGGGTCGCCGCCATCGTGTGCGCCGTCTACGGCGTGCTGGCCTGGTTCGTCGTGCCCGCCGACGAGCCGCACGAGGCCCATGTCGACGCGGCCGGCGCCGTCGTCAGGCAGACGTTCGACTACCTCGGCGCCGTCACCGGCGTCGTCGGCCTGGTGCTGTTCAACGTCGCGTGGAACCAGGCGCCCGTCGTCGGCTGGGACGCGCCCTACGTCGTGGTGCTGCTCGTGCTCGGCGTGCTCTTCTTCCTTGCCTTCATCTTCGTCGAGAAGAAGGTCCAGCAGCCGCTGGTGCCCATCAACAGCCTCGACGCCCACGCCGGCTTCGTGCTGGCCTGCATGGCCTTTGGCTGGAGCAGCTTCGGCATCTGGATCTACTACTTCTGGCAGTTCACCATCGTGCTGCAGCACGACACGCCCCTGAGCGTCGTCGCCCAGAACCTGCCGTGCGGCATCTCGGGCGCCTGTGCCGCCATCACCGTCGGCTTCCTGTTGAGCCGCGTCAAGACCGCGTGGCTCATGCTTGGCTCCATGGTCGCCTTTTGCTGTGGCAACATCATCTTGGCCACGTTGCCCGTCGGTCGCCTCTTCTGGAAGCAGGTCTTCTGGAGCGTTATAATCACACCGTAAGCTCCCGTTTTTCGACGAAGGTGGTAGCTGGAGACTGACAAGACTGTAGATGGGGCATGGATATGAGTTTCCCCGCGGCAACCATCATTCTGAGCAACCACGTCCCCAAGCGCCACCAGGGTATTGCCGCGTCGCTGGTTACGACCGTCGTCAATTACTCCATCTCGTGGGGCTTGGGAATCGCGGGTACCGTGGAAGTTCATGTCAACAACGGAGGTGAAAACATACTCGCGGGTTACCGCGGTGCTTGGTATTCGGGAATCGGGCTTGCCGGCTTGGGCATCATTATTGCCATGCTGTTTGTTTTTAGCAGCTACCGCTCCGAGGCGAGGAAAAACGCAGATCAGGCAAGCGAAAAATCATGATGGGTCCGCATATAGATGGGCATTTATGGAGCTAGAACGTAGACTGGATATATTGACGAGATTTACGAGTAGATCAATTTGGCGAGCGTTTATCCTTTCCGTTAGTGTTTAAGGCTGGTGACACGTTGAGAAAACCGGATCATCCGCGACATGAGGTCGAACGAGAAGCTGTGCTAATTCTGTCAGCGTTGGTCCGTTCCGTTGCCACAGTCTAGAACCGAACTACGAATGAAGTGTTGACATGGCCGTGGGTTTCCAGAGAAGTTCCCAGTAAGCATGCTCAGGCAAGAGCTCCAGCTCCGTTGTTCTGCTGGAAACCCACACTATTCGGCCTCGGTTAATTGACAGCAATTAATCCGATGATCCCAGTACACATTTCGAACGCCGATGCGAAGTCACCAAGAATCTAGCGGCGACCATCCCCCAAGAGAGGCATCGGTCGCCTCACTCCAGCGACCTCTGTGTTGTATTCGTGGCATGGGCAGCGCAAGGTTGTCGCTCACGCCGAGTGTGCTTTATGCGGATCTTTTCAGCGGTATTGGGCAGGATGAGTTGGCGCATGGCGAGGAGAGAGACAACCGCTGGTCTTGGACCCATACGCGAAAGGCCGCACCGCATCGGAAGTCCTGTCTAAAGTCCTGTCGACTGCGAAGATGGTACCGACGTCTCGAGTTCCTATACTACTCGTCGTTGTCAGTCACCTCAGAAAGGCCCTCATTTGGATGGTTGGGTTGGGGCTTTCTCATCACGTCGCATCCGCATCATGTTCGGTGTCGACGGGGTCTCTCTCCATCCCTCCAAGACCGATGCAGTGTCAAGCCACCGGTGAAAGGAGTCATGGAAGCATGGCATCTACAGTACTTCCACAGCCAACTCATGGTCAGCTCATTCGGAAGAGGCGTCCGGATCAGGGGCTGCCAGCGTGATGTCGTGGCTGGGCAGATAACGGTTAGTCGCTCATGTCGGCCAATCCATCGTGGTATTCGACCGCGCGTCCTCCACACGTTGACGTCCAAGCTTAAGAGAAGCGTTAGCAGCGGCCTCGCCGACGTAAGAGTCAGTTCGATCCTCCGTAGGGCTGATGAGGCGGCCTTTCTCAACAGGCTCAACGCCAGTCCAAGCGCGAGGTCGTCAGGGGGCACGGAGACTGGGCGTGCCATTTGAAGTAGATTAACGCGGGAACATTCCCGGGTGCCGGATGCCAAGAGAGCCTGCCTTTTTCCCGCGTCTGGTTGGAGGGTTTTTTTTCTCGAAGCATGCGGCTAGTGGCTGTGCATGACAGTTGCGGTAAGTCTCCGCGGCATTCGTATAGAGCGGGTCCTCCCCGGAAACTGGGCAGCGCCACTGGAATGCTTGGTTATGCAGCCGAGACGCCACTGCCGTGACCGTGGTTTGCCGGGGGACGTCGGTCCATGAAGTGGCATCCGAATTGAGCTGTGCGGGTGGAGCTGCGGAGGCGGGCGTTCTCTGGAAGCGTCCAAGGTCAGACGTGGCATTGCCATCTCTTGCTCGGAGCTTGAGCCGCGACATCGCCGGTGAGGCAGGTCACAGGGTTGATCAGGGGCCTGAACTGGCCTGTGAGCGTAGGGACGCGTAGGGCTGAGGAACGCGGCACACCGCCAGCGATCTCGTTGAGAGCGCCAGTGCGCAGCGCGGTGCTGGGCTGAGGGCCGGACGAGAGACGCCGGTTGGGCGGCCAAATTCAGATCGTCGTCGTCTGGGGTGGCAGCTCGGCTGGCAGCCGCATTCGTAGGGCGGCGTAAGAAGTAAAATGGCAGTGAGCTAATGCGGACAGCGGTGATGCGGGCGGTTTGAAGGCGCCCGGCCAACGCAGAAGGTGCGCCGTTCGGCTGCGCGCCACGCGATTGGCAGTCGCGCACGCACGCCGGCCGCTCTGGCTCGCTTCTCGTCTCGCCCAACTCCCTCCTCGCATCCGCATGCCTCAACATCCTCCACTTGCCTCTGTGCTGCGAGCTACGAACTACGAGCCCCGTGCCGGCCGCATTCCGGCCACACCAGCGCCCGTCCCTCGGGCGGCGGGCGGAGAGCTGTGATCGGCGCCGCCATCAGGCCAGCACCCACCGCCGGCACCCCAAATACGAGCACCGTTCGGCCTGCCCCACAACACCACCACCGTCCCCTCAGCCTCTGTTCCTATTTTCAGTTACGCCCTATAGCACCCGCGAAGCTTGGACGCTTCCAGCAATGATCTCATTATGGACTGCGCAACAGCCGCTACCACCATGCAGCTTGCTAGCGCAGTCTTGCGCCGCGCGGCTCGCTCGACGTCCAGCAATCCTGGACACTGCGCTGCCTCTTAGTAGGGCTGAGTCCTTGGACCTGCTCGCGCAGTGAGCCATTGCCTGGCTGCCGTTGTTCACTCGGTTTCGGGTCTGGCGGGCAATCATGCCAGACAAGTGGAGAGGAGGAATGCGTAAGCATGAACACACATCTTGAGCATAGTGTTCCTCCCGCTCCCCGTTTCACCTTGACCGTGCTAATGGTGTTCCCCAGTGGCCGGCTTGGCAGTCAAGCTGCGCCCAGGATTCACGCTCCGCCTCGCCGAGAGCGAGGGCGTGATATGACGATCAGTATTCCCCTGTGTCTGCAAACACGAACCACACGAGCCACCATGGTGCACCACTATGCTCGCCCGGCGACCCTCGTCGAAAGTGCGGGAATACCGCCACCGACCTCATTCCGCTCTGCGTAGGGCAGAGAATACGAACCTCATCCTGTGTATATATTCCGCTGTCCGTCGTCGTCTTTCCAGTCATCACCAACCAACACTCGCTCTTCACTCCTCCGACTCGACCCTTCATTGACAACCACCTTCGCTACTCTACCAATCCTTCAATCCTTTTAATCACCATGCACTTCACCAAGGCCACCATCGTCGCCGTTGCGGCCCTCATGGCACAGGGCTTCGCCATGCCCCTCGACGCCCGCAGCGAGAGCTGCACCGACGTTATGACCCAGTGCAAGGCTCAGCCCGACCCCAACATGGCCTCCTGCGCCAGCGAGGCCGCCGGCTGCTGCGACAAGAAGGACAACGCTTGCCGCACCGCCCCGAACGCCAACATGGCCAGCTGCTCAGCTGAGAAATCGAGCTGTTACGCTGCTGCCAACCTTCCCGACCCGTATGGCTCCCAGAAGCGCGCCTCGCCTAAGGATGCCTGCGACGATGCCGACAACAAGTGCCGCACTGCCCCTGGCGCGAACATGGCAAGCTGCTCGGGTGAAAAATCGAGCTGTTATGCTGCTGCCGGCCTTCCCGACCCGTATGGCTCCCAGAAGCGCGGCACCCCCAAGGATGCCTGTGACGACGCCGACAACAAGTGCCGCACCGCTCCCGGTGCGAACCAGGCTTCTTGCTCGGGTGAAAAATCGAGCTGTTACGCTGCTGCCGGCCTCCCCGACCCGTATGGCTCCCAGAAGCGCGGCACCCCCAAGGATGCCTGTGACGACGCCGACAACAAGTGCCGCACCGCTCCCGGTGCGAACCAGGCTTCTTGCTCGGGTGAAAAATCGAGCTGTTACGCTGCTGCCGGCCTCCCCGACCCCTACGGCTCCCAGAAGCGCGGCTCGGCCAAGGACGCCTGTGACGACGCCGACAACAAGTGCCGCACCGCCCCTGGTGCTAGCATGGCTGATTGCTCGGCTGAAAAATCGAGCTGTTACACTGCTGCCGGTCTCCCCAACCCCTACGGCAAGCGTGCGTCCGCCAAGGATGCTTGCGACGAGAAGGACAACAAGTGCCGCACCGCTCCTGGTGCCAGCATGGCCGACTGCAGCGCGAGCAAGGCGAAGTGTTATACCGACGCTGGTCTCCCCAACCCGTATGGCAAGCGCGCCTCCCCCAAGGATGCCTGCGATGATGCCGACAACAAGTGCCGCACTGCCCCTGGTGCTTCTATGGCCGATTGCAGTGCGAGCAAGGCGAAGTGTTACACCGACGCTGGTCTCCCCAACCCCTACGGCAAGCGCGCCTCGGCCAAGGATACCTGTGACGAGAAGGACAACAAGTGCCGCACTGCCCCTGGTGCTTCTATGGCCGATTGCAGTGCGAGCAAGGCGAAGTGTTACACCGACGCCGGTCTCCCCAACCCCTACGGCAACTAAGCGGTTGCTCGTATGGAATAACGAAAACGAACATGGTGATGTGAAGAGGTTGAGGTGGGAAAAGGATTAGAGTCGATGGTTGGATTTTGATCATGTCTTATAAACAGCTTATGTCATTCGTTCATGTAAATAATTGATGAAGCATCCGGAAGGAACAACAAAAAAACATCTGCTCTCTATGCATTGTGATTCTTGAATGAGGATGACTGGACGGGTGGAAAGATACGAGGGTAGGTGGGCATCTGAAGCATTTGGCCGGACATAAAAGACACGATATCAGGTGGGTATCTGAAGCATTTGGCCGGACGCAATGATGTCTTTCCAAAAAAAAAAATTAGATGAGATCTATCTTGCGAGCGCGATATACAAAAAGTGTAGCTCACGAACTGAATCCACTACAATAAAAGAGAAGGATGAGTTGAAGGCTGTGTACAAACGTTTCCTTTTGCTTTTCTCCCCGTCTGCACTATGCTAGAGCGCGATGTTTGGAAGATGCCTGGCTTGAATGTTTGAGCTTACCTTTGTGGTTGAGACGGTCACTGTAGCGCCACTTGCTTATTCGCAGAATGAGCTACCCAACACCTCGTACAAAGGCCACGCTTCGCAAAACCACACCACTCCAATGCCTTCTACAACGCGTATAGACACCGAACCATCTCCAGATTCCAGAAAGGACCTCTGCAAAAAACAAAGCGCTGGAAACGTACACCGAAATGGAGAGTCCAACAGCGCCGTCCGCGACCGCATCATGCAAGGCGAGATTCATCGTGAGGGCTACATGTGGGGAGATTAAGAGATCAAAGGTAGTTCTAAAGATGTATATGTTAGTGGAGTCAAACATAGCCACAGCACGTTCAAAGAAGCTTACCTGTCGTAAAGCACAGACACTGGACCACGACTGAGCCACACAAGCTTATATCGTTTAAGCTTAATACTCTCCCGCTGTGGACGCTCTGTAGATCTTATGGGCGTCAATTGTCGACGTGGAAGCAGTCGCCAGAACCCCCTCCGATCACGCCATAGCCAGATGGGGAAAAGCCGAAGAATCGTCATCCCCACGCCTCAACGCTACACGACAGATCTAATCCGCCACCCCACTCGTCAAGCCACCGTTCCATTGAGCGGGGTAGATGCCGATTGTCAGCGCTGCACATCGGAAAATCCCCTACAAACGCAATGAGATTGCGTGCGCGAGGCGTGAGATGGCAAGATGCATGACAGGCCCGCTTCTTCGGCGCTGACCCGCCACCATCTGTTGCTTTCCCACAGTACATTCGGCGATAAGGCGCAAGCAAGCCGAGCGAGCATTTATGACGTGATTGCATGCGAGCTCTTATTTTGTGTCACATCCGCACGTACTGTGCCGGCCGTTGTAGGCCGACTGTTCTCGCCGGGCATTCTGGCCCAACCACACCGGCACAGCCGTTGTCCCGAACCGATACACAGCGCTTCAGCTGCCATCCATCATGTCAGACGACAAACAAGCTGCCGCCAAGGACAGCCCAGCGCCTTCGCAAAGCGGTGCTGCAGAAACTCACGATGGGACGGAGGAAGGGAGGAAAGCTTTTCTCGCGTCCTTCTCCGCCGCAGAAGACAAAGCCATCATGCGAAAAGTAGACGGGAGATTTTTGGTCCTCATTGGTCTGATATACGTCATTAAAAACGTATGTCAGTTTCGTGGAGAGTCGAAGGTGTTCACTGACGATTTTCAGATCGATTATATGAACGCTGCAAATGTGAAGGTGCTGCAGGTCGGACAGCCTTCAAACATCTTGAATGAACTGAGCATGACGGCCGATCAGTATAACTGGGTTCAGTCAATCTACTTTGTAAGTCATGCAGAGGCCGGTAGTTGCAGAAGACTGACCGCCATGACAGATCAGCTATATTGTCTTCGAAGTACCAAGCAACCTGGTCATGAAGAAAGTCCTTCCTCGCAACTGGCAGACACGCATCATTCTCTCCTGGGGCATAATTCTAGCATGCCATGCCGCCGTCAAGAACAAAGAAGGGCTCTACGCTGCGCGGTTTTGCTTGGGCATGGCCGAGGCAGGCATGTTTCCGGGTCTCGCCGTGCAGCTCGCATCTTGGTACAGAACAGACGAATACGCCAAGCCCGTCATGTGGATGTTCGCGTTCCAGAACACCTCCGGCATCATCGGTTCGCTACTGGCGTACGGAATAAGCTACATGAACGGGCTCGGCGGTCTATCCGCCTGGCGATGGTACGCCAACCATCCGCTCACCCTTTACAAAACCACCACCCCTCCGCTGACACCCAACCCCTTCCAGGGTCTACCTCCTCGAAGGCCTCTTCACCATCCTCTTCTCCATCATCGTCTACCTCGTCCTCCCCGACTACCCCCACTCCCCCCGCTCCCGCACCTGGCTCACCCCGCGCGAGCAAACCTACCTCGAAGCCCGCCTCTCCCCCTCCGCCCCCAAAACCTCGGACCCGCCCTTCAGGCCCTCCGAGATCCCCACCGCCCTCCGCGACCCCCGCACCCACGCCTTCACCCTCGCCCAGTTCCTCACCAACCTCGCCGGCTACGCCCTCCAATGGCAGCTCCCCACCATCACCACCTCCCTCGGCTTCGCCGCCCTCCCCCGCAACCAACTCCTCAACATCCCCCCCGCCCTCGGCTCCGTCCTCGCCATCCTCGCCGCCGGCGCGCTCCTCTCCCGCGCCTGGCTCTCGCGCCCCGCTTTCATCGCACTCATCGGCGCCTGCGAGCTCGTCTTCTTCGCGGTGCTCGCCGCGCCCGTCCACGACAAACCGGCTGTAGTGTACGCCGCCTGCGTCCTCGGCACCGTGTTTTACAGCGTGTGGTTTATCCCGTTTTGGGCGTGGCGCAGCGCTTCGCTCGACGGGGGCGCCACCGCCGCGGCTTTCGGCCTCGCGTGGCAGAATTGCGTGGGGCAGGTCGGCGGCGTCGTGGGGCCGCAGCTGTTTAGGGAGAGGTATGCTGGAGATGGGTATAGGGTGCCGTTTGCGGTGTGTGCGGGGGCGGTGGGGGGCGCTTGGGTGGCGGGGTTGTGGGGGTGGTGGTTGACGTGGGAGGTGGAGGGGAGGGTGAGGAGGGAAAGGAGGGCGTGGTGGAAGGAGAGGGGGAGAGGGAGGGGGAAGCTGGGGGACAGGGAAGGGACGGTGGGGGATGGTGTTGGTGATACTAGTGGGGGAGGGGAGCGGTGAGTGGGTGGCTGGCTGGCTGGTTGTGGGAGGGGAGCGGTTTGACGGTGTGGCGTGGGAATTGGAGGGATGGAACGCGGATGGATCAATAGTCTTTGACATGAACGTGCTCTGCGGGATTTGTGGATCTTTAAGAGGTGGCTGAAGTCATCTTGTTGAACCATGTTGCTATTCTGCTAATCACGACAAAGTTATTTGTTCTTTTTTTTTTACTGAAAGTATGGGTCACATCGGCGGGAGAATTCAAATGCGACAGACATGCGCGGCTAGAAAGGGTAAAGAAGGATGCAGGTGGAGACAGTGAAGCGCACAAGAACCAAAAAGCTTAGAATTTCACGCGAAGGCTAGAGAAAGAAAAGCCCTTAGCGGTTTAAGCAATAAAACTACTTCGTGTAAAAGGCCTGAGAGTAGTTGTAGAAGTAATCATACCCATCTCATATCTGGATGTGTCTGTGTAGGATTGATACTTACATCTATGTCCGGATGTCTGCTTTACCTACTTATAAAGAAAGGCTCTTTAAACCTACGTCTGTTTCCGACTGCCCACGTAAAGGATCATCGTAGCCCAATCTCTTTCTGCACCTACCGTAGCTTGTAGAAATTGACTATGCAACGCGAAGATATTCTTAAGGCAATAAAAATTTACAAATATGCAAGACCAATGACAAGGAAAAGTTTAAATTCTACGTTGCTAACTGATGTTACCAAAGTAAGAAAAGAAGGCGACGACCCTTGTGATAGAGTTGGAGAAAAGAACGGACGAGGGAGACGTTGAACCGATGATCCCTCAATTTTTCTAGCGCACTAGATGGAGCAAATCCTTCACTCTACCGCCATCTACACGGGAATGCGTGGTGGGACCGCTTCGTAAAGTTGTTGAGAACGAACAGAGGCCGGTAGGCTTGGTGTCCGGGAGCAGACTAAGCCAGATGGAGTAAGCCGAAAACGAAGAAAAGAAAACTTTCACTTCAATGCGCAATCAACAATCCTGCATTTAATATCATGTAGCACATATCAGGACGTGCTTGTCGTCGTTCTCTTTACGTTCATGGTATCTAACTGGCGTTCTGATTTGTTTTGCAGTACATATTGTAAAATGTGCATTGTCATTCCATCAACAACCGACAAGATGCTCCGCCATCTTACAGCCGCCCGGCTAGCTCAATCGGTAGAGCGTGAGACTCTTAATCTCAAGGCTGCGGGTTCGATCCCCGCGTTGGGCTCAATTCCCATATCTTTTTGTTTTAATATGGTGAAGTGTTGGGGTGGTGGCTGCGGAGGGCCTTAAGGGCTGACACTTTGAGTTTTTGCGCCCCACATAGAGATCCATGCGGCCCGATCGCGTACCTCGGCAAGACACAAGCCAACACATCACAGCAGGACTGCCTAGAACTCTACAGGTCTTCTTATTGAGTGGTATGGTGCAAGTGATGCTTGTATGTTGTTACTTAAACGTAGCAGTTTAGCACCCGCTTTCGCGACGGTATTACTCACGAATGTTGACTGCTGTTAACGCTGACAAAATAGGCATCTGAACTCACGAACTGACCGCACGTAGCTGACCTAAACATGCGTTGCTGGCGGACCATGCACTCCTGCTCTACCAATCCAATCCTTGTAAGGTTGCGGAGGATTCATTCTCTATAATCCAGGGTAACTGATGCCCTTGTTCGCACGTCCATGGTCGAATGGATGCTTTGGATTTCTATAGTCTATTTATGCAATGAAACTGGCAACATTTAAAGGTCTTGCGAATTTATTCCTTTAAGTAGACATTTCACGAAGACAGTTAAAATTAAGGCATGTTAATGGTTAATGTGCAACCGATCTTTGCGGTAGAGCCTTGGATTGTCGCAAGTAATGATGCCTCCAATATGAAGTAAGCCAAGAAGTAGAAATTTATATTGGTGCACGGTGATACCTGGAAGCACGTGTGCAGATTCAACGGCACGGATGCTACTGTACGTATTGCCAAGTAGGGGTCTATGCATGCTACGAGGACCGTAGATCGTAAAATATTACGAGGAACATGGCAGAGAAGAATAACGATCGAAGTCTCAATGCGCTCAGACTCTAATCTCGACTATGGTAGAAAATCTCTATCGTGATGTTTATCAGATCCACGCCCCCCAATGACGCCTTTGCTGATGCGCTCGGATATACCCATGATCGTACACTCATTAAATTTCGTCATCAAAGCCGCCCGCCCGCCCTTCCCTGACATCATCCCCTCCTTCCGACTGACTGACTCCCCACCGCTCCCCCCCAACTCCTTCTCCTGAATCCCTTCTTCATCTCGCCTCCCCACTAGGCTCATCCGTGCCCATCCTCGCGTACGCCGGCCTCAGCCCCACCAAGCCGCTAGCCACCCCCTCCCCCACACCGAGCAACTCCATACTTCTCCTCGCGGCGGGCGGTGGCGGTGGCGGTGACGGATGGGGCGGCGACATGACGTCCCTGATGATCCCCTCTCCCCCCCTATCCTCCGGGGCACTCCCCGCCTGACTTGCAGATTCCAACGCACTCCTCGTCTCCTGCCCCCAACCGCCCTCCTCTGCACCGTCCCACGTGCCCACGGTGACCACCTCATCATCCGACGGGCGCAGCAGCTCCGCCGCCCCGAGCAACAGCCCTCCGGTGCTCCCGTCGCTCTCGACCCTGCTCCTGCTTCTCGTAAGGATCCCGCGGCTGCCGGGGAAATACGGCGGGCGGCCGAACTCGGGCGTGCTCGCCATCGACGTCGATGGGGCTAACGGGTCCGGGCCGCGATGATCATGATGACGCTGGTGGTGGCCATAACGAGCCCCGTGATTCTCGTCAAACGTTTCCAGCGAAATGGATCGATACCGATGATGATATCCGTTTGCATCACCACCACCATCACCGCCACCGCCCCTGCCCGGCCCGTCCGGCATCCAATACAGACTCCCCTCCATCATCTCCCCGCGGCGACGAAAGGAGAAGAAGAGCCGCAGCACGGCGCGGGCGGGCACGCGAAAGGGGCGGTAGGTCCAGCTCCGGTAGGTGCGCGTGCGGCGCAGGCCGCGGGCGGCGGCGGCCGGGTCCTCGGTGTTGAGGTGGGACTGCTGGCACCATTCGGAGACGATGTAGGCGAGGCTGAGGGCCATGATGGCGGTGCCGAGGGCGGTGCCGGCGGACCCTGGATGCGGCAGATGAGATGGTCAGTGTTCGGAGGGGGG